CCACTGGAAATTGGTTTTCTTGTTTCGCAGGTGATTTCTTCAGCGTTTCGGGCGTCATGGGAGCTTCTGGTTGGTTGAGAGTCGGGTCGGGGTTGCTTTCATGTGTGAGATCCTCTCCTACGCCTACATTTTTCGCATGTCAGTCGTATCCGAGGACAAAACGTCGTTGTGAAGCAAGGTTTCAGTCAAGGTAGTTGTATTTGGTAATCGTCGGAGTGTCGGGAACGCCCGTGTGTCGATTTATTGTCGGAAGTTTTGACGGTATTTTGACGTTGTCGTATAAAGGTGATTTCATTCGCTTGTTGAAGCTTCTAGGCATATAATCGGCGTCGAAATATTATCGATTTCATGCGCAGTTTGAAGCGCACCACCACAACGTCAACACGACAAAGGTCGAACGTCAATCGCATACAAAATTGGCGACCTCATCAATCTAAATCGGCAAGGGATCAACCTAGAAGTAGACGCTCGAAGAGGACTTCGATACTCAGCCACGTGCTTCGGACCATTCAAAATCATCGCACTGGGAGCACATCCTGATACCTACAAACTCGATTTATCACCATCGAAGATCGGCGGCATCTGGCCCATCTTTCACGTCGATATTTTAAGGCCACATCGCAAAGAGCAATATCCGCAAAGTGCAGTTCCACAACCTCCTCCACCAATCGAAGAACGCGGACAACCTGAATGGGTTGTAGAAGATATCATCGACGAGCGACGCGCCGTACAAAATCTTTTAGTCAAATGGCTCGGTTACCCTGACCCTACATGGCAACCCGAATCCGCACTTCGCTACATGCCTGGCTACAAACGACGGCGTAAAGCTCATCCACAATCTTTGTGGATCCGGAGACGAACAGCATAGAGCATCTCATATCACATCACATGCGCAACGCCGCAAGAACCGCTAACTACCAATCACACCGCTGACAATAGCGACGTAAACTACATTACATCACGCGCGGCGACGCAAGAGCCGACCTTACACAAACACACATATCACACGACGTCGGCTTAGGGACGCCTTTGCCTCAAACACACACATCCCACAGTGCGTCAACACTATAAAATGAACAAGTGCATCAACACCATAAAATGAACATGAGCTCTCCCTTTATTTACATATCCCTTGTAGTTCACCTCTTATTTATTCGGCGCCCTCCTCAGGATCTGAGGGAGGTTCTGGAGATATCTCATATATTCACTTGTATTTCATATTACATCTCTTTACTTCTACTTGATCCGAGACCCAGGCTGGCCACCCGAGCTCTCGGTGACACATTACATCAGGCGCCAAGCCTCACTGAAGCCACGCAAGCCCCATTGACAACCCATATATAAAGCTGTCAGTCGAGCGGCCGCTGCAGAAAGCTTTTTACTTTTTTCTTCAATACAATACACTGCTCGCAGCCCTCTCAGAAGGGCCCAATATCGCCTACGTTTCCTCTGACGTTACAGTTTCTAACGGTTCTAGGACCCACTGCAATGCGTAAAGTGGGGTTAGGGTTAGGGTAGTATCCTAACCTGTGGTATTCATGCACTTCTGCACTTCCTTAATGCACATGGGCCACCCTTCCATTACGTTCAGGTTGACCGGGATCAATTAGCTAAACTAGGTGCGGGGAATGCTGCGGAGATGGATGATCCGATGGACTTGGACTGAGGTTAACCAGGAGGGGATTCTTCCGAGGAGGGTTAGGGCGCATTTCATAGAGAGGAAAAGGCGTATCCCGTAGTTTTAACATCCCATACTTTATTAAACATCCTGTAGTTCAGCTGTACTGTAATGCTGTAATCCCAGTTCAGCAGTAATGTACGTATGTACAGCACCACAACAAAAGGGTTACGGTTGTAGGGTTAGGGTTAGGTTTCCGCACGCGCGTTACATATCTAACAGTGGATTTACACCATTCTGGTGTACTGTGATGCATTCAGAAAACACTGGCGCTTTGGCACAGTTAAATCTTGCTTTCCCTGCAGACGTGCAGGTAACTGGTTCAATTCACACTCCCAGACAGCTTCTTTGTTCAGATTATGACCCCTGTCGAGCTAGGCGCGGCGTGGTAACTACTGTCGCGCTTGGCGCTTCGTGGGTGTTAAATGAACAGCACAACTAAGTACCGCAACAGAAAGCTACCTTAACCAATCCTCAAGGCCTTACCCGCTCTCAAACAGCTCGAGCCACAACCATTTTTGCTCTGCCTCACGCTCCATCTCGACGGGGCTCTGGGGAAACCAGCACAGCCCATGCAGGTCGACCTCCCGCATGCGGCGGTCGTGCTCAACATGGGCCGCAAGATCAGCGTATAGCAAACATGCCCAGACCGCACAGCCCATGCCGGTCGGCCTCCCGCAAGCAGCGGTCGTGCTCAACATGGGCCGCAAGCCCAGGCGGTCAACACCCAGTGGAGACGCCCACAGCTGCACAGCCGCCACTCCCCTCGTCAGCCCTGAGCATGCTCGGAGTGTGCTCTGTGTGAGTTGCCGGGCTTGAGCTGGAAGGAGGTGGGCGGTGGCCAGGGGGGTGAGGGGGCTGTCGTCCGCACCGAGCGCTTGACGTTTTGTGTGAGAGGAGGAGAGTGTGGTCTTGGAGATGCGGCGATCAGCAGCAGTGTGGACAAGCCACCACTGCACCACGACTGTGCCTCACCGCTCTCAGCCTCAATACCACAGCACTAACGTGAGTTCTTTGACCTGCAACACCGGTCTCGGCTGACTTAAGGCACAGCACAGCCATCATGTCATCACACCAGGCGCTTCAGGGGCACCTGTGGGGTGGCTTCTTTGCCGGAGTTACCACACCACGGCGGAAGAGGAGGAAGGTTGCTCCGGTTACCCCGCGGTTGCCCATACGTCTGCCAAACGCTGTGCAGCCAACCGCTGACACCATTGCAACCCCCGCAATTTAAGTTCCCACCTTCTGTCCATCGCCACTTGCCCGAAGCAATTGCAGACATGGTTAGCGAAAGTTCCGGCGATGAAGACGGGCGGCACCAGCAGCGAGGGCTTTCAGCCGTGGACAGGGATCTGCAGCGCCCACTGAACCTCCCCGCGCTGTAGTATTGCGCTAAACGGCGCATGAAATCGATAACATTCCGATGCCGATTATACACCTAGAATCTTCGACAAGCGAAAGAAATCACCTTTATACGACAACATCAAAATACCGTCAAAACTTTCGACAATAAATCGACACACTCGCGTTCCCGACATTCCGACGATTACCAAATACAACTCCCTTTACCGAAACCTTGCTTCACAACGACGTTTTGTCCTCGGATACAACTGATATGCGAAACATGTAGGCATAGGAGAGGATCTCACACATGAAAGCAACCCCGACCCGACTCTCAACCAACCAGAAGCTCCCATGACGCCCGAAACGCTGAAGAAATCACCTGCGAAACAAGAAAACCAATTTCCAGTGGCCGTATACGCCGAACGTTGCAGAAAACCCCGAGAAAAGATTAGCGATAAGACTGTATCAGCGCCAAAATTGCGAATGGAAAAAGGAAAAACTATGTAGACCGCCGCAGGAAAAGAGAAAAAGACCCCGACGTAGCTAAATCCTCTAGAGACGACTAGTAGAGAATTTGGACTTCCACAAAATCCCGTAGCCTAGAAAAATCCATATAAAAACCCAACTGTTTTGCCCAGACCTTTGTACAACACGCAGAACACAGATCCCGATCAACAACAGAGCTTTCTACTTCTCTACTCCCGACGACTTCTTTCAGTTTCAGATAGACTTTCAAGGCGCGCTCATAGATCCGGAGAGCTTAGACAAGACGACCCCGACTGTCGCAACTTGTACTTTGCTGACGTCGCCGAGGACTTGGTAGTTCAGGAATCCCGTAAGAAGAGCTGAGAGTGAGATTGTATAACCCTGTTGTTTTGTTTTGTAGTCAACCCCGCAGATATTCCTGATTTCGTACCCGTACCCGTAATTCCCGACCCCATATTAGAAGAAGGACTCCTTTCAAAGCACCTGGATATTAAGGTTGCAAGACAACGCTCTCCCTTGAGATCTTTTCTTGTGCTATTGAGAGACTGGCAGCTTATTTTTCCCGAAACCTGACCGTAAACCCGTATTCAACAGACCCTCGCTTCTGCCGGCCACCACCACAGCGCCCATCCCTTTCCGTTTTCCCAGCACACCGGGTGGATCCCTAGTGTATGAACCCCCGCCACCACCACCACCAATTCAACGACCCCGCCCACAGACACATGCCAGCACCAAGGTTTTGCTTCACCGAATCCATAATCAAAATCAAGTTCAAAGGGAGCGCCTGACAACATTCATCGGCAATGTTCACATCCTTGCGCGCCACACCACCTTCTTTCTCAAGTACTACCTTGGTGAGTCTTTGAGGTGCACTATATATTTCCCATCAAACATTGTCCTGACTGCTACGTCTGCTCACCGCAGCTGATCATCCTCTACACAATTTCCCGGACATTACCGACAAGCACATCAGTGTGATATTTGAGCTGCTAAACAATCCAGACTACAATGGCAATCCAGTCATTGCGCAAGAGTTGCGTCCACGGGTTCAAGACTACTGTGATGTTCACGGATTCGCCCCCATCCGCATGCAAAATTGCCAACAGACCGCAGCGTACACAGCTACGAGCATATTCACAAACCTCAAAGTCAACGTACAAGAGCATTTCATGCAAATGTTTCTGCGCTACGTCAATGAAAGGCTTGGCTTGAAGCAAGTCGAACTGCATCTCCGGAGAGGGCAGCGGTGACACTATTATCAGCGTGTCCGCCAGGTTGCAAAGTATGCAACGTTTGAAGAGTTTCCAACCGAAGAGGAATTTGCCCGCCTCACACGACTCGAGCGGACTGTCCTCAACAAGTTATGGGCTCTGTTTCCTCCCCAGGATGAACCGCTTGCATACAGCCTTGCAGTGGACGCAATGCCATATTTAGGTGAGTTAGTATATTTCCGCCCCCACCCCCACCCCCCGGCTTCCTCTTTTGTCTAATCATGGTCCGCACCTGCCTCATCACAGGTGCCTATTGTGAGCTCTCACGCCTCTATGAGCGCCGTGGAATGCGGCTGTTTTCGGCTATCCCGCTGCGCAAACCTTGAATCCAGTCATCTGTTCGGATGGACACGCTGATCCTAGGCACTCATATCCTGGATTTCGGCCAACGTCGCATGGGGAAACTCACCAATGAATGCAAGCGGGAGCTGTGGGGGCAGTTTCTCAATGTGAATGTCAGTTAAGTCTGGATGCTTTTGCGCTTATTTCAATCACCTCGCTGAATGACGGATTGCAGGACAAGGTCTTCAAGCATTGAAAGAAGCTTGGTCTCAAATTTGATGGGTCAATCAGCGCAAACGGGTCTTCCGTTACCATCCACTTCAAGAAGCCAGGGCTCAAGTATGGGCATCGGGCCTGCAAGCGCAGCAAGGCCAAAATGCGGGAAGAAGTCAAGCAGCTGTATTTTGAGCACCACATTGCCGAACTGAGGGAGGCTCCAAACATCGTCTGCATTGGTCCGGGCTAGCGTGACCTCTTGTTCTGTCGAGACATCAAGAAAGAGCGACCATTTTGATATCTTTTAGTGGATTACTACTTTTGACATTCCGTTGCAGCATCCTCACAATGCACCACCCCGTATCAGATACACATCCAATCAACGGGCGTTTGAGACAAAGTCTTGGTACTTTTGAGAAGACATGACAGAGCAAAAGATTAATGCCAGCATCACTGAGATGGAATCCCATATCCCATTGCACAAGAGCATGAACATCGAGGCGTTCTCAGAGTTCATCGTGGATTACGAACATGCGGGTATGATGTTCTACTTCAACTTTGATTTTCAACTTTGGTAAAACATGGGCTGACATCCATATCCCAGATCCCGCCCTGGATGAGTTTTACCAGGATGGGATTCATGTGGCTCGCAGATTTAAGGCGTTCTCACTGTGGCAAAAGTCTGAGAGCAAGCTCATCAAGAACATGCGACGCCTGTATGGAAAGCATTTTGCCGTCATCTTGGGTGATTGGAGCGATGCTGGAAAGACCATGCGCTTCCAGGAGTCATCAAAGACCAAAGGGTGAGTGACCATCATTGGTACTATGTATTATAATATGCTAACTCATCATGGAAATCAGATTCCGCACACTCTTTGCAAGAAACAACATTCCGTGTTACTTGCTAGACGAGTATCGAACGTCCTCCGTGTGCCCAGACTGCCACGGCCGTGTCAAGAAAAACATCCGATGCCGGCTGTCATCTCAGCCGTGGCTTGGTGGGTTGAATGGGAAGAAAGGGAAGAATGGAATTTGTCCATGGATTGGTGGGTTGCCCCAACCCCGAATGTATCAACCAAGACTGGACGCCATTTGAGATTCCTGGAAGACAACCACTACGACTACGGATGAAAGTGCACAATTGGGACGTCCTAAGCACCAAGAATTTCCTCTCGATTGTGCGTTCGGTGGTGTTTGGCATTGATGGCCGCAGACCAGACGCATTCTCCCGTAACCGGTAGTCTAGATTTCACCCCATCCCATTTTCCGTGGTGGTTATCTGCCATCCACATCATTGTACCTCTGCCTGAGGCGTCGCCGATGATGGCAACTTGTAGGGAGTTAAGAGCAAAGATGAAGTGGAACGTGCCGCGTTGCCTGTACATGTAGGCGTTGCTGGGGCCTGAGCTAAGTGTCTAACTTACTTATCTATCCTGTTACTGTGGAAGAGCTGGGCGTGGGAATTCGGCAAGATTGGAGACGGAGGCAGCACGACCAGCACGAGGGGAAGCCACATTTGACAACCACTTTATACGGAGACAGGAAGCCACAAGCCTCAGAGCGTGCGTCTCCCGAAAGTCTCGAAGAGGCCAATCGGATACGCTTAATGAAGTTGCGAGGCACTCCCCGCTCCCACACGAACACTCTCGACCGCGTAGTAGTACTTTCGTTGAACCTTGCGCTGTACAGTACTGTATGTATAGTGTACTGTATGTACGTCATTTCGTGAGGGTACGCTGGGGCCGTATTATCTCAACTTTGTTGGGCTGAGTCCTGACTCCGTCGGAAAGTTGGGCAGAAATACTCCAATAAAAACGTGTGCACAGATATGTGAGCTCGGAGGAAGAGGATGCCAGTGACTGGACAGCAGCGGAAAGGAGTGTGCCGACTTGCCCCGGAGGAACCCTCCTAGTCCATAGTTATTGCGGATGCCGCTCGTTCGTGCGCTCTCGGGCAGATGGTTCAGCTTTGAGTAAGGCACGCATTTTCTGCCAAGGGGAATGCTGAGAATATGTTTCCTCGTCTCAACGCAGATATGGTCAGGAATCAAGTGTGTTGCAAAACTCTATGATGTAATGTAATTACAGATGGTGCTTCAAGTCTGAATCAACAGAACGAGGGGGATATTGGGAGCAACACTATGCTACAAGGTCGCTAATATCAAGGAGTCTATCCACAGAAAACGGATTCACCACCGAACTCGTCCGAGGGGCAACCGACAGCGGTACCGTGTTCGTCAAACTTATACTTGGCAATCTTGATGGCGGCCAATGCGAGACCAGCCAGACCCTCTCCGGCAATCAAACCACTCGCCAGCGCAAAGCCCCAGACGTTCCACGACTCCGGGTTGCGGCGCTCCCACACCAAGAGGATCATGGACCCGATCAACATGGCGTTGGCGTACGACGTGTCTTGGACGACCCAGGCGACTCCGAGGGCGGACATGTTGGGGATGATCCAGGAGATCTTGGGAGGCAGGGTCTTGCGGGCGACGATAAGGGCAACAGTCAGGAGACCAAGGATGATTGCAGCGATTCCAGAGGAACCCGGGATTCCAGCATCTGGACTTGTCAGAGCGGTGGTGGTCACGGCCCATGCGGTCGCAGACGCCAGGTCGAATTCGCACTCGACGTCCGCAAGAGCCTGGTTGATGCATGGGTAAGCATCAACGTAGAAGATGTAGAGACCGACGGAGATGAACACAGCGAAGAAGGTTCCGATCGCCTGGGCGTAGAACTGGGTGCGGGGAGAGGCGCGGAGCAAGTGGCCGGTCTTGAGATCTCCGACCATGTCGGTGGCTTGGGAGGCGGAACCGGCAGCGATGGAACCGGCGACCAAGTTCTGCATCATAGCGTTGTTGAGAGCGGGCTGGACGGTCTTGCCTTGGGCGCGAGACATACCACCAAAAACGAACTGGGCGGTCTTGGCAATAGCTCCGACGGGGTTAATGTCGGTGGTTCCGGCGGCTTGGATACCGATGAAAGCAAAGATGAAACCGAGGATGATGGCCAGGATCGACTCGCCAACACCGACACCGAACATGGTGGAGCATATGGTGATGGTCAAAATGGACGAAGCGACGATCCCGGAGGCCCACATCCACATGGGAACTTGTTCGTGGGCAGGGGCGGGGTCGACAATATCCTCTTCGGTTCCATCGCTCTTGACGAAGATACCCTTGACTCCGGCCCAGATCGATCGCCAGTTCCAGAAGAGCTCGGTGAAGGAAGCGGCAATCATGATCATAATACCGGGCCAGAGCAGCCAGTAGCGCGCGGTGGGGGCGGTGAGGGTTTGGCCAGGCTTGGGCATACCGGTGAAAGAGGACGCCTTCACAACGCCTTTGGCGACAAGGATGGGGCCAACGATGCCCCAAGCGGTAAGAGTTCCTATCCAGAAGGACACAGAGGCGTGCACACCGGACAACATGCCGGCGCCCAAGAAGGCGGGGGTCCACTCTGTAACAAGTCTCAGTATCAGCGACAGAAATGTGGGCGGGCATCGGGGCATCGACATTAACTTACCAATCCTCCAAGTCCACAAGTTCGCTGTGAAGCACGCCTCACATCCAGCCGTGGAGAACCAGTACATGACGTACCAGCTGTAGATTCCGGGCATCCAAGAACCGATGATCTTCCAGAGGAAAGCGCCACCCATAGAGCCGAACATGATCAGGGCCTTCTTACGGCCGACGGCGGCACCGTGCACAGAGTGCAGGGATGCGATAGTGGCGGCGGAAGCGAACGGGGTGGGGAAGACGAGCTTCATCTTGAGGATGAAGTACTTGCGGAACGGGATGGCGAAGAACAGCCCGTAGTAGGCGGTGATGAAGGTGAGGGCGATGATTTTGCCAGCATCTTCACGAGGGCTGGCGCCGAGCAAATCCAACGCGTACATGGCAGGGAGCGCGGCGACGAACAAGGTGCTGAGACCTCCGGCGGCGGTGGCGGCGGTTTGCACTGTGCAGTTCTCTTTGATACCGAAGTAGCCACCGGTGATCGTGGTTATGATTTGGAGAATGAACCAACCACCAATAGCACCGAAGAGAGAGGCACCGAATGTGAAACCTGGAAGTGCAAAAAATGACCTTGTCAGTAAAATGGGAGTAACAACCCTTTCGACCCGTCGATTGAACGACTTACCGGTCTTCAAACCCAGGTAGATGTTGGAAGCAGCGACGATCGAGCCCAAAATCACACCGACGACGAGAGCGCGAACCGTCAAGGCATTGCCCTCTTCAGGGAGGCCTTCTGGCAGGTCGACGTGCGTGCCGTACTCGTGCTTCACAACCGGTTGGTGAATTTCTTCAAATTCCTTCTTCTCGGACTCGTAGACCGTGTCGACCGTAACGGGGTGCGGCTTCTCGTCAAGGTTCGACGCATAGTGCGTCGTTTCGGTGGGGGTTGCCATCGTGCGACTGGGGTTGCGAGGGGATCTTGCGTGAAGCTCAGATGTCACAACAATCTGAAAGGGATCAGCGATACTAGGCGGCCAGCGCTCTAGAGCTAATCAGTGGATTCGAAAGAAGCGGATGCGGATTCAACGGGGCAGGGCAGCAGCAACACGGTGCCGGCCTTAAATATTCGGCATGCCAGCAACTTGTCCACCGGCGGGACTTGCATCCACGGCAGCCATCCGCTCGTGCATCACAGCGTAGCGCATGATCATCATCTCGGCAGAGCAGTGGGCGTCCTATTTGCGAGACCGCCAAATTTTTTTCCGGTTTTCTCTTGTGATTCGACTGATTTGACAGAGCAGGACTATCTGGAGGCCCCGATATGAGTGTCGCCAACCGCTGCCCGTTTCCTGGCAACAATCACTCAACTCAGATTGCGCGAATGACCGACCAGACGCGTGCGGGTATGACCCCCGCACAAGCAAATGGATTATGGATTTGTACCATCTGGATTCGGGAGAGCAACAACACTGTGAAATTTACTGTTGGGTGCCTTGGGACATGTTGGAGTCTTTAGATTGTCAGGAATAAGGTTTGTGGTGTACGAGGTGTATATAAGGATCCCGCCCGCAGCAACCGGAGATAGCTCTTACAAATTTCGTCCGATCAGGCCCATCTATAAAGTTTGTGGTGTACGAAGTGGCCCCGGAGATGAAAATTTAAGCTTCGTCCGATCAGGCAGCGTGACTCCTTGATCAAAACCGCGTCAAAAACTCTAATCATCTCTCAGTGTTTCACAGCCGCTGATTGGTCGCGCATGAGTCATCCTGACTCTGTGCCAGCCAACCACGAGCCGGCGGAAGGCCGTTCCGGCTCGTTCGAGACCTGAGCCAACCCCCATCCATGCGCTGTAATGTACTGTATCATGCGCTTGTCAGCAGGCGGACCAGAGCAAATTGGCATCGTTTTGGCTACGTACCCGGTAGGAGCTCATCTTGTCACAGCCTGGAAAACGTTGAGTCTCCGCCGCCGCACTGAAGTGAGAAGTCTAGCAGCCTGACCTGGGGCTGTCGCCAGGCTGCCCTAAGGTTCGGCGGCCTTAAGGACGCGGGGACTCCCCCCTAGTCCCCCCGCCATGCTGCCGCATATCATCATTTGTGGGAGATGCTGACCGGGGCCCGCGCTCTGCCACTTCATATGTACTATTTCCGCATTACGGATGGGCGACGTTGGGCTGTTGGTCAGGTTGTTCCACCATCTTGCAGCGTTCGAAGCCACACATTCTCTGATGGAGTCCAATTTCCGTCCGCATCTTCCCGAGTCGCTGCCGGCTTTCCATGCGGGGAAGAAGTGCAAAACACATCTTTCTATCTGACATCTTCGTCCGTCATTTAATGGGATCCATGGATCCCAGATCTGAAATGAGCGGCGAAGATTCCCCAGGACGTCAACGCCCTGTGGCTGCCATTAGCAGGACTTCTGAGCAGCGGCAATGTGGCAAGTGCCACTCGGCGAACGTACTGTACAGTGGGCTGCCAGAAGAGCAGTTAACGCGCGGTGGTAGGAACGACCGCGAAGGCACTTGAGCGAGCGAGCGGTCTTCATACTGGCCGTCTTCGTTGAGCGGTAACGATATACCGGTGAAACAACTCTTCAATCTGGGAAATTACCTTTTCATGGTGTATTGTAGCACGCAGGCTCGCGCGATGATTTTCCGCATCCAGGGAAAATCAAGGAACCACCTCCGTCCCAACGGACACAACCTTGTTGGCACATACATATATTACCCCATCCTGTTCCTAGCTTTTCTGAGCGTACTCGGGTTGTAAAGCAGCTTTCCATGTGCTTTCCTTCGCATCCATGGAAAAGGTGAATATGATCAATTAAAAAGCGGAAGACATCTTCAGGTTACTGTCAAAATGAGTGTAACAACAACGGCGGCAGACGTACAATGCACAGCGTGTTGATCACTCTCCCAACACTCACACCTCCCTTCCAGCTATACATCTATAAAAACGTTTATGCAATACGCTCCTTTCTATATACATTCATCACCAGGGAGTACACCGGCAGGATACGCCCAGCGTACCCTAGTACGACGCCCTCTTGTCACATACGTCTAAACCAAACGCACAAAAGAGGGCGAGAAGTCATTCTGCGTCCTTCTGAGAAAAAATGTGAGCCCTGACGGCTCTTCGTCGTCAGGCGACATGGTGGGGATTTGACAAACTCAGAGAGTTACGCATGTTGTTGCGCCTGTGGTAAGTGGGTGATATCGGAATATGGGGATCGTGTTCTCGCACTGGTATCGCGGTTGCGTAAGGTTCTGCGTCCCGTGGGTCTGTAGTACTGGTCGTCGGTGGGGGTAGGTCAAAGTCCGGCGGTACGTCGTCTGGTATCGTTACCACATGTGCGGGTATTGAAACATCGATGGGGTTCTCGACATCAAGCCCCTCTCCTGCTCCGCCGCGGACAACATGCCCCGGTACACCCGTCGTCGTTCCATCATGTCCCGTCCCAGAATGTATCTCAGTATACTCCGGCGCCTCCGGAAGCTGATCCTCAGTCAACATATCCGGCGCATACTCCCCCTCTCCCCCGTCCTTGGCCGGCGGAACATACGGCGGCAGCGCGTCCTCCGCCAGCGGGCGCACCGAATTATAAGGCGCATCGACCGAGTAATCCGGCGGTGTCGTCAGCTCGATATCCCGAGACCCGACGCCCGCTGCTCTCCTCCCTTTCGGTGGTCGCCTGAAACATATGCACGACATGAACGCCGAGGCGATAAACACGCCTGCCACTACCATGCAGAGGATCAGCAGTTTTGTTGAGGTGGTGCCGCCGGGTTTTGGTGGGCATGGCGTGTAAGGTTCCATCTGGAAATTCGTGATCTCAACAGGCGCGGTCGACGGCGTGATGTTGAAGATCTCCAGGGCGTATACGTCGGGAGACTCGATAAACGATTTGTGGAAATTCGGGGAATCGGACTGGAAGTTTTTGAAAGGTTCGACCTGGGTGCCGCCAAAGTCGCCAGTGACACTGTACTTGCGGGGAACGGACAGTACTGTGTCGTTGAAATTGGCGCATGAGCCGGGATACGGGCTTAGGCGGAGCCGGACATTGAACGTGAGTGGCCAAGTGTTGAAGTGCAGGCTCGGACTGAATCGGTATAGACGGGGCGACCCGAGCGAGCAAGAGGAGAAATGTGAAGTCTAGGAACGAACCATTCATCGTCAGCTACCTCAGAGGAGAAATAGGGTAGCTGGAACAGTATTTACCATATTGATTCCGATGACACTAGTGTTTGCCGGAAAGACGACCCCGCCTTGGCCTCCGAGGACCGGTGAAGGTGCCTGGTTCTCGTAGAACCACGACTTGGCTGTCGCCTGGTCTTGTAAGGGGATACCGACCGGGGCCGCTTCGCAGTCCATTTTGCGACGAAAGCTTGGAGGATATGAGAGCGAATGGAACCCGGTGAACTACAGATTCTGGGGCGGGGTTGGGTAGCAGGTGAATTGCCGAGCTATGCGGCGACGGCGGCGGTACTTTAGATTGGGTCCATCTTCTTCAACTCTTCCTTCTCCGATCGAGTTGCTTCGGGTATTCACAAGTTCACAACGCTTTCATATGTGCAATGCCAAGTTGCAATAAGTTGCAGTTGGAGCCCTCGCGGTGTTGGGCGCCGGGCGGCCGTCTGTGATCGCTTCAAACTTACAGGGCGTCCAATGCGCGCCGTATAAATTGCCACGGTGTTGTGCGGCGCGTGGTAACGCCGACTCTCCCAACCACTTTTCGATCGAACATTACACGATGGCGCTTCCATCCGAGTTCCCATATTACGGAGTGGAAGGATGGAGGGGATAGTGATATCTACAGTACATACATACAAATTGTTCAATGAAGGGTGAGGCGAAGCAAACTTCGCCGATAGTGAAGGGGAGTAACATACCGCCGAAACAGGTTTATACAAATGGGAGAAAGCAGCGTCATACGCCATCAAGTCGGAGAATGTAGGGGAAGATATTTCGCTCTGACTGCTATATACAGTTACACTTTCAGGTGAACTCGCAGGCATCTGTTGAGCCTGTTGCGAGTCCTGTGAGGGTCATGTGGCGCTCCTAGGCACGTTCGCTCCATGTTCACGGTCAACATGGGGCGAGACATCCGCATACCCGACGACATGTATCGTGTCATGCTCGAATGTACCGCCGTTGCCCGCACTTATCCTCGTCCCGTCCGGACTCTCCTCCCGCTCTTCAGCCGCCGTATACCCCTCCTGCTCCCAGAACTCCTTCGGGGGCGGCTCGTACGGCGGCAGCGGGTCGTGGGCCAGCACGCGTGCATCCAACGGCGCATTGGTAGCATACCGGGGCGGCGGGCGCGGCCGCGTGGGGCCTAATTCGGCATCCTGCACGGTTTGAGCAATATGCAGCCTTGAATCCTTGTTGCGGCGGCAGCGCATTATGCAGTAACCGAAGCAGCCGATAATGGTCAGCGAGAAGCCGATTGTTAAAGCCAAATTGAGATTGCTCGGTCGCATGTCGGGACGGCCGCTGTTGTCGCTCGTGATCTCAGGCCCGGGGGGCTGGGGGCATGCCGTTGGGTCGAGTACCACGCCACCCATCGTTGCGTTGGTCGGTGAACTGAAGTTGAACAGCTCGACGCCGTAGATGTCCCCGAAAGAGATCGGCTGGGCTAGCAATCCGATCCCACGAGGAGCTCGAAACTTGAGGGATAGGAGCGAGTACTTTTGATCTTCCGGATATAGTTCGACACTTGACACGCTCTCGCTGTCGTGAGTGTCATTGTAGGTCCCACATTTAGAGGGCTCGTTGAACAGTTTCAACCGGACCATGAAATTGATGTTGGGCTCGCTAAGCGCCATGCTGAAGCGCAGATTACCGTAAGAGCTTGCATCCCGGTTGCTCCCACAGGAGGCGGCGATACTGGTCTATAAAATCAACATTCATGGCCCTCAGAAGGCTGCAGGTAGCTGAGAGGAAAATGACAACGATGTCTCACCAGATTGATTCCGATCACGCTTCCATTACCCGCCGCAAAAGAAACTTTATGGTCGTTCGCCGACGCATCGAATATCAACATAGTATTATTCGCAGCATAGTACGCCGCTCGAGCATCAGACGCGGACGTAAACTCCGAGGGGGTTACGTCCCTCGGACAGGGGGCGGCGGCGAGCGCTCGTGCGGCACATATAAGCAGAACGGCGAGAACGGTACATTGAGCCGGCACCGTTCTGAGCCTGCTCGCTCGCATGTTTCTGGGGGCGTTGCCGCGCTATAAGTACTTTGGATTTCGGCTGTGGATGTGTGGCGGAAGAAGGTGTGGCGGAAGAAGGCGTGACAAGAGGATGGGCAGCGGGCTGCGTCAAAATGGGAGTCGGACGGCCAGTGTCTGGTATTATATGGACCTGGCGATCAGCTGCGAGCTGGAAGCAATGCCGTACGAGTGAACAGGAGTGGGTGCTAGCTACATGTGTATCGTCGCTGTCGATGGGGGTTGGAAGAATAGTTATGCGATGAATGACCCCCTCAGCCGCACACCTCACACCTCTCACACCGAGCTTGCATCGGAGGCGGCGGACGTGACACGAGCATGACTCAGCACTCCGATCGGGGCAATTCCCGCCATTCCCCCCCACTGCCCCAGGGCCCCCAACTACTGTACCATCGCTCGCACCGCCTGCACCGGCAATGGCCGCGACTGCAATGGTGGAGTTCTCGACGTGGATCTTCAATATCAGCACAAAGAAGCAGGACGGCCGGATTGCCCGGTGGATTAGGGATGGAACAGGGCAGCTCACGGAGGAATCAGTGGAGGAAATCAAGGTTTTGCGACTCGATCAGGAGGTGGAAAAGACGGTTTTGCCTGGTGGAGACGGAGCCGAGACTGGTGGTGGCGACGTGGGTGGTACTCGGGCCATCTCCATTAATCAAGAACGAAAGTTAGGGCATCATCCGAAATCCGGCCCTTCAGAACCCGCCTTCAAGATTCCGCCCTTAGAACTACCGACTCCGATGGTGGCCCCGGTGTACCCTTTGAACCTCCCGTCGGAGAAGATGATCTTCTGGAACCTGGAGGATGCAAATGCCGACAAGCTCTACCTATTTGCCCACATGGCTTGGTGCGAGGAATGTGGTATCATGATCGGAAGCGGATGGAAGGGGAGTGCGAGGAAAGCGAAATGCGACCAGTGCAGGAAACGTGTAAGCCCAACCAAACTCGATAAGCACAAGCTCCTGGTCCATTGTCAAAATCTGCTCCAAAAGCGCATTTCCGGCAAGTTCGCAGACGCATTAAAAAAGCACGCCGGCTTGGTCAACGCGCACGTTGTCGACTACGAGACCACCACATCGAAAGCGCGCGTGCTCTGCTTCTGCTTAGGCCGCTTCTCTGCTCTGGGTTGCCGGGGAAAGGGAGCCCACCACCACCGAGATACCTCGATGCGAGTGTTAGAGTTCCTACTCACAACAACACTCCCATCAACGCACTCCGTACTCGCCGCATTTCGCGACAAATGGGTAGCCCGCGCTGAAATCTCCGCATGCGACTACCTCATCATGGGAGCCGGCACCCAGGTGGACCCTCTCGACCGGCCGTACGTATTGCAGAATGGTCGGCTGCGTTTTCAGGCCCCAGTCATCTTATCCGAGCCTCGTGGCCTAATGGGCAATGGCACGCGCGTATGAATGCATTTCTCGCATAGGATGTGAGGCTTGTCTCCCTTACATGCATGCATGTAGGGGTCGTCTATGTCCCCGGCGACGTGCCCAAACACGCCTTCGGGCGCATCAAAGGGTAAGTACCGCGTGCGTTTGCCAACCGAGCCCCTCTCGAATGTTCTGAAGAGCTTTATCATATATGCAAGGAGATCTGCGGCCGGCTGAAGGCGCAAGTGGGCGCGGGGAGGATCGAGTCGCGTGTGCCGCCAGTCAGGGAAAGCACGACGGGGTTGCGTGCGGGGCTGTACGGCTTGGAGATTGACGGTAAGTTTCCGACGCGTAGTATTTTATTCTCAGGCCGGCTGTGGAAACGTGCTGTACTGGTTTTAGCCCCAAAGCAGAGCAATGGCACTCGCTTATGTAGGAATTTCTAGCTTAGGATGTGAGGCTTCTCTCCCTTATATGCATGTATGTAGGCATTCATTATATACGTATCTCACATTGGTTAATGGCAACGTATGTAGGCATTTAATATATATGTATCTCACATTGGTTGATGGCAACGACGAGGAGGGTTGTGGCGACAGGGACGGGGTTGAATTATGGAGACGACGAGGAGGAGGCGGATGATAGGGAACCGGCTGTACAAAGAGGAAGATGGCGCAAAAACTTTCCAAGCGACTACGAAGCCCAACCCAGAGCACGACAAGATGAACGATCGCAAAAAAAAAATATGAGTGAATGGTTTCGCTCGCTATATGCTGAAGGTTGCGGAGAACGAAAAGAAGGAGAAGGAGAAGAAGAGGAGCAATCTCGACAGGCATCACGGATCACTTCCTGAAGACCAAGAAACGGACAGAGCGAAAGAGATAGGGGGGGATGTGCAATAGCATGTATAGCAGATATTGGAGTGCCCTCATACATTGAGACATTTATCGCCGGGCGGACCACTATCACTTTCGCCGTTGCAGATATTAAGGTCCGGCAAAGTCAGCCGCCATTTGGGCCCTCTGAATGTCCCTTTCGTGCCTGACTCTACTGTAAACATCGCTCCCGAAGCACGGAAGATAAAGGCCCTCCGTTCCCTATTACCCAACGATGCATCCCAACGATGCGCATCCTTCCCAACGATGCATCCCAGCATTGCCACTGAGGTGCTTCGTCGGGTTGGGCTGCTTCTCGAATTCCGACGCTACAATGTCTTTCTCTGCGTACCTTGAACTTGGCGCCAAATGCAAAGTTGTTCGGAAGTTTATCCGAGCCTCGTGGCCTAATGGTCAAGGCGTCTGTCTTCGGAACAGAAGATTGGAAGTTCGAATCTTCCCGGGGTCGCATCAGTTTATTTCTTTTCTTCCATTTTTGTCAGCACACTGCTGACTGTGATATATCAACCTGCAGCAGAGGCAACTTGTGAGTTCAAGTGGCTAGGGGTGTTCTGCCACGACCACGGTCTAAGGATGTATGTACGGTGGGACACATGAGGAAACGGCGTCTTGTCACCTTTTTTTTTTACGAACGAGCCTCATGGTCTTCATCCATCCACAGCGGCATTCCACGCGTACATCCCTCCCACATTACATTGATATCCAGAAAACACCGAAACGGCACTCGGCCGAGTTTGCTTTCGAAAACCAAGGCTTATAGAACGTTTCATTTCATCAAAAAGAGGGATCCCATCGGAGGCTTTACAACGGGGTGGGTATGTACACAAGGGGATCATATATCCGTTTACAGTGCTTTTGTTTTCGAAGGAATCTGTATGTATGTATGTATGTATGTATGTACGGAGGAAGGTCCCACGGGCGTTAGGGATAGGCGCAGCACAGCACGTACGAGCGAGAGATTGGATGTCCCGACGCAGCATCAAGCCGGTCCTGGTGCGCCGCGGTTCGTCGCCGATACCGTGTCGAGGGAAGTGTTGCGGGGGGGTATCTGAACCATCGACCGAGCGGAGGTTTTTTTTTACAAATGAAGGAACCGCAACACCCGTCTCCTGACGCCCATCCGCGCGCGGTTCTTTGCATATCCGCCTGTTCGAACCGACGAAATGAGCACATCAGTGAGCGGATTCGACAGACGAACGACGGGCAGTAAACTGTACTGTACCAGGACTCCGCTTGAACGCCAACACGTTCTGGACTTTCCAGAGGATGCGTTGCAGGCCGTTGACTTTTGATTCTGTTGTCATTTTTTCTTGGGGTGTATATTTGTTTGTTCCTTTGTTCCGTTTCTCTGACTTCCCCGTGAGAGGTTTGGGGCTCGGTGTGTGCTCTGTGGGTTGAGTTGAGGTTGAGTGTGTTTGCGTTTTGGGGTGTCCGTTCGGAGGTGGATGGAGGTTGGTAGGTTTTATACTTCGCTGAAAGGGAGCCGGCGACAGCCAAGGAACGCAAGGAAGGAGGGCTCAGCCACATGGCTTGCGTCGCTTGCGTTGGTGGCGTGTGTCGTCATCGCTGCCAAACTCGAACATCCTTAAGAGTGACGCTGTCGAAACGCGTGACGTACGCGCTGTACGAAAGCGCTTTCCGAAGGTCAAAGTTCGAAGCGGCGCTCAAGGGACAGAAAATAAGGAAGCATTCTGGATGGAAAGCCCATGAAGAAAAAAAAACACGCCGTCAAACCAAAGAATGTAAAGAGCACGACGGAAAGCGGTAACGATCCAGTCTAGAAACATACAAAATGGAAACAGCGGGGCCAAATGGGATACACCAACTACAACAAGGACACTATGCTAACGAAACATTCCAACCCCGTCAACACAACCGCTCTCCTCTATCCTAAGCCCAGACCCCCTCCACACTCCCCAACCAAGGCCTCAACACCCTCATCCACCCATCCAACAACCACGGGATGGCGCGTGTCGCGACGGGGTCTTTCCAGACGGTCGTGCGTTTTCGTCCCTCTGCCCCGTGTTCCAACCCTTGGGGTGTGATTCCCATCGCTTGTTGTTGTGGTGGTGGTGATAAAGGACCGGAAGATGGGGACTGGACATCCCAAAATAATCCGCGAATCTTTTCTTCGACACCCGCGACATCCGGGTCGGTATCATCCACACCGATCTGCGGGACAGGACCCGCACCGATCACTTGGCTGGGTGTGATATCGACCTCGTTCGGTTTGGTCGGTTGGGGATCATCGGAAAGGGAGGTCTCGCTCCCGCCAAGGGACTCGAAACTCGCGATGCTGCGGACGCGTTTCGGGCCGTCGGTCGTACCTTCTCCAGGGATCTGCAACATCCCCGCCTGTCCCACCGGCTCCACCCGTCTCGGTTCGTCTCCTACTAAACCAGTGGGATCCACCCCCGCTTCAGTCCGCCACACATCCCGCACACCGAATGATGCCACCTCCTCCCCCTCATCCTCCTCCTCCTCCTCATCATCATCATCGCCGAAAACATCCGCCAAAGCACTCTTATCGGTCTTTGTCGTCTTCGTCGTTGAGGAAACATCCCCACGGACCCGCTCACGAACCTTCCGCGACCTCTTCTCCTCCCTCCGTCGTTTACGTTGCTTCAATTTCTCCAAATCCTCTTTTAGCGCTTTCATATCCACTTTCTCAGAGGAGGGAGTGGTGGAGGCTGAAGTGAAGATGTCGGCGAACTTCACAACCCCGCCAACCCGTCCCGTGAAAAACCCAGCAAGGACTTCGAACCAGTCGGAAAACGTCACGTCCCTTTTGGGTCCTTTGGTGCGCGGAGTCGCACTTTGTGACTTTGCAACGTCGATGGTAACAGGCGCCAGATGCATCCCCTGCGCGATATTCCGGACATGTGTGAACAGCCGGTGTTCGTGACGCGCGAGGAGGGTTTGGAGGGGGAGTGTTTGCGGGTGCGGTGCGTCGTTCGTGGTCGGACTTGAAGACCCTTCCTCCGTGGCCGATGGTGGGGGAGGAGCCGTTGACGATGTGGGGGTGGAAAATACAGGTTGTGCCGGAGGAGCGGGTTGTTGTGACCGCATCTCATCCAACGTCAATATTAAGTCGTCTATGAACTTCGCTGCGTCTCGTACAATGCTCGCCGGGTCCGATGCCTTCATAAAAAGACGACGTCATCAGTCCACTTACCCCACACACACCCGCACCCACCCAAAGGCCAAAAACCCACCTTGTAAACCCCACTCAGCGGCCCATACAGTATGTTTAGGACACAGCGCGCAAACTCCACCGTCGCTTCATCTGCTACCACTGCTCGGAGCTGGTAGTATCGTCTCATGCTCCACAACAACTCCAACAGTTTTTCAACTGCTAGTCGGTGCGGGTGCGTCGGCGGGAGGGAGGCGTGGGGACCTAGGACTTGCGGTGTTTGGTCTTTGAAAATTATGTGATTTAGTGGAGGTGGGGGAATGGTGTATTGAGATGGGAAGGGGGGATGATACAAACCTTCGGAGTAACCACCCTGGGGAGCGTTATCGACGACATGCGTTCCCCGCGCGATGGTATCAGGGTCGAGGAATGATTTGACGTATGTGAGTTCCTTCTGAGCGATGGCCAGTTCGTCGTCTATGTTTGATATTATCACGCTGAGTCAAAAAACAACAGGAGTGCTCAAGTTAGATATCCGTGCAGCCCCTCCTAAGGAAGGAGAAGTAAAACCAACCTCTGAAGTATACACCACCCTCCGAACGGCCTCACCAGCACCACATTCCCGACGGCTTTGACAACAGCAACCGCATTCGTCCCCCTCAACACCGCCGCCCAACTCCTATACGGCGCGCCTTTATGAAAATGCCTCAGTCGTCTAAAATGCTCATCCGCGCGATCGTGCGCGACGAAGGTGCGGTAGATTGATGCCGAGGCGCAGAGTTTCCACCAGGTTATGGTGGTGCGGATGTGAGGGGGTAGGTCGGTTGTTTCTTGCGCTGTGGAGATTGTGGTGAGGAGGGTGGGGAGACCACGGGGGGCGAGGAGGAGGGTTTGGAGGTGGGAGAGGGCGGAGAGGATCTCGTTGGCACGTTGTTCTGTTTGGGTGTGGGTTGTGGGAGGGAGGGGGAGGGGGTCGGATTGGTTGAGGAAGTCACGGAGGATGGATGTGGGTACTTTTGCAGCCGCATTCAAGTATTCCGTGTATTTTTGTTTCAACTGGTCCCATGTTTCCGGGGTGACTCGTGAGTAAGGTGGGGTAGGAGGTGTGGGTAGGGCGGGTACCGAGATGTTGGGGCGACGGATGAGTTCCTTGTGGAGGTGTTTGAATGAGGCGTAGTCGCGGTGGGCGGTGCGGGTGCGGGTCTTGTTGAGGGTGGAGGTGAGGGTGAGGGTAAAGGATTCGGAGGTGCGGAAGAGGTGTTTTGTGGTTGTGGGGGTGAGGGTGGTGGCGTGGATGGACGTGAAGTGCGGGTCGCTTGCGGAGGGTTCTTGGGTGTCGGTTGTGAGAGACGTGCGGCTTTTGGTTTTGGGAGCTGAACCCTCTTCGACGGGAACGTCTAGCTTTTCGGCCTCCTCCACATCGGTCCTAACCGCTTTACCCAACATCGCCGCCAATGTATCCAACAACGTATTCGCAATCATATCCCGTTTCGCCATATGCGCTTTTGTGCCGCCGGAGTCGACACGGGAAAGTATGATACCCAGGAATGTGCCAATCGTACGCCACGCGCCTTCAGCGCCGCCGTCTGCGGCTGCGAGAGGAGGGAATGTTAAGAGGAGGGTGCGGAAGAGCGGGGCGAGGAGGGGGAAGCGTGTGTCGGTGTCGGGGGAGTCGAGAAGGACGGCGATGGTGAGTGGGTCGGAGAGGATGTCGGAGATTTCGATGCGGAGGCGGCGGGCGAGGAGTTCCTTTTTGAGCACTAGGGAAGGGAGTAAGGGGGGTGCGTTAGACAAGTGCGTGTATGTGAAAAAGGGTATGGACGAGAAGGACAATTCGTTCTCTTCAACGGCTGGCGAAGACAATAAGTTGGTAGGAGGATCGGAAGCGTTCGTGCGACACTTCACAAACGCGAATCCCATCTTCCTGACGGCCACCAGCAACAGCGAACCTGGGCCTCAATCACTCATCTCCCCCGGCAGTCCCCTTCAATCCTAAACCGCCAAACCCCCTCGTTTTCTCCACAAACACACTCACAGTGAACTTCCTCGACAGACAACGTTACTTCCGCGGCCTTCTCATTGAGGGCTTGCGGGGCGGCCACCGATGCGATGTGCGTTGACATGACTTTCGTGGGCGACGTCAGTGAGGCCTACGAGCGGAATCTTTTTCCGATTGGAGTTGTGAAAATTGAATACTGGCGGTAACTACTGGAATGGGTATATCTGTCGCAGCGTCGGTCCAATAGAGTATTGTACAGTATATGCGGTTGCTGCTGTGTTTACGCCGCGTGATGTTGCTGCTTGCCAAGTGGCGATGGTTCCGACTGTCTGGAAGGTTGCCTGGCAATGGGGAGAACATTCCACAATCGAACTTCCAACTGAATATCGCAGCCATGATGTCACCCCCGGCTCAGTCATTGAATTATCATCCATCATCGGGGCTGTTGGAGATCACTCAGGTGACTTGAATATTCCAACACGCGCATCACGTAATCATCGGGCTCTCGCCTTTCTGACTGGCTCCCCGCGCAGCGATCCTGAAACAATTCAATTTTCATCCCCCCCCGTCTTTCCCAACAAAGACGCCCCCCTTCCACCCTCCTGTATGTTCAAGTCGCACCAGCCGTCCCAGCTTGTATAGTCATGATTTTAGCTTTTCCGGGCACTCGCACAAGCCGGCAGTTCTCGCTCGTGCATTTGAAACGCAGGCAAATCACCCCCTGCAGGGAGGAGGACATTGGCGTGTTTCAGAGGGGGTGGGTGTCTATGACAGACAGGATGGGGGGGGGGGGGGGAATAACTGATTGGACGCACAAGCGCAGAGTGAAAAAGTCTGCAAGCGGTGCAAAAAGGCACAGCAAGCGAGCAACCAACCAGTTGAAACTCAGACGCCAGACGGGGGGGGAGGGGGGGTTTGGGATACCACCGCCAGTGTGAGACATAGTATAGTAGTAGTAGCAGTAGTAGGATAGTATCTCGCTCAGGCAAAAGAGCGAAAAGGCCGTAGTAATGGGAGGCAGCGTGGGAGAAACCTCCCTGGCTCAGCACCCGCCGGCCTCGTTCGGGAAGAGGTTTTGGCGTCCTCTCGCACCCCTCCCCTCCCCACCCGCAACTACTCTTGTCGCCGCCCGCACAGCACAGCACGCTGTCCCCGTCCAGCTGAGCTTCCCTTAGTTGACTCCCATTCGCATAAACTTCCCACTCTCACACCAACGACGACACTCGCCATAGTACGATCTATCTGAGTAGTGGTCCCACGTCCGCATAGTCCAGTAGAAGGGCACGCACGGTCCAGCAAGCGTCCACCAACCATGTCGTCCACCGCCGCCGCTACCGCCGCAAGTAGTGATACCCCTGCTGGTGCTGCTGCTACGGGATGCTTCCAGCTTACAGGGTCAACCGCTTGTCCGGATTTAAGTGGGATGTGTAAGTATGAGATACCGAGGTGGGATTGGTCGTGGGAAGACGGCGAGCGCGGGGGATCCAATGCGCTTGTGGATGCGCTTGCGAGGGGCGATTGTAGGGAGAGAAGCAAGGTCTAGGGGATGCCTGAGGGCTAACGCAGTGAAGTTGCGAGCGGAGGGTGTTTCGCGCAGGCGCACGAGACCTGGGAGCGCGCAGCGAACGGTCGTTTTCACTGTGGGAGTTGGGAGTTGGGAGGGTCGTGGGAAGGTGCTGTGTGTCGATTCAGGGGGCCTGGCAAAATGGACATCTGGACACCCATCGCTCAATGACTATCTCTTTCTCTTTACAGATGTCGCACCACTACGGAACGGGTTCAACGATGTGGCCACATTCGACAAGTACATCGTCAGCAATACGAAGCCCTCGCCGGACTACATCTCCACCTTCAGATCCGCATTCTCCTGCCCAGCGTTCGACGGTACGGGCCAACGCTACGCCACATCCGTGCAATGCTTCTTCTTTGTCGCCAAATCCGGATGCGCCGAGAACCCGAACCCGCTCCCCGCCTCCGACACCCTCTGCCAAGCCCCATGCCAGCAGAACGTCGCGGCCAACCGAGCCATCCTCTCCAACACCACCCTCTGCACCTCCAACCCCGCCGCCGCCGCCGGCACCAACCGGAAAGACCTCACGGCCATCGAATCCTTCTGCTCCACCCTCCCCACCACATCCAAATGCTCCAAAGGCCTCCGCGCCGAATTCGCTACCTGCGGATTCGCAACCCCGCTCGAAGCCCAACGCTACTGCTCCACCCAAACTGGGAAAGCCGACCCTTGCTGCATCATGGTCGCCTCCACCGCAGCCATGTCCGCCGGCGACCCGGGCTCTTTAGTCGACCCCATCAGCGCCACCCCTTACATCGCCTCAGGCCTCGCACTCGGCGGAATGCTCCTGGGAGCCACTCTCTTCTTCTTCTACGTCAAAGTCCGCCGCTGGAGAAGTGTCACAACCACCGCGATCCAACCAGGCGAGAACGAAATCAAGCCGGGCACGACGCTCGGACGTACGGGTACGGTCGTCCGTGGCCGCATGGACGCCGAAGACGGCCCTTCCTCCTCCCGGGGAAGGTTCATGAACACTGTCCGGAAATCCTTCCTCGGGCCCGCCCGCTCGACTACAATCTCCCCCGCCGCACCCGGATCAGGACCAAAACAACAGTCACTGAACCGTCCACCGCTTCAGTCCCTGAACCGCCAACCGCCTATGTCCATGTACTCCGACTTCAACCCCTCCTCCTCCAACAACAATGGAACGTATCAACGCAATTCCCCCACACCCCCCATGCCAGCCATCCCACCCCGTGTACGTAACGCACCCCCGGAATTCTCGCTCCCGGTCCTCCCAACCCAACCGGCCATGATGGAAACCTTCGAGAACCGCGCACCCTCCATCCTGCCCCTCGCACAAACAATGACGGTAGTCCAGACTTACGAAGCACAAATGGGCGATGAACTAACGTTGAATATTGGGGATGTTGTTAGCGTGGATGAGGAGTTTGATGATGGTACGTCTTATATATCATATCCCCTTCCCCCTGTCTTGCCCCCCTCTAACACCTATCTATTTATATCATTAGGCTGGGCAGTCGGAACAAACCACACAACCTCCACCATCGGCGCATTCCCACTCTCCTGTCTCGAGCCGGCCTCCCCGCAGCCCTACCCGGGTGACAACAGCGATGAAATGGATCCGAGTGTGCGCGCATCGGAGTTCTTCTCGGCGTACGCGAGGCGAAGTATGCGGGATGGAAGTGGGGTTGTGAGGGAGCGCGGGGTTAGTTTGGTTGGGATGCCTAGGGGGAGGTAGATATCTTTGAGGACACGGCGTAATTGGGGACGTCGGCCCGTGACATTCCTATCATGAAGCAGACATATCCACCCACCGCATCATCATACATTTGTACATTCTTCTTCGACACCCCATGATCTGAACATCAACCACCATCTGTACATTTCTTCATCTGTCCCAACAAATCTTTCTGTAACCACTTGTATATAGACAGAACAACATATAAACATGAACTTTTTTCAAGCTTTGTCGCGAATGTGTTTGAGGCTTTTTCGGGTGTGAGTTATCGGTTTGTGTTGTTGTTGTTGGAGGCGGTTACGAGAGAGAAGACAGGCAGCCACCCATGGGGGCACTTGGAAGTTTTCCGACAGCACCAAGGCTCGAAGCTGACCTCTCAGAAAGAATCGGAAGGTGAGCTTGGATGTCCGAAAAACCGTGAGTTGTACACGGACCGGGGGGGGAGGGGGGGGGGGGGGGCGGGGCAAGACTGAGCGGAAGAGCAGGAGGGGAGGGTTCGATATGTCTCCTCGCAAATGAATGGAAACGATGGAAAGGAAGGAGCTGCGACAAGGTACAGTACACTGCGTATCCCGTCTACAGCCACACACACCCATCCAAACACCATCTCTCCATGTCCAGAAGGCCATCGTCAGCAGGAAATGTCCGTGCGTGCCGCGTATTGGAGTTAACCAGGTTCAGTGGGACGATCGTTTCGGACACTCATCAATGTCCGAAAACGCGAACCTGACGCGTGAACAAAGACATGGGCCCTTTTCCCGTGTTTTTTTCTCATCTCCCTGTGCCACGCACGCATTCACCAACCATGTCAGTTGTGTGTCCACGCTTTGTCAAGTGACCGGGCGTAATCTAGAACCTGATATATACCCAGCATTCGTCAAGCAGCATTTCGGACGCTGGTCCAAACTGCGAAAGTTTCGGCTGCTGATTCACCGAATGGGGGAAGGGGTCCGATACACTCATAAACGCATTAAGAACAACCCCCTGCTCATCCGCCTTCACCCTGGGCGCGTATCGTTTGGTTACTTGTCCCAGCTATCTGTCCGAAAACGCGAAACTGACGCGTAAAGGACGGTGGGTGTGGGCAGATAGAAGAGGGCCCCCCTTCCCCCACCCCCCCCCCCCCCCCCCACACACACACACACACACGCACGGTATGTTCTTCACAGTGGTCTGGTGGACTCTGCCTGTGGTGCGCCCCGATCGCTTCGTAAAATCGATATTTCCGATCCGTAAAATAAATACCATCGGCCACTTCGGGAACTTTACCGCAGCGAACTTAGGGCATGTGTTCCCACAAGCTTGTAGCCCCCGAACACGCGAAACTGACGCGTGATAGTCGGGCTGCCTCCTCCTTTCGCCCTTCCCTTCCCTCCTCATTTCCACAGGGTATTGTAATAACACACCGCCACGGAAATTCCACTCATCAACACCGATACTGCATCTGTAAGTCCGTCCAAAAAGCGTGAGTAAACCGCTCGTGATTATCCCCGCTTTTGAAATAGTTCGTGACATTATTGACGCTGTTGAAGACCTAATGCAACCACGGTCTCAGACTAGTCTCGCTCTGATGCCTCAAATGTATATGACAAACTGTGTGTGTGCGCCGCATATCGTAATTAGGGAAGGAGAACCTTGTCCGAAAACGCGAACCTGACGCGTAGATATTTGTTCGGACCACCCCCTCTCGCCTCCCCGCCTGTCCTTCTCCCCACCCCCTATCCTTCAAGTTGATGTAAGCAATCCGTTACGGGTATCTCATTCGTCATCACATCTGTACATGTAACTCCATGGTGAAAGACCCCTTTGTCCGAAACGGAATGCGTACCACGGAGAATTCAACTCCGAGACGGCTCTTCCGGCAAGATAGGACTGGGTGCGTCCCGACTCCGAGACCCCAACTCGCTGTAAAGAACAAGATGGTGCGAGTCCCCTGCAGCAGCAGTGCATGTCAGATGTACATCCCCCAAATCCAGTGAATGAGTCGGGTCGTGCGTTGGAAGATTTGTATGCGTTTAAAGAATGATTGCAGGAACAGAGTGCAGAAAAAATATGGTCTAACCCCTAAGGGTCGCCTCGAAACAGAAAGTTCACTTTTTTCCATCCGTTTTGCGGCCCCTGAAAAGAAGCAATAGCCGGCACACGTAAGATGCAATAGCCCGTCGCAGCCGGCAGTTTCTTTCGCCGTCCTTTCTTGTACCTCTCTCTCCCAAACCTGATATCAATGGAAGCCGCCGGAGGAGCCGAGGGTTGCAAAGACTTTTCACCGTTTGAAAAATGGGTGTGACCGCCATACCTCCTGAGGTCTTTGAGGCAGGCAACCTGACAGGCAACCTGACAGGAGACGACAGGAGTGCAGTCGTCTTAGGCCATCTGAGGGACACCACGTGACACGCACCTATTCCACCCCCATGTTTTGAGTAGTTTGGAGTGATCTCTCGACCTTTTTGGCGTACCTGATGTGGTCAACCGGCGCATCAGCTCTAGACGGCGGCAAATAGTCATAGACATAGATAGCTCTGAGGTTGGAAGGCTCCCGTTCTTTTGGTCACAAGGATAGCTTATAGCGTCTATGAGCCATACAGACATCAGCAGAGCTTGGGAGTAGTTGCGGCTAAATTGGAATGAGCTCAACCTCCATCATTGTGCACCCCATGCATCCGTTTCTTCCGATAATGTGCCCAACACAATTGGGAACTTTGTCCGAAAACGCGAAACTGACGCGTGGATGGGCTTAGTCAGCGCAGTACGTTTGCCGGACGACCATACGTCATGTTTTTCGCAGAATGGGTCAAAGGTGGAGAGGGCACGGGCAGAAGATCTGGAAGGGGGGAGGGGGGCGGACAATCCGCACCAGCGGTACCGATGTCTCGACACTCCCCACTTTCACGTCCAAAGCTCGCGCTGTCGGGGGTAAAACAGGGAGTGCATAACCCTTAAGGGGGTGTTAGCACACAGATGATAAAAAACGATAACCCATCCGTCTGCGTTCCTGTACGAAATTTGGGAAGGCCCCACCGTACGGAACTTGAGTCGGGAACGCCTCTTCGAGCGTGTCGGAAGACGCCACAATCTGGGTTGGGTTGGTCAGTTCCGTCCTGCTTTCGCCTTCACTTTCCCTTCCTGCTGCCCGGCCCCTTTCTCTCACACCACCCTCTGATAAGTGCGCCACGGAGAACCTTCACTCTCACTACGAAAATCGTGTACCGCGCATATATCAAGCAAACCATGTAGTCCGAAACGCCGAAACAGACGCGTCCGTGTGCTGAACGGGTGTTTGTACAAGAGGCAGAGGGGAGGAAGCCCGGCTGTTCATTCACCTTGACGGTATCCGGGACAGTTAAGAATTATGCACTCATGCCACGACTACCCAGTCCCATAGGCCCTTCCACTTCTTGCTTTTCCCAAGAGGTTCGCCCAAAACGCAAAACTGACGAGTGAAAGGGGGCCTCCTTCACATTTTACCATCACCCCTTTCCCCTGTTCACCCCTTGCACTATGCGCCACTATCCATACGGGAACTGGCAAATGCGGTGTGCATTTGAGGGAAAGCAGGAAATCCCCTTCCCCAAGACGTGAACCTGACACGTACGTCAATGGGACTACTTTGGAGTCCGTGGGGTTTTCGAGACAGCCGCTCTCCGCCGAGTGTAAACCACCAAAGGTCGGCTGACAATATTTACAAAGCACGGGCACTGCCCGGGCCAGTCAGAAATGGGAGGATTCACTCATGAACGGCAATGTAACCTCGTTTTCCGGTGGGTGATCGAGGACCTGACCCCGTCTGGTTACTTCGAACTATTGTCCGAAAACGCGAAAGTGACGCGTCCAAGAGAATGGTTGGGAAAACACAAGAAGGTCGCTCCCTGCCGCTGTGTGCGAGAAGTTCGCTCGGGTCATTAACATCTTGGGCCCCACCCAGGCCCGTCACGATGTGGATGATCCACCTATGAGCAGACTGCGATTCCCACTGCTCCACCCCTTTTGCTTTCATCGGGGGCTGGGCATGTGTGTTGTCCGAAAATGCGAAACTGACTCGCTTTCTGAGCGCGAGCGGTATGGCGTATTCCGGATGGTGTGGGTATATATATATATATATAGATAGTTGCTAACTACGTACGCTACCCGTGTTTGCTATCCACGCTACCTTTAAGCACACATACTTTAATTGTTAAGTGGATGGAAACTATAACTTGCAGCCCCAGTTAGGGTTAGGGTTAGGATTAGGGTTAGTAACACCCAGCCCTAACCGGCCGAAGGCCGCCCCAAGCGGAGCGTGTTGTTATGGTAGGTTAGTTACCCAAAAAGTCACCAAGTCTATGTCGCTTATTATAGTGTGAAGTGGAGGGTAGCGCGGTTAGCAAATTCCGTTAGCAACTCCCTATATATATGTACATATATATGTGTCTCACACATGTAAGGAGGACAGTGGGAACTATGCGGTAACGAAAGAAGTTGGTCGCTTGGGCAAGCGGATCCTCAGATCCGCGTAGAAAGGCCTGTGCGTCTCTCAACAGAAAGTGTCTATAACCATCCAAGATCGAAATCTAGGAGCCGACGCGTTCGTTCGCGGGCTTACATGGGCTTTTCGTACATTTGCCATCAAGCACCTCTCCCAACACGTCCCACACCACACACCGTGCGATCCACATAACCAGGTTGCGAAATCCCGGCGGATCAACTCATCTGAAAACGCGAAACTGACGCGTACATCCAACGGCCTGATTACACGTAGGCTGCTCTCTCTCCTGCTGCCAATCAAACAGTCCGCATTCTCGTATGAGCGAGTGAATATGTATGTGTCCCGTACGCCTCCATTGAGTCATGAGGAAATTTGCGACCGCCCGGTCGGCTGCCCCAACTGTCGTCCGAAAACGCGAAACTGACGTGTAAATCGGTATGATCTTTCAGCCCTAGCCTGTCGGTTCACGGGCGGGTCACAATCGGCGTGTGTATATGTACATCTATATTCAAAAATAAAGTGCGATAACGGCCGGGCAAGCCAGTTAGCACATCCCACCCGTGCAGATGTAGTCTATGCCTGAAAACGCGAAACTGACGCGTCAACAATACTGTGGTATTTGAACCGCCCTGTGCAATATAGGAGTTGACTCGCCTATGCCCTGTGGGCCAGCCGTAAATACTCTTTCCACTCAAACCTTCCGCCTCCGGCCGCGCTTCCCCGCTCCCAGCAGGTCGACGAGATGTGTTTTCCCGAACTGTTGTCCGAAAACGCAAAACTGGCGCGTTCTGTACATGTACATTTCTGGCGTCTTTCGCACGGCGTAGGTGGTAATGTCTTGATTCCGCTGCTGGGCAGTGGGCAGATAACAAAACGCACAATGTACAGAGGCCCTCGTTGAGTTTGCACCCCGAGCACATTGTCAAAAAGTCTTACACACCTAAACAAAGGGCTTGCGGTCAGGGCATGGATCGGCCCCACTAACGTGTTTACGAGGGGTGGTATCACTCTGCCCCGGTGAGCTGCCAATTCACTGCGGCTTTTAGTTGGAGCAGTCCTCAATTTTGAATCTCCCTCTCCACATTTCAACTTCTGTCAGAAAACGCGAAACTGACGCGGTCAGCCTGTGTGCGTCTTTAGGCTGACTGGTCAGCCTTGTGTGCATCTTTAGGCTGACTGCGTCCGCCGGAGTTTGCATGCGTTGGCTGTAGGTCGGCCGGAGGAAAAGGAGCTTCACTGTCATCTGCCAGCAGAATGTCCGAACACAACATCTCCGCCTGTCCGAAAACGCGAAACCAACGCGTCGCCCGATGAAGCTGAGAAACCCGCCAGAAAGAAAATTACCCGCCGGCCAAAGGAGAGACAACCGGGTGCCTTCCTTGCTCCTCTGCTGCCCTTCACGCCCTTTCCCAACGGAAGCGCAAGACTGGATGCGTTCGTTGAGGCGTAAGTCTCGGCTCCAGATCAAACGCTTCTTGTCCGAACAACCCGACACTGGCGCTTGGTCTGCGGGCATTTTTCAACGCGCCTGTGAAGCGGGGTGAACCGTTCCACACCACTTCTCCAGTTGCTCAATCCGTATGAAGTCCGATTTACGGACTTACTCACTTGGCGTTGCATACAGTCTGTCCAGTTAAAGCGTCATCGAATATAACGGGAGTGCTCTGACGGTTGACGTTTTTGGTTCCCGCCTGTCCGAAACGGCAAAAACGCGAAACCGACGCGTCCTTGGAGAAACTCGGACATCGTTCATGCTTTCCGTCCGAAGGCACCGTAACGGAAAAAGACAGAGGAAGGGCCACGGAACTTGTTGTGGGCACATACGGGGTGGTTCTTGTCACAGAATGTGAGAAAGTTGCGCGATTCCCGCGCCCATAACTTTGGTCAGTCCATTCGATCCGCTGTCCAGAACCTCCAAGACGCGAAACTGACGAGTCGGATGGAACCCGCTCATGCGTTTCCAGCGAAGGATCGACAAGGACGATATGGCAAAGGGAAGGGCCGGTGTAGTGAGCGTGTCCAGGGTCAAGTGACGGGACAACCCACCGATCATCCTCCAACTCGAACGCGAGACTGACGCGTCTCTCCCAGCCTCGGTCCGCTATTGTGAATTTGTGAGAAGTCCAAAGAACGCGAATCGGACGCGCTCGGAAGAGGGGATTCGTTTTGCGGTACGCAACAGACTGTGGGGAGGTGTCCAAAGCCAGGAATAAGAAAGCGAAGGGGCCAGCTTCTTGCCAGATTCTTGCCAGTCAGTGTATGTATGAGGAACGGGAGGCTTCGAACAGGGAATTCCTCAAAGGGATTGTAGTTGAGGGATGTGATAATCACTGGTGCATCAAGCGTGAGTGGCAGATGCTCCTCGAAGAAGGTACAGATGATGTTCCCGCCCCAACTGTAGTTGTGCACCGTCGGGGCCGGCGACGCCTGAGCACGCTGCCATGCCTGAAGTCCGAGGGACAACGCGATGAACGGGCCGCAGATGGACCTGTGGACCGACGAGGCCCGGAAATGCGAGCATCCATCGTCGTCCATACATAATCCCGACCCACCGCCAACGCGTGGGGCGGGGTGCAACGGCCGACGAAGTAGCATCTGTTCCGTCGTCTCCGCATCTCCACTTCCAAAAGAACCATCCAAATCTCGCCAAAGTAAGTCATATATCAAAAAAAAAAGAAAAGTGGTATGTATATCACAAAAACCCCCAACTTGGTATAAATCAACCCAAAAAAAAAGAAGGGAATATCCAAAATCCGGCTTGCGCATCTGTTGCTAGTTTAATTGCCCACACTCCCCCCCCCCTCCCCCCCCCCCCCCCCGGTCCCTTTCAAGACTCCAAAACCGCCGATTTACTCGGACTCATCCCCCTCCCTCCCGCCCCCCCGGCCTCATCCCCCAACCCCTCGCGACTCCTCCCCTTCTCCTTCGAGACGTCTTCGCGGGATTTGATCTTTTTCTCTTCCGTGGCGCGCCGTTTGAGGCCGCTGAAGGCCGCGAGGAGGGATGAGGAGGCTGTGCGTGATTTTTTGCCTGGGACAAAGGGGTGTTAGGGATGTGTGTGAACGAGACACGGGTTATGGCGGGGGTTATGGCCATACCTCCTTCGTTATCCGCCAGACTTTCCGCGGAAGAATTAAGGGCCGTCGTTGAGCGTCTCGTCGCCACTGTGTGAAAAAAAAAGGGAAACAAGCCAATCAATCCCCACATTTTTTGAGTCAACCCCCCCCCCCCCCCCCCCCCCAAAAAAAAACATATACAAGCCACACATACCATCCAGACTCTCCCTCGTACTCTTACTCCGTCCCAACTTCTTCCCTTTCTTCTTCTTTGCGTCCTTCTCCTTCTCCTTCTCCATCTCCTCTCCCGGAGTCACATTACTCCCACCGCTCTTCCCCCTCCCGGTCTCCGCAGGGTCCGCCTCCGCCCGCTTGTGGGTACTCCCAGCGCCGTCGGTGGTATGATCCGGCACGCTCGCGCGTCTCGCCAGCACGCCTCCCAGGGACGTAAACACGCTCCCCCTGCGCGGCGGCGGTTGTTCCCCCGGCAGCTCCGCCGGGTTCTCGCCCGACGGCGTCGGCGGCTCGGACATCAAGCCCGTGGACGGACGATGCACGACGGGACTCGCCGCGGCGCTGCTCCGGTCGTCGTTCGCGTTCACGGTCCCGCGTTTGCTGGATTTGGACGCGGTGGCGCTGGACGAGGAGGCCGTGGCGTAGTCGCGCAGGATCTCGTCCATCATCGCGTTGCGGGTGCGGTGGTGCGGTTTTTGGAATTTGGGCGCTTTGTACGAGGCGTTTTCGCCGTTTATCACTATCATTAACAAAAAAAGGCGCTGTTGAGTTACCCCCGCCCCCTTCACGGTCACCTGGCACCACTGTGACTACCCCGTTGAACTCACTCTTCCCCAACAGAAAATCCCTCATCTCCGCCTCATCCCAAAACACGGGCGGGGTGGGCAACGGCGGGCCGTAGGGCGGGACGTCGACGTTGGAGGCGAGCACGACGCGGTAGCCGATCTTGCCGGGGCGTGTGTGCCGGTCTTCCTGCACGGCGATGAAGATGTGCAGGAACTGCGATTTGATGGATTTGGGGTCGAAGGGCGTGTCGCCGTCTATGAATATGATTGCTACGATATCTGAAAAAAAAAAACGTCACGCGGATTAGTATATTTTACCATGTATGATTATAAGACAACATGATTTGATTCGTTTTCATTTTTGTTTTTTACCATTCCCAATATGCCTCTTCCGCTGAATCTGCTGGCGATCCTCCTTCTTATACGGCAGGAACGTCGACACGTGGTACATGACCTCAAAGTGTCTCCATTTGGTGTACAGCGACCATTTGCCCGTCTGGCCGTGCTTGGTGTCCAGACCCGCGGAGTAGCCCGTCCATGTGGAGAGATCGATTTTGTCGCCGATGCGTGTGAGGAAGCGGTCGAAGGCGGGGGAGCCTGTTTCTGTGGGGGGGAGGGTTGAGGTGTTATATTGCGGGTGGGTGGGTGGCGATGGGGATGAATTCAGGGGGTGGAGGGATGTGATAGTAGGAAGCGAAAGGCCGGCGCTTACCATTCCCGAAAAACTCCTCCTCAGTCGTCTGTCCCGCCTTACAATACAGCACGCCAAACTTATACCTCGTAACCGTCTCCAAAAAAAAAGGTCATCAATCCCCATCCTCCCCCGCCCTGTTCTCAAATCCCAAGACCTACCAACAACTCATCCAGCGCAACCAACCGCCTCTCAAACCCCTCGCCCGCAACCTTCCTCAACTTCCCCGGCTGTATATCCCTATGCAGCATCTGCAGCGCCGCCTTCACATCATGTTTCGGGTTCTGACGGAGCACGGAGGAGGCGGTTACCCGCGCGGCGTCGATGACTGCGCGGAGGGGTTGGGCCTACATCAAATGGATATCATTGTTCAGAGAGTCGGTAGACGGGGGGGAGGGGGAACTATGAGAACGTTACGTCTTTGGTCCGCATGATAGCCCAGAACTCTGCACCCTGGTCTTTCTCCCCGCCCTGGCCGCCACCCATGCTACCCCCGACGACGGCGGGCGGGCTCTGTGAATACGGCACGTCGGCTTTCTGAGACCCGGGCTTGTACATCAACGAAATGATGACGGGGCCGAGTTTGGGCATATCGCCTATGTAGTTTCGATGTTCTGTCCAAATCACAAACGAAACAATAGACTTGTCAATCAACAACCGACAGACAGAAAGATAATCGGGTTTGGTATGACGTACCATTCCCAAGAAAATGCCGCCGATAGTACCCTGCATCCTCATCCACATACTCCAATTTATAACTTCCGTACGAGGGGTCTCCCTCCGCCGTAGTCGTGTCGGCAATGGTTCCGGTGGTGCTCCGCAGCCCATTGTCGGGCCCGATGGCTTCGAGGCGGAAACCATCTGCCGTTTTTATTATCAGCTGAAGAAGAAAAAAAAAGCGAGAGGTCAATAAGTGTGGTGTGGTGCGAGGCGGGCGAAAGGGGGACACGCAGACATACCTTCCCCTGAGCCTCCACATAACTACTAACAACCTTATCGGCCTCATGCACGGTCTGCAAGATCGCCTCCCTCAGCTCCCTCACCCCCTTCCACCCGCCCTCCTCAGCGCCCGCAATCTCGCGTTCCGCCTCGCGCTCCTTCGCAGTCAACTTGACAGCCGCGGCCCTCAGGCCACCCACAGGGACCAGACAATTCGCAATCTCCATCAGCTTCCGTATCGACTCCATGATGCCTCTGAACACCGTCAACGCGATGTTGGTTTGGTTTTTCCGCGCGTTGAGGTCGGATGTGGACGCGGCGGTGGTGGGACGGCGGGCCCCCTGGGACGGCGGGGGAGGCAGACGGTTGAAGTTCTCGTAGATCTGGATAAGGTCGAACCCCTGTGTGGAGACGATGTTGGCGAGGTCGGAGAGGAGGGTGGTTGATTTCGTCGAGGAGACACGATGTACCGAGTCGGGGATTTCCGCGCTTCTCACACTCGCATGCTACCAAGAAAAAGGAAAGAAAAAAAAAACAGAAAGACCCCAGGTTTTTCAGTATATCATGCCGGGGGCGAAACAACGCCAGACAACCAAACACCGCAGTATGATGTTTTTCCCACCCACGTACCCGCTTCTTCTTGGGGCCCAGCGTATCCAAGCTCAACGACAAACTCCTCCCCTTCCCAATCCCGCCCTCCCCCGTCCCTTTACCGGCGTCCAAATCATCCAACGCAGATACATTCAACCTGATCAAGGACTGTATACTCGAGTCCGGGCTACTCGTTCTCCGAGCCGCCTGCGATGCAGCTACACCTGGGGCTGTGCGGCGGAGATTTTGCGTGGATCTTGTGGCGGGGTGGGGCGATGGGGTGTCGTCGGAGGATGAGTAGCCCACCGAGTGATTCGAGTGGGAGAAAGACGAGTCGGTGGAGAAACGGCGCGGGGAGGTTGGGGGGATGCGGTCCATGCTGATTGTGCGGGAGGAGTGCGGTTTGGAGGAGCCGCGTCTTTTGGAGCGGGGGTCGGTGGGTGATGGGCCTGATGACGAATTGGCGGCCTCATCTCGTGCTGCAAACGTCCGCGATTCTCAATAAAAGCGCCATTAAAGTCCCCGCGAGACAAAAAGTCCCCAAAAAGCCTACCTAAAAGCCCCTTACTCCCCCCCTCCCCGGTCTTGATCCCCCCCGCCCTCGGATACAACGGCGCCGACATCGGCGGCTTCCCTCCCTGCGCCGTAGTGGAATTCGAATTCAGCAACAATCGGCCCGGCGGCGGCGTCTTCCGTCCCGCTCCCGCGCCGCTATCCGCGTAGGCCCGCGATGATGGGGAGGCCAGGGTGCTACCTAGATTGTGTCAATTACACCAACTATATCTCATAAGTATGATACACAGCGCACTCACTTGAGGTTAACGGCGACGTATTCGGACTCGATTCGGAGAACACGTTTCGTAAATTGGGTCGGTGGGCGTACTCTGACGCACTGCGTTGGTGTGCATCGGAACCGGCGGTGGTGGTGGTGTAGGTTGAGGAGAAGCCGGAGAGGGAGCCGAAGGTTTTGTCGTCGGAGTTGCGGCGTCCGGTGGGGGTGGTGAGTTGCGGGGTTTTGGGGAGATGGGCGGTGCAGTAGACGGAGCCGTTGTGGGAGGCGTAGTTTGCTATCTGTTGAGGATTATTCATCGTCAGACATCAGCCATCCATCATCAACCGTCAACCACGATGTGCGTTGATGTTCCGAAGCCGTTCGCTCTGGGCCGGCCGGCCACATCGCTCGTGTGTTGCATTGGCTCCAGCCCCCGGGTCGCCCCCCTCTCGCCCCCGCTCGCCGCAGACAACCACCATGGTTCGCTCCGCTCGCGGTCAACCTGTCCCACCCCCCGATGTCTGCCATCCCCACCTCTCAGCCAATCCAATTCCCCCACTCTCATCGTCCACCGCTCGATCCCCTTCCCAAACACGCAACATCCCAACATACCGACAGAGTCCGATTACACTGCGCACATTTCAAGCACTAAAAAACCGAGAAAAATGCGAACATCAAGTCAGTCGATCACCGGGGCCCCCCCTCATCGAAAACTTCCCATCCCCAAAACGGGAACGAGACATCCAAAACCCACCCCTTTATGGTAAAACTTGAATTGCGCCACCACAGCCTCCATCGCATACCTAACGCCCCCCCAACATCAAACATGGCATAAGTAACCTCATACATCAAACAGAAGCCCAAGCAGAGAGAGGGAAATATGGGTCCTCGCTTCCATCCCCAATACATACACAGGCCTTAGACAAACACAACACGTCCCGTTGCGCTGGACCTGTAATGCCGGCACGGAGGTTGATATGGGCGCGAGTGTATTGGACGCCATGGCGGTGGGGGGGACTTTGCGGAAAGTGGTGTCGGGCTGGGTGGTGGGAGTGGGGAGAACGAGCCCCCCTGGCCGCTGAAGCGGGGGAGGTTGTTGCTCGTTTGGTGGGCTGGGAAGCGTTGGGAGTGTTCAACTTGGGGAAGGAATGGTGTTCCGTGGGGATGGCGGGTTGAGATGGGTGGATATAGACCAAGGGCGGGCTGGATAGAGGGTGGGTGGGGGCTGCAAGAGCAAGAGCGGGAAGGGGGCTCTTTGGTAGGGAGCGAGGTATATATATAGTAGAGAGTATTGCGAGCAAGCAGGTTGGTTTTCTCTAGTGGTAAAGTAAATAGGGGGGGGTTTGGGGGGGGGGGGGGGGGTTTCCACACTGCGAGAGAGAGAGGGAGTAGGGGCCATCACGTCAGCACCCACTGCGCCCTTTTTGGGACAGACATCCCACGCTCGCCCCTCCTACTCCCGCTCGCATCACTCGCAGGGTGGTCGAAACTGCTTGGAAAAGATCACGGGTGGATTGGCACGAATCATAACATCTCACGCCCCCGCCTACATACTGTAGGTTCCGGGGCCATTGATGATGCATCTATCTTTTGACGCATTGGGATGCCCATGAATGAATGAGCGACAGACCACACGAGTCTTTAGGGGGCTTCAAGGGTGTCTGTATGATGCTGCTGCATGCTTGCGCGGCTTTTTTCCATGGGCAAACGCTTTCATACGATATTTATCATCATCCAGCATGCGCGCCTTGGGTTTTCACAGAGGTACTGTAAAATGGCATCGGACTCGGACTTGTGCTCTTGCATTTTCCATGCAGCGAAGCGGCATTCTGCGGCTAGCTAAATCGATCGGGCAGTTGATGTGTTAAGCTGTGCAATGGCCTCAAGACCTGCCATGGTGTTCTCGGCCGGAGTTTCTGGGTCTGGGTCGTTGGGGGGGGGGGGGGGGATCGACGGATCCGTTCGTGCACCACCCAGAGTTTGTCCTTGCATATCTACGTCGATCAACCCGTCGTCATCAGTCCGATAGGTGCAGGGGCCGTAGTACCGACGAGGATCGTGATAGTATTATTGTATGGGCATTTTACAGTATGAAGGAGTATCCTCCTGTCGACGTCGAAGAGTCGAACGCAACTCGCCGGAATAACTTGTTGTGGGGGGTTGAGTTGGGGTTCTTACCGCCGTGTCTTTTTAGTATTGCTACTCCTAGTTGACTACCAGTGACCGACTGCTTACCGCCATCCAAGGACTTATTAAAGGGTATTCCAAGGTGATCGATCCCCCATCTTGCAAACTCATATTCTGTCCCATCGATGGAACATCTTCATATTCATATTACTAGTAAGTTACACGCACGACATGGGTGGTCCTGGGGGGCGAGTTCCATGGGAGTCATGAAGTAGTGGGAGTAGTAGTAGTAGTAGTAGGAGGGAGTCATCACCATCGATGGGGGGGCGCGTCTCTCTCTCTCTCTCTCTGTCTGTCTGTCTGTCTGTGTCGCTCGCGTCTCTTCTTTTGGGAGAGATGGATCTCTGATAGCGCTCTCTCTCTCTCTCTCTCTCTGAGAAACAGACACAGCGCCCACACATATCTGTGCTCTGACCCCCCCTCTCTCTCTCTCTCTCTCACTCTCACTCACTCGAAGAACCCCTATCTCCCATCTATCTCCCTCCCCCCCACCACGTTCCTCTCACTCGACAAACCGAAACCCCCCCACCGCACTTAAAAAAAGGTAAACAACAACCCCCCCCCCCCCCCCCAAATCTTACTTCCCACTCCGTGATCACACACCATAAAAAACTTATCGTTTTGGCACTCCCTGGTGGTGATCTTTCATATCATATACCTAACCACTCCGTCTCTCTTGTCAACTCCATCTTCCCAACCCCCCATTTCGACTCGGCACACCCCAATGCTAGGCCAAACTATGTCCGACTCGCAGTATATTGCTCAGGCTGGTGAGTTTGTATTCCGAGACGGGGACCCGAGGGGATGGGGTTCCGACCGAGCCTTAGCAAGCGAAGCGAGCTACGCTCCGCCCACAACATCCTCGTCGCGAGCGGAGCGAGCAGGGTAATGTTTGTTGATGCTTGATGGTTCGAAGGTTGACGGGTTGAAGGTCGATGCTTGATGGATGTTGATGTCGATGGTTAATGGGTTGATGGATGTTGACACCCTCTCGGCACACGCAGACCGCCATGTCCAAATCAAATCCAAGATCATCTGCACAATCGGCCCCAAAACTCAATCCGTCGAAATGCTCGGCAAACTCGTCGCCGCCGGCATGAACGTCATGCGCATGAACTTCTCACACGGAAGCCACGAGTACCACCAAAAAACCGTCGAAAACATCCGCACCTACCTCGCCAACGCCAAATCCCCCAAATCAGTCGCCATCCTCCTCGACACAAAAGGGCCCGAAATCCGTACAGGAAAACTCGTCGGAGGAACCGACAAGAAACTCAAGGCCGGATCCACATTCACCTTCCACAACGACGATTCGGTTTTGGGTGACGAAACCCAAGTCTCAACCTCCTACAAATCCCTCGCATCCTCCGTCCACCCGGGCGACCGCATCCTCGTCGACGACGGCCTCATCGGCATGCTCGTCACCTCCATCAACCCCCAAACCAACACCGTAACATGCACGATCGAAAACGACGGCCTCCTCGGCGAAACAAAGGGCGTCAACCTCCCCGGCATAGAAGTCGATCTCCCCGCCATCACCGAAAAAGACGCCTCCGATATCGCGTTTGGAGTCGCGCAGGGCGTGGATTTCATTGCCGCGAGTTTTATTCGCAAGGCGAGTGATGTGTTGGAGATTCGGAAGCTGATCGAGGGCACGGGCATCAAGATTATCAGCAAGATTGAGAACCAGGAGGGGTTGGAGAATTTCGACGAGATTTTGGCCGTTAGTGATGGGATCATGGTCGCGAGAGGGGATTTGGGGGTGGAGATTCCTGTGGAGCAGGGTAAGCATATGACTCCATCCTCTCTTTTTGCATCACCCCACCCTTCTTTTTTACCAACATCCTCCCTCTCGCTGGATTTTTTCCCTGTGATTTATTCCCTAGTCGCACGGTATCAAAAAATGATGATCCGCAAATGCAACGCGGCGGGCAAACACGTCGTTACGGCCACCCAGATGCTCGAGTCGATGATTGTCAACCCGCGGCCGACGAGGGCCGAGGCGACGGATGTGGCCAATGCGGTGCTGGATGGGAGTGATTGTGTCATGTTGAGTGGGGAGACTGCTAAGGGTAAGTGTTAGGGGGGTGAGCCGAGCGGGGCAAGCCTCGAGTGCGAGGGGCAGCCGAGCGGGAGCCAGCCCGAAAGCTCGCCATTCTCTCACACCTAAAATCGTGATGATGTGCAATTATTGATCTTGTTTTTTTTTGTGATTGATTTTTAGGATCATTCCCGATCCTCGCCGTCGAAATGATGGCCAAGATCTGCCGCGAGGCCGAGATCGACATCAACTACACCGAGCTGTACCCGTCCATACGTCGCTCGATCCGCCTACCCATCTCTGTCTCGGAGACCATCGCTTCTTCTGCTGGTATGCTCACACATTCCGTCAGGAATTTCTTGCCCTTGCCTTTGCGAGAGATATATCTGACGCATTTATTTATTTTTCATAGTTAAGACCAGCTGGGATGTACATGCCGCTTTGATCATCGTGCTTACGCAGACGGGAAACACGGCGATCGCGATCTCAAAGTACAGACCGATTGCGCCCGTGCTTGCCGTCACGTCGTCTCCACAGGCCGGTGAGTCTCATACCCCTTGTGTATCCCAGGGGAACACACGCCTCGGGTATCACACCCTTCCAAAAATCACCGAATAGAAAGCCAAAAAAACCTGACGATTTCTCCCCATTAGCCCGGCAATGCCAAGTCCTCCGCGGGATCTACCCGATGCTGGTGGAAAACATGGAAGGCACGGAAAACATCATCCACCGCGCCATGCTGTGGGGCGTCAAGATGGGGATGGCGACCAGGGGAGACCCCGTCGTCGTCACCAGCGGCGTGCTGGAGTCGAGAAGTGGAAGCACGAATATCATGCGCGTGTTGAGGTGTGCGGGGTTTGAGGTTTAGATGCGTGGGACGAATGATGGAGGATCCCACCCCCCCGATTACATGGCCACCATACGGCACACCACGCATACACCGCAACCACCACCACCACCACCACCCCGGCTGTTTCTTGTTTCGTCGTACATTCCGTTTTGTGGGGGGGTTGGGGGGCGGATTTTTTCGCGAGTGCTCTCTCTTGTTCATAATGGTTGGAAAATGACTATACCTGTTGCACGCACACTCCTGTAGTTGGCAACCCCGGCGTCCTGGTCCCTGTTTCGAACCCCCCCTTTGCTGGTCGACTGGCGTACGGGGCATTCCGGACCCGTATAGAGGAGATCGGGGAAGCGGGGACCGACCCACGGCCGTTCTGGCCAAGCTGGATTGATGACGAAAAGTTCGACTGTTCGCGCACAAGCAAAAGTCTGCCCCCCATCAAAAGACAATCACCAAAACCCCCTGTGATCCGCATCCGTCCGTATGTGTCCTGGCCGACAACGGTGGTGGTGTGGCTCCATCTAGCCATGCCCCGGGGAAACGCGTGCTCTCGTCACCAGGCGGTCCGAGGGGCCTGTGCGTCGACGTCGCAGCATGACCCACCGTCCGTTCATCCACCCGCTACGAACACGCTACAAGGGCGGGGGGTTCTTTGGGGGATCAGTACACCCCCCCCCCCCGCCACGTTCATCCGCACACCGGTATCGGAAACATAGCGGGGTGTGTGTGGAGGACCGCTGGGGGGGGGGGGGGGGGGGGGGGGGGGGGGGCGGTGTATCTTCCCGCGCTCGGCAGAGGAGTACACGCCTCAGAGACCGTGTTCCAGTCCCACTCCCAGCTCCGCCACCATCATCGCTTGTGACTTTTATCGCTCACGCATCCACTGGACGTTCGCTGGACGTGACAGAGATGGGGTACAAATACGGTACATCTGCGCTGAGATGTGGGGAGGCGCATCCATCCATCCATTCATTGATGGGTCCGTGGCTGAGGAACGCCAGGTCTGTCATATGTCATCCCACCCACATTCTCAGCCTAGTCAGACCACTTCGGATTTCCGTCGGGGGGCTGAGGAACAGACGACTCCGACAAACAGAAGCCGCGGAGGGTCGGAGAGCAAGGAGACACCCCGGGGCTGAGCATGGAGCTGGAAGCATCGACGCGTAAGACACCTGGGGGTTCGCTCGGTAACGTCTCCGCCCCTTGCTTCCGGGCTCCTAAGTTCACTCCTATGCGGAACTTGCAGTTTTGGAAGGGCGGGACTGGGAATTGACAGTGACAGGCTGTCAAAGGTGCGTGGTTATGGAATGGACGTGGGGGCATAACATGTAGGTGAGGACAAATGGGCCGGCCGTGGGGGAAGGGAAGTGGTGTAGTTCGATGGATGGGGGTGCGCGGGAAATGAAAAGGGTAAGAGGAGCGGACGTGCGGGGAAACAGGATGTCTTTCGAGTATTCCCTCGCCAAAGGTGCCGCAACGCACGGCCCGGCCACCTTTGGAGGTCGAGGGGGGAAGGAGCGTCGGCAAGGGACAGACATTCCCATGACGGTGTGTTCGACCAAGGAGGAAACCGGCGAGCTGAGCACCTACGACGGTTTTTGGGTCCTATGCGCGGTTTTTTCAATGACACGTGGATCTATCATAGAAGGAGAGGAACGGGAGGGACTTTCTCAATCACGCTTGGATGGAGGTTTTGCAAAGCACACCTTCGTCGAATGGAGTGGGTCGCCATGATCTTGAGGGTAACTTACACAATGACATTGGACAAACAGACCGCTACTGGTGTTAACCAAAGATATCGTAGCTGGAAAAGGTCAGATTGGCACGAACACTCAGGAGGGATCGGGACTAGAGCAAAAGTTTGTACAGTACATGTAACGTACACCGCGCGGACTAAACCGGTCAGTGCGCTCTGATGAAGTCGCGAGGCCCGGCTTCGGTGGTCGGGAGAGCACCCACTTCGTCGATGCATGGAATGAGACGAGCAAGGAGAACAAAAGGGAGGAAAGAGGAGGAAGAAATGGATCAGTCATCTCGTAAAAGGTATCATGAACGGCCCGGCAGCAGCCAATCATCCAATATCCACAAGTGTGCCGAAAGCCTCTAAACGCTAACCCCGACGGTTGTTCACGGAAGGGGGCCGGGAGAAGAGACCACTCTTTTTCGCAGGCAAGAAAATTGGCCGCGTCGAACACCCCTGCAGTGCCCACCGTAGCACAGGTGTATGACACAAGGGTCACAGCACGCCAGATTCTAATCTGGTTCGTGGAGAAGAGTACCCAATGCAGCCGTTGACGACCGACAACAGGAAAGGCGACTAGAACGCTGATCCCCAACGGTTGTTCACGGAAGGGGACCCGGGAGCAGTACAGTTTTTATCGCAGGCGGCCCAGAAAGGGGATGCCGTGCGCCTGATGACCGTGCGGGTCTCACAGAGACGAGGCCCGTGAGGATACGGCACGCCAGGAGTGAAACCAACCACGCCTGATCCCGGCAGGAAGCTGGAAAGTCTCTATGAGTCCGCTTTTTGCCTTTCAGACACTAATTTTTCTGATGACGGCTTTTGGGAATCTGTAGAGGTTCAGACGCGTGCAAACGTGCGCGAAGGAGAAGACGAGGTAGACGCCAAGCACGCCCCCTAAGACTCGACTGCTCCTGCCTACTGCCCTCGACCTACCACTAACTGCCCTGCGACAATGCCACCCACTGACAGTGACGGGAAGTCGCCAAATGATTGTGCTGGATCTGAATGCCGGAGCGACGCGTCAAATAAGTGGACGATTTTAATGTGGAGATTCAGGTTGCACGTGATCCCCAGCATTCTTAATGCAGATGAGATATCCCGACCTCACCCTCCGTTTCGCCGTCCCATGGCCTTCCACTCTCCATAGCTTCCCTATTTGTGTATCCCCGAGAACATCAGGAGCGACTCATATCGCTCCAAGTTCAACGATGACACCACCACACGACACCACAGCAAGAAAGCTCAATTATGTCCATACTCGCCTCGTAGGAGGGGGACATATCAATCCACTGTGCTATGCGAAACACTTTAAGTCGGATCTGGGGGAGACCGCGATGAAAGCCGATTTCGCCGAGATAGTGCGTGAATACATCGACGACCGCCTGCCGCTCCTTCGCGGCAAGACATACACGAAGAGTCGCGAAAAACTGGAGGCGGCGCGCAATTACGCCGTAAGTGCAGGGTCGGGACATCGAAGATGGTAGCTCAGTATATGGACGCAGTGCAGCATGAGCGCAACAGTGCAGCAAACGGCTTAACGCGTGGGGCGGGTTTGGGGGCGTCCCATTGCTGACGAGAACTCTCATTTCTTTCGTCGTAGTATGCGAGCGATGGGGCGTGGAAGGCATGGTGGGTCAAAAGAACCTCGAGATTACAACTCGAAGAACAAGCCGGCCGACGCCACGTTGCGATGGGCGAGCTGACGACGCAAAGGGAAGAAGAAGAGGCTGGTCTTCGCAAACGTAAGCGCGGGGAGTCGCCCGAGCCTGACCAACTCTCATGCGACGACGACGATGTCGACGAATGCACCGAAGATTCCGCAACAGTTTCCGAGGAGGCTACCGAAACCCCAGCGCTGAACTTTCCCAGCGTCCTGGGAACAGAAAAGTTGGTGCAGCGCATCAAAGAGCTTCATCAAGCGAACGTGTCGCTGGTGGCGGGCGGCACTTTGATCTGGTGTGTTCTGGTGTGCGTTAGATTCTGCTGACAAGAAAAGCTATACCCTCTTGAGCAAGATCGTCAGGGATAAGGCAAAGCGCCTGACAGAAGACGCGCTCGGCGATGAAATGGCGGGCGCCGCGCTCGACGAGCGGAAATCTCCCCTTTTGCGTACACAAGTTATGGTCGCAGCTATTTCGATTTGCTGGAGGGGCCATACTTCAACGTTTTCTCGGAGCCATACGATGCGACATTTCCGACCTTCTGTACCCTCCAGTGGTTGCACGGCAACCGCATCCACCGGTTGGAATCGCCCTGGTAATGACCGAGATCGAATCCATGAGCACTTCAGTGATGTTGTGGTGGGAATGCCTCGACATCATCCGACACTTGGCGCGCGGAATTCCAGTGTAAATCATTATCCACCGTGACGGAAGCCCGCTCTGCTTGACGCTTCCCAAAGCAATGTGACTTCTGGGAAGACTGCTCGACCATCGACAAGGCGAGCTTCACCCGCTGGACGCCGATGGGCAGACATTTGCTCGGCAACTGCGCGACATCCAACAGGTTCGAATCAAGAATTAGGAGAGGGGCATACGGGGCATTCGTATGGCGGGCTAAAGTCGTTCTGGGAGAGAATGGATGGGGACGCGGCAGAAACGAAGGAGGCGAGCCGCGACGCCGACGTCCGGTACATCATGAAGTGTCTGCGTGCCATGGCAACGCACACCAGCACGTATGCATGCCATACAGAACGTGCATTCGACGCACATGCAGTGCTTCCTTTGGCCGAGGTGCCTCTTGAGCCCAAACTGCACTATGGCGATTCGATGCCAGTTTCGGGCCAAGAAGAGAAAACGCCGCGGCGGGGGAAGGACGTTGAGTACAATCTGTCACCATATGTCTGCGACCACCTGTGACTTCCAGGCCGGCCCCCTGCGACAATGGCAGCCGTCGCGATGGACACTGACTTAATCCCGTGAGGTCGCAGACATATGGTCACAGACTGTACCTATACAAGATATCCGGACACGAGCACGGGTGCGCAGAGAACTCCGGGCCGCTGATCAAGGCACACGAGCTCCATGCGGCAGAGAACCTCGTCAGCTTGGCCAAGACATGCAAATCTCAGGCAAGGGCGCTTGCCAGGCTCAACCCAGCTCAGAAGGAGAAGATCGTCGTGCCCTCGTTCCAGGTCCATTTCCTTTTCCGCGGAATGATAACGACACTTAAAGCGTCATGGACATGTGCGAATTCTTCTTTATATACTCTGTACGAGCAATGCAGACAGTCCCGCATAGGCGAAACATCCGACGGTACTCAGAGACACCCCAGAAGAATGCAATGGCAGGCATCATGACCCCGATGAAAAAGGGGGATGTCAATCAAGCAAACTCCAACCCGCAGGCGAGAGGAGAAACTGCAAAGGAGTCCGGAAGCGGGCACCGTCCGGCTGGGCAGCGTTGAAAAGGATGACGAAGAGGTCGTAGGGAAGAGCGGAGGGCGTGTTCTGGGTCGGTTCAAAGGGGAGATGGGGATAGGATGGAGTGGCTTCGGCTTTATTGGCGTATGGGGGTGGAATAGGGTGGACTTCGCCTGAAAAGAGCCATGTGGGCTGGGATGTGGTGGGCTACGATCAATGCTCGTCGCCGTGATGCAGAATTGCACGCCTTCATGATCGCGAATGACTGCTCGCAGCCGGCCCCCTTTTCAATACAAGTTTGCAGGAACTGCGTGGGCATTGCTGTAGCCCGTCCCGCTGTACACTGCACCTCGCCCCTGTGGCACCTCACCGGTCACATGAGTTCATCCTTCCCATCCTCGCCATTGTCCTGTATATCGCTCCTCCGCCACAGATTGTCACAGAGATTGGCTGCGATGTTAATGAGCTTCTTGGCTGTCGCCATTCGATCCTGATCAGCTCTCTGGCTTTCGTGGTGCAGGCTTCGGAGCGCTTACCCCAGCGGGTGGTGATGGAGCAACGCGCTGTCAAATTGTTACTGCGCCGACCCAAAGTCCCCGTATTTCGACAGAGTGCGTCAATGCCATGTGTAGCTGTTCTAAACCGTGGCAGCAGTCCACATACACTGTTCTAACTCCCACGTTCCCTCCAGCGATGGCTTAAGTTCTTTCAAAGCCCAAAATCTGGCTCTCGCATTGGCAAACTGCAACAAGAGGTCTGCTTGATCAAAGATGCCAGATATCTCTTCGTTGATCGTCACGCCGGCGCTGCCATCCGTGCCCGGGATATCCAGAGAACTCTCGTTCGTGTTGTTGTTCTGGGGCACTGCACCCAAAGTTTGAGCTGATGGCAAGCATCTGTACAGAGTAGCTTTCTCGGTGGTGATGGTTTTCAGGGCTTGGTGAAGTGGGTGTGCTTTCGCAATGGGCAACGCGGGCTCTTGCTGCGCCACATCTCCGACTTACGCGCGGCTAGCGCAGCCTCTTTCTTGGTCACGCGGCGCCAAGTCGGAGTTTTTAGGGCGCTGCCGTCGATTTACCGTGGAGATTAAACCGGTCAACGGAAGTTCGGAGGGGAAGAGGCTCCTCCAACGCCCTGGTCCCTGGTCCCTGGTCCTCGTGCATTCTTCAGCGAACGCAAAGCCACGGCTCAGCTATTTATGGACAACCTTACCTGAAAACCCACGGCCTGTAGTCCGCATTTGGATCCCCTATTCCCATTCATGAAAAATGGCACAACCCACAAAAGTGTCTAAAGGTGTCTTATGAGAACGACGGATGCGCGGTGGCTGATGAAGGTTGCGGAGGGCATCGACACTTCTCTCATCTTTTAGCATTTTAGCAATCCGCACACTCCGCTGACATTTCGGGTGTCTGTCCCCATTGATTCATGCACTTTATTCGGATTTCTCAAATCCGTAGGAGACAATGCTGCGTGGGCCGCGCGAAGGGTGCAGGATGCGTAATGCCCATCCATATTCGTCCTGTGCCCTTGTCGGGCTGTCGGTCATCAGTCACCCATGGCCCTTCACACAATTTTCCTGACCCGAGGGTGCAAGGGTAATGGGCATTCGAACCCCTTGATAAGGCATAAGTCAAGGGGCGTCTCCCTTCCGCCCACTTTCGGGACGTTCCATATTTGCGAGAATAACCCATTTCTCGTAGACGCTCGACATCTGAATTGAGCAGGCCAGATACCTACATCCGCGTATCGTGAAGGTCTTTATTTCTCTTTAGCCAGCACTCTCTATCATGGCGACGCCGACAGACACGGTGCCTGATTCCAATGGCAATGGGTCCGATGACGAGCTCTACCTGGAGCGTTTCACAGTGCACAAAGTCCTTGGGGAGGGGAGTTATGGCAAGGTGAAGCTATGCTATGACACGACGACGCATCGAATGGTGAGTAGTGAAGGCGGACACATCCAAGGAGTAGAAATGCTCAAAGCTTTATTGGGACCCTTCGTCTCAACGTCTCCTTGACGCATCCCCAGGTTGCCCTAAAAATCGTCCCGAAAGTCTCCCTCAAAAAGACCGCCCACGTAACCCGCCTCAAACGCGAAGTCCGCATCATGCGGCTCCTCCACCACCCGAACATCACCCGCCTGTACGAAGTGATCGAGACCGAGCACCAGATAGTGCTCGTGATGGAGCACGTCGAGGGCGGCGAGCTGTTCGACTACATCGTGGCCCAGAAACGGTTGAAGGACCGGATTGCGAGACGCTTGTTTAGGCAGATGATTGGCGCGCTGGAGTATTGCCATAAGAGCTCGATTATTCATCGGGGTGAGTTGCGAGGGGAAACGGTTACGATACGATTCCGTCTTTGTTTGAGGGTGTTTGGGGTGGCTCTGAGAGGGATTAATGCTGATTCCTGTGGTTTTCTGCGCAGATTTGAAGCCAGAAAATATCCTTCTGGACCAAGACAAGAATATCAAAATCATCGATTTTGGGTTCGTGAAACTCTTCGAACAGACCAATTGCCTGCAAACGTTCTGCGGCTCCCCATTCTATGCATCACCAGGTACGGGGAAATCAATTCAACGCTGAACTTCCCTGGCAAATATTGCGGTGACGCCTATTTCCAGAAATGCAAATTCCTCATCTTTCATTTCGCTTTTTTCATCAGAAATGATCATCGGAAAAGAATATAGCGGCCCAGAAGTCGACATCTGGAGCATGGGCGTGATCTTGTTTGCGCTGCTGAACGGGTACCTGCCCTTCAAAGACGCGAATACGCAGGAGCTGTACCGGAAAATATCCACGGGCACGTATGAGATGCAGACAAGGTGGATGAATGAAGGTATGCGTCCGTTCTCCACATACATACCGTGCAGCCACAAAACGCTAACGGTGCCCTTCCCTTGTTGATTCTAGCCAGCTCAGACCTAATCAAACGCATGCTAACCGTCGAGCCGTCCCAGCGCGCGACCATGGACGAAATCAAACATCACCGCTGGGTCACCGAAGACGACGGCTCGGAACAAGCGCCCATAACCGACGTCCCCCCGCGCGCCGAATTCATCGACGACCCGGACCCATATCTCCTCGGCAAATTCGCCATGTACGGAATGGACCGCGCCGCCGCGGAAGCGTCTCTCGCAGCGGGCGAGCGCGGCCCGGCTTGGGGGCTGTACCACCTGCTTGCCGAGCACGAGGTGTGGGAGAAAGGCGCGGCTGAGGAGCGGACGGGGGTGGACTCTGGGAATGTGTCCGGGCGGACGAGCGTGAACGCCTCACATGCTGGGTTGGTTGAGAACAACCTTGACGGGTCCGGCCATAATATTCGCAACGGAGGGTCGATGGCTCGTCCGAAATTCCAGAGACGGTTGTCCCTTGGGCGTCCGACGGGGTTGAATTCGGGCAATAATAGCCCGTTGGCCTCGCCGGGGACGTTGGGGAAGGAGACGAACCCGTTTGATTCGCCGAGGATGTCGATGCGGAGACGTGCGTCGATGATGGAGAGGGATGCAGTGCCGCATGGTGGTGGGCCGCAGAATGGGGCGCCTGCAACCACGACGACGGGATTGGGGGCTGCGTCCATTTTGAAGAGGAGGTTGACGTTGGATACGCCTGCACGATGTAAGTGTTGGCTACCCATATCACATTCCTTTTTTGTTTCTCGTGTATGCGTGTCCATCGCTACACTATTTCCAACCTATGGCTTGATTCATCACATGCTAACCAGCATCAACATTTCTGAATACAGTAAAGGAACGGGCAGAAACAGCCGCCGCCTCCCTCCCCCGCCGTCTCTCCCGCCCCGAGACCGTCTCCCTGCCGCGGGACTCCCCCCATACCTCCCTCCATACCTCCGCCACGCCCGTCTACGTACACGCCTCCCTCCCACGCAAAAGTCCTCCCCCAGGCGCCCCCGTCTCGTCGACACACACCTCCGGCTCGATCCCAATCCGGTCCACTCAAACCGTCAGCGGCGTCAGCTACGACAGCGTCTCCTCCGGCGGAAACACCTACCACCGCTCCGCACGCCTCCGAAGCACGGCCGAGGGCGGTATCGAGGAGGGGAATGAAGGCGTATATGTGCCGAAGCGGAGGGCGAGCGCCGTTCCTGAACAAGGCTCGCCTAGACTTCCAACCAACACCGAGTCCCGTCCCAAAAGCACCACAAAGTCCCCCGATCGCCGCCCCTCCGTCTCCCGCATCTCCCTCAATCTCTCTACGCTGCACAAAAAACTCTTCAAGAAATCCTCCTCCACCAATTCCACCCCCTCAACAGCCGGCGCCGACACAACCTCGACCAAGCCCGCGGCGGACATCATCGCGGAGATTTGCCGCGTGATGGAGCTTAACGGGGTGGAGCAATGCACGCTGTCGGCGACGCGGATCCAGGGCACGACAAGGGAAAGTGTGATTGAGGTCGAGCTGTGTCGGTTGAAGGGGACGAATATGCATGCGTTGCAGATGAAGAGGATTAAAGGGACGAGTGTGGCATATCAGACGCTTTGTCAGACGTTGATTTCGCAGTGGCATATATGAGAGCGATATTTCTGTTTCGCTTCGACGGCATGCATCGCTGCCCCTCCATGTCAAAAACCCCTCTATCCATCCCCCTTCCTACAAATTCTTGTACCTTTCCCCCCGGGTTCCTTTTTCGGCCGTCTCCACTTCCGCTACGCTCTTGTGTAGCGTAGCTACGCTTTCTTTCTTTATACCAATATAACCACCTTTTTCGGAAACTGCGCAACTGTCGGGATTATTGGCATCTGCCGACGAAGACTGGCCTGGACTGTGCCCTTGACACCTCCAAAGGCCCACTGAAAAGGGATGCGAAGAAGGTTATGCTTATCAGGGTATCAAACGGGTTGATGCAATCCGATCCAAACATCAACGTATATATTTTTGTATGGCTCTATCCAAACATCGAAGGCCCGATTAGCTCAATCGGCAGAGCGTGCGGCTTTTAACCGCAAGGTCGCGGGTTCGAGCCCCGCATCGGGCTCTCTTTCTGGCAGAGTGGTATCGTTTTTGCCTTTTTGCCCTTCACGCATTTGTGCACACACGTCATCGATGCCCACGTTCTCTCCTGTGCAAGTCTCCGCTTGTTTCCCAAACGTTTAATCTCTTACGACAATAACCCAGAAAGATGCCCAGCACACTGGACTTCATCAACAAGCCGCTCGTCACCGCCGTTGGCGTGCCCCTCGTCCTCGGGATGGCCATGGGGACCATCTCCCGCCGACCGGTGCAGACGTGGTATAGGACCATCAACAAGCCGAGGTAGCGTGGCTTCTTGTTGACGGAAGATGTGTGAAAAGGAGCTGCTCGACTGGTTGACTGATTTCTTGTGTGACTGGTTTCAGCTGGACTCCACCGAACTGGGCTTTTCCTGTGGTACGTGTCTCGAGGTGGGAGGGGCTCCGGGCGTCCTTTGTTTCCGGGGACGTGAAGGCGACGAAGCATGTGGAAATGGAAAGAATGGCCTGGCAGGTGCTGCGGGGAAGAGCGCCTCGGGGCCTGCAGGCGTCAAGACACGTCCGTTCCATGGTCCCGAAGCTGCGGGAACCAGTGGGCCTGTGTACAGGCGAGGAGCCCTGGACGCAACCACATGATTGCGATGCTATGTTCTCCGTTGGGAGCATTTCCGAGTCATCCATTTGCTCTTACCCAAGCTCACCCTCTGAACGCAAACAACAGGCCTGGACTTCGCTCTACGCTGCCATGGGCTACTCCTCCTACCTCATCTACCGCGCCGGCCTCGCACGCCCTTTCCTTGACACCACCACCCCGCTCCGTCTCTACGCCGCCCAACTCGCGCTCAATATCGCCTGGACGCCCATCTTCTTCGGAACGGCCAATTTCGGTCTCGCCACCGCCGACATCCTCGCGTTGCTCGGCACGCTCGTCGCCACGACGGTCGAGTTCAGCAAGATCGATACCTTCGCGGCGTGGTTGCTGGTGCCGTATGTGGCGTGGGTGTCCTATGCGTCGGCGATGACGGTTTGGATTTGGAGGAATAACCCGAAGAAGGGTCGGGATGTGAGGAGGAAAGGGTTGTAGAATACCTTGAGGCGTATGTACTCTTCTCCCATCTGGCGTACGATTTTGAATGTTCTACGTTCCGTGCATATTATATGCTATATCTTAGTACTGCGTAGTTCCAGATTTCGCTGCTACTGTAAGCTAAACCATCGCGCCGGCCCTTCCTCGGCTCCTCCGTCGTGAGTAACTGGCGAGGTGCGCGAAAGCGAGCTGCATGGCGTCCTTCCCGCGAACTTTCGTCACGGCGGAAGCAGGTGCCAAAGTCCAGCCTTCAAAAAATGCGGGACGGGCGACCTGTTATGAGGAGAAAGCTGTCAGACTGTCGGCACTAGGTATTACCATTATCTGTCTATCCCACGGACCCAGAATAACAACAGCCCGGTTAGCTCAATCGGCAGAGCGTGAGGCTCTTAACCTCAAGGTTGCGGGTTCGACCCCCGCATCGGGCTATTTTTCTTTTTCGCATTTTGCTTTCCCCTGTGTACAGTATGTTCATCAGTTCGCCCATTTTTCGTTTTGCTCTAAGTGGGCTGCGGCCATGCCGCCGCACAAGTTCTATTCCCTGTCCTCGATGTTGGCATCCGGTTTTGCTCTCCCATTCTTTTACGGCTCATCCAGAACCCCGTCAGCTTGTAATGTTCGGGATGTATGAGTAGCTCGCGGCCTGCTCGCGGCCTTTCCCACTTCTCCGTAACGTTCGCCGATCCCCGTCCTGATGTCCAACGGTCCCTCAAACTGTTGAGCGACGAATGCTCACCTGGGTCGGAGTCACCTCCGCGCGTTGCATGAACTCATCTGCGGAGCAGCGAGCGTTCACTGATAAGGACGAGAAGATCGAATGCACGGGGCATACTTAGGACCCCATTTTACAACGGCCGAACACTGCACTCTGTGTCCCTCGCAAACCCTCCGTTCGTTTGTTCCCATACCTGCACAGATGGTGAGCGTCGGTGCCGTATTGTAGCGTTCGACTTCGCTTACGCGTCCGAGGCTTCTTTCGCGTCGTGTCCCAACCGGCACTGACGTAACCGGACGTAACAGACCTCCCCCATGAAGTCGGTTTAATGTCTTTCTCCTCGACCTTGAAGGTCAATTGAATCATCTGCCTACAATAAGGCTTCCAGAGCAACTTGTTCACCTCAGCACCGAAAGCACTCCAGTCCTTAACTGAAACAACCAGAGCTCCGATCCCCCCCACCGACCATTGAGCGCACTCGGCATTTACACACTTTCACCCCACCGTCAACCCGCCAACCCCAATATGCGTCTCCCAACCACCGCATCCATCCGCCTCCTCCCAACCTACCGCACCATCACCCACACCACCAGTCTCTCCTTCAAATCCAAATCACCGCAACCAGCAACCCACATCCCACCCCGTAACACCCCGGGACCCACCCCTGGCAAACCCAGCAGTATCCCGCCCCACGGCAAGGGAATGGACCCGCCCGACGAAGCGATGTCGTTGAAGAATGAGGGGAAGAAGCCGGAGATGGGGTATCGGGAGGAGAGGAAGAAGGAGGAGGAGGAGAAGAACGGGGATGTTAAGAGGGGGTGGGTGCAGTAGGCGTGGTGAGAATCGGAGAGTAGCTTTTTGGGATGAGAGTTCACAGATGATAGGTTTGAGATGAACGGGGGAGCGGATGCAGGGATGGGAAATGGGGTGGTGGAGGGTCCCGCAGCGCAAAGGGTTTTGCTGCCATTTCATGAAGATTGCTGCTGGATGGGACCAAATGCTTGTATATACTTCGTTACTCTGGGAATGGAGAGGCATATCTTGATCCATGTGCTTTGCCAGTGGATGGTAACGAATTGATTCAACTTGACCAGCTTTGATCAGGGACTCTGATATGACCTGGATGCTCGCCCAAAAAGAAAATCACTGGAAGAAGTTGTGGGGACCAAAAGGAAAAGAAACATAGCCCGATGCGGGGGTCGAACCCGCAACCTTGAGGTTAAGAGCCTCACGCTCTACCGATTGAGCTAACCGGGCTTTTTGATGTTCGGGTCTGAAACTTTGGGTACACAAAGGTAACAATTTGAGATTTCGGCCACGTTTATCACGAACGCGTGGATGGTGTCCGAAAGGATCGAAGATCGAGATGCGTAGCGTGTGGGGGCAACCCTAACAACTTGAAATGTTGCGAGAGCTTTATATATAACGTGAGTACTGTACCGTATATCTACTAGCCTCCCACCGGCCATTCGTCCATGCCAACATCGACTGCCGCAGTGTCTTGCTGGATCTGGGCGAACCAATACCGGCAGAAATGGCTTTCGCACTTTCCAGCAAGGTTCCGTTCATCCCTGGGGGGCCAAGGGCGCACGCACGCGTAGGTACTGCGCGTTGTCCAAACAACAAATAGACTTTTCGCGCGGTGTTAATAGCGGGCGGCATGGCTGTCACATGGACTGTGCGCTGTGATATTGACAGCTACTCTCACCGACATTTGTATTATGAGACCCCCATTGCCCAAGGGCCCTCCACATGTCATATTGGGGCCGTCGCCGTCGCCGTTACTGAGTAGGATCAAAAGTTGCAATACAGAGAAGGGGGTCAAGGGATGTTTGCTGTCTACCGCAACGATTGCAATAAGACCTGCCGGGCGTCCAACTTACTCGAGAGTAAACATCCCATACCACAACGGCACCGCTCAGTTGTAAACTCCGCAACCGGGGAAACCTGCAGCAACTTCAGAAACTCCCGCCGCCTCCGCTGCCTCCGCTCTTGGGAGACGAACCACGCTTCGCCAACGCCCTACTGGGAATTGTCGAGGTGCTTGCACGGCAACCACATTCTTGGCGGGTGTGTGCGGAACCTCAAAGCGTATAGCTGAAGTTGCATAAAGGGCAGTCGGGTTGCATTGTGTCGCCGCCGTCATCACTCCCTCCTCCGACGCGCCAACTGTTCTCCAATACGCAGTTACATTTACTACCCACATTCCAGTTTAGCACTCTGACGACAACCTCGTTGAGACACAGCAATGGCGGAACCAAGTCCAGTAAGGAGTGGTGTCTCGCGCCAGACCTCCTTTATAGGAGACTTCCTCAACAACCTCGCCAGCCCAAGCTCGCCCGGTTTCGACCCGGTCACCCCAGGCTTCGAAGATGACGCTTTCGACGAAGAAGGCAACTTCAAAACCGACCTTCCTTCATCAATGTCACCGTCCGTCGACGCCAAAGGCAATCCCACGTTAGTCCCGACGCACGGACCAGACCCTCACCGTCAATCCCAATCATTCGATGCGTTGCAACGCCCGCCATCCCCGCCATCCAGTTCCCACCACGGCGACGAACAACCTGCTGTCCGCGAAGAGTTCCTGGCAAACCTCCCAGACGAATGGCCTCTGGAGAGGGACGAAGCGTTAGATCCCGGAACAGACACGGAGGACGAGTTCGTGGGCGAGATGGTTGATGCGTGTAAAGGCAAGGGCGAGAGCAGGATCAGAAAGGCGTTGCGACCCGCCAGTCACGTGCGGACGTCGTTTTTGAGCTTCCTGGGTGGATCGACGCCAACGCAGAGCTTGATATTCCTCGTGCTCCGTTGGCCGCTGTTGATCCTGTTTTGCGCTTTCATTCTGTTTGATTTGATATGCTACATTGCTGTCCGGCAATGGGTTCGGTGGTATGAGTGGGCGATTACGTGGCGCGGACATCGCCGGATCTTGCGCAAGAAGTTGAACGAGTCCAAAAATTATGAGGTAAGTTGTTGCGTACTGGAGTCGTCCGCTGTCATCCGCCGTACCACATATAGTTGACGCATTCCCACCACAGGAATACAAAGAAAACGCCACGATCCTCGACGACTACCTTCAAAACACTGAATGGAAATCCATCGAAGCCTCCCCACACTACGACGTCCGCCTCATCCAACGCACGACCCGCCGCCTCAAACGCAACCGCACCCTCATCCAATCTTCGCAAACCCGCCCGCAGGACGCAACCTCCGCCAGCATCAGCGGTCTCGCCACTGCCACACGTGAGATCGTCTCCATCATCCAGCACGGCGCTTGCAAAACCAACTTTGGGAATGTTGAGAACGAGGCCTTGTACAGTTATACATACTTCGGCACGAAGAAGTTGGTGGAGGAGTATATTGAGGAGCTGTGCGAATCGATTGATTGTGTGGCTGACTCGCCGGTGCTGGCCCTGGAGGAGAAACATGATATTTTGAGGAAGGCGGCACATAGTTATGGACGGACGGCGCTTTGTTTGAGCGGAGGGGCGACGTTGGGTTATTATCATTGTGAGTTGGGGGGTGGCCTTTGCACATTTGGGGTTGTCTCACGCGGTGCTAACGGACATCATCTATCCTTGCAGTCGGTTTGTAGCGTCTTCATTGCGGTACTCGATCTCCGCCGCTGCTTGCTCATACTCGTATATTACACAGGTGTCGCAAAGGCTCTCTTCGAACAAGGGCTTCTCCCGACCGTTATAACCGGGACCAGCGCCGGAAGCTTGATTGGTGAGTGACCAACCAACGCGCCACATTCAGCCGACGTACGTAGAGAACTCAACCCTTGCTTCCTCTTTCTAGCGGCGATATTGTGCACGCGAACAGACAAAGAGCTGGTGGAGGAAGTTTTTACGCCCAATATTTCGAAATTGTTGACGGCGTGCGAGCCGACTTACATTGTAAGTTGAGCGAGAAACGAGACGCTGACATACTTGTGCTGATTGGTGTCCGTTTGTATCATTTGCAGGAACGCTTCAAGAGACTTTACCGCACAGGCGCCATGTTTGATCATCGGGAATGGTTTCAGCGGCTCATCTTGGCGTTGAGGGGTACGTGTAGCATGCAATCAGAGCAATCATCCAAAAACGCAGACACCAGGACTAACCAGCCCGAACCGTGCAGGCCCACTAACCTTCCTCGAAGCCTACCAACGCACTGGCCGCATCCTCAATATCGCCATCGTTCCCGACGAACCCCACTCCCCCTACAAACTCTGCAACTACATCACCACCCCGCACGTCATCATCGCCACCGCCTGCATCGCCTCCTCAGCCGTCCCCGGCGTGCTCAACCCGGTGGAACTGCTCATGAAGAACCCGGAAACGGGAGAAATCGTACCCTTCCATGGATCTGGACGCAAGTGGAGGGATGGGAGCTTGATGATGGATATACCCGAGAGGGAATTGAATAGGCTGTGGAACGTGAATTTCACGATTGTGAGCCAGGTCAATCCGCATATTGTCATGTTCTTTTTTGATCGGAGGGGGAGTTGCGGGAATCCGACGGCGCATCGGCATGGGAGGGGGTGGTGAGTTGTTGTGCCCTGATTGTGGACGTTTTTTTAGAGTACGGGTCGTCACCCATGTACTCACTTTCTTTCTTTCGCAGGCGCGGCGGTTTCATAGCCTCAGCTCTAGTGCAACACTTTAAACTCGACCTCCAAAAATGGATGAGTCTACGTATGTTGGCTTCAATCGTCAACCTTCGTCCATCAACACACTAATTCCGTCCCTTTCCTCTCCCCACCAGTAAAAGACTTCCAACTCCTCCCCCGCATCCTCGGCACCGACGTCTCCGACGTCTTCCTCCAACGCTTCGAAGGCTCCGTCACCATCGTCCCCCGCCCAACCCTCCAAGACTTCAAGTTCATCCTCACCGACCCGACCTACGACCGCATGGAGATGTACATCGAGAAGGGCGAGCAGCGCACATGGAGTAAGATCGAGATGGTGCGCCAGCGGATGAGGTTCGAGAAGAAGATTGGGGAGGCGAGGCGGCGGGTGCCGAGGTTGGAGAGGGGGCACTTGCAGAGGAGGGAGAGCTCGGTTAGTGCGGTGACGAATAATTGGGCGGGGAGTGTGGGGTCGGGAGGCGGGCAAGGGCAGGTGAACGGGTATAGTGGGAGTGGGATGACGGTGGGGGGCACGGTACAGAGTAGGAGGTCGGCGAGGAAGTTGCCGTCGCATATGGATGTTCATGCGGAGTAAACGAAGGCGAGGATTTTCTGGAAACGGATCCCACCCTATCATGGTCGTGGAGTATCCCATTGCGCCAGGAGGACACCACACCCGCCTATCACTGTCGGCTACCACCTCACTTTCAACGGTCATGTACACCAACCATGCGGACCGACGTACGCACACCATCTTCATCAGTCTCCCAAACATGAACAAACGGATCTCCGCCCCAAGACTCCCTCAAATACCCCGCATATACAGTACATTCCGCCCCAACATATATCCCCCCTAATATGCGATTTTCATGAATGGTAATAGTAATTTAGGTATCTTTTGTATGTACATAGAAGACAAAGGTGGTGGTGGGACATTGAGACGATATTTCTTTGTCTACGGATCCACGAGAACGAAAGTTTGTCGGAGCTATTTTTCTGATGGTCGTGTGGGACTGAACACGCTGCGAGACCTCAAGATGGGGCGAGTAGATGCGTAGGTGCCGCCCTTGCTCTGTTGCGCGTCACCCAGGGCTGGAAGCCGTCTACTCCCGTCTATGGCCGTTTGGAGCGACGTACCCAATCTCACATGGACTTCGTGATCTGGAGCCCAGCTTTCAATACTGAAATTGAATTACGACATGTGCCTAGGCGTCACGGCATCCGGAGTCGATATGTGTATCGGTAGGCACGGCGGCAACGCCTCGCCGGTCAAGATTGAAGACGATATTGCATCCAGTCGGTTGCGTCCGCTGTACCACTCGTACAACAGTCAGATTTATGCAGTTGCTGACACATTCTGCGCTTAGTCGTCGGTTGGTCGTCGGTGCCAGAACCATCCCGCCCTATGAGAATCGCCCGCCGCTTTTCACCCGAATACGGAATTACGAACAGCTCTGAGACGGACACCCCGCTGGTGACCGACCCCACCTGCTCGGACGGGCTAACCATCGCCCACCACGGCGAAGTTGAATGGCTAGCCCTACGGCTATGATGGGTACGAGGTCATCGTCCCCGCCGGCTACCAACCAATCTCTTCTCCGGTCCGCCGACAGGCGGTCGACCAACAGGATCTCATCATCGACCAATTGGATGCGATGCGGCGGTTGTACCGCGGTTTGAAAAGTGAGGTATCGAACCTACAGCATCGGACGGCATGTGGTCAGCGCCAGGTCTCATGGGTCACGGACAGCAGGATTCCCAGAACTTGTATAGTCTTCTGATGGAACGTTTGTAGAAGGACATGGGCAACATACGAGGTGATGTAATGGAAAGGCACGGGCACAGTGGAGGAACGACATTCGGACAGGGTCGTGCCCCTGGCAGACTCCGATCCACTGCTGCCAATGCAATCGATTTTCAATACATCTGTCCCACAGATCAGGTAGAACCCTGTTCGAGGAGGACCTGTGAGCTGCGCCATCAATGGCCTCCAGTGCGTGGCTGAAAAGCCAGAAGAGAGCGATGGTCGACCCTTCCAGCACCCCTTAGGGCTGAACGCAAAGTTTCTTTTTGTTGACACTTTTGGGAGCAGTGTTCAGCTGGCTAGGTGGGCTTCTGAGCATCACATTGCCCCGGATGAGCTGCCGACGGAAATTTGGAATCGTTTTCGCCATAATGCCCATACCGATCCAGGCGAAAATGAGAGATTGCTAACGGTTCAAGCCCTCGCGCGGGAGTGCCTTGATATCCTGGATGACCCACAATCGGTTCGTTCGCGATGTGGGCCATCCGGGTTTTCAGGCACACTTCTAGCTGCAGGCGACTGGGAGTCATATAGACTGGGAGTCATATAGCGACATGCACATTGTCCTGCGGGATCACGGTGATGCGCCGCGCCGTACCACTAGAATATTAGACCCCTTGCGATTTACCGTCCCGACCCGAGCGGGATCTACAGTAGCACTCTGGATCCCCTGGTCTTGGAAAGAATGGGAAAGGATTTACGACGAGTTCTTTCCGCAGCCATCTCAGAAAGGGCGTGGTGATGAGGAATATCCGCAGAAGCGGACGTGAACAGATGCGGGCCACCTTCCTCCAAATCAAGGGGCAACGGCACTTTGTCGACAGAGATCACTTTCACTGCGTTTGAGCCATAGGTTACTTCGCGAGGTTGAAAGTTGAGACACTAAAGGTACGTATCACTCGGCCTTGCGGCATGCATGCGATGCCGCTGTAGCTCGCATATTGATAGCGACAGCTGATGTACGCAAAGGGCCTCTCCATTTCTCGTCAGGATAGCGCGCAGGTAGCCGCAATCGCGGATGGTGGGATTCATATATTTCGGCGGCTTCTGCCTCATCCGCCAGGTATGTGTCCTGTCGAAGATTCCGTGGGAGTCTAGTCTGTAACTCAATTCTCTTGATTTCCTTTCTTCTAGCTCCTTCTTCGCATCAAGGAAGCGCGGGATGGCGTTCCCGTTTGTCATGCCAAGAAGGCCAGGGACGGGGAGCTTTTTGAAGCACGTGCGATCGGTGGCGAAGATACGGCTACTGCTCACGCGTGGTCGAAAGTGACTGACGAGCGAACGCTGCTGATGACAGAAATCCTGCAAGCGACTGAGGAAGAGGATGATGGAGAGCGAGAGGGTGAAGATGGGAGAGAAGAAGAAGAGGATGAGACCGTGGACGAAGATGAAGATGAGGACAAGACAGAGCGAGGCAACATGTCACCGTCCACAGCACTCAAGGCGACGACACCTCCGGCAACTTCAGAGGTAAATTGTGACAAATGAACTCGCAGTCTGGGTGCGGCTAGCCCTGTCATTGTTAGAAGGCAGAGATGTCGGAGACGTGGCACAAGCAGTAAAGGTGTACCAGTCGGCTAAGCTGGACGGCGGCTTTGAAGCGCTGCGGGTCCAGCACAGAACCGCGGTTTCTTGCTTCCCTTCACGTTGAAAGTGGGTTGGCGATCGCATCCGAATTCACCGGATGTCTTATCAGTCTTCCTACGTGCGCCCCTCTGCAGCTCAAGCCCGACATCCAGGCCGATTCAGCGCGGGTCTTGTCGATCGCTGTCCTCCGTGAACTGTTCCACGATATCAAAGAGTTCCAGTCGACAAAGGATGTCAGATTGAGACATACCAGTGCCCATCATCATTGTGATTTTCCTTATGTTTTTTGTTGTTTTCCAGTTGCACTTTGAAGGGGCGAACATCTCCCGTTGGGTCCGCACCGCCCCGCATCACCTTTACACGCAATGTTGCAAAAAAGATAGTACCTGAATGGAAAGAAACCTGCATAAGCGACATTCTGTGAGGCATAACATGACAAACATCGATGCCATCATGTTTCTAATATTCGTTCTAGCCTCCTGAACAACATATGCCTGCTGTCGCCGAAGTACTCTCCATCTTTCGTGAGTAGCCCAACGGCCAGGGTGAAGATCATTGCTCTCTGGACGAAGGCGGTCGCAACCTTCCACGCCGAACGTATGACCGCTTCCCTCCCTCCAATCGTTGCGCGCATCGTATTCTCATTCTGCAATGTAAGTGTTGACGTTAGAACACCTTGATGCCTTGACGAACTCATGCAAACCGGCTCCTAGGAGCTGCGATCGTCCGATGTGGAGCAGAGTCTCCGAAAACATATGCAGAAGGCGCTCGCGGTTGGTGGTGGCGGTGATCCGGTCATTGTAAGTCACCGTACTCGGATGCGGCTGATCGACTCAGCGCACGCGAAGTTTGCTGACTGGTCCTCAGCTTCAAAGCCATGAAGAAGTCGATGCGCATGAATGAATTCCAGAGCGTGGACAACGTCGCGGATGAGGACGCCGAGGTGCATGCGCTCCTACACGCTTTGATGGAAGAGATCTTCGATGAGGATGACCTCGTAATCCTTTGGTATGCACGAAGATCTTCGCAGATGCCTGAATGGCATGTCCTCGTAATCTGAACACTGTTTGAGCGGGGTTGACACTTGTTTAGGGCAAATGGAGAGAGCAAGAGCTTCCGTGCCCATAGGCAGACTTACCGGCCGAACGCTCCACGCCGGACGGGCGCGTTCTCTCCGCCCACTTCGAAGAAGTGTTCTTGGAGACCAAGTCCTCGAAGCATGCAGATACGTCGGCGCCCGCTATTTACGACTCTTCAAGCTGGGACAATTCCTGCAAGGCGCCCTCAACGCGAAAGTAGCCCAAGGAGTGCGTAAGGAGTCGTCCTTTGGCATGCAACTACTACGTACGTATGCTGATTGGCGTGTTGTTGATGCGCGCTGAACCGTTGACTCACGGGATGCTTAGAAGAAACGCTGGAGATCTATGAGATGACGTTGGAGCACGATGGAATCTCCACTATGTATCACCTGGCCTCTTGCTCGACTCCTCGTCGCCCTGGAGGACATGGGATTGGCGCCCCACCTCATCGGTGCCGTGATGCATGTCAAGGTTCGTGTGCCCATGTTGAGGCGGACACATGCGAGCAATGTCGGCGGGTGCATGCATGAGGCGATGTTGGCTCACGCAACGATGATCCCGCAGGGTCGAATTCAGCAATCATTGCGCGAGCGGGCCCAGGACCAGTACGACTCTGACGACATGTCTCTGCACATTACGTCAAACCCCGAGTCTCCTGCAGATATTAACGATGAAGGATTCCACAGACTGCCCCGCTGCGCGTTGGGGATGACTCTCGCCAGGACTGAGGTTCCTTGGCCTTTTCCGGTCCAGTCCCTCCAGCAGACCCTTGTGCGAATCCCGAATTTGCTCCTGGGGTCCTATCGCTTGGGGCTGGGTTTCCAAGGCTTGGGTTTGGGCGTTCCACGCGTTCTTCTACGCATCGGCCAGTATCCTCTCCAGTTCGAGCCCTTCGGCCTGCGGGGGTGAAGACCGCATCGAACGAGAAGAGCAGAGACGGCCGTGAACGAGGATATCGAAGCTTGATGGTCCACGATGGGGATCCAGGGGCCTTGCTTTACACTCAATCGAACTTGGACGAAGCGACAGGCGCGCCGGCCACGACAAAGTAGATTGAAAGATGAAGTAGCCAAGGAAATGAATACATGTGTAATCGCACGTGCGTTGTCCATAGAGTAGAATTGGATGACGCCATGACCCAATGGAATGAAGATAGAAACGAAACAGTGATCAGTATTGCACAAAGGAATCAGGTCATGGAAGCCACCAAACCGAGGCGCCCAGAATGTTTAGCTAGGGAGACTTATTCGTGGCGACAGGTGGCACGGGGACATACTTGGACGGATATGCCGGCGCCTGAAAGGTTTCCCACGCACTCTGTCTGGACCGGTACCGCTTGAAGACCAAGCCATCCCGCCAGGAGACTCTGTCTTCTGATGTTACTCGGAAGGCATTATCCCCTCCCTTTTCGTGCCTCCTGATACAGCCACTTTCGTTCCGCCTACTGATAGCGGCACTGCAGGAGGATAGACAGATATGCCGGCGCCTGAAAGGTTTCCCACGCACTCTGTCCGGACGGGTACCGCTTGAAGACCAAGCCATCCCGCCAGGAGACTCTGTCTTCCGAGACTACTCGGAAGGCATTATCCCCCATCGCCATGGGCGATGCAACCCGCGAATCCCGGCAAGATGTTCAGGTTCAAGTTTCTTCTGAATTATGCTAACACGTACGTTTTAGCTGTTTGAACACGCGTCAGAACTCGCCCGACACCATCCCGCTTGTCGCCTTTCGCAAGCAGATCCGCCGCCTCTTTCTCGACCTCAACCAGATGAGACAAATAGTCGTCCCATGCAGCTTCGGGGGCTTCGGTCGGGAAGGGGATGGGCGGCCCGTTGCGAAGCGGCGGACACCGAATGTTAGCGGGATTGATCTATGAGCGCGTCCGGATGAGAGCGGCCGGACAGACATAGCGACGACAAACGGACGCGTTTAACGGGCCGACACTTCCGGGGCTCAAGCGGGGACCGCTTGCCCTGACGCACGTATATGTATGTACCTAGCGTTTGCTTTTGATTGCGTGGAGACGCGAGGTAGATTGGTCGATGGATGTTCGACGAAAAGGGGACGGACGTTGGACCTCGGAAGTGATCCTTTCCCTCCTTTCGCCTGTGGAAAGACAACGGGTAAGCACGCAGGGCATAGGAAGTCTCACAAACGACATAACTTTGTTCTACGCCGAATCCGAGCGAAGCAGATACTCGGAGATTCGCTACTGCAGGTGAAGCGAACAGGCAATGCGCCTTCTCACACTTTTCTTCCAACAAATTTTAGATCATGATGGAATCCGTTCGCATCGTCAGTGTTCTTATTGTGCAGCGTGCATCAACAAGCACACGCAAATGGGAACAGTTGCGCTTCGCATGGATGTTGAAAATAATGGGGTGTGTTTGTGCTGAATGGAGACGGCAACTGACGAGCCCATCGTTGAAAACATAAGCGAAGGAGGTTTCATGCAAACGCATTTTTTTTTGGCTTTGCCGGGACTTGACAGCAGAGAGTTCAGGTTCAGGAAACCGAGATATGCTCCCAAAGGATCTATCCATCAGTAACGTCGATCCATTACATGACATGCTTTGGTTGGCTCCCATGACCTTGACCTCGCCCCTGGTTCCTATAACCTCCCAACTCGGGCCCAGGGAAGCGATCGAAGGGGGCGAGAGCGTGCCACTTACGACTTTGGGAAGGGTCGAAAAAAAGCAAAAAACCTAAAAATATTTTGGGGGACAACCGGGGTTTGAACCCGGGACCTCTCGCACCCAAAGCGAGAATCGTACCACTAGACCATTGTCCGTTTTGATTCTGGGACTGCAGTTGGGAAATTGGAGCGCTCGAAATCATACCACTAGACCATTGTCCGTTTTTGATTCTGGGACTGCAGTTGGGAAATTGGAGCGCTCGAAATCATACCACTAGACCATTGTCCGTTTTTGATTCTGGGACTGCAGTTGGGAAATTGGAGCGCTCGAAACCATACCACTAGACCATTGTCCGTTTTTGATTCTGGGACTGCAGTTGGGAAATTGGAGCGCTCGAAATCATACCACTAGACCATTGTCCGTTTTTGATTCTGGGACTGCAGTTGGGAAATTGGAGCGCTCGAAATCATACCACTAGACCATTGTCCACTTTTGATTCTGGGACTGCAGTTGCGAAATTGGAGCGCTCGAAATCGTGGCCCCGTTGAACTTCTTGCAGGCCCGGACTCAAATTGTGATAAGAGTGCATAACAATTTCTGCGACAAGCTGGACAAACATACCTTCCCAATCCGCCAAATCTGCTGGCGTGTTCAGAGTGAGGACAGAGCAATGGCTCGACCAGTGGGATTCTGAAATGGTTAGAGTGTTTTTGTGGCCTGAGATGTCCTACCTAAGTAAGGCGGAGTCGCGTGTACGTAATTCTCGCATACAGTACTTGTCGATTTGGACTCCGCCGGGGCTGATGGATAGCACGCTCGGCGGGAGGTGGCAATTGGCGAAAGCATGTCGTCAATTCGCTCGTGGTCCGCTAGGACTTTGGAACACATGATCAAGGACATCAACGACAAAGCTCCGTAACTAGCGGTTCTAATTCTTGATAGGGCGAGAGAGGCAGCAGCTCCCATCAGAGTCGCATGAGGTGGCGCAAACGGTGCCACATCCGTGGGTAGTGTACATGTGGGTGGGTAGGGTAAACGGTCAGAATGGTGAAGAAAAGTGGTACGCACAGCGAGCTTATGTACGGTGTAAATGACTTTCAAGTGTCATAATTTTGAAAAAGGTTTCATTCAATTGGATGTGGGTTGTTGACGCCAGTCTCAGGAGAAACATCGGGAAAACCGACTTGGAATGGACCCAATTTCTTCGCCAAAGTCTCGGCGCATCGGAACATGTACGGTGTAATGAGACGCAGATACCCGTACAAATAAGGAAAGAGGGGAAAGGCATCATTGGTTCGACACTTCCGCTGGCTTGGACATGCGCCGTGGGTCGATGAGTACGGCGTCGCATCAGCGACAGGCGTGGTGATCTTGCAAGAGGCTATCTTGCAGCGGGTAAGGCATCCTTCAAAAACATTTCCACGCGTACAACAGAGTCGCATGCTGATAGGTGAGTAAACACCAGTGTGAAAAGACATCCTTTGCAATGAAGCACATGCGAGAGAACTATCATGGAAACGTACGGTCAGCAGACACGGCGATAGCAATGGGGTGGGTTCCTTGCAAATGATTGCAAGCGAGGATGGTCTGCGAATGTAAGATCGTAAACGGTGAGCAGCGCCGCCGGGTTGCGTCGTTGGTGAGGACACAAGGCACTGGAAGTGTCGACTGGAAAATTTGGAACAGTCAGATGTTGGAGATCAGTGACTGTAGCGTCTTTTCTTACGGGCGAGTCTGTCCTACTTACGATATGGCGGAAAAGGCTTGGTGGTGCCGCAAATTTCGGTTTGGTACTCTTAACGGCGGATGGCGCCTGCAGCATTCCGTAGCGGTGCTGCCTTGAGGGCCGTTCTCGGATGTTGGTGCAGTGTACGAATCATATGTAGATTGAGGAGGAATAAACCAAAGAAGGGAGGACAAAACAGAAAGGAAAACACGGAGTCAGTAAAATGTTCAGGCGGTAAAGATATTGTTCGGGGTTCGAATTGGCGGGAAGAGGCCCCCACGTCTCTCAAATACTGCTTGACCAACCAAGAGAGCACGCCGTCCGCTCCTACACACTGTCGCTCAGCTCAGCTTTCGGGCTACGACCGGCGATTGCGACTGCGAGTTCGGTATGCTCGGCAAGCCCTGAAGCATAGATACCCCAGAGGCCGACCTCACAACTCCAAAGCGCAGTCGAGACTAATGAGAAGAGCAGGGTCGAGTCTTTTCCCCACCAGGAGTTTGGAGAACTCCTAGGTGAGGCTAGATGTCGTGATGGGCGTTATCTGGGCTACCCCACCATCCCCCGATATCGGAGGGGCCTAGGCTTCTAGTCTGGCAAGCAGAGAGAAGCAAAGGACCGAGAGCGCCTGCGTCCCCAGGCTTGACCCAGGCGCACATCCCACCTGTCCCTGTAGAACACGCGCGAGCGCTATTTCGAGAGAGAATCATACTCACAGCTATGAAAAATTTGCGGTGAATGGGCAGCGGAGAATCGTGCGGTGCTGCGGTGTTTCGAGTTGGGGGCGGGTAGATCTATTAGATCTCTCTCTTACTGCGTAAGTTCGGTGGTCGGCGGAGCGCGCGCCTGTGTGTGGAACTTGAACTTGACGCGCGTCGCACTAGGACTCCGACAACGCTTTTTCTTGCCACCGCAGTAATGCAAAAGTTCAGGCTGCCCACATTTATCATACTAGATATGGTAATAGTAGGACCATCATGATACGGGCACATGGCGCTGCATTGCGACGTCGTGCTGGCCGCCTTCGAGTTCTCGACATTTATTACAGTAGGTGGCCATAGATAGGTGGCCTTTACGACGGGGGCGCCTTTCCCTTACTAAGTAAAAGTGCCCCATCAATTTAGGAACCGCGCACTCGTCGTAACATTTGTTTTGGCCACCTACTGTAATTATTGGAACTCGCGAGTTACGGATGGGAAATTGATTGAGACGCGAGCTCCAGTCAAAAGCCCGTCAATGTCATTTTCCCGCGTATAAACTTATATGTATAATCCGCCTGTCACAATGCGGCCATGACGTCAAAAAATGGAAATAATTATTTTCCCCTGCAAAAGAATCTTCCACGGAACAACCGAATCCCGGACTTCAAGTTATCAGGACACCGCGCTCGTCAAATGCGCGCACAGGTGCCGATCTTTTGATTCCAACCATGTCAGACATGGTTTCACACTCGTTCGCGGCGGTGAGTTTCGTCCTTGGCGGACGATGCCATTGGCGTTGCTTCTTGCTTTTCGACCGTCGTGCGGGAGACTCATAACCAGCACAGCCCCATCAGCGGTTGGGGGTTCGAAGATCCCATCGATTATGCGCGTTTGGGGGGGGGGGGGGGGAGGGGGGACCTTCAGACATGTGCCACGGCAGGCCGCTGATCTCGGCATGCTAACTTCTAAGGCCACGCAGAATGCCGGTGAAGGGGGCGTCTGAAAAGCGTCTGCGGTGCGCTGCGCCTCTAAAGAGTTTAGTACCAGGGGGTGCAGGGAGAGAGTTGGAGTTGAGGAGTTTGTCCCCTCTTCGTCTCCTTCATCATGGATCTGGACAACGATGGGACAACGATGGGGACCTCCAGGCTCCAAATGCATCGCATTGAAAAATGAGCAAAGAGCACAGATGGCAATCCGCTCCATGTCATCGAGTCATCGAGTAACGACGACCGGTGAGACCCGGCTTGATGATAGTAGTAGGAATAAGTAGCGATAAGTTGTTAAGGTTGTGGATGTATCTATGGGATCTGATGGGATGTTCAGTCGTTCAACGCGTCGTTTTCCGCCAAACCCACACCGCCTCAATACTATGGGGTTACTCAGCCAGCGGCCCATAACAACGTCCACGCCCTCAACTCCAACTTCAACCTTGTCAACCTTATCAACCCAAAGAGTCCGAGTCCCAGTCCCCACGTCCGACACCTGACCTTCAACGTCGCATCTCGTTGCAGTTCACATCTCCCGTCGTCGCCGAAGCCCAGCAATATAGGGACTCCTCTCACACCATTCAAGTTATCTGTTCAAAACCCTTAGAAATAAACAGCCAGACGCGGAAGCGTGAGAAAAACCGAACGCCACAATCACCTTCCCACCGCCATGCACTTCGTCGCAACGACCGCCTTGGCAGCAGCATGCCTCACCGCCGGTGTCGCTGCCCAAGCGCAGCTAGCTCCGCTTGAACCGTCAAGGGGAATCATGTTGGGCGCTTGGATGGACACGGCGCCTGGAATGGATACGCCAAAGGACTTCAATACCCGGTTTGGCCACAATATTGTGAGTATCGAGGAGTGATGCGAACACGTGTGAAAATGTGGGGTCAGGGTGACGATGGTGTGTGGGATTGATAGCGGGCGCTGTCGATAACGTGCGTCGTAGGTGGATGCATGCTGGAGGGATAGCGCCGTCAGCCCGAGTAGTCGGAGAACGGCGAGCGACAGGGAGGCTCTCACAGGAACGAAGCGAGCATCCGCGGTTTCTGGCGCGGATGAGAACGCAATCGTGCCTTCGGCGGGAGAAACTCCCGCCCATTTCTCGCCCAACTTGTCATTCCTTGGTCGATTCATCATTATATCCACCTGGCACAATATTTCCATTTTACTTACTCAAGCCTCCCTTTTCCCTTTTCCCTTGTTCCAGTCGATGATCCACCTGGCGCAGAACCTCCCCATCGAGCAGGACAAACTCGCCCCTGTGCAGCTCATCGACCAAACAGGCACCAACGCGATCCTCTATTTATCCGTCTACCCCACCGTCACACCCGACAACCTGTCGGACAAGGCCATCAATGACTTTGTTCAGCAGCTGGCAACCTTCACCCACAACGGCCGCGGTATCCTGCTGCGTATCGCACCCGAGATGAACGGCAACTGGCAGCCGTACGGCCAAAAACCCGTCGCGTTCGTCGCAATGTGGAGGAAACTAGTCACCGCCATCCGAGCCGTCGACACAAACAAGAACGGAGTTTCCTTCATCTGGGCTCCCAACATCCAAGGTGGATACCCATACGGCAGAGTCGCCGGTGCTGCCACCGACCCCGAGTTTGCAGCGATGGATACCAACAAGGATGGCACGATCACCGTCGAGGACGACGGGTACACGCCCTTCTACCCTGGCGATGAATACGTCGACTGGGTCGGACTGTCGACCTACTGGTTCGGTCCTGGTTTCCCATACGTCATCAACGACATCCCCCCGCCTGGGTTCATGGAGAGGGTGATCCACGGCGTGTCAGCAGGAGGCAATGGTTTGGATTTCTACCAGGCGTTTTCCCAGTCGCGCAACAAGCCGTTCTTCATCACCGAGTCGGGATCTGCGTTCCATCTGAACAGGATCACGAGTGTTGCGAACCCTACCAACACTGGCTCGATCGCACCTGGCCCTGGAGAGCTCGCCATCAAGCAGGCGTTCTGGAGACAGGTATGCAGATCGTAGATCGTCTCTGTCTTTTTCTGTCTGGTTCGAACGCACCTCTCACAACCTCTCCTCCCGCAATCTTCACAGTACCTAACAAACACAACCTTCTTGGACAAACACCCCCTTCTCAAAGCGGTCTCCCTCTTCGAATGGCTCAAACCCGAAGAAACAACCATGCGCGAGTTCCACATCTCCAAGGACCCGGCAATTCTCGCCGCCCTCAAAGCCGACCTCGAGAAACCGGAAGTCCTGGCCCGATATTTCTTCGCTAACGCCGCCCAGATTGTCACTGACCCGACTGCGCCGGTTGTGCCCATTGCGAGTAACGGGAGTGTGGCGAGTGGAGGCGCGGGAAATGCGCCGCCGGCGGGGAATGCGGGGAGTGGAGGCTCGAACAGCGCTGCGGGTGTTGTGGAACGGAGCGCTTTGGTGGGGCTTGTAGCTGCCATTGCTGCTGTCGTTCTCGCTTTCTAGGCCTTTTTGGAACTCGAAAACTCACCTCCTCATTTCGTTTTGGACTCGACGCTACGTGCGGCGTTTCCACCCTTTAATGTCACCCCATCGGCGGAAACAGAAGGCGTAACTGTACCTACCCTTACCCCTTACCTCTCGCTTTCGACCGATGGGGCTTCTTCATATCTTACCTGTTTTCTTAGTTCGTCGTACGGCGTGTGTATAGAAGACGTTGTTGCTTTTTGTGTAGACGTGTGTTCTGCTTGTAGAATAATATGATTTTGTCTATGAGAGTCGTATTGCTCTGTTCGGAGATGGTCCGGGAGTTTTGATTGGCGTCGAACGTCAACGCTTTGATGTGTTTTGCGGAAGGGGGTTCGTTGGAAGGGAAGACGCGTCGGTTTCACACCCTTCCCAATCTTTTGCCACACACAGCACATCCCAGAGCACATCCCGCATAAAAGACAAAGACAAGGTGCAACGAAAGGACCAGAGACACTAGAGTCGTGAGGTGCGCGTACGAAGACTTTCGAAACAGGCCAAGTATGTTTGAATCATGGACGGACGAAAACCGTGGTTCCAAACTGCAAGAGATCCCGCGTTTGGAGGCCGCGGCTGATGCATGGACGGTTTACGAGGCCGGCACGGACGGTGACGGCACTGTTGCAGCGATGGCGGCTGTTAAACCGCTCAAACTTGGGCGAGGCATTGAGGCTGGCACGGGTCTGAAAGAGGAATGTAATCGGTAAGGGTGTAGTAGCTCTTCGGGGGAGGAATCGGCACGACAGGACAACCGACGAGTCATACGACGGGTTCACGTTCCATGCTATGGCTAATGCGGCCCGTGTGGGTGCACAGCGGCTGGCCATTGTTCTTGCCTATCTCGTGAGAGAACCGTGTTAGAGATGGTTCTGACGCTGTGTGCCGATTATAGCGGAGGGGACATGCTTGTACGCCGTTGGCTTCATGAACAGGAAGTGGTGCTAGTATGAATGCTACAACCACACCGATATTCCTGCAGATGTAGCGACGATGGAGACATGGGCCGCATCCCATCAGCGAAGTCCTCGACTCGCCGGGGTCCTTGCTGGAGAAAAACACAAGCGTGTATCTGTATCAGGACATCACCGCAGGGCTCCATATAGGTTCCTTTGAACTGGGTACCAGACGAGGAAGTTACAACTCCCTGATTTCACACTGGGCTGTCGCCAAAATTGCGATAATCTGTGGACCGCACAGGTCGGGGGGACGTTGGCGCACTTGGCGCACTACTGTTATGGCGAAATTCCTCCTTATTCAAGCAGATTCACATCAGCACGTGAAGGAGGAGAAGTTGTGGGGGAAATAAGAAGAGACGAGCGGACGACAGCCCTCGGCAAGGCCCAGCTGTACGCCAAACGGACCTGGATCTTCGTCTTCCGCGCGCCATGGAAGACGAGGACGAGTTTGGTTACTACTGTGTGACTGTGGATCTACGTGTCGAGAAAGACGCAGATCTTAAGACCGGACATGGGGGAGCGATCCGAGTGCGTGTGGGGCTCTTCGGCTTCTTAACGCAAATCAGCGGCCCGCAAAACCCGTATGAGAAACTTCTTGGTCACTACCTGTGAGAGCCACCATGTCCTTGAAGTGCGGATGTTAAGAAAAGTTTGTGTGGAATGCAGCAACATCCAACTTATTTTCAGGAATTGGAGGCTAGAGGACGACGGCGACTACCTAAAAGAGGAGGAAGAGGAAGATGAAGAGGAGGAGAAGGACGAAGAGTAAAGTGAGTCGTCAACGGACTCTACATGGAAACACCAGTCCCATTCCGACAACGCCGACGACAAGCGTTCGGAGCACTAGGAGAATTATTGGCACAATTGTGGAAACCGAACTGGGGCTGAGAGGTTTGATCCAGATGGCTTTCCGATCAGCGGACTGATAAAATTTGGCCAAAGGAATGAGTGTCTGGAAGGAAGCACGGATCCCGGGTGCGTGCGTAGAACTTCTGTGGGCGTTCCGGTTTCATGGTTGGGGTTCCATTCGCATCAAAGGATGTCTTGGCTTTTCCTTTGAGCGCCGAGATCTCGCCGATGCGGGCGTGCTATTCTCCTCTTTGCGCAGGCGATCAATTTCAACCTCGCGGAAGAAGAGTGGTGTCGCTAGGACCACGGGAACGTTCGTCAGCAAAAGGTCTTAGAAGGCGAGAAGGAAACGTTTGTGCTTTCGATCAGCAACTTTGGGAGTAAAGCCCGCGATACCCCTGGCAAGGTTTCTATGCAGCCAAAGTGCTGCGGTCAAGATTCATCTACGGCCGTGCCCTTTGGCATGAGGCACTTGTCCGTCCAGAGCTGTGATTGATCCGTCATTCTTGGGAGATGGGTCACTAGTCGCATAGACAGACGACAAGGAACGATCCATCGTTCGATGATTTGATTGGTCAAGATGCTCCAACCGATCTGCGGGAAGGGACGCACGATCTCGTGGTCCGTGTTCTGGAACTGCCAACATGGCACATGCCCTACGAGTTAACATAACTGTACTTGCGCTAATCTCAATCCCCACGAGATCATGGACGGGGTATGCCCAATATTCTCGATCATTTCGGAATTTGGACGGAAAGTGTTTACGAAACTCGACGATGAAATCGAAAGGAAACGACCGATCTCCGGGAGATGGGTATCTGCGCCACTCGCGTCGTCTTCGTGGTGCCGGAGATGTCGTCTTGCTGCCGTCGCTGTCTTTCTAAGGCGAAAAGAGTGATGTTCCTCGAAGAATCAGGGTCGAAAGTCGAAAAGGGCGGCAACGGGCCTAAGGTGAAGCCCGCGACCGCAATGCGATGTTCCGATGTACGGCCGAAGTCGTCACGATTTGATGATGGGCTCCTTGTCGACGACAGTATCTCCCCGGACAACCTGAAGGCCGTGATGTTAGCACCTCCTTCTCGAAGAGATCTGGAATCCTCAAATCTTCGACATGGGCGCCAACTGAGGTTCCGATTGGACTTCATGGTTGGTGGGAGTCCGCCAGACCTTACTCCTACTAGTACCACCCAGCGCTACGCTTTTGATTCTCCGGCGAAGCTGAAGGTTGACGATATTACAATGATTGTTATGGGCGATGAAAGGAAGGAAGCTGTGCCTCGGACGGTCCTCTTTACGTACGCAGGGGATACTGTTAAAACACCTGTAATAAGACGACCATAAATATCTGCATGAGCGGGAAGAGCACAGCCCGTATAAAGGCCTCTTATATTCATGTCCCACGGTTGCGCTAGCGCTAGCTCCTCGGTCTGCCATAGTCATCAGATGACCAGAGGTGTCGTCTAAACTGACAGTCACTGTCATTCTGTGGCTGCGTGGCTGGAGTGGCTTGCGTGCGTACGTAAGCGAGCGCGGGAAGATCCGGCAGGTAACAACTCTAAGTGTAAAAGCGCTCTTTCTCCAGGAGTGTTCTTTTTCCAGAACGTGGCTGGAGGTTTGACCGGAAACCACCGCTACTAGAGAAAGGTCATTAGCAGCAACCACATGCCCGCCAACCACGCCATAGAGTATCAGTAGTATGGCAACAGCACAGCAGTAGCATAGTCTTTTCCCCCTCTCGTCTAGTCTAGTTCGCGTAGTTGAGGTCTTCTGTCACACACCCTTCATCGTTTCTAAAATCAGGAAACTTGCGAGCTACGTTCGTGCGCCTCCTATCACCTTTTACAAAAGCTTATTCGGAGATTTTTGGTGTCTCGAGAGAGGCGCATACAGAAGGCGGTGCCCCTCGACGTCGACGTCGAACTCACCTTCTTTAGTATATTCTCGTGTAGACGTTGTAAACGCTCACAATAATGATCGATATACAACGCAGAGTAGGATACGTCGCAACGGCAGCCGCCATCCTCGCCATCGCCGGCCTGGTTTGGTGGAGGACAAGAAACGAGCGCGATACGAGGCAAGACGACAAAGACGACGAGCTTCCCGCCCCTGTCACGTCCTTAGAGCACATCCTCAGCGAACCCTGCAGTCAGACTGAAAAGCGCATCGATGGAACTCAGACTCAGACTAAAACTGAGACTGAGGTTTCCACAGCAGCTCAGACCGCCACGTCGACCGCAACACACCTGCCAGAATTGATTGATATATCCTGCGAAGACGCCGAGAGTCGCTCGATGGACGCGGAAGCCTCGGAAGACGACAGCGAGGCTTCGGGATCCCATCCAAGCACCACAAATGCGGTTGTCACCCCGTCGCCGACCATTGAAGTGCATGAGGAGGAGGAAAATTTGTTCCAGCTGGACGGCACCGACACGCTGCCTGCCGCTGTTACGGAGCCTGTGCTTCGTTCATCTGCTTCGTCTCACAGTATCGCCAGCAGCATTCGATCGTCCACACTCGATGCTGTGCCTCCGGAAGACACCGGCCGTGACTTCACCAGCTCGCCAATGGTTTTCCCTTCCGCTTCGGTCTTGAAAGTCGAATCGAAAGACTTACTGAATTTACACCCCAGCGGCCTTGGCAACGACTCCGACACGCCCACCCCTGCCGCCGCCGCAGATGCACCTGAGCCATTGGGATCTGCTAGCGACATCAAGAGAGAGGAATCCGCAAATGTGCAATCCCTGTCCGGCCTTCCAACCGACGTTGCTGCTCTCCCAGCGAAGAAACCTCTACCAAATCTCGCTATAACCATCCCGCCGCTGCGCCCCGAGCGCACCGTCACAGCGACCCTCGAAGTTTGGAGCACGTCCCCCGATTCCCCCAACTGGGAGGACGATGAAGAAGTGATACTTACGATCACATCACCAATTGACGAGGACGACGAAAAGGAGGTGCCGAGTCCCGTCGACCCTAGTCTTCTGTCGCCTGATATTTGTCGAGAAATGTATAAAACGAGATATGAGGCGCGGCAAGATGCAGATGGGAATTTTGGGGGGGAGGAGGTGTTGATCGAAGGGTACTATGATGAAGACGGGGAATTCGTTGAAGCGGTATATGATGATGTGATGTACGGGGATTCTGGGGATTTCGATGGACAAATGCACGGGGACTTCGAGGTGGATGAGGCAGGGGAGCCTGTAAACGACGCGGACGTGGGCATCTTGAAGCATTCGCAGTCGGCTGACTTTGCAGAAGACAAGGCAGGGGGCCTCTTTGACGAGGAAGACGTGCATCCATTGAAGCATTCGCAGTCGGCGCCCGCTGGCTGCCCTATATACGCAGTTGTGGAGCATCCTTACCTTGAGGAATGCGAAGATGTCGAAGACCACATCAACAGCGCCGCCGCAGCCACTGCCGGAGAAGGAACCGAGACCGACGCAACCCCGGCCGCCGCCATCGAGAGCGATCTCAGCATGCCCGAGGAGCTGCAGTGCGAACGGCCGCAATCAGCAGCAGCCGGAACCGCGACCGAAACCCGCCCGGGGAAGTCGCGCCTCAACCCTGCCGCAAATGCCTTCGTTCCTGTGTTCTCCACGCCCATCCCCACTGCGCATCCCATCTTCACCGCGCCGTCCTACGCCCCATCGGTCGAGGCACACACATACTCCACGTACCCGTACTTGCAAAGCGATGCTTACAGCTCGCAAACCTTCGGCATGACCGCGCGTGAACAAAACTCAGCGAGCGACATCTTCCACTTGCGAAACGAGCCCCAGCAGCAGTCGACCCACCACGTCGGCTCAAAGCTGAACCCGAACGCGACAGAGTTTATCCCAGGCGGGGTGGTCGCGTCCGTTCTCGCGCCGTCTGCGCCCGCTTTCACACCTCGCCGCAGCACCCAAAGCCGCCCGCCATCCCGCAAGGCAGCACCCACCACACCACAATGCATCTTTGGGACATCCTGCGCAAACAAGTCGAATTGCGCGTACGCGCACGGAGTTTTGTGTCGGTATGTATCTTTGCTTCACTCTTGCCTTTTCCTTTTTCTGTCGGTACACATATACTCACCATACTTTCGCGTCCGCAAATAGATACTATCCATCATGCAAATACGGGGCCATGTGCAAGTACATCCATCCAGAACCACCGGCTCCTACGCCCGTCAATGGTAGGACGGTGGGGGTGGTTGAGTTGTGATGAAGGGAACTCATGGGGGGTTGGGGGGTTAAGGTATGTACTCTCTGAGGGTAAACGCGCTTGATTGAGTTATACTAACCGGCACTGTCTCTTTAGGGGTTGGACATACATACAAACTACGACATTCACACACACAGTTCGCACACACCTGCCCCTGCACACACATCAGCCCACATTATCACGCAACACACAGTGCGAGCAGTAGTAGTAGTAGCAGTCACTTTTTGTCCAGTTTTTTTTTTAAGTTAAAGGAGTTTTTGTTAAGGTTTTCTGAGCAGTTTAACTGATTGTGTGATGCTGATGCTGGAGAGGAGGAAGGTCGTTGCGTACTCCCATTCCCCAACAACACAGCGAAAAGGGGACGCACAAAGCGATATATCCGTTTGCTTTTTTGTCTGTGACTATTGCTACAGTAGTTAGCGGTGCGCGAGAGGGCTTAACATGCCCGCGTTTGTTTTATCGATAAAACGAGGCCGAGGGGCCTATTCTCACCCGGTTCATCAACAAGTACGTGACCGTCAGCGACACGAAGTTGAAAGATGTGCTCCGCAAGACGATCCGAGCAGTGGAGAAGTTCCTAATTAAAGGCTGCGCCAGCTGCGATCGCCTTATGGAAATACACGTTGGTCTATTTCATGATACAATGAATCTAATTTCGTAAAGCGGCTTTGAGTTTGTCCATCTCAGCATGCAACTTTGCATATTCTGCCCTTTCCCTCTCCGAAACTCAGTCTTCTGTCGTCATCCAGCAAGTGGCACAAAGTATCATCCCTTGTGCCGTGATCCGATGGGAAGCAGCGTAAGCTCAGACATTCGACAACCGCCCTGCCAGGCCAAAGATTGGAGAAGATAGCGAGTGAGCGAAACGCTGGCCGCTTCGTTCCGCATACTGTACGCGACGCCAGAGGATCCACTACTCTCATGCCAGAAAAATGCCCTTGCTACACCGTCAGCTGCGAAAATGCCCCTGTACATCTCGGCTTGATGGCGTTCAGCTTTGATGGTGACCACGGGACCAGCACTGCTTGGCTCGGCGGCGCCCCTGTGCCCCCCATCGTAGCAGTGGCGCCCTGATGCTGGAAGTGTGGAGGTAGCACACGCCAGAGATAAGGCCACCCATATTCGAGGACCTCGCTCTTTCGCGAAGGTCAGGTTTCCTCATCGACCCAAACGGACAACAGATCCCCTTCGAGACCCAGAGCGCAACATGGAAGCGTTTACTTCTGCTCATAGCCGTGCGGCTGATACTCAGCACCATCGCTGCGTACTTCCGATCTCGAGTAGGTAGCGTTTCCGTGTCGACGCTCCGGGCTTCTACGACCACTGTGTCCCAGCCAGCTTCCACCCCCAAGGTTACTGAACCGGGGCCTGCGGAAACGGTGACCGTCACCGAAAGGGAACCTGCTTTGACAATCAAGTTGACCCAGCAACCCGCTCCGTTGGTCCCGACGGAGATAGCGACCCGAATGCAACGACAATAACTGCAATAGCGAACCCCAGCACACCCGTAACGCCGCCGGGTGACAAAGCGCCTCTTGATGGCCTGGCCCCTTTCCTTGCTGCGCCGTTAATGAACGACCGTGGTGCCGCTGCACTGGTGACGGATGCAACCGTAGTTATGCAGTCTTTTGAAAAAGGCAGTGAGCATACATCCGAAGTCTCGCCGCAATCTGCAGCCTCGGATGCGAACAGGTAACGGTGGATGCACTCTCCGTCTCTGTCGGGCGGACAGTAACAGCTGAAGTGGCTGTGCCCGTCTGGATTTCCGTGGTGGTCGTGGTCGATTCCGAGACGCCTCTGAGTGTACGGATAACAGTAGAAGCGGGCTCGATTTGCACATCGGGCTGAGTTTCACGCACGGTTGCGGTGGGAGTGGCCTTCTCAGGTTCACGCAAGCACTACAAAAGCACCGTCTGAGCAGCTAGAGCCCCCCGAGCATCCCCATAGAACCGGTGCGGCAGCTCCCGCTGGTAGACCAACGACGGAGCTCTCCCACTCTCGGATGCGGGTTTCGAGGAACCCGTGGAAGGCTCATGTCGCAGAAGGTTCGGAGGCGATCGATTAAGGTCGGCCTGGTTCGTGGGATGGTGGGCGGTGGGTTTTGATATCGAGTTTCGGGGTGCTCTCGCTGTCTTGATGGTAATCTCTGTCATGTCCGAGAGGGGATTCGTTACTTGGGCGGGGGACGCCTCATCGCGATCGTGGAGCGCTCGCACATCAGTCGGCAATCCAGATCTGGTAACACTCACACGGAGGTTCGGTGCAATCTGGAGGGAGGACCAGCTAGCTCGCCTGACTGTCGCTCCTTTGGCGTATCCGAATCTCCTGGTCGCGGGCCTCATCCACATAGTTTCACCGCTTTAACGCACAATCGCGGCGAGGAGGGGATCCGTCCAACTGGTCCCGAAACTGTCGGCTGATTTTCAAGGGGGCAGATCCTTTTTGCCTCGATCCACCCGGAACATTGGCCAGCGCCTTCATACCCAACGGGAAGGAGCTGAAGCGGTACGCACCGAGAAACCGCTGAGAGGCGCGGTATAGACACGGACTGACGATTTGCGCACTCCAGTGGGTGATGCCGACACCGAAACCCTCTATAGTATCAATATGTAACGACGCGTTGAGAAGCCCTGTTCTCGTCACACCGACTGGTCAGGGCCACCGACGCCTTCGGCTGTCCAGAATGCCTCTCCCGCTGGTTGCCTTGTGACAGGTGGAGGCTCGGTTGCTTTCGCGGGTTAGGATCCGGGTTGATATTTTCCTTTCATCCGTGGGTACTCCGCTTGGAGCGTCCAGGCCAAGCGCTCCAAACGCGCTTCATTTTCACGTCGTTTACGTTCCATTTCTCTATCTTCAGCCGTGATTTCCCTTGAGCCCTTCTTCAGCGGAACGCCGAAGGGGTTGGTGACGAGGGTCCCTTCGTGATGTCCCTGTGCCACACTGGCACACCACTGTGATGGTGTCGTAGTTACTCCCACATCCATCATCGTCGTCAAACACCCCCATCCACACACTCCTCAACTCAATCTTCCGCAGTCGGAGGGACGACGAATACGATCAGACGACCCCTATCACGAACCCCTCTCCCCTCGCGCGGGCAGGAGTTCATAGTAGGGATCGACGTATCGGCTTCACAGTCAGAAGTCAGCGAGGTGTGAACAAGAAGGTGATGGCATGTACAAGAGGGACAACGAGTTTCGCCACTACGATGAAATATGCCTCGGGCGCAGGGCCTGCATAAGTGACGGCGACGACATGCCCGAGGGACCTGCGTATCGCGAATAAGGTGACAACGACTACAACGGCGATCAGAGACGAGGGCGCCAAGGACTGCGGGCCACGGTTGTCTAGTCGCAAGAAAGCTGTTAGCGACAACCACTTCAAAACGTATCGCGACGACTGACACTCACACGCAGGACGGGCAACGACGGTGCACCACATCGTTCAAGTAGCAGGTCGTTGAAGCACCTTCGGCAGAGGAGGTGGCCAGAGGTACCGCAGTAGTTCGCAGAGCCCTCCATGCACACGAGGCACTCGGGTTCGTCGGCCATATCGATCGTCTTGGTCGTTGAAGACTTGAAGTTGCTAGTTGACACTTTTGACGGGGGGTTGCGGATCTGGGACCTCGAGCGTGGGAAGCAGACGTATAAACGGAATGTGCGCTCGGATGTGAAGGGGTGAGCCTCCGACGATGAGGGGGGCTTCTAAATTGTGAATGGCCCAATGGCTGATAGTCTATCGACGCTGGAACCAGATACAACCGATATGGGAACTGCTCTTGAGTATGAAACGATACTTGAATACAGGTACGGGAAAAGTAGACGATAACTTGATTTGAGGTGGTGGATCGGAGCGAGCACTGGTCTTGCAGCAGCTCTATCACCTCAGCGAATAGCGCCCGAGTTATCTCAGCTAAGATCCGCACGTTGGTGTCTCTTCGCTGTCGCTTTCGCTTGGAATTCCGTCATCTCGTTTTCGGACCGGTCACCTTCATGGGCGAGTTGGCTCGCCCCAATAGGTCAGACACTTCCTAGTTGTGACGGCTGTATTGCCAAGGGTATCGACTCCTCTTTGTTTCTCTGGCGGATACGCCAGTCTCGTGGGTATTGAGTCTCGTGTAGTGCCGGCCGTGTCTACACGTTTTCCGAATCATCTTATTTGTCGAATAGAGTAACATTGGCCGGGGTCTGCCGCCTCGTCGGGGCCATACGTGAATGCATATGCCCCCAGGTACGTTCCTTCATCCTCCCAGGATGGTTCCGAGGCGTCTCTAAGGTCCCCCATATTTGTACTGGTCCGCAATCGCTTCCACAATGTGACGATCGGGTACTCCAACCAGTCTAAGCTTTGGATGAACGATGGGGGATCGCCTACCCGTTTGTCCACCGGATTCTAGTCAGTCTCGCGGGCCTTAGCCGGGGCCAGCGAGAATTGTCCTCCTGTAGCTGTTGCTGAGGACCACGTGACGAATCGACGGAGAAGGAGACCGGTGCTGGATGTTCGGCGTTCGCGAGGGAGACCGACGCGCCCTCCAGTTGTTGTTTTCCACGAAACGCGGTTAGTTGCTGTCTCGGCCTCGGCGAGGAAGACCACATATGATGCATACGCAAACAGCTGCCTCCTTCAGTGCTGGGTTTGCCCGGCGGACAATCAGAAGCCCGGGACGTGACTGATAGCAGCGTCAGATGCCTAACCGTATCCGGTATCGCCGTATCGACATCCATGAGCAACCCGCAAACCGCCAAGTGGGTCTGTTCCCGCGAATGTTATGCCCCGCGCCAGCTGGAGGAAACACTCACAGGAGAATTGTCGCGCCGCTTCCCACTTTTCAAGATCAATGCCTTCCAGAGTTTTCGCGGAGTATCTCCGTATGCCGTCGTATGCGTTCCATCGCAGTCACCAGATTGGCTACTGATTTGTATTCTACTCGTCAAAAGGGTGCCACGAACTCTTCTTGCAGCGACGGGATTGTAGAAAGCCCAATACATGTGACTTGTAAGGAAGCCGTAACCCATGTTCTTCGCGTATCTTGGAGACCGACCGACCGTCCCGTTGGCCGAAAGCCTGCTCTCAATTGATGGGGCCGAACTAATCGTAGCAGGGACCTTGGAATTCCACACGTCAAGGACACAAAGTCTCCCGGAAGAAAAAGACTGCCACCCGTCCAGTCTCCGTGACCACACGGATCACCGTCTTGCAAAGAAATCGTTGGTCGTTCCTGAGATTAGAAGTGAATACAGAGGTAACGCTCTCTTGCTGTCATGAATGTCCCTACGTCCGTCAACATACTGTCGCGCGTATCGCCCACGGCGGTCGTCGCTACTGGGGGAGCGATGGTTTCTAGGAAATGCGAAAAGTGACAGTGGTTGGAGCGCCTTCAGATCTGCGGCTGAAACGTCGATGTGGTCCGGGGGAGGACGATGTCTCGTGGGCGACAGACGACCGAACGTCCAAAAAGCCTGGCTGATCGATTGAGCGGGTTCTCTAGACATTTCTCGAAGCACCCTGGCTGAGGTCGGCGACAGCTCGTTTCGTTCCGGACATGACGTCGATGAGATCTCTTCGGAGCCGTCAAATCTCAGTTTGTGGGCCTTCCAAGCGACCCACAAGCGACCGCCGGAAAGTATCGAACCGCGCGCCGGCAACTTCAGAACACCACACAGTCCGCCCAAGATTGCTCCAAGATGGACCCCATCCTCACCCCAACCTCCTGGAAATACAAACACGAAGGCAATGCAAACGTCGTCTTCACCTACACCGGTTCACACCCACCCCTAGTGAGTTGAATGCTGTGTGTCTACGCTACAGCCTGGACACCACCTAACACTCCCCTCCAGAAAGGCCATGTCCTCCGCGTCCGCAAAAGCGTCGACACATCGGAGACACCCATGAGTCTTGGGGATGAGCAGGGGTTCCAGGAGCGGGTGATTGCGCCGCTAGTTGGGGGGGATTATGTTGCTAAGACTGTGAGTTGGGAGTGCGCGTGATTCCAATTCCCATCAGGAGGTTCTGAGCAGGCTCCGTTTCTCTCATAGAGATTCGTGAAGGTCACCCCAGACTTCTTGCAAGCCCTCTCAACAGCCTTTGCGGCGTTACGACCAGAATTGAGGCGGAACAGGGATCTGGACCTCCGGCAGGAGTTTGTGGCGCTGATTCCGGACCTGACTGTTGCGAGCACTGATGGTCGTGGGGGTGGGCTGGCGATCACTGTTGAGATCAAAGTAGGTTGTTGGGGGTCTCCTGCCGAACTGGGGTCTCCTGCTGAACTATGCGAATTATTGACGATTCCCTTCAAAAGCCCAAATGGGGCTTCCTCCCAACCTCCCCAAACATCACCCCCGTCAAACTGCACACATGCCGCTACTGCATGCACCAGCACTACAAACAGCACACGCCGCTGAGTGAGTTCTGCCCTCTGGACCTGTACTCAGGCGATCACCGGCGGGTTGCAAAGGCCGTGGATGCGTTGGTTATGTGCCCGCAGAATAATCTAAGGGTGTTTGTGAGAGGGGATTGTGTTGGGGTCAACAGTGTAGGTCTTTGTTGTTGTTGCTGTGAGCTTTTGTGGGTGAGGGCTGATGGCTCTTATAAAGGCGACCGCTAAAGCAGCGGTGGAAGCATTAATGCGTGCATCCCATTCAACCGACACCGTAAGCATCCCATCGTCAATGCCCCTCTCAGTATCCTCTCCTCTAATCAGCCCCACACAGACCCCAGCCACCTTCCTCACAACCCTTTTAACCCCCATAATCACCTCCCAACCCCTCTTCCCGCGTCTCGCAACCCATCAAGCAGGTCTTGACTCCCTTGATATTGAAGGGATCATTATGGTCTACAATGCACTACCAATGGAGTTGAAGACAACAAACCCGACGCTGGGGGAGTGGGAGGGGGTTGTGGCGAGGTATTTGGGAAATGATGTGGGAGCGGTGGAGGGGGTGGAGGAGAGTAAACAGCGGGTGTATGAGTATCTGCTGTCCGCGACGTTGAAGGATTGTTCGGTTATGATTACCGTTTGGGTTGATGAGAACGCCGAGGACAATGGGTGAGATTCCTCCCTTTCACTTGCATGTATGGTCTTGACTCACCGCTTCTAATTCATCACTTAGTCACTCAGCCCCATCAAAAGAAAATGAAGGCACCATCTCCGTTCCCACCTCCTTGCAACCAACAATCATCCGCTACACCTTAGGACTAGTTGACATCGACCCGAAGAACATTACAAAGGTGCCGGAGCATTATGCAAAGGATCAGGAGATTGTGAAGTGTTACGCGAGCGTAGGGGTTGAGAGGCGATGTGGGTGACGATGTTCGGAGAGGCGGAGAATAGAACGGGCGGCATATCAGGTAAGACTTCAAACTCTCATAGCCCCACTTTCCATGCAAATATTTTTCTCAAACATACAAAGAATTTGTTGAAGGGAAGGCGAATGTGCCAATCCGTCCCATAACGTTGTTGAAGTGAGCGCCAGTGCTGCATTTCCGAGGGTGGTCGGCGACGGGGGGTTCCGTGGACAAGTGTCCGGAGGAACGATGCTGTTGAGGGTCGTCTTGGTGGGTGTTGCGATGGGACCCACAAACCTCACAAGGCTCACAAGGTCCAGTTTCGAAACCATTTTCGAAACATCAACCCGCTTGTCAAAAGTATCATTTGCTTCCATCAAAAGACCAGGAACTAATACAGCCAGAAGGTCTCCAAATGGATGATACCTTATGTGAGCTAGCTCTATAAGATTTCGATCCTGCTGATAGAGTCCTTGTTGTAGACATGCTGCAGAGCGAATATTCCCCGCCGCCTTCGTCGGTATAGTTCTCCATCAACCAATCATGAACAAACTATATACCCTGCTCGCTCTGCTTGCGACAAGGATGTTGGGCGGGTGTGTGATCCGCATTCTTGGGCCTCCGGCCCCGCCGCACTCAAGCATTCTTGCGTCTCGCTTCGCTCGGACTCCGGCGCAATAGGGCTCGCTAGCGCTCGAATTCTCCTCGCTCCGCTCGGAAACCGCCACAACCTTAAGTGTCAAATCAATATTGAGTGCCCTTTATACTAACTTTTATCTCACCTGGGAGCTTGGGTGGCAGAGTGATGTGGTATAGTGTTGTGTTCTGGATATCACGTTGTATGGGTATGGGGAGGGTTGAATAGTTTCTCTGAGCGGGCTGGGTGGAGGACCAGCCGTCCTTGGCTGTTCTTTGGTCACTGTGATATCCGGGACCGCCGCATCCTTTCAAGGCATGCAATCTTCGGTCTAATGGGCGCGTTGTTTGAGTATTCCGTTGTTGCGACAGCGATAGGGGGAGGGTTGCGTGAGAGTGAGTGAATGAGTGCGCATGCGCTGGCTGCTGGTGTTGCAAGTGCCAACGGGGGGGGCCGTTCGATGGCCGAAGCCCGTGAGTGTTGGTTGAAACTTGAGAGTGTTGAGCGTGTTGAGAAGGGCAGGGCCCCACTCGTCATCCCTCTTCCCTCTCGAGCGTCCCCTCCCTTTTCGCCAGAACTCGCAAAGTTCCCACCCGCTGCTGCAACCCCTCCCACGCCCTCTCTCTATCTACAGCACCGTACATATAGAGTCTAACCAACACCGTACTCCATATTCCTGTGCTTGCGGTCTCGTGCAGCAAAGAGTCCTCCGCGCTATACCTACGTTGAACGACCGGCCGCTGTTCTTTGATCACCCCGCCAACCCAAAACTTCACGCGTGAGAGATCCCACAACAAGCAACACTCAACAAGCTCTCACCAAAACACACTCCCATCCGTCTTCCAACCTTATCCTCTCACCCCAGCACATCCTCAAACATGCCAGGCGGTATGTGAAATGCTTTTCCACAGGGCGGTCTCATTCCCGCGCACCTCCCCTAATCACCCCCCTCGGACAAACAGCAGCGCCAGAGGAGTGGCTGGAAACAGTCAAGAAATGCCAGTACCTGCCTGAACCCGATATCAAGAAGCTTTGTGATATGGTATGTGAGTGGAGGCCCGAAGGTCGAGTCGATGGGATTTCGAGGCGGGAGAATTTTGGATGAGGTGACGGCAATTGAGGGCGGGAGTTGCGTGGAAGCTTGTGGGAGGCGATCGGTAGTGGGAGGCCCGCAACGGTGAACGGCGCATACAGAAACCGCAGAGGTGGACACAGTCCCCTTGTTGCGGCCTGACCCTCGTAATTCTGGCCGAGGCGCCGCAATTGTCGAAATCCTTTGGTGCGGCACATCTTTTGCGGCTTCCAGAGGAACCCCGGCGGCCAGTGAAAGAGAAGCAAATGTGAATCCCATCTACTTCACGTCAATCCATCCATTCTTCTAATCCCATTATTCCGAAAATAGGTAAAAGACTTGCTCATGGAAGAGTCCAACATCCAGCCCGTGAGCTCCCCAGTAACCGTCTGCGGCGACATCCACGGCCAATTCTACGATCTGCTCGAACTGTTTCGCGTCGGTGGGGAGGTGCCAGATACAAGTTACATTTTCATGGTAGGGAAATCAGGGAGATTTGGTGGTGGGATCTGAAGTGGGGAGCTGACAGGAAGTTTTGTTTGTTGGACGTTTTTTAGGGAGACTTTGTGGATCGAGGATATTACAGTTTGGAGACGTTTACGTTATTGCTGGTTCTGAAGGCGAGGTAAGGACAGAGATTTTCGCTTCGGTCCTCCCTAATTCGACTTTCCGCTGACTTCGTCATTCACCTTTTTTAGATATCCGGATAAGATTACGTTATTGCGAGGGAACCACGAGAGTAGACAGATCACGCAGGTGTACGGGTTTTACGGTATGTTTTGGGGGAGGGGGACAACATGACGGAGTCCCCAAAATACAGCAGTTCTTCGCTCAATCCCGGAACGAACTAATAATTTCGGCGATTTTACAGATGAATGCCAACAAAAGTACGGCAACGCGAACGTTTGGAAATACTGCTGCTCGGTGTTTGATTACCTAACACTAGCTGCGGTGAGTGTTTCGGTCATCACAAAATGAATTCCATCTCTGCATTTCTCACTGACATGATACCTCTCTTCATGATTACAGATCGTGGACGGCCGAGTCCTCTGCGTGCACGGCGGTCTGTCACCCGACGTGCGGACGCTGGATCAGATCAGGACGATACAGCGGTGTCAGGAGATTCCGCATGAGGGGGCTTTTTGCGGTGCGTATACATATACTCGTCATTAGACACAGGGACGTAGCGATGTACTCACTGTCACATGTCGTATGCAGATCTCATGTGGTCAGACCCAGAAGACATCGACACATGGGCCGTCAGTCCCCGCGGCGCCGGCTGGCTCTTTGGCAGCAAGGTCACCTCCGAGGTAAGTCTACTGCCGACGCATACACTTCCCCTCCTGGCGATATTAACAACCCCCCCCCCCCCCCCCTCTCCCCCCTATCAGTTCAACCACGTAAACTCCCTCAAATTAATCGCTCGCGCCCACCAACTCGTCCAAGAAGGCTACAAATACCACTTTACAGACGAGAATCTCGTCACGGTGTGGTCGGCGCCCAACTACTGCTACCGCTGTGGAAACGTGGCGAGTATCATGGCTATTGATGAAAGTCTGGAAGTGAGCGAGCAGAGCTTCAAGATTTTCCATGCGGTGCCGGATAATGAGAGGGTGGTGCCTGCGAGGCAGACTACGCCGTACTTTTTGTAGAGAGGAGAATGAGAGTGCAGGGAGGGAATGGGACGGGGAGGGAAGGAGGAGTGGAGGTGTGATGGAGATGGAGGTGAGATGAAGGTAGAATGGACGCGGTCAACGATTCGAAACGATGGATGCGATGATCCCACCCGAGAAATCGTCGGTTGCCGCCGTACCCCTCCGGCACGTTACTCCGCACCAATCGAAAGTTATCCAACCGACCAAACTCTCTGCCCCTGCTCGAACGCTTTCGTCTACCTTACCCACCCGCCACCATCCACCGCACCAACCCGCTGCCCCAGCGCCATACCCTGGGCCAGCGGGCAACCCGTCGGTCCCGCCTTCGACATATGCGCGCTCCCTGCAACCCTTGCGCGCGATACTCGTCAAACGCAAATACCGACATACCCAACACTTGAATATATAGCGTCCGCCCCTTTTTGTTACCCTCTACTCTTCATCATCCCACTAGTATCACAGTGGAGAGATTGATGTACCTTTCCCTGTACTTTTTGACGATCGTTTTTTTGTCGTACAGTTGATTATGCACACCACGACGAGTCCTTTTCTAAAAGATTGCGGATGACGGGGTTATTGCGTTGCATTGCATTGCGTTGTAGTTGTTGTGTGCATGAACCGCTTTGGTCTGTTCTTTGCCTTTGTGTGGAGTCTACTCCCGGAAGGGACGGGAAGGACACCTCCGGACCAGCCTCCGGACGCTTGGACGCTTGCTTGCACAAAACAACAACAGGCAGCTATCCAACAGTGAGGTAGACTATATATATACCCACATACCTTCACGCACAGGGCGATAGTGGGACCGTATACTTGCGGGGATACGGTAGAAGTCGTCCCTTTCTGGCGCCGACACCCCGACCCGCAGAACGTTCTGTGCACACCTCCCGCCAACCATTATCGCGTGTCCGGAATGCAAGCACCGAGCAACGAGAACTCACACACCCCGCAGACACTCGAGAGTACACGACCCGGCACACTGGGGGAATGGTGTACCTACTATCGGCAACGGCATTGCGGATGGGGCATCCTCGCCATGCCCGACATGTAGTCATATCGAAGAACGCACGATGGGAGCCGACGCGTGGGATCGGGACGATGGGATTGACGATGTGGAAACGGCCCACGATGCGGAGTAGGGAGAATCTCAGTGTTGGTGTGGCTGGAGCAAGACGGCCGATGAGGACGAGTAAGGATGGGATAAATTCGATGAGGGTGTTGGGGAGGAGGGGCATGGCCGGGACAAGTAACGGAGGTGGGGAAACGACGACTGGCGCCAAAGTGGAGGAGATGGTGGTCAAACAGCGGACGAGACGCGGGGAATCGACTGTATGGACCGTTATGGCGATGCAGCGGGGCTCGACACAGGGGCCAGGACAGCAGCCTGAATGGCGGGTCGCCAAAAAGGTAGTCGACACCTCCCACCCCTCCGCCGACCCATCAAACATCCCATTACCCGCCAGCCCCCAAACCACCACCAACATCCTCCACACCGCCTACCTCCAGACCCGCGAAAAGCTCGCCATCGCCTTCCTCCCAAAGGGCTACCCGCACTCCATCACCCCCGACTACACCCCCTACACCCTCTATTCCTTCCTCCACTCCGTCACGGGAACCCTGACGGGCACCCTCTCCACCCAAGCCCTCCTCCTCGCCCTCGGCATGTCCGCCTCCACCTCCGCCGGCTTGGCCGCGACAACCAACTGGATCATCAAAGACGGGTTCGGACTCCTCGGGGGTGTGGTGTACGCCGCGCTCACGGCGAACAGGTTTGACAGTAGCCCGAAGCGGTACCGGTTCCTCGCGGCGGTCAGTATCCAACTAGCCACCATCGCGGAGCTGCTCACCCCTTTAGTCCCTCACCTCTTCATCCCCTTGGCCGGGTTATCCAACATCTGCAAGAACATCGGCTGGCTCGCCGCCTCCGCCACAAAAGCCTCCATGCACAAAGGGTTCACCCGCGAAGACAACCTGGGCGACGTGACAGCAAAAGCGGGTGCGCAGGCCACTGCTGCCGGATTGGTGGGGACGGGCGGCGGGGTGTTGTTGAGTTGGTGTGTGGGCACGGAGGTGGGGAATCTGATGGGGGTTTTTGTGCCGCTCTGTGCGGTGAATCTGTGGTGTGCGTATAGGGCGAATGAGAGTGTGGTTACAAGGAGTATCAATTTGGAGAGGGGGGAGGGGATCGTCAGCGGGTGGTTGAGGGGGATGGGGGGCGACCTTACGAGCCGCGTGAGCCCCACGGGCCTTGAGACGAACGGCGGCGGGACGATGGATACGGGATCGAAGCAAGAACGTGGGAGCCGGATCCTTCCGACCCCGCAACAGATCTCGCCGACCGAACACTTCATCTACGCCTACAGATCCGTTTTCCCCGTCCCTCTCGCGTTGGAACCGTCACTCAAACGCCGACTCGATGTATTCACCACCCACCAACAATGGGAACGCTTTCTCAGCGGGGAGACGACGTTCGGGCGTTCGAGGACCGCCGCGAGCGAAGCGCAGATACCCAGTGAGAATTATCGCCTCCTCATCGCCCCCGGCCCGGCCTCGCGTGCGCGGTCCTACATCCCGCGCATCCTCCACAGCCTATGGAAACCCAACGAAAATGGAACCGGTACACGAACGACGAAAGAGGGTATACCCGACGTCCACGTCTGCTGCTGGTACACGGAACACGCGACCGCGGAGGATATCCTGAAAGGGTTCTACCATGCGTGTGTTGTGCGCGCTCTTGTCGCTCAGGAGCCCCAACCTCGCGATGTCGACACGATACAGGGGTACGACGGGGTGGTGGTGGAAGCGTACCAGTTCGTGGAAGAGACGTTTGAGGATTTCATGGCGAGTTTGAAGGGGGCGGGGTGGGACGTGGGCTTTACGCATTTGGGGGATCGGAATGCGCGGTTGAGGATTGGGTGAGGGGGGTGGCAGACAGAGCGGGGTGAGGGGACGGTTGATGTGGGGTGCATCGTCGCTTCGTGAGTGAGCCCTGAGGGGAAGGGCTCCGAGTCCTTCGGGCACCCCCTCGAATATCTCGGAAACGCCCATTTCGGCCCGACCGCAACGGGATCTCATGGACTCAAAGTTGGTACCTCCCGTTCAAACGGCCCCCCCATTCTTTGCCGCCATCGCTGGAAAGATTCACCCGGCAACTTCCCTGTCGTGCATTGCATAAGAGCACCGCCGGGACCCACATGGACAGCTGAGACTGTACCCGAATCGGATACCGGAGAACAGCTCGAACGCAGTACAAGGCGGATCTCCTTTACAGCGTACGGCGTATCCCATAGGTTGATAGGACGTAGATATACTATGTATACCCCTTTCCTTTCCCCATTTCTCTCCCGCGCCGAAACCCGCGCAGTGCGAAAGATACCCCCTTCTGCAACCCCCGTATTGGCTAGATCTATAATGTCTCTATCGGCCCAACCTCTATCAGTCAATTGGCCCTTACTGACCTTCCTTTGGCTTCACAGGTCAACGTGGGCTGGCCTGGGAGCGTGGACGACAGCAGAGTCTTTGCCACATCTTACGTTGGTCGCGGACTCCGTGATGGGAAGATTTTCCCTCCCGGTTTCTTCTTGGTTGGAGACTCTGGCTATGCGCTGCGATCGTATATGCTGGTCCCGTACAAGGGGCTTGTTTCTCCAACCGCGAAACAGCAGAACTTCAACTTTGCCTAATCCTCAACCCGTATCATCATTGAACAGGCCTTCGGACATTTGAAAGGGCGCTGGCGCGTCCTCCGGGGGGAGCAGCAGGAGGGCTCGAAGCTTGCCACGAACGTTGCCATTGCCTGCATGGTCCTGCACAACCTTGCATCTAACGACGCGAAGAGCACGTACTGTACCTTGGACGTGTGGTCTGCTGACGATCCCGGCTCATCCAGCCAGTCTGCTTCGGCCAGCATCGGCAATCCTGCAGGCAATAATTGGGACATACATGCCGTGCGTTTGCGAGACAGTATCGCAGAGGAGATTTGGTCGGGCTTGGAGGCGGGCCCTATGTAGTTATTGTTGGATATACGACAATTCACAGTATGATGATTGATAAAACAAAAACAAACAACGGGCAGATCGTGCTGGTATCATAGGGTGCCCTCATTGTACGTGAATATGTACTTTTGCACTTCCATCCCCCCCTGAGAATGCAAATCGTGGTCAGTACTGCTGGATATGGCAGGATATGGCGGGATATGGCTGGATATGGCTGGATATGCAAATCTCTCACCTTCTCACAACTCCATCTCTTCCTGCTCCCTCTCGGCGTCACGCCTCTCCTCTTCTTTGGTATCGGCGGAGTCCATGACATCGATACCTTCGCTGGATCTCTCCGAAGAGAAGTTTCCCCATCCCGCTTCCGCGTGCGGGTCGTCTGTTGCGACAGCGTCCCTCATCTCGTCATCCTCCCCTTCACCCCCTTCACCCTCCTCATACTCGTCCTCCCCCTCTCTCTCCGCCTTGGCTGCGGTGAGCTCTCTCGAGGCGGTCGGCATGGGCGGCGTAGAGGTCGTCGAGCTTTTCGTTCAAGCCGCTGCTCGCAAAGTAAGACGGCCATCCCTTCCCTCCCCGAGCCCTGCGGATGGCCTGCCACATCCCTCTTCCTCCTCAACCCCCTCCAACTCCCGCATCCTCGCATCGTGCCATTCTTCCCTCACCGCCGCAGCGGACTCCTCCTCTTCCTTCTCCACCTCCAAAGCCTCCAAGAAACGTCGCCCAACCGGGATCCCAGAGCGTCGTACAGGCGCCTCGGCTGCAGGCGCAGCAGCGGGAGCGGGAGCAGGGGCGAGAGCAGGAGCGGAAGCAGGGGCGGGAGTAGGAGCAGGGGCGGTAGCAGTGGCGACAGCGGGGATGGTGCGTTTGGCGGGGATACAACGGCGGGTGGGATACGGTGCCGGGATTCGAGGGCATATATACAGGAGCCGCATGCATCCTCGTGCCGAAACTTACCGGCATCCCTCGAGAAAAAGTAAGGATGTCGGGAAGTTTTAGCACGGGGACAGATAGGTCGTTCAAGGGCCGCTGCTTCCGCTGCTCCCGCGCTAGACCTCCCGAGCACCTCCACCCCACAGAAGCGAGGACCTGGATATCGGATTCGGCGTCTTCGTTATCGACGTCCTCAACGAGCGCTTCCTTCCCTTTCGAGGAGAACGGTTGGAGGACGGTTGAGCTCCCCTGGACGTAGCCCGAGTCTTGCGAGCCGCGCCGGCCGGCCTGGCCTTCGCAGCGGGAGCTTTCTCGACTTGCGCTTAACATCGGTAATCCCGAGGCACGAGAGGCCACCACACGAACGGCGGGCACATGCTTGCAATCATCACTTCCTTGATGTCGCGGTTGCGAAGGTGCAGACCTTGGAGGTCGATATTTTGTAGGGAGTGGCTGCAACCATTTCCACAGGGTCTGCCGCTCAGCTATGCCTCTTCACACCCCAACTTCTCCCACGTATAGGTCGTCGGACTTTCAGTGATTGCTAGCACGGCTAGTTCTGACAATATGATCTGAGAAAGTGGGCCGGTTGTTGTCGACCCGAGTGGCAATGACTTGATGTTTACAAAACTATGAAACTCTTCCAGAGCGGTTCATTGATGGCGTAGGTGTCGGCCAGACCTCCGCCGAAGGTAAGCTTCCTCACAAATGTTTTCTGAAGGGATTGCAGGCTGGCGTGACCAATGACGGCTTTGAACACCATGGGGCACAATCGCCCAGCGGGATTCCCTAGCTGACGTTTACCACGGTTTCCAACTGAACGCCCGCCGTATGCCCCGGAAAGAGTTGCATAACCTTCCTCCTATTCCCCTCCGCATATTCCCAGAGACCCCAGAAACAGGGGCATTCCCTAGCCTTGGCCTCCCATCGCCTACCATCCGACCCCCGTCGGGATGGGGATGTAGGCGGTAGGCACGGCGCGCCCACCCTCCAAGGACACCCGTGTTCACGTGGTGCGTTCTCGTCAACGTCTATGTTCATTGCCGAGAGTTCGGCGGTGAGCTCTTCGTTGTTGATGCGCGTAGGAGATTCAGTTGCGACGGTTGCGACGGGTTCGATGTTGGTGCTCGTTAACTTTGCCGAAGAGAGCTGAGCTTGCAAGTCGGCTCTCTGGGCGCGGAGTATGTTGATGGTCTTTGCCAGTCGCGCGACGAAATTTTGCATCCGCTTTTCATCATAGGTAGTGTTCGCACCGTCGACCATCTTGTCAATCTGTCGCTCCGCGTCCCCGTCAACTTGAGGCGATACAAAGGTTTGGCACCCTCCAAGCGATCCAGTATCTTCTTGAGCCACACCTCATAAATGTCGTTGTCGCTGTCGAGGTCCTTTCGGTAGTTCACGTCCTTGGCAACCTCCACCAAGTGCGTCTGCTGCGCGATGAGTGGAACCTACTCCAGTCTATCCACCTTGCGCAGAAGTAAAGCTGCTAGCTCTGCCTAGGGATGACTGCGCTATTGCGTCCGGCCCATCTCCGACATCGCGTATGATGCTGTCCGCCTTCTTGTTGCCGCGTCTGGAATGCTTGTGGGGCCGGCAACGCGAGGACTCCCACGACTCTGATTGGGCCAGGCGCGGGGCGGAGGGGGTGACGAGGCCCGGCGTTCTTCTGTGGTTGCAGGTCATGGAACTGATAGATGCGGAAGACGGATAAATGAGCTCACTTAAGCACAATCGCTGAAGGTTCAATTGACCGACAAAGACTTACGCGTCAGAGGATCATTTGCAACAAACGCTTCCCGACCTAACCAAGGTCCTACTGCGACCAGGGGCGGTGGGTTGGCATACTCTTCATCGTTTTCTTCCTCCTCATCTTTCGCCACGCCCGTCAGCCATGTGGTTGCGCTGGGTTGGGCGGTCCTGCCCATGATTGCCATGTATACATGCTCGTAGCGTTCATCTTAAGTGATCCAATGGGCGTAGCCACGGCCCCTCGCTTTCACGATGAGTCTGTTTGTGAAGACGCAGGAATTGATGGCGGTGGCTTCCCCTAGTCGCTGCTTCCGATCCATTTCCCACTTGATCCTGATGGTCGTCCCCACCGTTGTGATGACGTGAGATGGGTCAAATCCGTTACTGGTCATTCTTATCTCGATGCCCTCGAACACGTCCTCCTCGTTCTCCTCATCTAAACAGAAGGCGCTTTCGGCGGCGGTGGTGGCTACTGTTGGAGGCCGCGGACGAGGGAAAACGACTGCCTTACTCGTAGCGAAACGAGTGCGCACATGAAGGCAATTCACTTGCGTTCACCGATGGGCAAATGGCGTGGGTATTCCAGAGAGAGTTCAGGTTCCAGATTGCCCGTTCACAAAGTCAGGAGCACGTGACCATGAAAAGGTTGTATGGGTCCATTTTAACTCGCAGCCTTGTTTTCAAAATTTGCCATGTCAAAAGACAACTCTCTTATTATATAGCGTATGTACAGCACACAACGACAAAGAAGTAAGCCAAACCCCAGCTAGACCTAGAACCTACTCGTATCACGACCGAACAAGAAACTGAAGAGCCACGACGCCGGAATAAGCACCATATTCCTCAAACTCACGCTCTTGACAAGATACGCCGACCGCCACACAAACCACGCCAACCTCCCTCGTAACGCCCTGGGCAACCTACTCGGCGCCTGCGTCCCCTTCTCGCCCGTCGTCGCCGGATGCGTATCCGTCGGCGAACTCGTCGCGTCCATAATCGCCTTCCACCCGCCGACATACACCATGCTTCCCATATGGCTGTACTCGAATTTGGGCAGCGCGGAGAAGGAGGAGGTGTAGGTTGGGGACGTGGGGGCGGGAAGGGTGGGGAGCTTGTTGAGGTGTTTGCGGAGGTAGGTGCCTTGTTGGGAGGCGACTTGGGCGGTGGCGGGGAGGGAGAGGTGGAGGAGGGAGGCGCAGTCGCCAAGGGCGTAGACGGAGGGGATTGGGGTGTATACGTCTCGTGAGGCAGTGGGCGGTGACGGTGCGTCCTTCGCTGCGATGGTGGCGGGCTTGTCCTTTGATGTGCTAGCGGCCGGTGAGTCGGAGATAGGGGCGGGCTTGTCCTTTGTTGTCGTAGCGGCCGCAGGTGTGTCGGCATGCGGCGCTTCTGCTGCTGCACCGCTGTCATGCACCCTCCTCAAAACCCTCAAATACTCATCCACCACCAGCCGATTATCCCTACTCCTCGCAGCCCCCAACTCCCTAATCAGCGGCGTCGCCGTCAGTCCCGTGGACCACACCAGCACGCCAAACGGTTCCTCGGACCCATCTGCGAGAATGAGTTTGTTCTTTTCGACGCGCTTGATGTAGGTTTTCGTCCGGATCTTGATCCCTTCGCGCGCAAACTTGCGGGCTGCGTAGTCGGCGAGGGACGCGTCGAAGGTCGAGAGGATCTTGGAGCCGACGTCGTAGACTGTGAGGGTTACTTTGTCCATTAGGGTTGGGTAGAGGCGGCTCAAGTCGTCTAGGAATCGAAGATAAGGGGATGAATTCAGCATATTTCCTCCAGAATTGGAGATGTTTCTCACGGCTTACTCCGGACGCGCACCTTTGATAAAATCATGCAACTCAGCACTAAACTCCACCCCCGTCGGCCCACCCCCCACCACCGCAAAACTCAACAACCTCCACTTCACATCGTCCGGCGTGTTCGGCTCGCTCGCCATCTCGAAACACTCAATGATCTTTGCCCGGATCTTTTGCGCGTGCGAGATCTCTTTCAGAAAGAATCCGTGCTGCTCTACGCCGGGGATCCCGAACGTGTTGCTGTAGGCTCCAACCGCGATAACGAGTTTGTCGTAGCGCAGTTTGAAGGGTTGCATGTCGGGTAAGGCTGGCATGCACGTCAGCTCCTTTCGATCCAAGTCGATCGCGTCGCACCAGGCCTGTATGAGAGAGGAAGATGGGGTGAGTGTCATCCACAGCCATCAACCGTCAACGACCATCGACCATCTTCAAGTGATATCCTGCTCGCTCCGCTCGCGACAAGGATGTTCGGCTGCGGTGGGCGGAGCGTAGCTCGCCTCGCTCGCAAAAGATCTGACGCTCGCTGGGGCTTGCTAAGAGCCGTGATAAGGGGTATTGCGCCTTCGGCGCAAGGAACTCGCTCCGCTCGCCGCTTCGCTTTGCTAGCGAGAGGCATTCGCTCGGGCTCCCCGACCGAACCAGACCGAAAGCGGCGCTGATTAGGAGTATTGCGCATTCGGCGCGACTCGCTTCGCTTGAAACGTTCGGCCTGGTCGCCTTCATTACGCTGCAGGCTCCCAGACCAAACCAAAGCCCTCGCTGTTGCTCAGGCCTCCCTCCGGTCGGGCTTTATGCTCACTCACTTCGTTCGTTCGCACCCACCTGATGATACTTGGCACTCCGATTATGATGCCTAACCGGCTCGGTAATGGCCCTAAACTCCAGCGTCCCGACGCTCGTCCCCGCAAGCAACGGCGTAAAAACAAAATGATTCCGTGGCGAAATACAGACAACATCATAGTCCTTCGTGTTTATGCCAGAGAGGAGTTTGAGCCCTGCCCAGCCTGAACCGAGGATGACGAGCGTGCCTTGTGGTTTTGCGAGGGATGTTGCGTGCCGGCGGTGGAGAGAGGTTGGAGCGACATGACACCATTTGGGACTGGGGTGGCGGATGGGTGCACGCCCGAGGAGGACGCGTGGGAGGATAAAGGTCATCGTGGCGATGGTGCGGATATGATCCAATGATGTAGGAAGGTGCTATCGTCCTGCTGTTATCCGCGCTTGTTGTGGGCGCTTTCCTCCGAGTGCAGATGGCCAAGATGGTCCTCGTCGCCTACGAATTAGGTTGAAGTGTGAGGTGTGAAGTGTGAGCTCCCAATGCGGGGGCAACCTATTGCAGTTACCGGCACACCTACTGAATTGTCTCTGTACTCTGTCGAGCCAAGGGCCGGGAGACCGTGGCAAAGTAGGCAATGTTTTGTAAAGCTGGAAGGGACGGACGTTGTGCCCCTGTTGTCCAGCAGTGGTATCGGAATACTGTAAGCGAAAAAGCGGGTCGGAAAAGAACGGGAAGAGATCTGATAAGGGCCGAGGGAGGCGCGCGCGTTGATGTTGTCATTCGCATTCACACCGAGAGCGTTCGACTACGAGAGGGGGTTGCTATGCGCTCACGCGGACTACTACGGCAGATGGATCAGATGGAGAACAACCCCACGTGTGATGCGCACAGCAGAGATTTGCGTGCTGGTGCAGTCGGCATATGATATGGAGCCCCATCCGTACAACGGGAGATGTGGGTAATGTGCCAACATCCTCCACGAGCAAATATCAAAGAAAGGGGGAAGATACACCTCAGTGTTCCCAATCGGCAGGATCACTGTAAGGTTTCCTTGTACTAGATGGGTGTTTCTTTTAACGATCTAGTTGGTGCCAATCGTTCTAAAAGGCTGCCGAGACCGGAATGTCCCTTAATGCATATGATAGGGAGGCCCCATCCAGAAAGCCAGAGATGATTGAGATGAGAGCAACAGATGTCCACGAGGATGAGAAACGGGACCAGCATTTCATTACTGTATTGACAGATGTTCGTCTTTCTCTGTAAACTGACTGACTAACCGAATTGACAACATGACGACGACAGGACACCCTGACAAGAACTTAGAAGTCCCCATCCCCATCCATTCCGATGCACACATGTACCAATACATGCACTGGCCGAAATCACTTCATTCAAACCCCTCCTCCTCCTATTCCCTAACACGTCAAACGCAACGAACTCGTCTTATGCACATCACTCGCCTTCCCCCCAAGTCCTCCGATCACAAACCCGCCACTCCCAACCTGGGCCGCCTGGAACACAAGCGCATTGCCGCACTTGGTATCCGTCGCCAACCCCGCAAACTGGAACCCGCTGCCAAAGTACGAGCTGGTGCTGATGGAGGCGACGTTGTAGCATCCGGATTTGGTGGCGTGGAAGACTTCTTTGGACGCGTCGTTGTAGAAGATGAATTTGCAGGCGGTAGTCGACGACGCGAGGAGCGTGGCGCTTAGGAGGAGGAGGTGCGGGAGGTGCATTTTTGGGAGCGGTCGGCGAGGCGGATGAGGGTGGGGTGGTGGCGATTGAAGAAATTGTTCGTCTTCTTTCGGTTCGTTTCCGTCGTAGATCTGCGGATGTGAAGCGAGAGGTTGCCTCGGCGCCCCCCTTTATACCCCGGCCGAACGGTCGTCACTCTGCCTTTTTTTTCTCTCCCGGCGGTCCGTCCCTCCGGAAAGACCACTACCGATATCACCAAAAATGTATCCGTAGGCCGTGGGGAGTCGGGACTGCGTTGCCCAAGTTGCACAACTGGCAGTTCAGGTCCCCCCCTGCTGCACCGCGTACTGGTAGTCTGGTACAGTACAGTACAGAGACGCGTGAATGCAAAGGGACGCGTTCAGCTTTTGATTGGGACAAGCTTTTATTGCATCAAAGGGACGTTTTTCAGGCGATAAGCGGAATGCTTTGTTCAGGTTCCGGTCGGCAGCGGTCGGCGACAGCTCGTACCTCAACCCTGTGCCGGATTGTGCATCGGAGTGGATGGGACATCTGGACCCCGGGTGTTCGTTCGTCGCGCGCTTCGTGAGTTCGGAATGTCTAAGCACGGCAGTGCATGTTCGGGCCGATGGCCGTGTTTGTCTTGAGGAATGTTGAAGCACAAGCCTCGGACTGGACGGAACGAGCGGAGTGGGGTGAGGCTAGTTGCTACAGTATGTGCTCACAGTCACAGTGGACTGGCACCGACTGCGATAGGATTCATTCGGACAAAACAACGGCCGACTTATCCCGAATTGAGAACTCATCCTGGTCCATCCCCATAACAGGCTCTTCAACTTAATGTACAGTACAAAGATCAATAAAAGCCCACCGTCAAAGCGGGCCAGTTCTCATCCATGTCCTTTCTGAGAAGTTGTGAGGGAGGGAAGCTGCGAGGAACGACCGCGTCGACGGGGAATAAACCCACCCACGTGACCTGTCTCCCGATTTAATCTCCTCCTCTGCCGACAGCGCCGCCCGCCCACTCCCACCCACCCCCATCCCATTACCCCCTCACAATCACAACCCCCATCCATCCATACTCCCACCCACTCTCTCACTCTCGCACTCACTCACTCATACCTTCCCGCATAGAATAGACTATTTCCTGCCATCCTGTCTCGGAAGCTGCTCTTCCTGCCGCTTCTCTCGCTTCTTTATCGGCGTCATCGCCCTTGCTTCAGCTTCATCCGGAACGCTCGGGTACCCGCGGAACACCTGAACCTCCTCCTCAGGAACCTCCTGCTCATTAGTCATCGTTGGCGGCGGCGGAAAGCTCTTGTTTCAGCCACCACCACTCCCTCCTCCTTCGCAACTATTCCCGCCCAACAGCTCTTGGCTGCTCTCGCCGCTGTTCAGGACTCCCTCCGTCGTCGTATCGACCACCTCATCTCATCGCACCCATCGTTATCGTTCTCTTCTACAAACGTCCCCGCCGCGGCACAGCTCATCACTCTGCTCGTCACACTCTTTATCGCAACATCTATCCTGAGTCACAATATACCCGCTTGCATCACGAAAATGACCGATATCTTCAAATCTGTCGACCAGTCTCGCCAGGAGACCGAGGACCAGCAAGCCGCGCCCGTGACTAGCACCACTAACGTTGAGAATGAACAAGTGATTTCTCCTGTCGTCGCGCAAAAGAATACCGAGGTTGTCGATGATGATGTTGATCATGTCGCGGAATCAATCTTCGATGGCTACGCCGAATCTGATGAGGATGCCCTCGTTGAGGAGGCCGACGCCGAAAAGCCCATTTCCAATCACGAGAAGCTTCTCAAAGTTGACGCCGATGTCGCCGTGGAGCCGAAGGCCGACCAACCCATTGATGTCCACGAACACGTCGCGGAGGTAGCCACAGCCAGCGACTCTGACGGAGCGGCCATGATCGACGCTCCCGAGACCGAGGCTGAGGCCGAGCCCGAGACCGAAAGTGAAGAAAAGTTTGTCATTGTGGACAAGGAAGAAGCCGTCCAAGCCGCTGGTGAATCCGAGGTTTCCCCCGAAGCTGTCCGCGAAGAACCTGATGAGGTCACGGCCGCTGATGTCGATGTCAAGGCCGGCAACACTGAGCAGCCCGTCGAACACGTGGCCAAACCGGATGTCGCTGACGAGATCCCCCTCCCTTCCAACATCAAGGACGAGTCGGAGGACTCCACCGACCCCGTCATTGCCCCCGCTGCGGAACAAGGCCAAACCGAGAACTCGGACCTCCCTATCGTTCAAACAGAGGAGGTTATCCTAACTCCTACCGCCACCGGTCTCACGGCCGCCCACGTCTCGACAACCCTTGTAGCCGACACCGATTCCGAGAATAACGTCGTAATTGTCGAGCGTCAGGACATTGATGCCGTTGCCGCTGAGGGAGTCGAGACTGGCACAAGTGAGACCGTTACCGTCCTTCATGACGATGGTGTCGTAGAGACTGTCACGGAGGAGAGGGCTACCGCGGTGGTTGACACGGAGGAGGGTGAGGTAGTTGTGGAGCATGAGGCCATCACTGCTACTGCTGTCGCGGAAGAGGATACCGTCACATCTACCGAGCAAGAGACCACCACCCTCACCGCCGTTCACGAAGCCACCGGCACAGTCGAGACTTTCACCGAGGAGGAGTCCGCCACCCTGACCCGCGAAGCCAACGGAGACGCGCTTGTCATCGAACATACCGAAACCACCGGTACCATCGTCGACGGCGGAGACGTCGAATCCATCACCACTCACGAAGCGACGACTTTTACCGCTGTACATGACGATGTGGTTGAAACTGTCACGGAGAAGGACGACACTACGATTTTGATCACGGAAAATGGGGACGAGGTGGTTTTGGAACACACTGAAACCACTGCGACGGTCGTGGACCACGATACGGTTGAATCCACCACACGTGAAGCGACGACACTTACCACCGTACACGACGATGTGGTCGAGACCGTCATGGAAGAAGAGGAGACTGCCGTTGTCGTCAACGATGGAGATGAGATTGTCATTGAACATGCGGAGACGACCCACGCGGTTGTTGTGGATGAGGGCGCTGAGTCAACCACACGTGAATCGACTACATTTACCGCCGTACATGACGATGTGATCGAGACTGCCACATCGGAATCGGATGTCATTAAAACAGGAGACGCGGAAGACGTCGTCGTAGCCCACACCGCAACCACGACCGCGGTGATCGTTGACAATGACGTGGTCGAATCCACTACGCAGGAAACTACAACTGTTGCAAACGTTGATGAAGACGGTGTGCTGGAGACCATTACAGAGGAATCCACTACCGCTGTGACACAAACGGAGGACGGAGAAGAGGTTGTTGTTGCGCGTGAGCAAGTTACGGCTACGGTCGCTGACGAGGAGGGTGTGGAATCCGCCACCACCGTCTCTACAGTTGATGATGCCGGCACGGTCGAGACGGTTACGCTGGAGGCTGTTACGAGCAATACCGCCGCGGAGGACGCCGGGGTGGACGGGGAGGAGGTGATCACAATTGCTATGCTTGGAGCGCGGGATGAGGCCGATGTCGGGTCCCCGGAGACAACCGCGGATAGGGATGTCCCGGCTGAGGGACATGAGGAGACTGAGACCGAGACCGATCTCCCGATTGGGGGGGACGCCGACCAACCGGCAACTACAATTGGGGATGTGGAGACCAAGCACGTCCCCGCGGTTGATGAGGCGGGAACGGGGAACACCGCTGAGACTGGGAGTGAGGTTGAGACCGTGCAAGTTCCCACAGAACTCGAACCCTCGGGTGTGAGTGCACCGGTCGTTGAGGAGAGCAGGGAGATTGCTGATGAGGTTGTTGGTGCGGAGAAGGATGCTGGGGTTGTTGAGGAGCCGGTTGAATCAAAGGGGGTTGTTGCGCCCGCCGCTGCCGAGACTGACCGTGAGCCGCCTGTCGGGACTGCGGAGGTTACGGCGTCTGCGGTTGAGAGTGTGCCGGAGGTTGCTGAGACCGTTAATGAGCCTGTTGAGGAGAAGGACGTCGTCACCCCCGCCGCCGCTGAGACTCACCACGAGTCTAGCGAGCCGGCTGTCGAGAGCATGGAGGTTACGGCGTCTGCTGTGGAAACGGAGGATGGCGCTGTTGAGAGCGTGTCGGAGGTTGCCGAGGCCGTTGAGCAGCCTGCTGAGGAACGGGAGGCTGCTGCGTCGGTGGCCGAGCCTGAGAAGGGTGCTGATGTTGAGACACCCGTCGAATCCGTGGAAGCTGCCTACGGTACTGCGTCTGCTGTTGAGACGGAGGATGGCGCTGTTGAGAGCTTACGGGAGGTTGCCGAGACCGAGGAACGTCCTGAGGAGAAGGAGACCGCCACACACGTTACCGAGGATGAGGCTGTTGAGAGTGCACCGGGAGTCAGCAAAGCTGTCGAAGAGCCGGTTGAGGATGAGAAGGTTGTTGAGAGCACGCCGGAAGTCGCTGAGACTGTTGAACAGCGTACTGGGGTTGCGGAGGTTGCCGCACCCGCGGCCGAGACTGAGCAAACCACCGTCTCGGGCGAGACCATCTCGGACCTTCCCTTGGTCGACCGTTCCATCGTTGGAGACGAAGAGGGGGAAGTAAAACAGGCCCCGACCGCCACCGAACCCTCCTTCATCCACCCCACGCCCCCTCAAACCCCACCCCCCACGCGCACCCTCCCCTCCACCGCCACCCCTCGGCCAACCTCCCTAACCCCCCGCCCCTCCAAACATTTCGACCGCCTGCTCTCCTCTGCCTCCACCCCCTCGACCCCACCCCCCTCCCGCACCGCCGCCCACGGCCCCACGCAGCCCCTCTCCTCCATCACCCGCGCCGTGCGCCACACAAACCCCATCCTCGACGAGATCAACTACGCGATCCACCTCATCAAAACCAACGACGCCTCCTTGACTGAGCTGGACCTCACCGACTGCCGAGTCCTCACACCTGCCCACTTAACCGCCATCGCAGGGGGCTTACTCCACAACACGCATCTCGCCACCCTCGTCCTCAAAAACACATCCCTGGCCACCCCCGCCGCCATCGACCTCGCCGAAGCGCTCAAGCTGAACACCGCCCTCGCACTCCTCGACCTGAGCGCCAACGCGATCGGCCCCGCCGGCATCAAAGCCATCGCGGAATCCCTTGCTGAGAACAGCACCCTGAAGGAGCTGAAATTGGGCCAGCAGAAGTACCCCGCCGGCACGGACGCCGAGATGGCGCTGGCGACGGCTATGGAGAGGAACACGGGCGTTGTGAAGTTGGGCGTTGTGGTTCGGGATGTTGGGTGCAAGGTGAAGGTGGATACGGCGGTGAGGAGGAATGCGGAGAGGGAGAGGGAGAGGAGGAGGAGGGAGGCTGAGAGTGCTTGAAGCGAGCTTGTGGGATGCGATCGGTAAGGGGTGGTGGACTCCCCCTCTTCGGCCTCCCCTCGGAGATTCTGCCTGCGACGCTCGGTTTCTCATGTCGTGATTGTGATCCTGGCTTTGATGGACCCACGCAGTATCGCAACACCCCCGACCGCGCCTTCAACCCCGGCGTATTCTTCATCTTTCCCTTTATTCTTCACCTCTTTTTCGTCACCATCCTCACTCCCGTTCTCCATCTTTGTTCCATTTCCATCTATCTATGACACAAACCCCCCTCCCTTCATTTATGGCGTAATCACCACCCCTGTGCACTTCCCTCATTTCCATTTTCCTTTCAATTTTCTTGTTGATTCCCTACCCCCGCGAGATACAGCTCGCTGTAGTTCTATAAGTTGTATCATCTCCCCCCCCCCCCCCCCCCCCTCCATATGCATGTATTGTGCCCTGATGTTTTGAAACCCACCAATATACCGCCTCTTCCTGTTGTTTTTCGGATTACAGGGGTGAGGGGAGTTGCCCCCAGCGAGAGTGAGGCGGATGTACAGTACGTGCGGGAGCGAATACAGGGAATACATCAGACCCGATTTCCTTGCGCGGAGAGGGAAATCTTGTGGCTACTTCTGCGAGCCCACGTCTGTGTATGCGGGAACGGGGTGGGTCGAGCATCGTCGTCCACTCCCCGCCGTCAACGAGTGTGCTTTTATGGGACGAATGACAGTTCAGGCGTCATACAGAGTCGATGGAGCGTCTCGGCGACTGCGCGAGTGTCCTGACCCCGGATTGCCTTGAGGAAGGGGGATCCCATACATGGACATACTTGATATTGATATGTGAAGCTAAGCTTGATCTGTTATAGTGATACGATGCCACTGACGTGTTGAGGACATTTGGCCCGGTATTCCGCGGCCATTATATGTATGTATGTACATATGTGCAAAAGGCATATTTTCTTAACGGTAGATCTGGAAGAAAGGGATCGGAAAGGACGCTAGGATGTGATCCTAAGATTGAGGCATGGTTCGGTTCCTAGGCTCTAGAAGTGTTTGTTCGATGTCTGTTCCTGTTGCGGTGCGGGTGCGTTTTCTGGACACACTGAAATCCTCCCAATACCGCCCAGGTCTATCAGTTAGTCTGGCGGCGTACGAGCCATCACTCGCCCGGCTTCTTTCCCGATGAGGTAGCGGCGGCTGTTCCCTGTTTGTCTGTCTGCAGGGTGTGCCGACTGTGTTTTGGTCGTAGTTCGGCGTTTTCCGCGGCGTCGTCCTGAAGTTTCGAGTTCACTCCATGACTGCTCGCTCCGAGATAGCTGTGTGTGTCCCGGTCCCGTACACTCAGTGAATATGAACTCCTTCGAATACCTCTCGGACATCAACGACAACCTGATATGCTGCATCTGCCATGCTCCCTTCACGACCCCAGGTGGGTGTGGTCAAGCCTTCCCCCACGTCATGTCATGCGCAAATGGCATCTTACTCCCCACTCCCCCCAAAAGTATCATCCCCCTGCGGCCACACCTTCTGCAACCTCTGCATCCTCACCTCGCTCTCCACAACCACGGCCGCCTGCCCGATCGACCGGCAACCGCTCACCCGGGCCGACCTCGTGCGCGCGCCTATCGTGCTGGAGAACCTCGTCCAGGAACTGCAGGTGAAATGCATGTGCGGGTGGACGGGCGAGCGCGCGCTGCTCGAGTCGCACCCGATGGACAGGTGCTTGAACTTGAAGTATACATGTCAGGAGTTGGGGTGTGGGCGGGTGGTGCTGAGGAATGAGGTCAAGGAGCATAGGGAGGTGTGTGAGGGACGGATGCGGGAATGCGAGGCGTGTCAGGAGAAGGTTTTGAGCGGTGATTATGAGGTACGTGCCCCGAGCAAAACGAAGTGAGACAGACAGTGAATGGCGGATTGCCGCGAAGCGGAGCGAGCCCAGGTCTTTGAGCGAGAGCGACATGGTTTGGACACCCAGTCCATGTCTCTTCTCCTGGCTCAATGTCATAGGGGTTTCCTCCACCTTCTATTGCTCAAAATCTTCTTGAATTCGGGCACGGAACAGGTGCACATTCTCACATGCGACAAGGTGCCCATCGAATGCGAGTTCTGTTCCGCCTCCGTCGCACGCGGGGAGCTCGCCGAGCACCAAGAGAAAACCTGCCCGGAGGTGTCCACCTCCTGCCCGCACCTCCGTTTCGGCTGCCTCTGGCAAGGCCCCAGGCGCGATCTCACATCCTCGCACCTGCCCACGATCTGCCCCTTCGAGCGGATGAAAACCTTCTTCGAACTCCACGAATCCAAACTGGCGGCCCTCATCCTCGAAAACCAAGGGCTGCAATCCCAACTCGACACCCTCCGCCACCACGTCCTCGCCATCGAAGACGCGCGGCGCGCCGAGTCCGCCGCCCTGGCTGCCAACCAGAAGTACTTTGCGGAAGTCATGGACGTCACCGCGGACCGCATGGCGCGCCTAGTGGAGGAACACCACATGGACCGGCTGGAGATGGGCCACCTCAAAGACAGGTGTGCGGCGCTGGAGGCCCGGATGCATGTCGCGGAGCTGGACGCGGGGTCGCGGCAGAGGGAGGAGGTGGGGTCGATCAGGGCGTTGTGTCGCGTGTTGGAGGAGCAGGTTTTGGGAAGGGGGCCTGGGGATGGGATGCCGGTTCCCGCCGCGATACATGGCAGACGCACCCCAACGCATTCGACACTGTCTAGTCCGGACCGCGGAAGCTCCACCACCACCACCACGACATCATCGTTTCCCTCATCCCCAGCAACAGCGGCGTCCATCACACCATCACCCACTCGGACACTCCTCACACACCACCCCAACCTCCAACTCAAACAGCAACTGGACGGCATCCGCAAGAAGTTTGACCGCATGAAATTGGACGAGGGCGGGTTGTGGGATCGGGTCGTGGGTGTGGCTGCCGCGGAGGGGGTGGGTAGTAGTAGTAGTGGCAGCGAGACGGCGGGACCGGACACGGAGGATGCGAGGCGGGGGTTGGGTGGGAGGGTTGTGAGGAGGGAAAGTGGGACCAAGTTGTAGAAGAATGCGGCGATGTTTTTTCTTTTTGGGGGTGGGTGTTGGAGGAGATGGAGGAGGAAGGAGGAGGAGAGACATGAAATGTGAGGAACTATGGAGGTTCGGGGCCTGCGTGCGTCCGAATTGTTGTTATATGAGATCGAGCGGGATTTTGAGGGATGTCAAGTACGGTTATTTGCAGTGCGTTTTGAACTGTGATGTGGAGCCGGGTTTTTGGGTTAGCCATTCTTGAACAAGTTGGTTTGGGAACCCACCTCCACCCTTTACTGACTGTATATTGCATGCAGAGTAGGCTTGTTCTTCCCGGCCACGACGCATCAAACAGTCCAGCCAAAGAAAGCTCTTCAAAGCCGTCCTCGACGTTTTTCCATCAACAACATTTCGCAATATCAGAAAGTCTACTCCCATTCGCATATATAAGAAAGAAAAGAGCAAGAAAAAACTATTTGACAAAGAGGAATGATACGCAAATGCGAAGAGAGTAGAGAGGTAGCTGTCTTCTATAATAAAGGTCACATCATACGTCCAATCCATATCCACCAAACGCCATAGTATACAAAGGGGGCCCATTATCTAGATCTCCATAACAACGCTCCTTTCCACCAATTCACCGACCACAGGAGAATGCACAGCCTTCACAAACGCCTGCCGTGATGGCTCAACTACCACAGCCGGGGACGCGTTCTCCGCCAATTTCATCATAGTCGGGCTGTTCATCGCAAACGCCGACACCGCCGATTTCATCATCAACTCCCGTACCGCTTCCGTCGTTGGTGTTGCCGGTTGGGCGAGGACGGGGATGGAGGGGACTGCTGGCGCTGCGTACGGTTGGGCTGACACGCCGTCGAGGGATATTGTAGTAGTTGGGCGGAGTTGTGGTTTCGCAGCGACCTTGTAATCCAGACGCTCCGTGAAGAGCTGGGTCAACTGGGCGTGGAATTGCGGGACGACGTAGAAGAGGAAACCGGCGACGGGGATACAGAACCAGTCTGCCAGGTTGCGGGGGTACTTGCGTTCACTGGCGAGCTGGGCGCGCTTGCCGAGGGGTTGGACGCGGAGGTGGGAGTGAGATGGCGCGATGGAGAATTTGTCAGCGCTCAAATCCATAGCTGAGTCCACACGGGAGTTGAGGAGACCCCCCTCCCGCGCCATCTGCTGATCCTGCAGCGCCCACCGCTCGAACCCGACCCATTGGTGGTACTTCTCGTAGTAGTAAATCATGACGACGTTGGGGACGACGATGGACATGCGAACCCAGAAGGAGATGTTGAGAGCCAGCTCAACGTAGGGGTGGACGGGGTCGTCGGAGAGGAAGCCCCAGAAGTAGGTTGCGATCGTATAGGAGAAGCAGGAGCGGATGGGGAGGATGAGGGCCGAGACGATGATCATGGTGAAGAGGTGGCCCATCATGATGTGGGATTCAAGCAAGCGGTGGCCGAGTTCGAGGAGGAGGAAAGGCCGTTGGGCGAGCTTGGTGCCCGCTGTGGCCTCTTCCTTGCCGTACTTGGACACGTTGGCGTTCTTCATGGGGATGACGGTCTCCTTCTCGGGGGCGATGAACGACATCAGCGTGCGGCGGATGGCGTACCCCGTGTCGAGGGATCCCCACAGGTGCCGGGTGGCCTGCACGTAGCGGGCGTTCATGTACGAGTAGTAACCCTTGATGCCCGTGCCCTCGCCTTCGACGTTGCACTGGGAGGCGGGGGAGAAGATACTCTTGACAATGACGCGACCCTCGGTGGCAAAGAAGCACTTGAGGTACATGTGCATGTCTTCGCCTATGGCTTCTGGTCCTGCGTCCCAGAAGTTGACCGCGAGCGCCAGGTCCATCGAGACGGAGTAGGCGGAGCAGGGGATCTTGATGGACGACGACGGGTACAGGTTGGAGATGACACCGATAGACCAGAACATGTCCGTGACACGAACGAAGACGGGTACGTTCTTGGAGTTGCGGTCGAACACGGTGCAGGGCGCAAACATCATGATCCGGCGCTGCTCAGGGGTGGCAGTGGTGTAGTGGTAGGTCACTGCGGAGAAGAAATCCTCGGCGAAACACGTGTCGGCGTCCATGACCGTGAGGATTTCGTGGTCGTGACGACCGGCCAGACCGCCGCCGGAACGGAGAGCCATCTGGGACGCGGCCCACGCAACATTGGAGGACTTGCCGCGAATCTCGCCGGGTCGGCCGACTGGGTGGAGGGTATAGGTGATCTCGAAGAACGAGTTTGCGTACTTTTGCATCAAAGTCGCCGCTTTCGCAGTCGCTCCTTGCTCCGATTCCTCCATCGCCAGGCAGATCTGCATTCAGAGAGAGAGTGGGATGATGAGTATAATGTAGATAGTTGGTGAGTTGACGGGATGGTTGAATGGTCCGTGTGCTAAGCTCGCATCGCTCGCTGAAGCCCGCGAAATTCCGTGGTTAAGAGTATTGCGCCTTTGGCGCAATGGAACTCGCGCCGCTCGTGCTCAATCTTTCAATGACATACCTTATACTGAACGACAGCCCTAGAGTGACTTGCGAGAACATCGAGCGTCTCACAAAGGGTATCCATATCCTCCTTATAATTCGGCAGAATGATCACATGTGTAACCGCCTCGTACGGCAAATCATGCCTCGTATCATGTCCATCGACGGTCCCCGTCTCCTGACAATACTTCTTGACCCAATCCGTGATCGAGTACAGCTTCGCATTTGTGTAGGCAACGTACATGCCGTAAGCGGACCGAGCGTTGTTGAGGAGGAACCCGATGTGCAGGGCGAAGTAGTAAGCGGCAAAGAGGGCGGGGGCGTAGATGGGCCCGAGGAATGCGAAGGGGACGACGAGCAGGAGCATTGTGCCGGGCATCCGTTGGAAGATGGGCTTCCATGGGACGGTGGCGAGGTAGTTGCGGATGGAGGACATTGTGGTTGTTGTTGTGGTGGTGGGGTAAATATAGTCTAAGTATAATACAGGTCTAGGAAGGAAAACACTGGGTGGGAAAAAGGACGGGATCGGAATTAGCTCAACGACGACGAAGAGGGTGTGGGGGTGGCCATGGAAAGTCAGAGACAGAGACGAGTGCAACTCACCTTCACACACACAGACAGACAGAAAGAGAGAGACAGAGAGTCTGAACCGGATTACGCCGGATAGAGAGGGGGGGGCTATTAAGTGGGTCTATATAATATACGTTAGAGGAGAGAAGAGTGGTGAGCAAGGGAGTCCGCCGAGTCTGTCCGTGATGGTTGTGAGAGGCGGGTGGGGCGAGAGACTGGAGACTTGAGACTGCTTGAGATGGCGGCGGTTGCGGAGTGGGGTGGGAGAGAAGTAGGAACTGCGAGATGGCCGTCCGTCCGTCCGTCCGTAGGGGGAAAGACCAGCAACAGCACAGCACAACGACCACAGCAGCAGCAGCAAGAGAGAGAGAGAGAGAGAGACCTTCTCCTTTCTCCTTTGTGGCCGTGTTGTTGGTCCTGCCTCTCTTTCTCTTTGCCAGCAGAGAAGGCGAAAGAGGAGGAAGAGGAAAAAGAGGCGCAGGCGAAAGGTTTTCGCTCTTGGCCGCTCCGCTCCCGAGGCTGCGTGGTGGCTTGCTGAAACACACTCGGAGTGATGAGCAACCGAGCGAGACGCGCTTTGGGTGGATTCACTTGGAGACTTGGACGTGGGTTCCCTGGTTGAGAAAACAGAGGCCTGGGCGCTCGCTCGGTTCGTGCGTCGGATGATCTTCGGTTTCAAGAAGATGGCGCTGCAAGGCGGTCTCAGTGGAGTGGGGTCGCTGTGTCTTCCACCACAGGTTTCGATTGTTTGCAGTATGTCGATCCGCTTGTTCGATACCGTTTCCCAATATGACCCCAAACGAGATTTTAGGTTGCGCTTATTCGTGTGGGGGGAGCGAGAAGTGGCTGGAGATATCGATAGTTGTCAACGAGAGATTGCGAGATGCGGACTGCGGAATGTCGAAACGAGCGTGGGAATTGTGCGGTTCGACTCTAGTCATAACCGAACGGCGCTCTTGCGCTCTGACAGACACGGCCCAGCCAAGCAGCAGGAGAAAGGGGTTGGGAGCGAGCGGCGGGGGAGGACACAAGTCGGAGTCTCTCTGTTGTCTTCGGGCTTCGTCACTTTCGTCACTGACCGCCAGAATATCTCGGCCGGCCCTCACTCAACCAACTCGGGGGGTGATATCAAACCGGCGCCAAGATTGCTTGCATGGCCGCTCGATTTTTCTTTTTCGCATGGTTTAGCCGGTTGTGTCTGTCAATCCTCCCTCCATCCATCCATGATCGCCACAGAAAGAGAGGGAGATCTCTTTGTGCCACACCCTTGGCGCCGTGCCGCAGTCGCGTTAGGAATGTGCGTGGATGGATGGCGACCGTTGCATGTGTTGTTCGCGGCTGTGTACCCGTAATTGGAGGTGTCTCGACCAATCCGCGTTATCGATGGGAGGGTCACGTGAGCGCAGTCGCGTTGTGTGCGGTCAGGGTTAGGGTTAGGGTTACGATGTCGCGTTGGGTTTTGCGCTGCGGCAGTGGAGTTCGCGGGAGGGGGCCAGACTCGATTTATGTACGAAACTGACCTATCTTCGTACTTTTTCGTCTCCCCATTGTTAAACCTGTAACCTCGTCGTCGCATCTGTCCATGTTGTATTCGCAAACGATATATCTATATACTCAACCGTCCAACCTGTGACAAAACTCGACCACCATGCACTGATGTTGGAACTTGCATCCATGAACTTACTGAAAATTGGTGCCGTGCCGTACAAATACTCGTTGCCTCAAAAACCTCGGTGCGGAACCCATTCATGTCGAATTCGAAAACGCACAGGTGGTCGAAAAAATACCGCCAAGCGATGGTGCGGGACGCCAACGCCATGTGGGACGCAAAAGACGGCGAAGCCACAGGGACAGAAACCCTTGGAACTGAACAGGAGCCAGACTCCGCCGACCTGTTCGGGCCCCTGAAATCAAGCGAGAGCGGTGGGAAGGGAGGCGGAATTCTAGATCTCGACGATTTACCTCCCGCAGAGCCGTATGATTCCGCAACGACACCACCAGCATCGGGCGGCACAGCTAGTTTGTTTCAGCCCGGTGCGGCGTCAATGTCGAACAAAGACAGGACGGCCCGGAGGTCGTCGATGAGCACGGGAACGTTTGGGGCTGGCCGCCACTTCATCGCATCCGAGCTCGACGCAGCGTTGGCTGATATGGATGAGGCTGAAGGTGACGGCGGTGGGGCAGATGCACAAGCACGTCGGAGCAGCAACGACATGGATTCGACAGCGACGCCTGGCACCAATGTCTCGTCGACGGGAGTGTCGCGGCGACATTCTCACGAGTCGCAAACGAGCTGTGAGGGGACCGCGTCGTTGAGCAGTAATGAGAGCAATGCGAGCAATCTGCATACCAGTTGGGCCACTCCGGGGCTAAAGCCGTCGTTGAAGGCGCGGAGAGGTACTATGGCGAACGTGCCGGCGATGGCGCACAAGGCGCCGTTTATTGGCAAGCCCCCATCGCTTGGTGATGCTGGCAGCGGTCCGACAGCAGCTGGGCCGTGGGCGCTTCCAAAGGCGCCATTCCCGAATCCGGACGCAAGCACCACCAGAAACTCCGCGAAAGGGCCGTCTTCATCGCCAAAGCCTTCGCGCAAAGTTCGTTTCTCCGAAATCGTGACGACCATCGCGGCAGAAACCGACCAAGAGAGTGGCGACAGCGACGAGAGCCGCGACTCCGGGTCCGCAGATCCCAACCAACAAGCACAGTCCCGTTCATTACTTCAGGCCAAACCGTCCAATCCGTCCCTCGCCTCCTCAGCAGACACGTTGAACTCCACGGGGAAGCCGGCAGGCAAAATGCGAGCGCCAAAGGGTGCGAAAGCGGCTGCAGCCATCACAGCAGCCGCCGCACTGGCAGTTGTAGCAGAGCCCGTAGTAGGCGGGAAGGGGTTACTCATCCGGCCTAGGAACTCAGATCGAGACTCTGATGTGGAATCGTATCAGTCGGATGAGTCGGATCGCGAGCAGGCTGTTAAGGGAAGACGAAAGTCGCAGGCGGTGCGGAGATTGACGAAGGTGTTTCGGAAGGCCTTCCCTGTCCGTACGGGTGCCGTTGCTGCTGCCGGCGCGCCAACACCGACGCCGGTTGTACCTGGGGAAGAAAACAAGCTGAACGTTGCCGCCGTGCATGCGACGTGATATCTGCTGCAGTCTTAACTACCAACGGGAGGGCGATTCTGCCAAGTTGCATTCACCGCCTTTTGTCTGCTCTGCCTCCATGGCCGGCACCTGGAACGCCCCATCTCATCCGAAATGGTGTAGATCACCTTCCTTCTTTACTCCTTCATCTGTGCACTTTATCTTTCTTTGACTTCTTTTTGCTTGATTGGGGAGTAGACCTCCCCATCTTTGATAATATGATTTTTTTGGACCATCATGTCGGACTTCCAAGTGTTGTAACCGCCAAACGGGGCAATGGCGGAGGCTGCGATATGGCGTCGAGAGAGGTACATTGTGCAGCAAGACCTTACAGCGCTTGCCAATGTGTTAAAAGGGAGCAATATTTGGGACGGAGGAAACATGAATAGAAGCATTCAGAAGAGACATCCTTGGTTACCCACACAAATCATATTCGAATTCAAAGAATATACAGAAGACACAAACGATCAACGCCATACATCACAAGAAAGCCAAAGAGAAACAGAGACTAAATCATACAAGGAAGCCCCAAGAACAAATACGCCCCATCAAAAGACCGCCCCCGGTATATGAGCCTGCACGAGCCTGCATAAGGAAAGGGGAACACTACATCACATTATATCGCATGCGACACCTCACAAGTACTGGTCATGCGGCAACTTGACATCCTTCGGGATCATGACATTATCAATGACCTGGATCGCGCCGTTGCGGGCGAGTCCGTCGGTGAAGGAGATGCGGGCCTCGCCGTCGTTGATGGTGAAGTGGTAGCGACGGACATCGTGGTGGCCGCCGTGCTCTTCGTCGTGCTTGCGGCGGTGGGAGAAGATGGACGACCATTCGCGGTCGGTGTCCTCGTCTTCGTCGCCGCGGCCGCGGTCTTGGCGGTGCTTGGCGCGGATGGTCACGGTTTGGCCTTCGAAGGTCTTAAGCTCTGGTTGGAGGAAGAGGAAGGAAACAAACGATATCAGTAAGAGGAATTGGGACGAGGTTGATTGAAGAAGATGCGCAAGTATGTGAAATCAGAGCACAAGTAGATACTCACGAAGCTCCTTCTTCTGCATCATATCAGTCGAGTAAGCCACGTCCGTCGCAACGTGGTACTTGATAATCTTCTTCAAATCCGTCAAACCCTGGCACGTGGGTTGCTCATAATCGCCGCCCTTGCCGCCCTTGCCTTTCTCACCGCCTTGGCGCTGACCGACGCAAGAGAAAAGGTACTTGAGGTTCTCGAAGCCGACGTTCTTCCATGCGCGGTTGGACGGCGCAAAGACCGTGACGCCGTGGTGCTGGTCCAGCTTGTCGGCGAGCTCGGTGCGCTCGAGGGCAGCGAGGAAGGTGGAGAATTCGGTGGGCAGGGTGTAGAGCATCTCGGTGGCGTGGCGCGGCGGGTGCAGGACGTTGTCGATGGCATGGATGCGCCCATTTTCGGCTTCGAGGTCTTTTTCGACGATGCGGGCGTGCATGTTCTATGGTTGGGAGTGGGAGGGAAGAGAGAGCTGGTCAGCGAATGGAAGATGACATAGGACAGGAGCTGGCATCGAGCAAAAGCCACCAACGAACACATCATAAAGACAGAAAGCAAGTCACTCACCAGCCAAACATCCCCAGCAAACCTGAATACCCTCACCCTCTGATGACGATCGCCCAACTCCCTCAACCTCAAGTTCGTCGGAATCAAGGCCCCGGCATGAAGCGCATCGCCCGCAATCTGAGAGTCAGGGGCAATGTGGTACTTCAACGCCTGACGGATCCACTCTTCCTTGTCCTCGTCATCGTAAGCGCGACGGTTGCGCCACTCGTCCTCAAAGCGCTTGAAGGCCTCGTTGGTGGGTGCGAAGACGGTGGTTTCCTTGTCGCGATTGTCGAGGTCGTCGCGGAGACCGCGCTCGCGTTCGAGGACTTGGACAAAGCGGCTGAAGCGTTTGTCGTCGCGGAGGCGGTCGACTGTGGGAGTGAGAAGAAAAAGAAAGGTGTGATGAGTGATGAGCGACGCACGAGACCCCTTTCGCATGCACCAGCCAGTTTGAAGAATTCGCACTTACCAATAGTGCCACCACCCTCACCGCCCTTTCTACCACCGCTCAAGCTCCTGCCGCCATCGTTCTCATACTGCGAGACGAAGGTGCCAAAGCCGGGAGCGGCTAAGGCCGAGGAAGCGAGAAGGAGGATCGAGAAAATCTTCATGTTGGATTTTGGGTTTGTGATGAAGGTTTACTGGATGTTGAGTGCTTGTCTGATGCTTTGAGATGTGGATGCAGTGCGATTGATGGATGGGTGGCGAGAAGAGGGGAGGTGGATGTGGGCTGCCTCTTTTATAGACGGGATCAAAACAGGCGTCTGCCCACTGCTGCTCTCGAAGCGCTGTGCGTCTCGAGGCGGGGCGGGGGAATGCCATCCATCTCCTCGGAAATCATCCTGTTACCTACGAACTCGATCTATCTCCATCAAAGATCAGTGGCATCTGGCCTTGCTCCATTGCGTGCTCGCTCCTACGGGGAGAGAGAGGGAGAGGCCGGATGACAGCCGTTCACATCCAACATCCTCCTTGTGCGTCGGGCTGGAAGGTCCCACAAAACAAGTCTTGGATATCCCTTCCGTCACAAAACGATTCATTTGGCACATCCCCCGTTTCTCGTGGTATATTCCGAAATCCCAGAATGCAAACTCCGCTGAAAAAAAAGGGAGATGCATCGCGTGGTGTGTGGTGTATCGGGGGAAGGATGTTTTTTGACGTGTCGAGTGACGGCAACTGGGGGGCGGTTCTGGTCTTACGTGCGCGCTGTCACTGTCAATTCGCAAGGAAAGTGTGGGGAGGGACGTGAGGCGTATAGTTGCGTTCCCTCCATCCGGGATTGGATCCTTTGGCACATTTGACGTATCCTATGTCGAATAACCCGTGTGCACCACCAAATAATATAGGATATCAATGCATCGCCAGTGAACGAAGCATTGTCACAAAAACCTGATCAACGCTTTGTGCTATGCACATCCGTTTCGCAAACCATGCCCTCTGACCGAAAGGATATCCTTGAAGATTGCGTGCTCGTATTCCGCTCCTCTAATGATGCTGAGCCTCATCTCCGCAGATGTCTCAGCCCGCCATGGGCGTTTACCGGGGACAAATGAGGAAGGAAGGGCGGACCACGTTGCCGACCGAGGACGAGTGAGTGAGGAGAGGCTGCATCTCCACGTTACATTGATACCCGAGGCCGAGGCGTCATTGTCTTCATTGCGGTCACGGCGTAAGGGGGGCCACATTGTTTGGGGCTGGAAGTGGTCGGATGTCCGAGACATCGATTCTCGCAACACGCCTCTCCACACTTTACAAAACGACCTGTCACTGGCCATCACCCTATGTGCGGGGGTGAACATTCTCACAATTCAGAGGGGCTTGCCAATCACAGTAACGATGACCTGCTCATGCCACACCATGATGAATGTACGACGCAAATGGGGATGGAAAAACAGAAACGGAAGGAACACCAGGAATAAAGGAACGGAATGAAGGCGTGCAAAGTGGGCGATAATGAACCAATTACAATTTTACCGAAGGAATGCGAGTGGATTTGGATGCCACTGACACTTGCCTTTAGGGCCACTGACAGGTTCCTAGCGATGCAAATGGATGGTTGAAGGCGAACGAGACGAGGTTGGTTTTCGACTGACAGGCGTTGCGAGTTGACGTTTTGGGACTGACAGTTATTGACAGGGAGCGCGTGTGTCATCATTAAGACAGCAAATCATGTGACCTCACATGCACTCTAACGACTTGTGAGTCGCTAACGAGCAACGTGGAATGACGGGTGGCCAAAACCACTGAGAAAAAATCTGCTTCTCTTCCCATCCCAGATCCGCACCGTGAACGAGCCAACGCCCATCGCACGCAACCCGCAATTATCATCCATAGACAGATGATATGATATGCAGCATGAAAGACTTTCCCCTACGGCCCTACCCATGCGTCCGGTATGATGTGTCTCTCGCAACTTTTCCATCCGCGTAATTTGTCATTTCCCATCCTCCGTCCTGCACTTTTGAAAGTGAAAGGTCACGTTTGCGGTGTTTCTCTTTCTCGAAAATTTTAGTCCCAAAACATCAAAGCCCCATCCCCACACCGTCACCGACTCACTGACGTGATGCTCCGCAGCTCGCCCACTTTTTCTATGTCGTGAACGGTGGGGTGGGGTGGAGGGAAGTCCGTGAGGAGGTGCTTGTTGTAGTTGTTAGATTTAATCTATAGTATTGTTGGAGACTTGGTGGGCTGCGCCGGACGGCGCTCTTCGAGGTTAAAGGGGGAAGCCTCACTGGAAGCGTCGGATCGATAGGGTGTCGGATTCCGAGATCCGTAGGGTACCGGGATTTGATTGATGGATGCGGTGGGTGACGATCCTCACGGTGATATGGCGGGGTGTTGTTTCGTTTGGCCGACTCGGGTTGGGGCAAACTCCATCTCATCGTCAGAGGTGATGGAGGGTCGGGTGTCGGAAATTGCGAGATATCATACAATGGTCATCAGAATCAGTTAGATATCATATGATATCGCAGATAATGGTAGTCGTGGCGGAGACGACGTGGCTGCTTTGTGCCGCATTGTCCTTTGGGTTAGAATTGGCGATTCGACGACGGGCTTCTAGACCAAATCTTGCTTATGCCTGGGATACGCCTCTTCGCGAAACTTGCGCTTCTTTGCTGGACCGGGGCCTGAGGCGTGTCCAGGCAAGGTTTTGTGGTAAGGCTGGCGCCGGACAATTGGGCCGCAAAAGGATTGAAGATACCGAATAATCAACCCATGGAGGCGCTCTAAGTTTTCGGCAAAACGTTTGGGAAACATTTTCACGAAATTCAATACCCGTACTGTACACAGCGTCCCCTTCATCAACACCCTCGCCGCAGCCGGGAGAGATTTCGAAAAATCAGTGATACATCGGTTGGTGCTGTTAGCGAGCATTTGAGGTTTGGCGTGCAACGCGAGAAATACCATGTTGTGTTTTAACAGATGCTGATTCATGGTTGGCCATCGGGCGTTGTGGGCAATGGACATCATGGGATTCACGACGGCTGGTTTTATCTACGTTTAGTTGGTTTTCCTGAGTCCCGCTGGCGTACCATCGGTGCCTGATGCCTGTGATGCATCACGGACCTGATACAAATTCGTACGTTGATGGATCGGTGATGGCGGGTTGAGAGATGAGATGTTAGATATGATTAGGATGAGATTAAGACGGAGGGCGAACGATGTGCGTTGTTGATTCCTCGCAGACTTCCTATCGAGGAAGTAACTGCGGAGGGGCGTACATACTGTACAGTAGACGGAGCGAGGACCACCGCCGGCCGAGACCGCCGATGCCGAAGGAGCGTGAAAAAGCACAGGGAAGAGGCGTTTTGCCGGAGGGAGGGGGGCGAGGTCTGCTTGTTTAGCCGAAGTTTGCGCGTTTTGCGCCTGATTTAGTTTAGCGAGTCTAAGACGAAAGTGAGAAAAGGGCGATGCGCTGAATTAGGCGGGGGCATGAGATACAACTCCCCTGATGGCTACTACCGCTCTGATCCCTCCCCGTTGGGGCGTTGGCCAAACCGTCGTCAGCTTCCTGCACGCTTTTTGCTGGTCACTCAGGGCCAAAAAGGACGCATAACGAGACACCATACAACGCACAGACATGGCCGCAATCTTCCGGTACGGGAGCGACTGACTGGCTACTGCCTGAGACTGACTGGGCCGTACACTGACCGACAGTGAGAAGGCGAAGCATAGCGGCTGGCCCGTTTCCAAATTGCAACAACACGTCCGCAACAGGGCTGGTCGTCAGAAATTCTTCCTTCATAATCGTGGTCGTGGGAAAATCGTCCTTGTACCGACCAACTTCGCTCAACGCAACCAGATAACATTCCCAGCGAGCGGACAAGCAAGCGCTAGTCTGCTTCGTGTTTGCAGCGTCAGGCATCGCGAACAGTCTCGCCCAGCAATTGCCGAATAACGGGGCGTGGGGAAAGACCAGAAACCACAGGCGGAAAGCCAAGGAACATCGCATAGGCTCGCCCATAATGGACAACGCATACGGGCACCGTTCCCCAGTGACGTCGATGCAACAGGAATCACCACTCGCTGAATACGCAACTCCGCATATCAGTGGCATCATGTCGCATTCCCACGAAGTTCGACCACCGGTTGGTCTCGCGGCATTCCCAGAAGCGAACGTGAGTGCCAGTTCTCCGGCAGAGCAAATTGCCGCTGGGCAGTTCATGCAACAGGACGGATACGTTCAGCAGCAACAACAGTCGTACCGGGACATCCGCCCTCAACAACAGCAACAGCAACAGCACAGTCACGCTTCTTCGGGGCAAAGCAGGAGCAGGACCGCGAACTCTACTTCGACGCCGAATCAATGCGCAAATTGTGGTACCCTGTCAACGCCGTTATGGAGGAGAGGATCTAATGGGGAGACAATATGCAATGCTTGTGGTGAGTGAGAGAACTTGGCACATCGCGGTGGAGACCGATCCTATGATATTGGTGCCCATATAGAAATGTTCATGTCTAATATGCTACCATCGTACATAGGTCTCTACTTGAAAGCTCGTCACACATATCGCCCGCAACACATGAAGAAGCGAAGGCTTTCCAGCAACAACAGCAGTACAAGCATTGTAGGCGAAGAATCTCGACAACCTCAGAGTGGCCAGCGCATATTGCAGCAGAAGCATAGTCGATCACCGTCATCAGCTCTGGCAGGCTCCAGCGATCGCATTTCCCAATACCAGGCAGACGTGCATGCACCACCCGCAAACCTCGTGAACCATCTCACTCTCACGAAGCAGCATCTGGCGACATCTGCTCCTTCGCTGCCCACCCCACCAGACGACGGCAGACACGCGTCGAAGCCAATGCTCCCTCCAAGATCTATCTCGCAGTTCGACCCTCACTTGCCATATATATCGTTCGCCGGCAGGCCGGCGAACCCCTCTTCGCATCCATCTCAACACCACCGCGTCGCCTCCTACGACGATGCACGCGTCTACAAGCACGAACGACAACACGATATACCCTCACCGCGCATGCAGACACAAAATCGCGCACATAAAGACCCGCATTCGCTCGAACACTATCCCGAGACGTTCACCGCTCTGAGACCCGAACCTGGATTCGGCGCTGGACCGGCGCCGAAAAAGCGACGTACGAAAAGCGAATCGTTTCCTCAGTATCCGGACGGAAAATCATCGCACTCGCCTAATGCCCTTACACACCCCCGCATCCAAGCATCACAACTACATCACCATCATCGTTCATCGTCGGCGTACATTATACCAAACCATCCAGGTCTAGCGGAACTATCTCACCGCCGCTCAGTGTCAACATCATCACCGAACATCGTTAGAGCTCATAGTGGAGGCAACAGCAGTAGCAGGGGAACTACAGTAAACCCACCACCGGAAGTGCACTGCATCAACTGCGACACGACCTCCACTCCTTTATGGCGTCGAGACGACAAAGGCAACGCGATATGCAATGCGTGTGGGCTGTACTATAGGTTACACAACACCAACCGGCCTGTGACGATGAGCAGGGCGGTGATCAAGAGAAGGAAGAGGACGGTGCATGGGGACGTTGCGGCGCCTCAGCCACCTGCGGAGGTGCCTGCGGTAATGGCGGCGGCTATGGAAGCAAGACATGCCCAGACGGGCCCGAGTGCAGGGCACGGCTCGGCGATGGATGTGAGGCATGCGCTGATGGAAAATGCAGGGAACGAGCAGCAATTTTTACTAGCACACCAGCAGCATGAGCATGCACCGTCCGGCGGAAACGTCAAAATCCACGCCGTGCACAGACGCAACCCATCCTACACTCTTCCCCGACCCATCATTCCACCGTCTTTCCCGCAACCCACCGGCTTGAGCTCACTCGCCATGGGCGGTACCTCCCACATCTCCTCAACACTCGAGCCCACCCAACACCAGCCCTCAACAACGTCACCACACGGCTACCTCCCACCACCCACCCTCCCACCCCTCGAATCCTTCGACCCGCATTTCCACACCTCCCCACCCGGCAACCTCGTCCTCCCACCGCTGAGAACACTCATTCTGGGCGGTGGCGGGATGGACGGCACAGAGCAACACCATCGTCGACATTCACCACCTTCACCCTTACGCCTCCACCGCAGTTTCCATGCACCCGAGGGGACAAGCGCGCTGGCGTCGGAGGGGAACTTCGAAGGGCGAGCGCGCTATGGTGGGTTTGAGTATGCGCACGCGTCAGCGAACGGGGCGATGTCATATTCGTCGCCTAAGCCTGCACGATCGCCGAACAAGGAGATGAAGGTAGAGGCACTCATGGACATGGATGTCGATACTGTCAATGCTATCCACACAAACACAAACACCGCGCGCCCTGGAAGCGCATCGCCACACGGCGCGATGATCTCCCTCCCTTCCATCACCGAAGCGTTTGACTCCTTCCGTCACGCCTCCCCACCACACGTCTCGTCAGCGAAAGACCTCCTGCATCGCGTGGAGAATATGCGCGTGTCGGGTGGTGACGTGAATGTACTCTACAACCAACACGAGCACCAAACAGCGAGGCCACTCCATCGCCACGACTCATCAGGCTCACCGATATCAGTCTCAGGTTCTTCACCGCATTCGTTGAGGAAGTCACCCACCTCGCCGAAGAGAGAAGAATGTGCGTCGGATGCGGAGATGAGCGCTACGCATGCGTTGATGGTTTTGGCTAAGGGTGGGCGGTAGACAGATAGGGGATTATGCACACACATGGTCGCTCCCGATTTTGCATAGGCGGCGGCGTAACTCCCTTTCCGCGTAACTCTCCCATATGCGCTGTGGTTTTTCAACCTACCCACTTCCTTACCCTTACTTAATACCATTATTACCAATAAAATTACCTTGATGTGTTACGACTTACAATAGCTTGGTGATTTAACACGTCGAGGAACGAGATGAGGCGTAAAACGTTCGGTTTGACGTTTGATGTACAGTGGTATCACATCAAAAAAACAACCCAAAACATCGAAGCCCGGTTAGCTCAATCGGCAGAGCGTGAGGCTCTTAACCTCAAGGTTGCGGGTTCGACCCCCGCATCGGGCTTTCTTTTTCGTGGTCTCGCCTTCGGGTCTCTTTTTGGGTCTGTTTGTTGCATAGAGCAAATTTTGCATGGGAGGTGCTTTTGCTAGGGAGTGAAAGCCGGATTTAAATCGGAGACGGAGGCGCAAGTGCACGTGACAGCCGTGAACGCGTCCAAAACGCGTTCACGTCACGGAAGTGACAAACCCCGAAAACCGCCACAACCATTGCAAAAGATAACAGTGTGTGAATGGCGCACATTCTATTACGCTCTGAGATCAATATGTGTATGTATGAGTAGCCAGCAGCAAGCCCAGCGCATCGCAACGCAGATTCTCCATAACGTTGCGCTGGTCCGTCTGTTCATTTGTCAACGGCTCGCTTCTAGCTTTCCATTCTCCAACTTCTAAATCTACCTTCACCCAACATTTGCATTCGGCAAACCGGCAACGTGGGGCGGACGAGGCGACGGAGTACCTGTTTTTCCCAGGCTATGGTCCGCCACATTCTCGGACTAATTTGTACTCATCCGTTTTGCCTTTCCCCGGTCAGATAGACTTGTCGGTTCTGATGCCCGTCTTGCTTGCCGGGGTTCGTATGGTCACCTTTCGTTGATTTTCTTTAGGAATTCCAATCTCTTCCTCCGGTTGGCCGATTGCCTTCTCGACGCCCTGCACGTGGTGGAACTCTTCGCTCTGTTCCGCCATTACACGATCCTTCTGGAACTGAGGTTCCCTGTGCCTTTTTGCCTCGACCTTCCACGTAGACAGCCATCCCTCGTCATCAGGAAGGTCGAAGCCCTCTGTCTGGTGGGCGTTCCACAAATTACAGATCCATGCATAACGTTCCGCTGTTAGAACACCCGGCGTTGGTACGAGCGTGCCTAAATCCCAGATGTGCGCTATCGACATTGTTTGAGGCCATCTGGGGACAGGTATTCCTCAGAACATCCGTCGTACGTCCAAGGGTATGGCTTTATCTTCCAAATGTTCGGCATGTGGGCGTCGAAACTCAGCTATACGCGAATCCTCAGAAAGTCCATCGCGTCCGGAGACGTGCGGTTTCGTGTTTAGTGGTTCGAAGTTGACGTGGTGTTCACAGCTCTCTTCTTCGTGAATTCTCAGAACACTCGACGTACGCGTGTGTAAATGCCTTGCGAGTCGTGGAGCTGAGTAAAGCGGTCGAAAGTGTGGGGCGCCGGGGTGGGCGAATGCAAATTCTCTTTTTGATGTTGGTTAGAGAGGATTCACTGTTTTGTTCTTCCGCCAGCACTGTCATGTCTGAGATTCGAATTTGTCGCTCGTCGCTTGCTTTGCATGAACCGTCGAGTGAGAATGTCTGATTGATTGGCGGGTAAAGCCCTTCCACATCGCGGGCTTCCACAGCGGGAATGGTACTACTGGTTCCCGATGATTGACCATAGCCACTCTTCGATCGCCATTCGTCTTCGACACCTTTGACCAAGATCACTCCACGTCAGATCGCCCGTAACCCTCCACAAGCGTTACTTCTTCTCAGTCAAGACAGGTTCCAAAAGGTCGAAAAAGCCATCGGCCTACGCACGCATTGATGGCGCCGTCGCTTAGGAGACCGCGGCGCCGGTACATTCCACTTGTCCCGGATAGTTGGCTAACTGTCAGGATGTTAAGTGGAATTCGGGACCGCCCCCGGCCGTCAAGCGTTGAGCTCATGATCATTGTAGTTCAGGGATTGCCAAAGTTTCTCTTTCCGCTTGGGCCATCCTCAGGACACCATCTAATGTGTGTTGATGTTCCCGTCCACAATGACTGCGGGGTACTTCCATGCTTCTTCAATTTCCCTCTGGTTCTTCCTCCGAAGGACCCAGGTGCCCCAGTATGCGTGGAACGCCCGTTGCTTGCCATCGACTTTCGAGGTCTAAACGGCAAAAGTCCAGGACTCGCGTGTAAACCGATTGCGCTGCGTCCAGATTCAGGGTTGCGGCGCAGGGTCATGGCTGCGAAAACGACTTTCCAACCGGCCAAAGTGCATCCAACAACGCGTACCATTACCGGCAGACTCCGTTCTGTCGGCCATTTCCTCCCCACTGTCGCCTATCCAGATACGGCGGGGCCTCTCGATTTTGGCAAAACTCGGTTGTCTGGCATAGGCCGGTTCTCAGCGAGCCAATGTGGCGCCATCTCCGTGGCCAGGACCGTAAGAGGGTGCCTTGCCACCGCCTTACAGAAGGGTCTAGTCACCGTAACATGCTGGTGGTAGCGGATTGATTTTTGTCGATGTTTCGACTCGTGCTGGGCAAAATGCGGAACCCCGCTCCCTCGGGTGCAGATGGTCTCCATTCCATTATCTTTCGCATCTTTTGCGTTCCGTCGGAACGATCTCCGCAAAACACGACGTCTTCATCCACAAAAACCACCAGGGGTATTTGAAAGGACAAGATAGTGGACACCGGGATGCAATGGTGAGGGGTCCTCTATTGGTAGGCCGTCCGATAGGCGCCGGTTGTTACGCTGTCCACCGGTTGATCCAATCTGATTGGCCGTACTAGCTGATAGAGCCTCTTGTGCCAAGGTACTAGTCGGTGGCACTTGCTCCCGTGGTGCTGGCCTACATCTGTTGAGACGTCCAGTGGTACGTCATATCCCGCGTGCATCGAGTTTCTTTGACTCTACCCTGCCCTCCAAGATGATCCTACCGTAGCAGCGGCTTCTCAACATTGAAAAAGAAACAAGCAACCACAACGCGTGTTCATTGACAGAAGTCCTATTGCGAGTCGCCCTCTCACCGTATCCAATCCTGATTCCAATCGCGGGATTCAACAAGGTACCGCGCACCGCAACCGATCCATGGTGATCCGGCAAGACAAAAAAAAAGAGAGCCCGATGCGGGGGTCGAACCCGCAACCTTGAGGTTAAGAGCCTCACGCTCTGCCGATTGAGCTAACCGGGCCTTCGATACTTGTCCACTCTTGTAGGATTACACAAACGGAAGGCGCACGATGAATCATCAAGGCTTCACCCTCCAATTGAACGTGTTGGCAGTTCACTCCTTTCGCGGAGCACCCTTCTCCAGGTTCCTCAACCCATACATAGACAGCCTGCACATCCCCTCTCTCCGCCTGTATATGTATTGTATGTATATGCAGCATTCCTCGACCTCTTCCGATATCTGCCAGCAGACCGCTCACGGGTGGACAGCGTTTCTCAATAACTGAACAGGCATCTGGGACACTTCTCGAGGCGGAATCATGTCCGACAGCGGAGATCACTCAGAACCCAACTCGGCGACCAGCTCAGATTCACCGACCCCTCCACTCCAGTCGACCGCGCACTTTTACGACGATGCGACTGTGCGTATCATCGTAGAGCACACCGTCTTCGCCGTCCACAAGTCGCTGCTTAAAAAGTTCTCCAAGTACTTTGACACGATGTTCACCGGGCAGTGGCGCGAGGCGCAAGCATTGGGAATCAAACCTGAGGTCTCGCAAAAACAACCTGTCCACGCAATCGCGGTTTCAGATGTCACCACAGGCGCGCTGGAGCAATCTGTCGAGGCGATCGAGGATTCAAATGTCCCCGCGGATGCTGAAAAGGTCGAGGCGATCGAGAGGCCGGACGTCACCGTGGCACCTTTACTGAACGAGATTTTCCTGGAAGATCTCGACGGAGAACATTTCGAATCATTCCTCGATATCATCTATGAATTCAACGTGAACCTAATTACGCTCAACGTCTCCAAGCTTCTTGGCATACTGTTCACATCGGAGTACTTGCTAGCCGATCGCATTTTCAACGCAACAAAGTTTGCACTTCGGGCGATCAAGAAGGACTGGCGCAATATCGCAGAGTTCGTTCGCGGATTACATGGGTACAAAGAGCCTCTTGCACCATGCCTCGCATCGATCCGCAGTGAATGCGTGGAATTCTTTAGAAACGCCATGCAGTACGAGGACCGCTGCATTCGAGTGCTGCATTTCGCCGAGTCCTATCATTACCCCGAACTGCTCACTGACGAGTTCAAGGAGAAGTGGCCACGCAAACCTTTCTTGGATCTCTCGTTCCAGAACTTATCCATCGAGTTACAACACCGTCTTCTTATGAAGTTGACCGAGTGTACATGTGGTAAGGCTGAACCTAAGGGGCATGCAGCTACGTGTCCTCGAAATCCCACATCCTAGTAAACATATATCAACCTGCACATCCTCCAGCGGCGTATCAGAGTCTCCATCCCGTCCCCTGCGTCCTTCTGTGAATGAAACACGGCGCGAATAGATATGTATCGCAGAAAGAAGCACCTGTCAGAAAGAAAATTTGTATATCCATACTGAGAGGCATTGTGTTTTGCTGGGGCCATATTCGTTTCCAAGTACCATAACGGGTTGGCTCTTCATCAATACACTTTGATTACCTTCCTCTACACTGAACGCAAACTCTGCTCATGGCTGCTCCTCTTTCATACTACATTTTTCGATCCTCGGCAATATAAGGCTGCGGGGGACTTGCAGGAACAGGTCTTCGTAATGGTGCTTCGTGGAGCGGGTCGGCGGAGTCGGTGGTGCAACGGCGGATGGTGTAGAAATGCTGGTTGCGCGGTTTTCGGTGATCGGCGGGGTGGGCGGGGCGTCTTGAGAAAGGCTCAAGGGTCGACATCGAGAAACGCTCAATGGTATTCTGTCTGAGAGACCGGGTCGTTGAGCTGCGTCTCTTGGCATGCTGGCTATGCCGGAAACTGTAAAGGAGGAAACGGTCGATTTCGCATGTGAAAAGGTTGAAAGCCCAGATCCAACTGCCGCGCTGTCGAGTTTGGTAAAAATGACAGGTTTTTCGTGTCGCTGTGGATGAGTTCGTGGCGCCTCCGGCAAAAGATGCAAACTTGGTAATCCTCGCAAGAAATGTGCATCAAAATTGTCGAGCTTCGCTATTAGATACATCTAGAAGTTCAAAGAGAGTGTCCGCTCTCGCTTACGTCGTGTATGAATGATTTGGTCCTACGACTACCAAACAGGTCGCCTTATGCGCTCCCACGGGAACCGGCACGTGCGTCCGACCGGTGTCGGAGCACGAAAAAAGAAAAATCGCAAGGAAAATGGGTGAAGGCGCAGATGCCCTATACGTGTGCTCCGGTGGGCCACGACGCTTTATAATCATCTGAAGGAAACTCATCGTATTCCCACATCTCAGCAAGGTAGAGAACTTCCAGTCAGTAACCGTTCATTTGCGAGCCTAAAAACGCGCGGTATTCGTCGTGGAGTCTCTCAAAGGCCGGTAGGGCGGGCAGTCGGCACAGACCCTGCAAACACGGGTAGAAACCGCCCCAGGTGCTCGGGCGTACTGCTAAAGTGGTCCTCGGTCTTCTTCAGAAATTGATCGGCCTGTAGATAATTGCATGTGTAAAGCAAATCAAACAGCTCCACGATTGTCAACGACGACATATCGACTCTGAATGGCTCGTAGATGATGTCAAGAAGAGGTCAAACTCGGCCTTGGTGAGGCTCTGCAACGGTATCGGGGTGAGAGAGACGTCGTCCAAAGAGCCTGGTGATTCGCGCCAGGGTCCGTCGAACATCGTACTAAAGTACGTAGAGGACTTCTTCAGCAGAGATTTGTGGAGCGCAGAGATTGTGTCCTCCACCAGGACCGTGGCGTCTTTGTAGAGGTGTTTTGCTGAAGGTGTTGTGATGGATGGCGCAACAGACTCGATTGTCGGATTTGTTGAGGCTGTTTTGGTGATCGGGTCAGGAGCGGCAGGTTGAGAGGTAATCGAATTCCGACGGGCACTGCGGATCTTTCTGACGTACGACCGCTTCGTTGCGCGCCGCTCCTAGTCTGCATGGCGCTTATGGTTGCTGAACGGCAGACGGGTTGCGTGATTGAGACTCCGGGGCAGTTTAGTTATGTTCAAGAAAGAAGCCGAGGCGAACACAAGTTGGGTGAGTTATGTACATCCGCCGCGCTGTCGATTTTGTCTCATTCTCACAAAATGACAGGTGTTTTCCTCATTTCTTGCGCTAAGTTTTCGCCGTTATTATGCGGTCCCTTCCTGTTTGCGAATGCGTCAAGTAAAAGCGACCGAGTGCCAAGGTGCGACTCATATGTTTAAAATACTCGATTTATTTTCCCAGCTTATCATTCAGGTAGAGGTAGAGAGTCGGAAGCCGACTTCTGGACCTCCTTAAAACGCAGTACAGAACGCAATTCGGTTATCGGGATAGCAAGGGAGATTTAGATCAGGCGGCACAGTGATAATAGAAGCACCCACCACAATGGCCGCCGTTAACTGAAGCAACAAGGGTTCTCAAACACCTGGTTGTATAGAAGACGGTATCGCAGCTCGAAGGACAACATCTCGAAGTGCTCGTCTGTACGCAGTTTCCTGGGCCACTGGTGCTGGTAGTCATCCGAAAGAAGCTCGGAGATACCGTATTGCTCGGCAATGTAGAGGACGTGCACCCGATTGGCGGGGCCGGCCCTTTTCAAGAAAGCGACGCACCGGACCTGAACCGCTTTGAGGCTTGGTATATTTTCTGAATGGGCGTTCTTAAGTGCGCCGAGGTAATCACAGATGTTATCCCAGTTTATGCCAAGTTTTCGAAGGGCTTGTTGTCCTACTTCCGAGAACTTTTCAGCCAGCAAATATTCGCAAGCAGAAAGCAGACTGACAATTTGTGAGATTTCGAGCCACGATAGCTTCGAATCGACATCGAAGTCATAGATGAGATCGAGAAAGATATCGAACTCATCCTTCTTTAATCCCCTCAGCTGCACTTCAATTGGGCAAGTGGCCGAGACAAGTTTCGAGTCGTTCGTCCCCCGGACAGGGTTCGTTTCGCGCCACGGTCCGGCGAAAAGAGTCTCGAAATACATGGAATATCTCTTGAGGAGCGACTTGTGAACCGCAAACTCTTTGTCCTCCACGATTACCAGCACGGTGGCATCCTCGTAGTTGTGTTTCGCAGAGCGACTTCGAGTGCCGGTCAACAAATTCGAAGCGTCGACGGGGACTTGATCGTCGTCGGACATGTCGGTTGCTCGGCGGTCCGCTGAAGCTCGAGAGGGTTTAGGCGAAGACTGAGCGTGCAGTGGGCTCTAGCTTCAAGTGATAGGCGGTAGGGAGCTGATATACGGTTCAAACAGACTCTTGGGAAGGTAGGGAAGGACAGCGCAGGATGTGAAGTGGAATACCGTCTCCACGATGGAGGTGAAACAGCTCGATGTCCGACACACCTCCGCAGAATCCTTTCACCGCCCTGTGTCGCCCCGCTGACATTTAGATCTCCGCTGCAATGCATTCTCTGCGCAACATGCGAGGAGAAAGGGCAGACAATGACGGTGAGTTACATCAATGCGGATTGCATTTCATACTCACGCACATTTGGTTTGTGGAGAGGAGGGTGCTCGAGCAGACCATCAGCCAGTGGTTTCAACTCCACAGAGAAACGCATAGGCATCAGTTCCCGCCGGGGTTTCCTGGTTCAACTGCCGCACTCCAACGATCTTTTTTTCCCGTTCTCTCTCGCGCCTTCTTTCTTCATATTCTACTGCACCAGTCTATCTACATCCAGACTCGTTGGCGAAGATGTCCGACGGCGAGAAACCCGAATCGGAAACCGACTCCACTTCCCACGCTCAATCCCTAATCCGCTCCACCAAGCACTATTACGAAGACGCAACGGTATATGTAGTTGTCGAGGATACGGTTTACGCAGTGCATAAATCCTTGCTCAAGAAATTCTCCAAGTACTTCGATGCGATGTTTATGGGTCCGTGGCGCGAGGCACAAACCGGTGTGGAGAAGGCACCTTTCGATGTGAGGGGGGTGGTAATCAGAGGCGCTAAATCGATCGCGAAGCTTTTCACACTCCCTTGGCGCAAGAAAAATGTCGTGGAAACTCCCGACGAGCAGAAGGAGCCTGTTTCTGCGCCCGAGGCACTAGACTGTGCAGAAATTAAGGAGATTTTCAGTCAATTGCCTACTGCGGTGATGCTGTACATTCTCTTGAAAATGATTTGTCTCGACTTCGCCGCCTTGTTCAAAAGTCTCATCATCAGAGTGGTTCAACGGTTCATCGCCGTCGCCACCGAGATTAGGCCTGCGGCGCACGCTCTGAGTGAGGTTCATCTGAAGGATTTGAGGAAGGAGGAATTCGAGCTCTTGCTGGATGTGATATACAACCCCGTTGAAGTGCAGATCGAGTCGCTCGAAATATCGCAACTTCTCATTCTCCTCTTCACAACCGAATACCTGCAATGCGACGGATTTCAAGATGCGGCCAAAAGATCGATCGAGAAACATAAGAAAAACTGGGACAATATCAATGAGTTCTTCGCCGCGCTAAGCGATACACCGGCTGTGGCAAGCCTCGAAGGGATCCGCAATGACTGTTTGGTCTTCCTCAAATCGGCTGCAAATGATAGATGGGTTCATGTCTTGCATATAGCCGAGCAGTATGAAGTTTCGGAGCTGCTCTCCGACGAGTTGAAGTCAAAGTGGCCCATCAAGCCGTGGAAGAGTCCTATTTTCAAGCAACTGTCGATTGAGCTGCAGAACTGGCTTTTGCTGAATTACACCGTGCATCCATGTTCGCCCCAGTACTGCGCAAAGTATCACTGCTGTGGGTGCCCGCGTTATGAGTCGTAGTTTACTTCCCGTTTGCGGTGTCGAAGCATTAGCGTTGCACCTATTTGTAGCATGGCGAACCTCGTTGTGAATGTACATACATGTGACCTCATTGTCAAATCCATGCGAGCAATGCGTACCGCAGCCTCCATGCGTACCATTCGTATGAGCGGCACATTGGCTACATCGCTTGTTTTCTCATGCGACGAAGAACGCTCGTCTCATTCAAAGGTACCAGAAGGTCCGGAAAGCTACGTAAGTCACCGTCACTCTGATTCGCGGTATATCCAACCATGACATCAAGAAGAGTGTATCGTGCAGATGCGATGCGGGGGAAGTCAATCCAGTCCGCTTGCTCTTCTTGTCGCCGGATGTCTCTCACACGCCATGTTCTGCTTCAAACCTAATAGATCATTGATGCGCCAGTGCACGCAAGTACCCCAAGGGGGTTGCAGCTACTTTACGTGCCTAGTCATTCTACGCCACTAGACAGATATGGAATCTACAACTAGGCATCCAGTGCAGTGCTTGCCGTCTGAATACTATGTAGTGTTTGCCCCTACTGTTTCATTGTTGACGCGCGCTCGCAGAGAGGCGGGATCTGGCAATGTTGTTGGAAACGTGTTAACTGGAAACTCCTGATAAGCGACAGAACACGTGGAGGCGTATTCTCACCTGTTCTTGCAGTGAACATCACTCTGGTGCCGCGCTTGGGGGGATCAAAGACGGAACATCCATCACAGTGGTACCTCTCGTCACACTTAGAAGAAACGTCCACCATATCGAAAAATATGCGGTTCTGTAGCTCCAACGACAAGCTGAGGAAATTGACATCGGCGTATGCGTTGCGTGGCAAAAGGCCCTTCAAGTCCTCCGACAGCACCTCGTCAAATCCATACATTTCAGCGTATAACAGGACTTTCACGCAATCATTCCCCAGGGCGGATTTCAAGAACTTGATACACTGTGACCGAAGCTTGTTGAAGGAAACGTTGAGAGGGGTTTCGCTCAGGCCCGCCATAAAGTCTTCTATGTTGCCCCAGTGCTTGCCGCGTGCCTCAAGCACCATTCTGGTCGAGTCACGGATCGCATCAGCTTGGAGATAGTCTGATGTAACGTACAGCTCGAACAGTTGGGACACGGGAACCATCGACAAGTCGGTTAGCGGCTCGTAAATGACGTTCAGGAACGCCGTGAAATCCCGCGCCTTCAGTTCATCCATCCGGATCGGCTCGATGGATTCGACGCTTCAAGCCAGGGTCCGTCGAACATGGTGACAAAGTATTTCGAGGCCTTTTTGAGCAGAGACTTGTGTACGGCATAGACGCAATCTTCGACCACGAGCTGAACTGTGGCATTCTCGTAGAAGTGCTTTGAGCGGATCGGTGGTTCAACCGAAGACGGTGCCGTCGTGCTGGTCGCGGGAGTTTCGGTGGTCGGCGGGCCTTCGGCAATCATATGGGCTTCTGAGCCGGTCGGTTGTGAAGATTCTGACATGCTGTCGGGAGTGTCGGTGGTCGGGAAGCTTTCGGTTATAGGTTTGAGAGCGGCAGGCTCAGACAGACTATTGGTTTCGGCTCCTTCGGCGATGACGATAGGCTGAGCGAGACTTGAGCTTCCGGATCTTTCGGCGATGAGGCTCTCGGAGCGAGCTCCGCTGCGAGCTTTCCGCACGTATGGTCCGGGTCGTAGAATGCTTTTTCTTCCCATGCTGCCTATATCGGATAGAGGTAGACTACTATACTCAGGCTATCGTAGTACTCAATGAGGCTCGTGGGGGAAGACAAGGACGACAGCAGAGAAAGCTCGAGGATGAGGGTGACAAGCAGACGGTGAGTCACACACGCGCGGTCGAAATAGTCAAATTGACGAGGTCCTCGCAAACGACCGTTCATAGTAATGGTGGGGCAGCGTGAGGGAGTAGCATGGCAAGTCATCTGCACATGCAGGTGCTGCGGACAAACTACCGCCAAAGATTGAAATGCGGACGAGGAACGCAAACTGACGATGCGTCTCCTAAAGGCTACACAAATAGACTAGCTTCAAGAATTATAATGAGCCGAGCACATAGCTTACGACGTGCTACCGAACGCCCAACGCATTACCGCTCTGGCTCAATGTGTCAGCCATGTGACGAGATCGATGCAAAAGTTGGAAGCCATGCAAGTACGCCCCACCAGCGAAAATTATATGGCGCTTCGAGTCTCTTCCGGGACAAGGTGTCCCACACTTTGTAATCACTGTATGATTTCCTCCCCGCCCTTCACACTTCCTGCCGACCAGCGTCGGTCAATCCGTCATCACAGAAACCATGGGATTCCAGGAAAGGGACGGTTTACAAGCATGGGACGGTTTACATGGGACGGTTTACAAGCATCAGGGACATTCTTCTCGAGATTCAGTTCCTTCACGCCGTTCTGGACAACTTTTCCACATATGCCTTTATATATACCAGGTCAGCTTCCGCTATCAAAAGAACGCAGCAACCCCCAACCCTTACGCCGCTGCAAGCACTCCACACATGCACCTCAGATGCGAAAGTTTCCGTACGTATTGTCGTCGAGTCACTGTTTCTGCGCGAGACCGGTACGAAGAGAGCGTTTTGGCGGATTGCGTGCGGTTCCACCGTTTTTGCTGCGAACCGGGAGGAGCGGCATAAATCATTCAAGACTCCGCGCTATCATGCTTCAAAAGCCGATTTTGCAGCTTGACAGAGAGCATCGGAAACATCTGGATCTTGTATGTTTCCTTGGGTGACCATTGGTTATACTCATCCGAGCGCAGCGTTTCAGCATAGAACAGAACGCGAATACAGACAGAACTCCATTCTAGAGACCAGAAACTTCACACAGTCGGCCCGAAGCCTGTTGACGCTGGGAATAGCCGGCAACTTCTTCAGCTCATACAGATACTCAGTTATATTGAACCGACGTGTCATCAGGGCTTCCTCCGTCTTCTTGGGAACAGCTCCGCTTCTAAGTGGTCGCATGTGGAAGCAGCTAAACAAAGTCGGCAGGCTCATCAGAGCCCGATCGACGCGGAACGGTTCGTAAATGAGATCCAGAAACATCTCAAGGCCCAGGTTGGTCAGAGATTGCAGGTTGAGTGGGACAAGAGAACGCATACTGCGGTCAAAGATATATTCAGAGACCCCTGCGACTCGCGCCAAGGTCCCGTAAACATCACGACAAAATGCTTGGAGACCTTTTTGAGCGCAGATGTGTGGATCCCGAATATCGTGTTTTCGACGACGGTCTGGACTGTGGCGTCTTCCGCAGTAGTGCTCTGTTGCGCGAGTCGCGGAACCCGAGTCTGTCGAAATGTGGACGTAGAGGGAGAGGGTGTGAGGGTACGACCGACGCGCTGTCGAAATCGGGTCATGGCCTGTCATTTTGGTACTGTATGTACATGTTGGATGTTCCTGTATGTAATGTTGGACAATCTGGCTGGGGCGGTAGGAGAACGGGCGGTTACGGCTTGTGTGGCCGCATGACGTTGTCCCAGCTGGTGCTGTGTTTGGTAGCAATTATCTTCGCATGGTATGCATTTACAAAAAAAGTCGCAGAACTTAGAGTCGGGAGAACTGCATCTATTCGCCCCACCACCTATCTCCACAGGAGCATCTATACTTTTCCCAACGAGAAAGAGGTATATCGCCACCCCCATAGTTGCCTCGAACCTTCCCTTTCCTGTCCTTGTGAGAAATGATTACGAGTTTTGCATAGGTGTATTTGAGCGGATCGGCCTGATATCGTAGCAGGTAGTGACGTAAGACGCCTCGGCTAGCTCTTTCGAAACGACTCTCTGACTTCTGTTTCTTCTCGAGGAAGCGAAGGGTGGCGGCTGCGTCTCCGGTGTGAATAGTTTTTGGAGCGGGGCCGGTCAGTCGTGCGAGATTCAACCCGGAGTCGAACGGATTTCTTTCAACTTCGGCATTGCATGGTATAGAGATATCTGTCAGGTCGTCGAAGCGTTTACTGTACTCCTTTACGGCCTCCACAATGAAACCTTTTCGTGTTTTGCGGAGACCATACATGGAGTACTTGAAGTATCCGTTGCTTAACAGTCCCAGTATCCGCTTTGGCCTTCTTCATGGTAGTGTTCGTAAGTGCAGAGAAGCATGGCTGAAGGGAAGGTTGTCGTGGTAGAAGACGACTGAGGCTGATATCCCTTGAATCAACCAAATAGAAGTTCGTTAGGTTCGATAACGCACAGCTTCCGGAACACTCCTTCAAACGTTCTCTACGCGAGCTGATCTTCTCTGATAAGGTGATCTGGGCATCTTGGGCATAGCACATCGGGCATATTTATGCGAGGTGCCTAGTCTGAGTCAACCCGCCGAAATCTGTAATATTCAAGGTAGTCACTATACGCAACGTGATACACGTAAGATACTAAGAAGACCATACATGTACAGTAGGTGGCTATGCTGGGTTGCCCTGAGCCCAGCCCGTCAAAGCCTTGCCTGCATCGGTCTATCTTGCTCTCACAATGGACGGTCGCAAGTTCGAGGATGACTTGCGCGAACTCATCGATTACTTCTGGCCCGTCCAACTCTCCAACGCCTCTACCGGCACGAAACACACGAGGAGACATTACAAGCCAACCTTCAGAGCGCTCAAGAAATGCTGGACGATCAACGTGTACACCAGCAAAGTGTGCAAGCTGATCTGGCTGAAGCCAGGGAGACCATCGAAGAAGCACAAAACCGGATCGACGAGCCCAACAAGGCGACCGAAGCGCGATCCGAAGAAATCGAACAGCAACGAGCTGCGATAGCGGAGGCCGAAAGAAATATCACAAATTATGACAACCAGTTGAGGCAGTCAACCGAAGCGCAGCGTGAACTCGAAGCACCTTTAGCAGCGCGAACGACCGAATTGGATACGGTTGCAGATTACGTTTCCAGCATGGCCGAAGTCGTTTGCCACAGGAACCAGCTCCTGATAGGAGCGGGTCAAGATTCGCCGGCTGTGCGGACAAGATACGACAGAATACAAGATCTTGGTTTGGGGGGTTTGATTGGTAAATATTCCAACCATCTTCTGCTAGGTTGTGCCCACTCTGACCCAAATGAACGTTGTAGGAAGCCCACAAGCCTCAATTCAAGATGCGCCCCGGGCGTCAAGCTCCTCCTCTTCCTCCGCCCCACCCACCCAGCCGATCCGACTGTAGCCATACATCAGTGTAGAGGCTACCTGGCTGCACATCGTGCAGTCGGTGCGACAGATCATCCAGAGCGGCGTCTGGGTGCCGCTCTTGCCCGGCGAGATGCACTCGACTGTAGGCGTCGGCGAGAGCCCGCTCTCCACCGTGCGCAGGATTGCAAAGCGTACACTGTCGGAGCAGCGCCGGCTGAACGAGATGATCCAAGATGTCCGCGAGACGGCGTCCGTGCTACTCACGGACCACGGCGGCATGCCGCACGACTACGACCCACAGCACGCGTTCGACGTGGTTACAGCGTTTGGCGCACGCATCATGGAGCCGGTGCGCCTCGCCAAGCGGCACGCGGTCAGCGAGGAGCAGCTGCGCGACTCGATCCAAGCGCTGCAGCGCTCTCTGTCGGAGCTGAAGGCGATCGTGCGCCAGTACACGTCCACGCCTGTACGCCCGGCGCGCACCGGGTTCTAAACACGGGCGTGGAGGCGCGTTCCGGGGCTCTAGGCTGAACGTGGGGGCCGGCACATGAATGAATCTATACGTATATTCCATCTGGGTTATGGATTAGGTGATATTTATAAACTCTGTCGCCATCTGTCTGTACATGACTCGAGGTCAAGTTTCCCACAGATATCATAACATCGTAACATCATCATGTAAACAACGCTACGGCCCAGCTAGTCCAGCGACTTCCGTGCGTGTTCATGTCTGCTCGATGTCAAAGTTTGTCGCTCCGGATCGAGAACCCCCTCCCACTCATCCCATAGGTGGCCGATTCTCTCGACACTTTAGGATGTAATAGTATAAAAGGCGTAAGAACGTTCAACTCGCGAGACATCATGAATTTGAGTGGGAGACCTTCATCACGGGTGAAAAACCAAGACGACGTCCATGTACCCAGAATTGATCGAGATGGTTCCTACGTTCGATAGTCTGGACCTGAGAAGTATAGAGAAGAGCACATCCGATCCCTCAAGAATCATGTACAAGGGCACACGCCTTCTCTTGCGAAGCCGCATCGAGTTGGACATGGAGACCGGGAACACAAGGGTTGCAGAAGGTGTTCATACGCTGAACGAACGTCTCGAAGAATTGAACGTACAGGTTGAGTTTTCAGATCTAATCTTCGAGGATTCGGTGCTCCTCATTGAGAAACAAGGTACATCCTTTGATACCATAAATTCCGAGGCGATTCTCGATCTTATGGTGGAGAAGTGGCCCTGCGAAGCAATCTTGCGACTGGCCAATGATGATGACTACTTATACAACGAGGATACGGACACAGAATCCTCCGCGGGGGAACCAGGACCTCACCTCCTGTGTATGGAGGCCCTTATCTTTCCAACCTACACGTCGCCCCAAGCACCGGCTGCTCGACCGTGTGGAATACATTGAGGAGGTTTTATCAAGGCCTAATCATCTTGGCAGCGTGCAAGGTTGGGTCAAGATGATGCAGGACAATTGGACCGACAAACCGATGGAAAGAAATGGTAACACCCCACCAACAAACTAATCTTTGAGGGAAGTAACTGCTTTTTGTTACGCCCATGGTATGTGTGTGGCTGAACAGGGCTGTAGACCCTGTTGGCCGTAGCGCGACAGGGTGATGGGACTGGTCTGGGATTGCTCGACGTCAGAACGGAATGGATATCCAGATTTCGAGCACGGTTTTAGCGGAGCATTGGAAAAGCCAGGCGTTTGAGACACCACCGACGCGCTGTCGAATTCCGGTCATTTTGTTATGTACGAGATCAAACAGTCGGTCAATCAGTTCATATTGCAAGGATGCACAGGCAAAGCTGGGTTGTGGAGCGACACAGGATTGCGAGATTCAATCTCCCACAATCATCGAGGTGGTCTCCAACCCTCAGCCATGTCTGCGCATCTCGAGCCCGGACGTGTAAATCTCGCCATTGGACGATCCCAAGGCGCAATTCGCATTCGTGTGTGGACAGACAACCGCTGGGCAATGTGCCACGCAGTGAAGCACAGGATATTCAAGGTTCACCACCTCGGCATGAAGCAATTGTGCTTCGAGAACAGGCAAACATGTTCGGGGAACTGTGCCGATGCCAACTCTGCGACCCCACCGAAATATAGAAGCCCCTTAGTTCCGCTCTTCAAACGCCCCGACTCATGACCATGTGTGTATCAGTGAAAGTTGCGTGGAGTGGAGAACTCTCTAGGTGGCTGATGGGACCCAGTGAACGAGCCATCGGTCATCATCGGGAGCAATGCAAATCATAGGGAAACGGGCCTGACGGCGACTTCCAACAGCGCGGCGGTGAACGTGTCGGCCTGTGGAGGTATGCACAAGCCTTCTCGTGTCCTACCCACCCGCCAACCGAGACAGGGACAAGCGATGCGTCCGCGGTGTCTGCATTCAGGTAGACAGACCTCACCAGGTGCATCTTCTGTTTCACTTCGCTAAGGGGCTTCCCCCTCACCGTCTGTTCCGACCTAGGAAACCACGCAGTTTCCCATCACCGCCCTCGTTGACTTGAAGTTTGTCGGAATGCCCGACAACGGAACCCCCGATCCCGAAACGGATCCAATCTCACACGAACACCCGCACCCGCTCAGCGAAATATAATCACGAGGATGCGTCCGTGGGTATCGTTGTGTGCAAGACACTGTTTTCGCCGTTCACCCTTTCAACCTCGGCCGTGTAAGCCGAAGCCCACCCCTGACTTCGGGGTCCATCTGCAAAGATATGAACAAAGCAGCCCTTCTCGCTACTCTCGGCCGTCCTATATTGGCTACTAAACCGCAAATTGGCCACCCGCTCAGCATCCTGAAGCTCTCCAGGCCGCTCTTCCACGCCGGAGTGCTTGCAAGCCCACGAGGTCCCCAAACGAATGCCGGGGAAGACACTTCCGGAGCGCGGCGATAACGTGCGACAGAGCATCCCCGGATTCCGTCGAAGCGGGTTCCAACCCACCTATGGTCACGGGTCTGGTAACCCGGTCAGGGGCTGTGAAAACGTCCTCAGGTCAGGGTATTCCGGTGGGGTCTGAGTTCGCCAGACCAAGATCTTTCACTCAGGCCCATGAACGGCCGAATTGCGCCCCCGTGATCTGTACAGGGATCCGTACTTCCCCAGACGCCCCACGTAGAATTTCCACAACGCACACCACAACCCGCGGGCACGAGTAGAGAAGACCACCGGCAGACCATCGATTCAAACATTACCCGCACACCGGAAAAGAAATGTAAACAAAAAGCGATGATACCAAAACAAAGCTGAGGGGGGCGGGAACGAAAACTAATGGAAGCTGTACTGTACACCCCGTCCCCTCGCCTTTCGCTTCCAAAAACAGGAATGGAGTCACACTGGGATTACGGAACGGCCGCCTTGGCTAACAGGTGTGTGTTCCCAACCCCATCCAAAACACAAAAACACCACCGCGTACAACGACACGATCAAAGAGATGCGAGGGACGATTTCGGCGGACCGCTACCGCGGGTTAGTGCGGCCGAGTGGCATACAACGTCGGATCCAGGGTCATGATACGCTGCTGGGTTTGCTCCGGGGTAAGGTCGTGTGCGTTGGGGGGCATGAAGATGACCTTCGTGTCCGCGCGGCCGGCCATGCTGTTCAGCGTTTCCAGGTAGCGGATTTGCATCGCCTGTGAAAAAAAAAATATCAAAGGGGGGGGGGTGTTAGTGTGTGAAGAGGTGTGAGGGGGCAAGCGGGAACTGGGACTTACGGCCGGCGTGTTGAGGATATCCGAAGCCTCTCGCATAAGTTTCGCGCTCTCGACCTCCGCTCTCGCCGCGATGATCTTACTCTCGCCCAACCGTTGCTGTTTCGCGGCGGAACTCAGCGTCTGCTGCAACTCTTGCGAAAAGTTCATGTCTTTGATCAAGATGCTCTCGACTTTGACCCCCCACGTGCTCGCGGGCCCCTCCACAATGAGCTGAATCTCCTGCGCAACCGTCTCGCGTTGTTCAATCACCGTCTGGATATCCCTCGCGCCCACGATCTGTCTCAGCGTGGTTTGAGTTCGCTCAACGAGAGCTTTGCGGACGTCGTTGACGAGGAACGCGGCGGTGTAGGGGTCGATGATGTGCCAGTAGAGCACGCTGTCGATCATGACGAGGACGTTGTCTTTGGACATGACGGATTGGGTCGGGATCGACTCGATCTGGATCTTGACGTTGAGGCGTTGGATTGTTTCGGTTATGGGGTTGATTTCGTGCAGGCCGGGGTCGACGCTGGTGGAAATTTCGAATGGAAGATGTGAGATAGGTTTTCCTCCGACATGGAATCTTTGCGGGATGTTTCGGAAACGAACAGCGAACATCTCTTGATGTGAACATACCTCTTATAATACCGCCCAAACCTCGTAATCAAGCCCACGTTGCCTTGCTCCACCGTCTTATACGGGTTCGGGAAACACACACAGAGAGGTATACTGCCCACCCCGCCCAAAACGCCGCCAATGCAACTCATCATGCTCTCATACCACCCATACGCCTCCTTCGGCAGCGGGATCTCTTTTGCGTAGGACTGCTGCATGGGGAACATGGGGGGAGGGGTGGCTTCGTGGGCGCGGGGTTGCTGGGTGGTGATTTGCATTGGGTCGTTGGAGAAGGGGGGGAGGGTTGGGGCGATGGCGCGTTTGGAGGTGGAGGAGGGGTGCAGGGGGCTGCGGGGGTCGACGAGGTTTGTTTGGGATGAGGAGGACATGAGGGTTGGTTGTGTGATGGTGATGGCCGGGGTGTGGAGGAGGTGTGAAGTGGCTTTTTCCGCGTGTGCGTTTTGCGCCTCGAAACACTTGGGGGTTACTTCAGGTGAGAAGGTCAAGGCACACTTGGGACTACGACTCTACGAGACTATGGATGGGTGCGACGGGAAGTTGAACTGTGTTCTTGGCGATGGAAAGCCTCCCGAGCCCTTTTTATCTTGGCGTCGGTGCACATAGTAGGTACAGTATGTACAGTATGTGCTCTTTTTTTCCATCGACATGCTACTGCTGCTCGACCCCCCAACAAGTCGTCACGGGCAAAGGGGGTGGGGAAAGGCATATGCATGTGCAATGTAGTGTACAACAGGCCGCTGCCATAGGACGCCCACCTGCCAAGGGGTCCGGCACAAAATGACATAAAAGTTGGCGAAGGGGCCAAGTAGGCACACTATGCATCATACAAAAGCCCGTGAAGAGACGTAGAGATGGAGCAGGGACAAGAGAGAACACCGCTCGTTTTGCCAAGTCACTTTGAGTTTGTTTGCCAAGTCAACCACCCCGCCTACATACGTTAGCTTGCCTACTCACATGGACACCCGGATGTACAGTATGTATGCCACACACTTACAATACCGCCCTGCATGACGGCCTGCTGCTTGACGTACTGTACAGTATTGCTACCTGCTTCCCACCCGGGCCACTTCGTTCCTTCATGCGAGTTCATCCGTTGTCGACTCGCCGTAGTAGGGTACCGCCAAGTTCCTAAGGAATGTGTCGTGCGTACGGCCCCAAATGAGTGTCATTTTTGATCATTATACAGTAGATCCCGCCGTTCGGCCGCATGTAAAAACGACAACCACCGCGGCAAACGGCCATGTTCGGAGACCTGTTGCGCGGCGATTTCGCACTGGTATGCATGTATGTATGCATGTATGTATGTAGTGGATCGCTTTTATTGTTTCCTTCCGGTCTATCATACTACGAGCCTGTGCATGTAGTCGCTCGTCGGAGAGAGACGGAGACAACTTCGGTCAACACCCTGTAAGTGAGTGAGTAGTTCCAACTCCGCCCCTCCGTGCCCCTCCGACGTGGATCAAGCGATGGATTCCCAAAAGCGGATGGATGCAAGAAGGTTCTTGTTTCCCAGATCCAGTTTGGGCGGGGGGGCGGGGAGAATTGAGTGTATTCTTAGCACTCCTCGCCCGCCTTTGACTACTATCATCTGTACTATGTTTGGGGGGGAGATTACTTATGAGAGGGTGAGTCACTCCCTGCCACTCCAACTGTCCGCTGTCCAAAGAGCCCCCTCCCCCTCAGAGAGAGAGACAGAGAGAGAGAGAGAGAGAGAGAAAGTCGTACTGAGCACGCAGCCTTCACTCAACAGCGTTCTTCCCCACTCCCTCCCATACATACAGTACATACATACTCACTCACTCCCTCCTTCTCCCGCCCTCCTCCTTTACTCACCCCCCCGCCCAACATGTCGCCCTCAACAACAACAACCTCCTCCGGGACGCCACAGAGGTTCCCTTACTACTCTCCCCCCGCTCCCTACAACACAGACTCAGACTCAGACTCAGACTCCCTCCTCGCTCACAACCAGCACTGGGCTTACCCTACTCCACAGCAACACTATCACTCAAACCGCCGCCGCTGCAAAACCATAACCGCAACCCTCAGGCTCCGTGAAACCCTCTCCTCCCGCCACAACTCAACAACATTCTCAACAAGCTCAGCAGCACACTCTTATGCAACTCGCAAACTCCCAGGCTCTTTCCACCACTCCCCACAACACATCGATACTACCGGTTACGACAAGATATTCGCCGCTGAATGGTTGGACGACGAGAACGTCGTGGTTGGGACAAAGTGTGGGAAACTTGTCGTTTGTGACGTGGATAAGGGGAGGAGGGTGGAGATTCCCACCGTAAGGGACCTACAATGGGGGACGCATTCGGAGGTGAGTGACGAGAGCGATAGCGAGCGTCAGAACTTTTAGCGAGCGGAGCGATGCAGGGTATTGTTCAACCAACCAACCTTCGCTTCGCAACCTCCCAACAATCGCTTCGCAGCCACCCATCGTACTTGGTGGACTGACGAATTTTTCCCATTTTCATTAGGAATCCGCTGGGGGAGGCTCAGGCTCAGGGATCCGATGCATTGCGATCAATCCATCGCGGACACTCATCGCCGTCGGAGTCGGGTTCCCCTTAGGATGCGTTGAAATATTCAGCCTACCATCCTTCCAAGTCGTCGGAGTACTTCAAGGCCACGAAGATCTCGTCTTTTCGCTCGCCTGGATCTCCGATACCTGCCTCGCTACGGGATCAAGAGACGCTACCATCGCCTTATGGGACGTCGATTGCAACTGCGACGGTCACATCCAACCCACACGGCGAATCGTATCCCCCTCCTCCTTCGGTGCCCCCTACAGCATCCACACCCCAACCTTCCGCGCCCAAAAACACCGCGACCGCGTCCGCGACCTCCACTACTCCCCCACCACCCACACCCTCGCCACCCTCAGCACCGACGGCCTCCTCAAACTCTGGGACTGCCGCACAACAGCGACAACCCACTCCTTACCCCCAACAACAACATCCACAATCATCCTCCGATACCGTGACGAACTCACCTGTCTCGCCCAGGACTCTTCACAGAATACAAACCTGTACGCGGTGGGGTCAGCAGCAAAAGTATCCATCATCGACCCACGCATCAACACCGTAGCCACAGCGTTCGATTCATGCGACGACGGCTGGGGCGTGCGTTCCCTCCTCTTCAAAGGCGAGATGGTCGTCGTCGGCGGCGGAAAAGGCCGTATCGCCTTCTGGGACGCCCGCGCAGCCAAATACATCTCCTGGGTCGAGTCCCCCCCCACTTCCTCAACCTCACAACAACCCACCGCCGCTCCCAATGACGCAAATGACAACTCCTCCGAAGAAGAAGAAACACTAAGCACACCCGAATCTCATGCCCCGCCCTCCCTCACGCGGACACCCACCCTCCATCCGCACCGCCGTCTCTCCACGCATCTGCTCACCCACCTGCCTGCGAACCATACGGCGTGGCATACGACGGGGGAGGGGTATCTGTTACCGAACGAGGTGTGGAGAAGTCATTTTAGGGGCTATGCGGTGAAGAACGCGCCGTATGTGATGCGGTTTGCTGAACGGGGAGGCGTGGGATTGGGAAGATTGTTTGTGGCTGGCGGGCCGTTGCAGGTCAATTTGGAGGGGAGTTGGGCGGGCGTTTTTTGGTAGTCGATTTGACGGGAGGCGGGGGGTTATGTTACCCGGGTACCTATTGACTTGACCTGTAGGTTTTATTTGGTTTGGCGTAGTTTTAGAGAGTATGGTAGAGATGTAGGTAGACCTTAGAGCCCTTGTATGCGAATCTTGAGCGGGGAGGAAACCTGATAGAACACGACGGTTCGTAGATTAGAAATGGATGTAAACGTTACATACAGCTCTACCCAGCATCTATCTATCTATCTATCTATTCAGCGAATGATATCTATTTCTCTACTTTACTTTCGAGATCACTCCACCTTGAGTCTTCCAAAGGCGGATCGCCAATACGCGTGGGCTCGTATATACAATTTCCCCAGACATGCAAGAACATCCGGTATTACGTACTGTAAACGCTCCAATCTTTCACGTCCCCTGCTCAGTTTCCCGTGAGAGCAGGCCATGTCTTCCAGAGAGACGAGAGACGGGTCCCCGCACGAAAACACCCGCAGAAGCATCGCGTGGGAGGACGTATGTCCACGACGCACACGCATCCCGCCCATCCCTCCTGCGCGCCCGTCCCACACTCATTCCAAGTCGGCGTGCACACGGAAAAAGCAGATGGCCAGTGTGTCGCTCACGAGTCGGGGACGTGGCGCGAGTCCGGGAGTGTACATACACGACGGAGGGAGCCCCCTTCGCGAGTGCGGAGCCTGTCCCCGCATTGCGGAAATAGGACGTCGCTGGGGGGGGGGGGGAGTCCCCTTTCCTTTTCGTGTCGCGTGTCGCGTCCAAACGGCGGTGTATTTCCGCGCGCCCATCTTTTTTTGTTGGTTTCCGTCTCCCGCGCATCTCCTACGTATCGCCGCGGTACCTGTAGATGTAGAAGGTGACAGTACAGCCGGCATCCCTGGTTGGACACCGGACTCCTTTTTTCATTGCGCGATATATATATATATACGCATCACGGCTGTCCGGACCCCTGTCAGAGCGGACCGCCGCCCGAGACCAGATCCCCGGGGACCTTGCGGACCGCCCGGGGTATTTTCCACGGAAGTCGTGACGTGCGTCCCCATACCCGCCCGTGATACGGGCTCAACACAGAAGCATATCGGGTGAGGGGTCGGTGTAGGTGCGCGGGTGTCGACGGTGGAGGGGGTGGACGGACAACCCACTCGGCTAGGGTTGTACGACGCCCGGTCGCGGAGCTGAGGAGGGGGCTGGCTACGAGATCCGGTAGTGCGGGCGGTCTCGCATGGATACAGGCTCGTCCGTTACGGTCCAGCCTTCCGGGAAATATGCGGTGGCGGACGCGTGGCATTTTCGGTACCGATAAATCCCCGAGGAGGGGGGGCTTTGAATATGATGTTCGGTCCCACTGTTGGCACCAGCGTGGTCGGCGGATGGAACGTTCTCGGTGGCCGCGGAACACCTGTCGTCAAGTCCTCAACGGCAGGGTTGAGCGATGACGACGGGTCGCAGCCAGGCTCCTGTGGTGTCAGGAAGGGGCGGAGGAGGAAACGAAAGAGGACGCACGTGGACCGCTCAACCCTCTCCGACCGCGGACGTCGACGCCCGAGGGAAGGGTGCGCTTCCTGGGCATGTAGAACGGGTACTGTGAAGACGGATCCGCTCTCACTCCCTTGTTTGCGAGAACCGGACAAAAAGAGGGTGTTAGCTGGAGTGAACCGTGTCACGTACTTCTTCGTGCGGATGTGACCCACACCCATTGATCGAGGTCTGTAGACCCTCTGTCTGTTCGCGGCGGAGAATGTGTGGGATCTACCCAGCGCACTGCGAGCAATTCTGGATTGATCAATCCGGTTGTCTTCGTTCTTTCGAGCCTGGTTAGAGCTCTGGGTGGCCTCACGCCCCCTGTCACTCCGGCTACAGCGCTCTTGACGTTGATCACGTAGCCGACCCGCACCTTCCCCCTCCCGAAAAGTTCCAATCAAAAGCCGGGTTAACAACATCAGAGATGACTCCGAAACGTGGCGCCTGACATCGGACATCCGCCTTCGAGTCGTTGTAGCCGCTGTTTGCCTTAGACCCGTTCAGAAGATTCCAGAAGATCCGATTGATCTCACGCAATCCTTTGCGGAGGGGCTAGCCGCCAGCGCAACTCGGACCTCTTCCTGGTATTCCACTGTACGGATTTCGCTTCCTCCACGCGGTGCCCCTCCTCCTCTTCCCTCCGCGCAATGGGTTTTTGCAGTCTTTCCGCCTGGCAAGAAAGCGAGGGTCAGTGCTACGTAACACACTGAAGACCACGTCTTTCAACTCACTGCTTTAACTCTTAACGTCCGACGGGCTGAACCTGCGTCGCGCTATGCTCATCGCCACCGCGTCAAAGAGGTCCTCAAGGCCGGCGCGGCCTGGCGAGATGGCTCGGAATCCACAACGCTCTCACTTCCTCGTATCCCGTCGCAGCCTGAAAGTTCTGCGTCCGATGCAATGCCTGAGTTCTGGAAGCTTCTGATCGCATGTTGACGGGTTCACGTACGCGCATCTTTCCGATTTCGACAGACGCCCAGTTTGGCGGGAAGGAGGCGCATCAACGAACTTTCCCAACGGCGTAAGCATTCCCATCGCCGGCATCTTCTGAACATGCACAAAGCACGACTCGGCTTCATAATAATAATAGTAGTGTTGGCCTTCTGCATATGCGGGACGGAGATGCGGAGGGAGCAGGTGTGCGAAACCCTCGCACTGATCTCCGGTCAGGCCGTCCGCAAACCAGCCTTCGGTTGACTTACGAAACCACTCAGATTCAAGTTACAACGTCCGGAACGAATATACCGGACTTTGAATATTCATCGTCGACTCCACCCGGCACTGGGTCTCCTTTCTTCTTGTCCTTGCATCTCGCGGCTTGAGCCGTCTGGAAACCCTGCTCGTAAGTGTTACCCCAGTCCCACTCGCGAAACCCTGTTCCGGCGCGGTTCGGAACGGTCAGGTCGGTTAAGCCCAGGCCAAAAGCGACCCGTTCTTTATGGCCGGCGAGGTCCCTGGGTGACTTCGTGGCTAGCCCAGATAAACGAGGGCGCTGGGAGGCTCGACCGCCGTCAAGGACTCCGTAGGAAACGGATCTGCTCTTATTTTGTGCGGCATTGTTTTCGTCCTGTGCTGGTCGGAATGGTCAGGTCAGTTTGCCCAGGCCAAAAGCCACCCGTTCTTTATGGGCGGCAAGGTCCCTGGGTGACCTCGTGGCTAGCCCCAGATAAACGAGGGCGCTGGGAGGCTCGACCGCCGTCGAGAACAGCATTGGCTCGCGCATTGTTTGCGAGTGGTTACGATTTGTTTGCGCAAAGGATGGTTCGGACCACTTCCTCTTCTTCCTTTCCCCCCTTCGTTGGGTGCCTCCTCGCTTTTGATCTCGGACACCTCCGTGTCGTCGATGTTACGGAGGGTGAGCAGGCATGCTGCAGTCTCTCACCTGTCTCTGGTGAGGACGTCCGCAAACTAATCCGCAATTCATATTCGTGAAAACGCCCACATTGTCTGCTACCAAAGGTGCGGCGAAGCCTGAAAATCGACCCGTACGAGCCTTATACCTATCAACGGGTTATGGTTGCTTCGCGGCTGGTGCGTTATCCTCCTGTACTTTGGCACTGTTTCGCCCCGTTGGCTTATGTCCGTACCTCTCTCTCGCCCCTACTACCCCAAGGACAGATTCTTAACCCCGGCGTCAATGCATATGGCAAGCAATGCTCCGGTCCGAAGCAGATATCGGGCCAGCCGGGCGTCGAGGCAGATGTCAAGCATGTCCCGTTGCCATTCAATTCTCCGCTCTACCAAAAATCAACGTGGAGCCCTTCGTCGAGGCGGATGTGTTGACTGTCATGCGGGCAGACCGGCATGTGGCATAATCTAAAGTACTTCTGCAGATTTCTACATCGGCATTAGCTACCTTGGTAATGTAACAGCACCCCGCTCCCCTCAGCAACGTATCGAGAGGGTTTGCTAACTTCATTCGTAATACATAGGAGCCCATAAAAGCAACCCAGGCGCTGCACTCTCCTGTACACACGTCTTTTTTGAAGCCATTTCTACACAACAAACAGTACGGTACGTCTGGAAAGGCCGTCGTGGAGGTCCTCTCGGGATAGTGGCAAAGCCCGCTCCCGTGGCATATAACGGGACGCCCGCTCCCGTGGCATATAACGGAACGGCCGCTCCCATGCCATATAACGGGACGCTCGCTCCCGTGGCATATAACGGGACGCCGTCCACCGTGGCATATAACGGGGTGTTGTGATGCCAGAGAGGCGAGCTTCCCACGTGCAATATATGTGCTTTGATTCACTCGGTTGTTGCGTGAGCTAATGACTGTTGTTTGTCATTTTTCTCTTGCTGCCCTTCCTACTTCCTTTCTCTCATTGATTCTAGTCTCAACAACGAAAATGCCGGGGGAAATCGAGCGACCGCGAGAGATTACAACGTCAGGCACTCCCAAAAGAGCATGCTACCGTTTGGCCTGTTTCGTATTAAGGGGCTTCACCTCATTCGCTTTCCAGTCGAAGGTTGGGCGGACACCTTCGGGACTGTAATGATAGTTGTATGCAAATATAACCTATCGTGTGCTCACGGAGCAGAATCCAATGAGAAACAATGGCGCAAAGTTGTTATGACCCAGCGTTGAGCAGTGGATGACATTCCCTGCTCAATTGTGAACAACCCCGAGGACTCACTTCCCCAAGTACGCAGCAGGATGTTACTCGCTTGACCTCTGCGGATAGCATATGCTATCGCCTCCGTCCGGCCTTACCCGCCAGCATGCACAAATTTGCCCATGACCGAGTTGGACGGGGGTTGGGTGGACGTCACAATGAACCCACGGCAACCTTGTCGACATCGGACTTTGGGCCGGAAAATCTGACCAAAACCGCAATATTCCTTCAAGGGCCTTTCCCGCACGAATCGAATACGCTAATAGATGAGGTTGTGCTGGTTCGGAACTGGATATACACCGCGTTCGGAGAGTTGGCACTCGGAAAAGCTACAGTTTTGCTGATGACAGTCCTTTCCCTAGTTTGTAAAACGACGATGCCCTGGGCGGTGCTCTATATTGTGATCGTGCCCCTCACGAGACGCACTGAATCAACCGAAGGTTGCTTCCCACACATCTTCGTAAATGTGGGCGAATCACTAGCAAATTGCTTTCGCAGGCTGCCATAAAGGCGTAGCGCATGCCTAGGACGGTGCCTTGGGGTTCATCCATCTTCGAAACACCGATCGTCGCGTCCCATCTCCGTTAAGTGTTGGTGCCGGTGGAACCCTCCATATTTCCGTTCTGCGTCGGTGCTCCGCGCAAACCGGTGCTTCTCTGGTTCGAACCGAGGGTCCGTCCACCCGCCACCGTATCCGGATATACCGGAAAGGCTCTCGTCGCCCGAGCTCGAGAATTGAACCCGAGCGGAGAAGCCTGGCTCAACACACCGCCCTTGACCACCCGAAGTCTGGCCTCAAACGACATTTCCGTTCCGTTTCCCTCGATGTCGATGTTGGGCCGACGACCTCTTAGCGAGCACCGATGCATAACAAGCTGGATCTTGCATTCCGGCCGACATACACACAGACGCTATGGAGGCACCTTCCACTCCTCGTCCCGTCTTCTCTCTCCCCACCCGCGAGTGTGCGTGCCGTAGGATGCCTTGTAGTAGCATGCCTACGTTGAATACGTAGCTTTCAAGGTGGAAATCTGATATCTGAAATGGAGCTGGACGCGCACAAGCCCACTTCAGATTCACCTGTCGAAGACGGGAATAACGGCCTCCGCGATGGATCGCAGACATCGCAATCTGAATCGATGAGAGGCGGGCGGCTCTGCGGATGCTGCTCAGCGGGTATGAATCGACAAGCACCGCTTCCTCGCTACAATCAGCCCGCCCCTCCGATGCTTCCGGATATGCACATTCGTCGTTGGGGACGAAAAAATTGCAAATTCATTACTCCCGGGCTAGTGGCAAATTAAAAGATATTACCGGGCGGCTTGCCAGTGGCCCCATATACTCTCAAAACAACAAAAAAAAGACTTTCTCAGCCTGGCGCCTTGCCAAGCGGAATGCAGCAACAGCTCGCTGTTTTATTTTCCGAGTCTCCCTCATCGATCCCCAATCCTTTGCGTTGTTCTCGCCAATCGGAGAGATGATCATTGCATGGACCGAGCGGTATTGCTAGGGTGGACGTTCCTTCGCAGAGATACGCTCTGGTGTTGCGTGCTTTTCGTCGGGCACACTGATCATTGATAGATTAGCTAGGCACGTAGGGAAGGAGGGACAGCGACCGGGAGGAAGGAAGGACCCGGGGTCGGTATAAAAGCCAAGGCAGCTGGTTGCCAGTTTTCCAAGCCTGCATCCCAACACCGTCCCCCTCTTCACCCGAAATCTCTCTCCGAAATGGTTTCAGTCAAACTTTTCGGCATCCTTGCCGCCTCCTTCGCTGCCATCGCCAGCGCCTTGCCCACAAACTCCCTCACACCCCGCGCCGATGGGCCCCTCGACTATCCATACGGGTCCTCGGACATCTCCGTCATCGGCAGCACCTACTTCCAAACCAGCGAAGTAGTCTACCATGGGATGTACCAGCGCTTTTACAACTTCACTGCAACCCTCGCCGTTCGAAACAAAGCCTTCGAGAAAGACGTGGGAGTCCGTTGGTCAGACGACAACTGGCAGACCTCGAAAGAAGCATCCGCCCACTACGTCGCCAACCTCGACCAGCCGGGCTTTGAGCGATGGGAAGTCCTTGCCGGTCAATGGTCGACGATTTCGTACCTCCCCCAAGGCGATCCGGACCCGACATTCACCGCCTATGCGTCTTTTGCAAAGGGGCCGCGTGTGTGGGACCCTCGCCCGAACTACGCCATCGTGCACAAGGCGACGCAGAACAACCCTATCGCATACATCTCATCCACGGTCGAATTCATCCCTTCCCGCTCGGCCGCGTTCTACCTCAAGGGGTCCGTCCGCACGTACGCATTCGACAAGGCCGACGAACAGGCCAACAAACTCGTCGTCCGCTGGTCCGTTGACGGGTGGAAGACTTCCACCGACACCCCTGCCTCGACTTACAACCCGACTGACAAGACGTTCGCGTTCGATTTCCCGGTGGTCAACAGCACTGGCGCGCCCGTTCCTGACAAGGTGGCGTTTGCAATCCGCTATGATACCTCGAAGGGAACTTTCTGGTACAACAACGAGGGGAAGAACATTGAGGCTTACATCCCGACCCCGAATGTGTAGATGACGGGGATCGATTTCGTTTTCTAGAATATAGATAGGATACCGACTTCTGCTCGTTAGATAGATATACTTTTTCTCATACATACCTTTACACACCCCGCACGCTCTCATGTTGAGGGGTCTCCTTCTCCTGTGTGCAGAGTGAAAAAATCATGAATGTTGCGTTGACGTTTGCCGACTGTGGGGGATCCCTTGTGAAGCGAGGTGGAAAAGTTTCGCAGAGCTCAAAATGGGACCCATTCCCCTTTGGGCAAACCGCCGGAGTCTACAGCACACCTGCCGATAAGAGGAGCGTTCTTTTGCAGGTGAAGTTGCCGGGAGATGGTCGTGCGGTGGAAGTGACCGCTACTCGCGGTCAACCGTCATAACGTAATCGTGGCGGAAGCCTCTCATGATTCATGTTTTAAGTCACGCTTGTGTAACGCCAACGCCTAAAGCAAGCATCCAAAGCCCGGTTAGCTCAATCGGCAGAGCGTGAGGCTCTTAACCTCAAGGTTGCGGGTTCGACCCCCGCATCGGGCTTTCCTTTTTTGCCTTCGTCATTTTCGCGTAACTTTTCTGTTGATCCTTCTATTCACTTTTGGCAGTGTCATTTTGCTGGAACACGCTTAACGAATCAACCCTATCCGTTGTCATCCAAGCATAGCTTTCCTCTTTCGTCCTCGTCATTTTCGCATAGGATTTCTGTTGATCTTTCCATTCACTTTTGGCCGTGTCCTTGCTGGAAGACGCTCAACGAATTAACAATATCCGTCGATGACGCCTTTCTTACTGTGGTAGGCTCTTCATCCGATTTGTATGTGACGATGGGATGAGGTAGAGCGTTGCACGATGTGGGAGTAGATTCAGGGTCCGGAAACGAATAAGAAAACGTGGAGTGGTTCTGCTGTATCTGGGCTTGGGTGTTGACTTCCCCGAGGATCTTCACCGCTTCAGTCACTGGTGATTCAAAGGTGGCCGACAAATGCTCTCACGTATGCGGGTAGACCGAAGGCACGACTCAGTCACCTTGGCAAAACGAGCCGATCGATCTTCGTGGATGGGTTCGACCTGCATATATATACGTAGTTGAAAGCGGAGTAGAAGGGCGTTCCCGACGCACATCTCCTCCCCCTTTCACTCTCACTCTGAGCCTCACACCGATCATGCTCACTCTCCGCTCATTCCCCGTAGCCTCGCCAGCAGACGCTGCCAGAGCAACAATCGTTAGACCCGTGCTTCGCCGACTGGAGCTCAGCTTCAACAGCAACGGAAACAACGATCAGATCTGCAATCTGTTCGCAAAGGCGCTGCGTCTCACAGATTTTGACCACTCTCACATCACGGAAGAAGAGCGAGCGGCCGTGCGCTTGATACTCACGGCCATCGGCCCGATCACCGTTGCTTGTGCAAAATGGAACCTTCGCAACCAGCAACAGCCCGTCTTCTGTTTCGGTGGGACATCTGCTGAGGAGCATGTAGCTCGAGTAGCTCATTCTTGTGCCAAACCTCTTTCTGTTCAGTTCTTGGAAGCAGGCCCCGCCATATCAAACCATGGTAGCCATCCCTTCGCGAAGTCGTCGCCGTCGTCCGATGGAGCTTGTCTCCGCAGACACATGCACAAGGCCTTGCCGGGGTTGGTGGAGAAGCTTGTTGGTGGAACGATCGCCCCGGTAATCAGCCTCGGCGGTGTGGGGCTGATGAGAGAGCGTATACACTCTTTCTTGCCTTCGAAGTTCACTTTTGCCAGCCTTTTCTTCGAAGAATCTTTGGGCCGGCACCCTATGCCAAATCTGGACTGGATGGACTGCCACCAGACAGTCACACTCACACCCTTCTCATTCCTTCTTGTTGCAGAGTTCGCTCGTTTCCAAATCTGGGAGTCAAAAACCAGCGAGTAGTCTGACGTCCATTTCCCTGCTAGCAATGCTTATGGCCTAACCGGGACCCACACCTTGCCATTCTTCCAACCACAGCTTTCAACTTGCGTTCAACTTGCGATGGAACGGGAACGGATTACCTGTCATACACCACTCAATGCCTAGCTGAGCATGATCCCAAGACCTTTCCATTCGCCAGAACAAACCACAAAACAACTCATCAGCGACATTACGCTTCTCCGCCAACTGCCTTCCATCTATTCAGGCCTACTTCCGTTCAGCGGCTACGGTTGAGCCCACCACCGCGCGGGGAACGTGGAGCTGTTTTCAAAGGGAAGTCGTTCGTATTGAGGGTGGCTGTGGGACGATGCGCGATGTTTGAAGTGACTGAGAGGATTTTCTTACGTGCCTATTTGCCTCCCGCTGTATTGAGACATCGCTTATTAGTCTGGATCCTTGAAGAGCCGTAGGGCCTTGTTCTTCAAATCCGCTCTATCAGCTCCCGATATGTTTGTTTTCTTTGGGGTCAGGTCTGGGCCCCATTCCCTGCCGCATCCGCAGACAGCGACATGCGGAAGCGGCCAAACGACCTTGTATGCACGGAGTAGCGCCTGCGCGCCGGTTGTTGGAAAGCCCATGGTTGACTGTCAGTTGGACGCGCTGTCGAAATCGGGGTGAGCTCCTCCGCTCAATATTCTTTCTTGCGCCGCAAACTTTCCATTGTGCACTTCAAATCCAGGTGATTGCGTGGCGTTTGCCGACGTGGGCACCGCAACACCGGAAAACTAAATTCAACCTTCGAAGAGCTATGAGTGATGTTAATTTTGCCCCGGGAACTGCATCGCGAGCGTTGTGTACCGTAGGAATGTTTGGGTGGTCAACGGACGGTTGAGTTCTGCCATCCTCACGCTGAGCTCACCTCTTCGGCGATTCGCGGCGCATATTTCGCTGCTTGCGAGCGATACGGGATCAGAGCGTGTTCGAAAGTTTCACCATGAAGGACACAAAAGATGCGAGCACTCGGCGGGACGGCAAAGACAATAAAATTCCACGCACAGCGGATCTGAAGGATGTCGAGGCAGACAGCGACGCCGTGTCGGACTCCACAGCGGTTAACGCAAGCAACAGCGGGCTTGTGTTCTGGTTAATCACTTTGGGTCAAGCATCAGTTGCTCTTGGCATCTTCCTCCTCTTCTGGTGTCTCGAATACAGTGACTCCCTAACCATTGGCTCGATTCCCGCTGATTGGTGATTTACGTTTTGATAACCGTCCTCCTTATGTGTTCGGCACGGTGTGCGCAGATGCTGGTAGTCAAAGCGATGGCGCTGCTGGTCAGCCGGAAAGCTTCCTCGACCGAAGGAGCCTCCATTGGACCGCTGCTTTTCTGCGCTCACATCCATGTACCGCTTAGTTCGTCGATGTCAGGGTTTATGAGATTCATCACCACATTCATGGCCGTATTCGTCATTGCCGCGGAACTTGCGACGATTCTTGTTTACATCAAGCCGGTTGCGAAACCGGAAATTGCGGCTCATGGCAGTTTGTTGGGCTGGACTGTTCTCCCGCCGGCGTCTTTGCTGAACACCAGCATACCTCTCGATGCGGGCGGCGTCTTATCTACCATATACACATCTTCGCTGACAGCAACGCGAGCTTATGGCGTGCCAAAAGCATCTGGGTAGGGAAGCGTCTTCGTCCTACATCCTGAATCGGTTCTGGTTTCAATTGCTAACCCTCGCACTCTAGTCTTCTGGTCACCACACAGTTCGCAAACCAGCCGCCGACCATCCCAAAGAACGCGACGGTGGGACAGTACAATCTGAAGTGCAAAGTGCCTGGAATACAAGTTTCGTGCAAGTGCAGCGGGGCCTCAAGCTGGGCGTCTGTGGATGATACCAGTCTGCTTGGAAAGATGTCGAATTTCCTCACATTCTACAACGATACCCACATCATCCTTCCGGCGACACAATCGCCGACCTTTTCCGCCGCATACTTTGTTCCCTGCAGCTGCTCCGCCACTTACGGTTTGGCCGATGTTGAAGGCACGGGGACCGTGCGGAGTAGAAATCCTTCCATGAAAACGGTGCCAGAGAAGGCCTCATTCTCTGAAATTCGATACGATCTTTCACCTTCGCAGATCGCAGATCAGGGCCCTGCAGGACAGACTGGCAACCGTACCGTCGCAGATAGCGCTCACGGAAGTTAGTCTCGTTGGGATCTACACCAATTTCACCCAGACGGGGGCTGAGATCAGTGGGATATCGCCGATTCTGAGCAGCGGATTGGAAGCATACCTGACCTGGAGCATACCGGCCGTGGCTTGGGGCCAGGCGTCGCAAACGTACGATCTCTATCTGTCGCAGACCAACGCATTCAAGGTTTATGTCGGATGGGCCGCGCTCTTCTACGTCACCATCTCCCTCGCAATTTCGTTGGCGTCCCTTTTGTACATGGCAACCGTCGGTGTACGCAGTTCCCAGCTCGGGATCTTGCGACGTCTGAACGAGCCAGTTTTGATGATGCTCGACCTGGCGAGGGTTCTTTCCGACGCTCGGCAAGCGCTGACTGGACTGTACAGCTTGCAGGCTGTCCTGGGAGTCCTCAACTCCTGGCGGCTACGGTACGAAACTTCGGATGACGGGACATTGGGACAGATGACTCATGGAGAGGGAGTCGGCAATGGTTCTGCAGCTGATGCTTCGGAAGTCGAAGGCCAGGCGGATCTCTTCGGTGAGAAGGGCTTGCAAATCGCCAAATGCCTTCTGGCATTTCTTCTGAGCGGCACTGTGTGCGTGCTCTTTTGGTGCAGCCGGTTCATCAACATCACCCTGCCCGTCACCGTGCACGCTGATGAATCTGTGCACGATTATTCCGAAACTATCCTCTATTGCGCTCTGGTGGTTTTGGCGGAGATTTCGGCCCACTGCTTCCACCATTCCGTAATGGCCGCCGCCGCCGCCTGGATTGGTTCCCAACTCAGCCGTCCCTCCGGAGAGACAACGGACTGGGTGCTTTTCGCGGCTGGTGTACGACTACCCATCCGAGCGAACGACGTGTCCAAACGGGTGCGGGTCTTGCTCGTTTTCGTATTCTCCATGGTCGCACTTGCCTCATCGGTTTTGGTATCGACGAAGATCTTCCACAATTGGGACGTTTTCCATCATGGAAGTTTGACCGGATACCAAGTGAACCCAAAAAGTTCTAGACCCAAGCACGACGCTCGACACTCGCCGCTATTTTGGCGTCACTATGTCGTGCAGCGCATTCCGGATGTACGGAACACCCAGTGCTGGTGGAATCATTGCCAGTGCTCAGTTTGGACAGGCCCCTTCTACCGTACGAGATGTGCCGGTAGGCTCTTACGAGTTCCGGGCGAAGATACCGGCAACGTACACCAACTGCAAATGCAAGGACAATTGCACGTGGGTTCCTATCTCCGACAGCAGTTTACTCGGATCAGCAAATTTCCTCCAAATGGTCAACAGCACGCATCTCATCTTACCATCCCAGCAGACCAAAATATCAACTTCAGCCACGGGTACATGGTGCCCTGTTCTTGCTCGGTGCGATACGGAGTGGGTGATGTAGAAGGCTCGGCCATGGTCTTTGCCAAAAATTCGGCATTTCGAACGGCCCCTTCACGGGTTTCTGGCGAGCTTGAGCACGAGGTCACTCCCGAGCAGAGAATGCGATGGTGGCGCTGATATTGAAACTTGGGAGTCAAGCCGACCTTCTTCGCTACACTCAGGGCACCGGAGTATGGGATGTGGCATCGCGACTGCCCATCGACGAGACCGGGGAAACATATATGGGACGAGGGTTGGAATGTATGATCGCGTCAATGCTCTCGCAGGTCCTGCATTATGCAGCCGATAGCGTGGTGTACGACATCCCGCTGGGGACCGCCACTGGACTCACGGCAATCATTGGGATTCCGGCAGTAATCTACGTTACAGTCTGCTGTCTGACGTCCCTCATTTGCCTCATTGGCTTGCGCGTGATCATGATCCCGGGGAGCCCGTGGTTGGTGAAGCTGACGAAGAGGGTCAAAGAGCCTCTGCTGGTTTTGACGGACGTCTCTGATGTGATTTCAAAGTGCACACCTGAGAAGCCGTCGCAGACAGAGGAACAGATCCTAGGGAGGGTGATGTCGAGTCGATTGCGGTACGAGGTAGCGGACGGGAAGGCCGGGAACCGTTCGGGTTTGGTTCTCAGCAGGAACAACCTTCGAGACTAGCCTAGTCCGATATTCCCGAGAGACCTGACGCTGTTTTTTGGTAGTCTGCTTGATGTGATTTGCTTAAATAGTAAATAACCGCCTTCCTTGTCTGAATCGTGGGATGAGAAAAGCGCAAGTTGACAGGGACTCCTGAATTGACAGTACCACGCGCTCCACGTTTTCCATTTCAAGTTTTCAACAGCGTGACCCATTTCTTTGCAGATTGCACGAGCTACAACAAAGTCGCAGCTCGGCGCTCTCGGCGGCGTCATGAACCGACGTTCGGCGTGCATTGTGCAACGTGGCTTTCTATTCGGTCATTCGGAAATTCGAATTCTCGGCGTTCCTTTCGGAGGTTCTGCTCAATATCGAATTACGACGAATCGACGCGGCGACGCCCATGTCTCCCAACGTGCCATGTTGATGGCCCGCCTTCAAGTTTTGCACCGATGGGCGCTATACAGCTGTTCAGTATCCCAGGGGAATACTAAGTGGATAGAAACGCATGACATGAGGCCCGAGAGCTGTGAACTTTGTCGCGGACCGCTGATCTGGTACGGCAACTCGATCAATTGTCGGGTGATATAAAGAGGCAGTGTGAGCAGGAAGCAATCCTCTTTGTGCCCGCTGCCAGTTCTTGATCAACCTCCCTCAAAATGCTCGTCGTTCCTTTCCTGTTGGCTGTCGCCACCGCGACATCCGTCTCTTCGGCTGCTCCCACTCCCACTACCGTGACACCTGCCGGAACGTATACGGGCAAGGCCTGCCCGCAGTCGCCCACATACGCACAATACTTAGGCATCCCCTTCGCCAAGCCGCCTACCGGTGACTTGCGATTCGCGGCTCCCGTCGCATACGATGGTCCATTCAAGTCCAACGTTACCCAGATGCCGCCGGCTTGCTATCAGAACGCTTTCTCCGGATTCCCTGTGCCCGCTAACCAAAGCGAAGACTGTTAGTGTCAGAGTTGGAAATCTTTTTCCCATGAAAGAAAGCTCATACCATCGTACCCTTCTCTCCTGTTACTCACAGGTTTATTCCTCAACGTTTACGCGCCCGTTATCAGACCCGCCAAGCCTCTGCCCGTTCGTTTCTTTATCTGTATGTACTGTAACTAAGTTTGGGCGGCTCATAATCTTGTGTTGTTTTCGTTGCTGACAGAAGCGAACTTCTTTGTTTAGATGGAGGTGGATTCCAGAGTGGTGACGTCTCTTCCCACTATTACGATGGATGCCAGGCCGTAAGAAGGGCCGCGCCTCCTACGGATTCGATTGTCGTCACCGTGAATTACCGCGTTGGCCCACAAGGATTCTTGGCACACCCTGTTTTCGCCGCGGCCGATGGGTCCGTCGGCAATTACGGATTCCTCGACCAGCAGCTTGCTCTGAAATGGGTCAAGGCCAATATCCGACAGTTTGGCGGCGACCCAGCAAAAGTTGTAATATTTGGAGAGTCAGCAGGAGGAAATTCCGTTTTCGCCCATATGGCCGCCCCATCCAGCGCCGGTCTCTTCTCCGCGGCTGTGTCGCAGAGCGGTCTCGCAGTCGGGATGTTCCCCAAGGATGTCGCAGCGGAAGTCGCTCGCGAGTTTGCGAACAACGCCGGATGCACTTCCGGGGATGTTGCCTCGTGTTTAAGGTGCGTTGCGAATCATCCGGAGCGTCAATTTTCTGTATATATGCTAAGCCCTTCATCCCTATCAGGTCCTTACCGCCTGCAGCTATCTTGAACGCGAGCATGGTTTCACCGTCTCTCGGGCAACCGGGCTACAAGTTTACGGACATACTCAAGTACGGGACTCCGGACTATGGGCTGGTCCAAGACGCGGTGACTTTTCCGAATGTGTCGCGAGATGCTTTCCTGAGCGGAGAGTTCAACAAGGTGCCCGTGCTCGCGGGCACAAATCTCAAGGAGGCCAATCTGTTCTTACCAAGACACAACTTTACTGAGGACGATTACAAGACTTATATATCGGATTCCTTCCCGGCCAACCTGACCTCCGCCGTCTCAGCGCTTTATCCTCTTTCCGCAATGTCCCCGGCGGCCGCAATCTCCCAGATCGCTACGGATCGTTGGATGGCGTGTCCCAGTCGTCGCGACCTGAAAGCCATTGCCGCGGCCGGAGTTCCCACCTACGCCTACCTCTACAATGTCACGCTTTCTTGCAACTTCATCCCAGGCGTTCCGTCCAAATTGCTCGGGCCGTCGCACTACTCGGAAATCCCACTCGTCTTTGATTTCACCACCTTCGCCGGGCCTTGTACTGCCACCCAGGCGGAGCAGGATCTGGCGCTTGCCATGGGCATCGCCTGGACATCCATGGCCGAGCGGGGTCGTCCGTTCAATGACACCGCCGCGACATGGCCACAGTACCCGGGGTATGAGGATCTGAGCGTGGCCGGGCCTACCGCCGTTACCACGGAAAAACAGCTTGACTACTGGAATCCTCGCTGCGCGATTTTCGACCAGATCGATTGGCCCTACGTTATTACGCAGACCAACTACACTACTCAAAGCAACGGTACTGGAGCCGCCTCGACACCTTCCGGGTCCTCGAGCGGGTCAAACACAAACTCAGCCTCGGCCCCGGCCGGGCACATCGCCCCGGCTATGATGGTGGTTGTTGTTCTCGCACTTGCGATCCTCTAAGCTATAGGACATTAGCATCTCTCGTTGTTAGAATTGTATTTTAGATTTCTTACTGTACAGTACACAGTCATGTCTACAACCGGTCAGCCGCGCTAGAAACTTCCTAGTAGCGCCAAACTTTGCTGCAGGGAATCCCGCCTTCCAAACTTCTCGTCTGCTGCCCATGGCTAAGAAGAAAACACGTTGTGCTTCGGTAAGGCGCGCAGGACGACCCTTTCTGAACGCCCCTGAAGGCAACAGCCTCTCGGTCCACTGCCTAATGGCAGTATGTAGCATGCTGGGGGCTCCTCATTTGATATGTTGCCACCTCAGTCGCTTCCTACAATTACCACCACCTTCCCTCCAGCCTTTCCACGCGCCTCGCATCGCCGCATGGCGTCCTTACCGTCTTTCAAGTCAAAGGGTTGATCAACGCGACCCCTCAATCTGCCCTGGCTAACAAGCTTGCCGAGGTGTTCCAATTGCCGCCCGTCCGGTTCAGCAATGAAAAAGGATGCAGTTTTTCGAATTTTGAGACCTCCAACGGCGAAGTTGCGATAGAGGACATTGGAGCCGCAATCGAGATGATCCGTCCGCCTGGTTCGAGAATGGACGAAGGATCGAGCAGAATCTCGCGTGCAAGCGCACCACCTACGGTATCAATCTCGAGATGACACTTCTTCAGACTCTGTTTTTGGATGTTTTTCGCAAGTGAGGTGAAGGATGGAGGAGTGATGTCGATTGTTGCGGCGGCATGAAACGAACGAACCAGGTCGAGTGATTGCACACTGCACACTGCGTAACGTGCATGTCCGACCGAGCCGGGGGCGTCGGTCAAAAGGAGCCGTATATCCGAGATTGTCGGAACCACATCTAAACTCGGGGCTGCAGAGGCCAGGCCACTTTCAATAAAAACCGCCTGATAGGCCGTCAGTCCGGATAGGGAAATCGTTACAAGCTCTTTGTTCCATTCGGAGGACGAGATGTCTTGTGGACACGGAGGAGCCAGCGAAAGCTCGTGTTCAAGCGCTAAGGTAAAGTCGGCGGTCATAGGCAAGGAGAGCCCAGACGAGGTCTCCCTCGCGAAATTTGGGTGTCGGTGAGATTCCAGTGGCTGGGTCTGGCGCAGCGGGATAGATCTGGTGGATTATCCCCACGAGATCATGCCCCGGGATCGCCCCGCGGTGCTCATGGAACCGGGAGGGCTCGAGTACTTCAGCCCAAGTCAGTTCCCCGCGAGTGAAAGCTGTGGTGAGAACGCGGACTGAGTATTCTAATTGTCCAGCCGATTCGGCTCCGGTGGGTCAGGGGATACTGATGAGAATTGGAGGTCCGCTGATGCAGGAAGCTTTCCAGGAACTCGAAAGGGGGCGAAGAGTTGATAGAATGTCCCGGGAGATGAAGTGCTCGCATTATTGGGCCTGATATGTGAGGGGACTGCGCTGTAAGGAGTAATACATACTGTAGTTGTCGTCGCCGGAGGCGGTGGTTAGCAAATGAGTACTGGTGCTTTCCTCGCAGTGGGAGCACAACCACAAGGATGACAGCAGCCCGACGGGAAAGTGACGGGTGACGCGCTGTCGAAATATCTCAATGGTCTCTCCGACATTGCGCAACTCTTTTTCCCACGCTACAAAAATGCATGGGTCGAAGAATACGCCTCGAATGTTCCCTCATGAGCACGACGAAGTATTGACATAACGTATTCCTTCTGCATTCAGCGCCCAATCGACCAGCCGTCTGAACACCCTCAACGTCTTCCGGTAGCATGTTTTGCGGGCATCTGAACATCACTGACTTATTACCTATACGATCTACATCTTAATTGTCGACAGTTTTACACCACTGCGCTCGGTTTCCACGTAAGCATCCATCCCGCGGTTCTATGGTCCTGAACGGGGGACAAAGAATTTGACAGCGCGTGCTCCGTCCCGTCTAGCAAATGTGAAGGCTGTGTGAAACAGTGTGAGGAATAGCCAGACTGTCCCAACTTGAAAGCCAGTCTCTCAGTCTTCAAAAACCGGGAAGCAACTCCACCCCATCGCTCAGAGTCTCAATCCATCGAAGCCGCAAAGGAAGTGGAACGTACTTGCAGAAAATGACGACTGACATTGACACTCGCCGGGATGGGATATAATAGAGATGGGGTGGGAGAAAGAATAACTGCCAAAAAGTGATGACAGCCTTGCGCGGGAAATAACAGGCTTCCGCGCGAAATAACTTACGTTCTTAGGGTTACATGCGCGAGTAACAGCCAAAAGAAGTCCACGGATCTAGGGTCTTTCCTGGAGGCGGCAACGCCGCCGTGGCCAGGCCTTGTTTGGGTAACTAACCTACCATAACAACACGCTCCGCTCGGACGGCCTTCCGCCCGGTTAGGGCTGGGTGTTACTAACCCCTAATCCTAACCCTAACTGGGGCACTTAGCAAGGTAGCGTGGATAGCAAACACGGGTAGCGTCGTTAGCAACTGCCTTTTTTTAGCACCATGAGGCTCTACACCGCACACTCCCTACTCAGCTACATACGATATGTCCAGCGTATCCAGCCATTAATCTGATCTACGGCCCAGACCCAGACTCCGAGGACAACGAACCAGAGGAGCCAATTTGTACGTGGAAGGAATGGTCCACACCACTTTAGGTGAGAATGAGAAGCCGCACACAATACCAAAGCCGATCGCTTGAGGCAGCCTGCATTGGGGCGGCCTCGCGGTGCGCTCTTCTGTTCACGATCGCTTGAGGCAGCCCCCTGCTAAATCTGTGCCGCCAGACTTTGCCTGGTTCCCTTCACGAAACTATCCCCATCAATGATCTCCACCGTAATGCCTTCCCCGGCAGTGTCTCAACACTTCTACCTTTTGAATTCTTCAGTTCCGCACGACTTTCAATGTGTCAACTCTCGCCGACATCTGCAATGCTCCGCAACATTTTTCAGGTCGCTTACGCTGGATCCCTGTTCTTCTTTCCGTCATCGGCGTCCGTATCGATCTCGTCGATGTATGCGAAGCATATGCTGACTCCATAGTTTTACAGGTCCCTCTGTCTTTACCCCCTCGGCCCAGTCGCCAGAAAATCATCCGGTTAATATCAGGCGTAACCTTCCCTGACTGCAGCATTCCAGAGCACAGTACAGCCTGGCCAGCGTCGGAGTCCGCAGAGGATGCACAGAGGAATCAAGTGGCCCAAAGGTCGGTGATTGCAATGCGCCGAGAGGGCATCCCCAAGTACTGGACATACATCATCGGGCTGGGTTGAATGGTTTAGATTAAGATGAACTTCAAAGCGTTGGCACAGGCATCGTCCCTGCTGACCACCATTTACCTTGCGATGGTTGGGCGCCCTGGCGGTAAATCATTGGTTCAAATGAGTTGTCATCCCGCTTGTGCCGAGCAGATGGAGCGTAGCCAACAGAGCCTTCGTATACTGTAGTTTAGAGTCCTTTCTTTCCCTCTCGGCGACCGGTTTTGTTCTGTTTTGTTCCTGTAAAGTGCCGAAGGTCTCATACTCGACCGGGTACTTCCCGCGACAGTCCAACGCACTTTTCTTTCGGAAATGCTAAAACGACACCTTGCCATCACTCGCTTGAGGCTGACTGCATTGGGGCGGCCTCGCCGTGGTTTGACTGCATTGAAAGGAGGAGGAACTCATGTAATAGGTGATAGGGGTAGATAGCATAGCTTTGTTGTTCTTGGAAAAGTGCGTTGGACTGTCGTGTGCGTTGGACTGTCCGGCACTCTCTGGATCTTCCAGAGAGTGCCGCCGGAGCGCCGTCGGCGCGATTGCGGGCGAGTATGATACGAGACCTTGGCAAGGGTAAGCGGGCGTAGCCTTTCTTATCACTTGACGATGGATCGGACAGTTGGGATCGCTTCTCGATTGGTGAGGTGAGACGCATCGAACCGACGGTCGATACACACAGCGATTGGTCAAGCTCGCCAATGATTATTACGCATTATGCCGCCGAAGAGAAAACCCGCGACCGCCTAGGCTGACGAGACGCTCGGCGAAAATCAGGGCGGAGAAACGTGAGGCGTCGTTCGCCAAAACAGAACTCCAGTGATGAAAAGAATCGGATAGAAGAGTATTTTGATGATATTTTGATTTTCATTGATTGTGGATAAACATAGAGTAGATAAATATAGGGGAAGAAACTAGAGCACGCCAGAACATGAGAAAAGAGAAGATCGTTGACAAGGGAAAGTATGGCATGCCAGAACATGAGAAAAGAGAAGAACGTCGAAAGGAAAGTAGAGCAGGCCGGGAAGAGAATCATGTCGCGACAGAGAAGGGGAGAGGAGAGTCGTGAAGGAGAAACATAATCGGGGAATAAGAAACCTTACTAAACTAATGGCTTCCGTGCGTGATGATGATGAGACAGGCGGTCGCTTGTTCTGGGGACGCGGAAGGTGGTCGATGGCTTTGTGACCGATATGGGGTAGGACCGTCGACCGATATGGGGTAGATGAATGTCGTTTCGAAGTCGCTGAACGGAGTCAGGATGATGTGGTTTGCGCGGACTTGTACGTGACTGTTTTCGGTGTTCGTGAAGTTGTTTCAGGCTGCCGTGCTTGCTGCGTTCTTCGAGTTTCGTAGGCTTTTTGGTTGACCGGAAGGGAATGGCGGTTTGAGCGGACGTGAGAGCGGGATTTTTTTGAGGAATCGAGGGATGGGGATCGGAGGGTATGAGGGCTTGCGATGAGGTGCGAACGAGTGCTTTTGACGAGTGCTTTTGACGAGTGCTTGCGAACGAGTGCGTTTGACGAGTGCTTGCGAACGAGTGCGTTTGACGAGTGCTTGCGAACGAGTGCGTTTGACGAGTGCTTGCGAACGAGTGCTTTGGACGAGTGCTTCCAGGCGACGACGCAGGACTTTGTGAGCGTTTTGCGGTGGGTCGTACGTAGTATTTGGCTTGCAATGCTGGTTGCATCGTCGCCGGTTCGAGTTTTGACGAGTGCTTGTAGGCGACGACGCAGGACTTTGTGAGCGTTTTGCGGTAATCGTAGTATTTGGCTTGCAATAGTGGTTGCATCGCATCGTCGCCGGTTCTCGTTGTTTGATGTGTTCGTTCGCATTGAATTGTTGTGTGTTCGGTTGGATCGCAACTGAGAGTGTGAAGTAAGTAGCCCTCTCCCCTCCGTCCCATCACCATCATCGCCTAAGGCAATTTGTGACCCAAAAGTCCCATCCAAATCACGGAGAAAGTCAGAAGATCCAATAGCCCGGCCAAGCGAAGCAGTGAGCGCAAAGAAAAGGTTAGTCTTCAAGCCCAACGGACGTGGCTTTCTCTCGCTTTGCGAGCCGCCACGCCAATCGCATCAACTTCGCCGATCGTAGATACTGTGTATGCTTCACCGTCTTCGCAGACGGGTCCGGGGATGAGATAAGGCTCACCCCTAACAAGCTTAGGATCGACAACGAATGACGAGAGGTCAAACGTTGAGGATCCCCACCCTGGCTCAAACAAGCACCTTGTGCTCTAACCCTCGAGTGCGACGGTCCCAGCGGAATCACCCGCCAGCATGCCGCACCGAGTTGGATGACACGAAATCTTCAGTGGCGCGCTGTTGCGCTGACTCCAGTACACCGGACGAACGGCAGCAGAAAGCATCGGCGCTGCTTGCTGTCATGTATCTGTTGATCTTGGCTGCCGTTCTTGCGTCCGCTGTCTGGAGGTGTTTGGAAAGCCGAAAGCGGGGCCTGTAGTGGGCCACGTTTGCAAGTCAGGCTTGGTCGATCTCCTTACAGAACCACCAGGGGACCTGAGCCTCCCGAAGGAGTCAAACGTCTCCTGACGAGGGTTGAAAACCATGTCAAGAGCGCGCGATGATGTGTTGTCCGGGGGTGAGCGAGCATCCTGCCCCTAAGAGTTCAAAGAATGCGTCAATATACCGAACTTGAAAGACGCGTAGCAGTGAATGCAAGACGAGGAGAAGGAAAAGTACTCACCATTGGTCCAAAGGCGACCAACAAGGGCGACCAACGAACGACACTGGGGATGATAGGTCTTGTCCCTAAGAGTCAAAAGTATGCATCAATATACCGAACTTGAAAGACGCGAAGCAGTGAATGCAAGACGAGGAGAAGGAAAAGTACTTACCATTCGTCCGAAGGCGATCAACAAGGGCAACGAATATGGGCAACACGCAACGAAGGGACAAAGGAGTCCCTTGAGGGGAGAAGATGCGCAACATGGCTCGCGAGCCATGTCGCACATCACCTCCCCAGTTGAGACGAAAACGGTATCAGTATGATGGATGCAAGATGTCAAGATGCAGGCAAGATTGGCCGTACATACCATACAACACGAGAGCTGCCCATCACCAATGCTCGTACCCAACGGATTGTTGATGTACATGACATGAAATAGGAGTTCCCATCCTCCTCTTCACTTCTGACGATCGTTGAGCGCCCCAGTCGCTCCTGCGCTCCTGCGCGCAGGAAGAACCGGTTCCCCCGTGCGAAGCTGATGGCCCGAAGGCTGCCGTCCGAAGAACCTTCCCAATGCGCTACAAACTGCTTGCTCGGCGGCTACCGAATCTCCCTCCCTTCAACCGCGTCCTTCAAAGACTCCTGAATCACATACCTCAGACTCCGGCGCCTCGATTCCCTCAATTCCTTGTGTATGTTCTCCGCTGTGCGATATGCCGCTGGGTGTCGATCGTTTGAATGGCTTTCGGTTTTGTTGGCGTGTGTAGTGAATTGTTGTGTTGATGTGGGTAATTTGTTATGCGTCTGCTTTGATTCTATTTTGTTGGCGTGTGTAGTGTTGTGGTGATGTGGGTAACTTGTTATGCGTCTGCTTTCATTCTTCTTCTATGCTGAATTTTGTTCTTTGTTCTTCTTTTTGTTTCGTTTTCTGGGCACGAGGAGCAGATGAGTAAACTGGCCAAAGTGTAAAAGACGGCGCACGGGAGGTACCTTTTTTTTTTTTTTGGTTCCGTTATTTATTTTCTTGGGGTTTTTCTACAGGCACCACAAGTGAGCAACAGGGTTGAAGACGACGAACAGGAGGAGCACCCTCACGCACCTTTTTATTCTATTTTCAAGTCGGATTATAACGGACGTATCTGATCTTGACTTGGACGTTGACGTTTAAATTGATCGGCGGTGATGTTGAAGATACAACGGCCGATGATGTTGGATGTTGGTGAATGAGTGTAAGCTTGCGGTGAATGCGTGTAGAGTAGACGTTGAACGCCCTTGGTAGTGTTGGAGAAGCCGTGGTAATGATGGTTGCTGAGTGAGTGTAGATCCGGCGTTGAACGTCCTTGGTAGTGTTGGAGAGTGCGTGTTATGATGCTTGCTGAGTGAGTGGAGAGCCGACGTTGAACGCCCTTGGTAGTGTTGAAGAAGGCGTGGTCATGATGACCTTGACGCCGACGTTGAACCGAGTGAGTGTGTGTGTAGTTGATGTTAATGGTCGGCCTTGTTGATGTGAGAGAAGGCCGTGGAGTGGTGCTTGAGGTTGTTGAACGGCCTTGGTGGTGTTGGAGGAGGCCGTGGATCGGTGCTTGCGGAACGAGGTAGTGTTGATGTTGTTTATGAACGGCCTTGGTAGTGTTGGAGGAGGCCGTGAGGTAGTGTTGATGTTGTTGTTTTTTGAACGGCCTTGGTAGTATTGGAGGAGACCGTGTATTGGTGCTTGTGGAACGAGGTAGTGTTGACGTTGTTGTTGAACGGCCTTGGTGGTGTTGGAGGAGGCCGTGGATTGGCGCTTGCGGAACGAGGTAGTGTTGATGTTGTTGTTGATCGGCCTTGGTAGTGTTGAAGAGGCCGGATGCAGGGTACTGGTGATTGATGCTTGAGACGCCGATGTGGGAAGCGCTTGGATTGATGTGGATAGGCTTGGATGGTATTGGATGGATGCCCGACGACGAAGCGCTTGGTGTGTATAGATTTAGGTGGTCTTGGATGGATGCCCGACGACGAAGCTTGGATTGATGTGGATAGGCTTGGATGGGTGGTGGTGGGTGCCCGATGACGAAGCGCTTGGTGTGTGGTGTGAGTGATGTGGGAAGCGCTTGGATTGATGTGGATAGGCTTAGGTGGTCTTGGATGGACGCCCGACGACGAAGCTTGGATTGATGTGGATGGATAGGCTTGGTTGGGTGGTGTTGGATGCCCGACAACGAAGCGCTTGGGTGTGTGTGTGAGTGATATGTGGGACGCGTTGGGGGCTGTAAGCGCGCGCGTGAAGCTGGTGTTGTTTCTTGTTGTGTTTATTAACACGTCGGGAGTTGTGTTTCCTGAGTGTTTGGGTGAGTGGGAAAAAGTCAAGGTGGGAAATTTGCTGCTCGCGTTTATATGCAGGCGCTGGAAACACGTTGGCTCGCTTACGTTTGAGGTCAAATTTACAGCTTACATAACGCGTTTTGGTTCCAAATCGTGAGACTGGAGATACAAAACAGCTAGAAATCATGTTTCGTAACGTTGCGAGCCCGTTGCAAACGAGAATGTTGCTACATTCGTAACATGGGGACGATCTACGTGGAATTGGAGATGACGATGGGCATTAGGAAAGTGACCTCCAAAAGACATGAAACATGCCTATCCATGATCGGGAGAATGAGAGGAGTTCAGAGAGCCCACGGGAAGTGAGTCTGCTCATCTTCGAGAATTCCATGATCTCCCTGATCATCTGATCTGGCACACGTCCCATCTGATCCTGGCACACGTCCCATATCGGTAGTTGGCAATGGGCATAGGTTACGTGGGTGCTCCAAGCAACGGAGAGTCCTTTCCTACTCCGCAGGTTCGCTTGGATGCACCCTCCATCCTGTAGTGAGGCCCATATAACCGACCCTCTGTGTAACGGGGTCCTGTCTCGTGTTATTGCCCACGCGTTATTGGGGGAACCCCAAGGGACTCCCGACTCCCTACTACAGGTTGGACCCCATGCTTCATGCTGGGGCTGCATGCTGTAGTGCATTTCAATAAAGGTCGCCCCTCTCATATGGTGTGCTCCAACAGATGTGGTTGGTTTTCCACGTCCAGCACGTTCCGAAGCGCACCCTCCGACCCCTGCCCGCTTAGGAGGTGAAGGCAGTCGTCCATCCAGCCAGCTGAGAATCCGCTTTCGACCGTGGAATGTATGGTCCATAGGTATGGTGATGGAAATCCATGATATCGCTCGAAGGGTTCTGCACTCATGTATGGCCGCTCTCTAACGAAGATCTATCCTGGGCTGGACAGATATCCAGAAGCCAGTGTCGGCCGTGCGAGAGACGCTGGTCAGCCGGGTCTATCTCATATCATGCATGCCTGGCTCCCCGGAAGCACCCTCGGAAGGCATATCGTATCTTAAATTCGCGTTGATCGGCTCGCTTGAAAGGGAACGTGCATTCTGCAGTATAAACTCCATGTGAGGTCATTCTCCGCGAAGAGGGTCATCCGACTTGGATTGACGAGAGCGTTGTTTGTCCTCAGAAGCCTGGGCCGGATGCTCCCTGAGTTTGGAGAACGCCAGGCAAGAATGATGCGGATACGACACTCGTCATCGTTTACCTTCACACCTTGGACGCAGGAGGTGAGGCGACCGCATTCGATCGTAACGACACTTCGAATTTATGAGGCTGGATCAGTACCGTTTTCGAGAGCGTTTCTTGGCAAACCGAAGTAAACCTTTCGCGGATGGAAGGTGAGCCCGTTGAGGAAGAATTCGCTGTCCGACATGCTGTCCTTGAACACGAGGGCAGCTAGTTTAGCCTCCACCGAGTTGCGGATGTGAGAGGCGAGTCTCACTTCAAGCGCAGCACGCGACACTCGACGTCAACACGGTCAACACGGCGTCGATAAAGGATGAAAGCAGCGAGCGCTGGGTCTGCCTGCCTGAGCGCAACAGCAGCAACGCCGCCTGCCCGATTCCAGAGTGCCCTTAGCGGAAGGGAAACGAATCTCGATCTGCTGTTTGCGCGACCATCAAACCGTTGTAGACAGCTCACCCCGCCTCAAGCCTGCCGTTATCGAGAGCTTTATCAACAAACACCGACAAACACACTGCTCCACAAGGATCCAAGCACGGCGACCTGTAGGCGATCACTCCTGGCCCGATGGGGGCCTCGAAGAACCATGGAATGTAGGAAGGATCGCGTCAATGCGTGACGTGGGCAGCTGAAACGACGCAAACCCCTTGACATCAACAGGAGACTGACTGGACAGGGCTGGCCAACAATATTCTCTCATAACCGGACTCCTACCAGCTACGCAGGACTCGACAGATGACGGGTTGGACAGCGCCAACATCGCCACACATATGGTTGGCATCGCAAACCCCTTGACATCAACAGGAGATTGGCTGGACAGGGCTGGCCAACAATATTCTCTCACAACCGGACTCCTGCCAGTTACGCAGGACTCGACGGATGAGGGATTGGACAGCGGACAGCGGACCAGCCGGTACCAAGGCCAAATTAGTTTTGCTTGACACGACCTGGCTCGGAGAACGTACGGTCCAGCAACCATACGTTCACCGACCATTGCTGCCTACTCTCATAGGACGGGGTGCCGATGTCGAAAAGTCCTCTTGCGGACGGGGCGGATGCAAGAGCTCCATCAAGCGCTACAGTATAGTAACTCGGACTTGCGCAACTATCATCATTGATTCAAAGTGCATTTCGTAAGCTTTGAAAGCGCAGCAGACACGGGTACGTTCACAGTTTGAACCTTTTGTGTGTGAGGTGAATGCCAATTGACGGTCACTTTCAGGAGCAGACCGATGGCGTAACCCCTTCAAAGCGAAAGCCTCGTCAAAACGGCCCGATCTCCCCAAATGAGTTCATGTCTAGCGCAACCTGAAGATCCGCGATGAATGCCCTAGTTGGATGATGCGGGGGGAGCTCTTTTGCAATCCGCTGCGCAACCCGGCCGGCATAATTATGATGACAAGGAGGCGGTAGAGTGGCATGAGCTAAAAGTTGTGCTGCATCGTCTAAACCCTTGCGTGCGAGAGGAGACATGAAGCTCGCAAGGGTTTCCGCATCGGATGGGGCGGGCGGCGATGAACGACCGAAGGAGAAGAACTCCCGACATCCAGCTCCCGAAGGTCGTGTCTTCCTCGGGATCTTCCGCTTGCCAAACTACGCGCCAGTTTACCTCTCGCCAGCACGGAGATAGGTGCAGCGTCCAACTTTGGTCCCCGGAACGCTTTTTTCCCGAGTCTCCATCCATGCACACGCCGTTGCTCCTCGTAACATGTTATATATACTCTCAGAAACCCCACCCTGAGTCTGTCTATACCTCTACCTGCCCCCCGCGCAAAATCTGATCGTAGAAATAACCCACATCGCTTAAACTACTTCTGGGTGAAAGGGAATCTACCTGACGACATGGATAATGACAAAAGATTGGCTCCCCATTGCGGTGGTGGCCGGAATCTTGTCCCCATTTGTTTGTTTGGTTTTCTTTTTCTCTTCCCAATCACATCTCATCCGGCTCCAAGCACGTATCCAGCGTGTCGCGGTTGCACGTCGGTCGCGTGCCTAGTTCGGGGAACAGCCCGTTCTCGTACAGCCAGAGGAAACTCCACGTTCGCGCTTTCTCGGTTCTATCATTGGGCAAAAACACGGCGGGTAAGTAAATCAAGAGAGTGTGGAAGGGGGGTGTCAAAAGCCACGAGCAAAGGAAAGGAGGCGAGACGGAGAGTGGAGAGGAGAGACCCCCGGAGCTTACTGAGCAGCCCAGAAAAAGTACCCGGACCCACCAGCGTACGCGTCCGCGTGCGCCTGCACAAACTTACTGGTGCGGCGACGGAGGTTCTCCCGGTGTCCGTTGAACCCGTCGTCCGGCGTTTCATATTCCAGGTCTCGCCACTAAAAGGGGAGAGCGAAGAAAAAGCCATCGCCCATTTGGGGAAGGTGAGGGCGTGTTTTTCCCCCATGCCGCAGAGACGGGTGTTTGCGCTTCCCCTCTCAGGACGCAGAAACGAACGCGTGGAATGTTAGGGCGGAGTCCCATACCCCGTTGCAATTGTCCTTGCTCCCGTTCCACTTGTCCTCTGCGGCCCCGCCGCGCGTGAAGCCCGGCTCGTGGCTCAGGTACGGTGCGTCGCACCATGTCATGGCTGCTGACCATTCACCGACTGGGGAGAAACGGGAGGGGGGGTTTGCGTCAGAGATTATTTTGTGCCAAGGTCAGATTACGCCAAAGAGAGACCGCCGGGTCGTGAACCAACGCGGCTGCTTTTACTTGTACTTACCAACCGCTTGCTGAGGACGTGTTTTTACCGCGAAGGAAACAAGAAATAGAACGCGGCATGATGATCAGCTCCGTGCAAACCATCTCACAACTGGCCATACCCTCCCCATCTTTGCAACCCATACCTTTCCCCCAATCTCGATAGCCTCCAACGACTTCTTATTGTTGCACGCGGCATCCAGACGCTGTCGCATACTCATATGGTGGAAGCTGGTGTAGAAGACCTGGTAGATGTGTACGTCCACACTGACGTCCGCACAGTCCCATGCTCCCGGGTAGTGTTCCCCGGTTGCTTTTGATGTGGACTCTAACACCAGAACCCTCCCTGTGCGCATGATGTTTTCACCGTTGAAAACTCGCAAAGGCCGTGCTGCGTCGCGAAATGCTCGGCTGGGCTCGAGACAGGCCAACCCTTGCCGTTATCGAGTCGGAAGGTGTGGCTCCCATACGCGAGGGTCGTAGTCTGCAGCGTGGACCTTCCAGAGTGCACGGCGACAGTGCGATCATTGATGGAGGAGAACAGATCAATGAATGATTGGGAACTGCATGCTGCGGATGTAAGCAGAACGACGAGAGGCTTTCACGTACCCTCCACACTGATTATGGACGACGACATGAGTCACGCCGGATGGGTCCAGGAAGGCCTGACTCATAATACAGCCCTCTCCTTGGACAGTGGCGCCAATCCGAATCGAACGAGGTAACACACGGAGACGCAAACCCAGTCTCCTCCGATGTGTTTATCATGCCTCGACACTCATGACATCCTCTTTTATTGAAATGCGTGGACGTTCCGTCGCTTCGTTCCAAAACAATGTTCCACTCAATGACCGCAGAGTACCCGTCGTTGATGCCGTTCCAGAATAGATTCTTGACTCCATTGGCTTCTTCCCAATACTCCGGTAAGGAGGGTTGAGCTTCAGTATAGGGCGTACATTCACCCATAATGTGTTGAACGCCAGGAAATTCACGTATGGAGGCGGTGGCATCCCCGGAATAGCAATGCCATGAGATGATGTCGATGACCCCGCCAGCCTGTACCAACAAGGGCCTCGGGTAATCAGGTCTATCATGACTGTGTGCGTAGCCCACGATTTTGGAGATGTCCCTCGTCATTCCGTAGGCGTCGAGTTTTTGCCGCATCAACCTGGCCACCTGGGCAGCGTTTTCAGCAGAAAACTCCATGCCGACCCAACCACCGTGATTCACTTTGACGAGAGGCTCGTTGATCATTCCCACCCAACCAACGTGGAAACCCTGATCGCGCCATAGTTTGGCTGCGGTGGCAAAATATGCCGCCCCGTCATCAATGTGTGCGGCGTCAAATATTCCCTACCAGTTGTGCATGCGAAGGGTGGCCTCATCTATATACCATACATAATGGAATGGCGGTGTTAGAGATCGCTTCGCGGCATCAAAGCGAAGCACCATAAGAGCGCGGATAAGCGGTGTAGTGCGGCCATTAGTACTTGCCTTGCATCATCCACCATGGCAAAGCCCAGGACTCAAGATACAGGATGATCTCAGGGTTGATCGTAAGGATATCTTTTAGAACGGGAAGCACGTTGGCACGTGAAAACGGAGTGATTGCCATTCTGGAGGCGTCCAGTCTCTTCCCGGTCTGCAGCGAAGAAGGTGAATGTGGCACCGCACGTCAGCAGGACTGATCGAGTCACTACATTGACACAAAAACCAAGAGCATACTTTCAAAGAAAAGTCATTCTGAGCGGTCCCGTCATAAAACATTCCTTCTACAGCGAAATCGTTCGGGCCAACCGGAACCCGAACAATGTGCATCCCAAGCCCGGTTGTCCGGTCATAGAACTTCCTGAGAATCTTCCAGTACTGACCGGCGTCATTCGCTTTCGTGCGGAGGAGCAGCATTGCTGAAACTTCCGTCATGGCGGCGCCAGATCCGAGCATCTACTGATGTTTGATGTTTGCATCCACGAGAACGGTCGCGGAAGCGCCACTGCCTCCATTTGCCAGTGAGACGCCTTGGAACGACCACGGCACCCGCTCGTCACCCTTAATTGCCGTGTAAGGTGTGCTCCAGATACCTGCTTGATTGAACTGCCCGGGAGGAAGACTTGGGTGGCCGCATGGATAGGACGATTCCAGATCTGCATAGGAAGCATAGGAGCTTGTAAGAGATTGGCTCTGAACATCCCAACTTCCAGATCCCAACTTCCAAAGCGAAAAGAACAGTGACCGCCGGTGACTCACCAAAAGAGAAGGTGACGGCTCCATTCAAGGGAGCCGAACGGTCCCAGTAATGAGTACGACCAACTAAGTTTGTCGGGTCAGTATCCCGAATAGTTACAAGGACGAGCTGCCATCCAGAGCTTGTGATGCGGCCGGAAGCCGAGAAGAAGTCGCATTGCTCCGAAGCATACAAGGCACGCTCCTGAAACGGCTTATCGTTCGGCCCTCGGATTCCCTGTCCCATTGATCCAACCACGCTGAGGCTCCTTACCCGCGACTTTCCCAACTAAGCCCTTATATGTCGCGGCATTCAAGGTGGTTTTCCCATCCAGTACGTCGGTGAGCGGCACACTGCCAACGACCCGAACCACACCCCTCCTCGGCACACTGACCCTAGCCACTAGCCGATGATATGGCACACAAAATACAAGTCGGCCCACGCTCTCACTTACCCGATGGGGTTTTCATGCATCTCCCATACTCGCAAGCCATCCCCCTGGCCGTGGTGCCCAAGGAGCGTTCTTCAGGAGGTGACATTGTATAGTGGCGCATCGTTATGGACGCCTCCTTCCCCACCGGCAACTCTGTGAACGACCACATTTCACAAGAGTCCTTTGGCACCTGCCGCCTCGACAAGGTCGACTACCTTCTCAAACTGCGCAACGGACATACCCCGACAACCCCTGACCCTATGGGAGGTCGAATGGGCCGATGCCTACCGCATCAACCCGCTGCGCCCGTGCGGCCCGGCACTGCAGCTTATCTGATGGGACGCCAGATATTGGCTTGGCCACGTATTCCAATTCGGCTGTCGCACATCCGGCCACGAGTGCTGTTGTGAGGCAGGTTGTGAGGGGGATATCGTCGCCTCATCAGCCAAAGAACGGTAGTAAGCATGGGCTCACCAAACTGGCACTTTTACAACCAAGAGTTCGAGACCGCGGACGACACAACCTTCCAGCTGCATGACCTCGTTGGAACGCAGAGGGGCGGTGGTCTGGGCTACTTCCCCGGCAACCCGGCACTGATTGTGTGCCTACCGACAAGAGGAGCGGTCCAACAAGCAACTCCAAGCCCTCTTTGCCAGGTTCACAACGGGCAACTACAAAGACGAGGATCGGAGCATCATGATTCTCTGTTTCCCCGCGGCCAACCTGCGCGCGCCGACGAAGGGTGCCGATGACCTCCCGGAGGCGACGCAAGACGGGTACGGCGTCACGTTCCCAATCGGGAAGCGGTGGGACGATATCAACACGCATCCGTTCCTCGCATGGCTAAAATCCGAGCGACCCACGCACAGCGAATTTGACGACGTGGATATTGACGTGGAACCTCCGCACTGGCTCGACTACGAGAAGAGCATCGACGAGGGGTTTGAAATGTTCCTCGTCGATTGCTTTGGGTACACCGTTGGCAGGTGGAGTGGATCGACGCCGTTGGAAGACCTTGTACCGTATCTTGAGGAGGCGTTTAACGCTTTTAACGCGTTCCGTTAGTTGTGCATGCAGAGACCTTGTACAGTCAGGCCCCCAATTTACCGGGATCGACAATTGAGGTCAGTGTCCATAAAGCTGGGTCTGCTGGGTCCCCCCCAAGATTAAGTCAGAGTGTCGGCCCCCAGAGCAAAACAGCCATCCGAGAGGCCGACATTGCCTTTAAACTTTTTGACAACCCCAGCACTCGACGGCGCCACCGCTAGGTATTAGGGTTCTAGAGTAGGGCTCTAATCCCTCGCGGTGCCGCTGGCCGTCTGGTTGGCTGTTAGCTCTGGCTGGGGGCCACGTTCGTCTTGCCTTTCAGGTTTGCTTGCCGCTGGGAAACCCGCGACCTCGCTTTGTGAAACGGACATTGAAATCAATTATGGGGGGGACCCAGCTTTATGGACACTGACTGTAAAATATGACATTTCATCGAACAATGCAAAAGGGGGACGTGACCGTCTGCTGGGAACATTTGTCCTTCATGTCGTCTGGTGGAGGGGACGTGAGAGGAGAACCAGTAGTTTTTAGCCAGCATCATGAGGTGGCGATGATGGCAGTCAGCCAGAATCCGGCATACACCTGTACGGTTGACGAAGGAAGAACTATATTTCAGTATGCCTCCTCCGGCATTGCGCCCCGGCGTTTCGTTTCGCTTAGTCGGCACGATCTTGGCATCTGAGTCGTCACGGCGGGGGTTCTCTTGCCGAGCTTCAGGGATAAAAGACAGAGAAGAGATGTAGCAAGCGCGAGAACCTCATCCATCCTGCTGCAAGCAACTTCATACCACCGAGCCCTCGTTGGTAGCCTCCGCTGCAGGGCATCATCTCCTCCTGCGACGCGTCCGGTGACCCTGGTGATCTCGCAATTCGAAACCTAAAATCACTCAAACCCAACGCAGCATGGAGCAGTTCTCCAGTCCCACTCTACGCGCTACAGAGGAGTACCCGTGGTCCCAAGATCGCGCGGAATTCGAAGGGTTAGGGTTAGGGTTAGGGTTCGAGTCTGCGTGCGGAGGATAACAGCAGACGGGAGGAGTATAGTGGCTGCACAGGCTTGATGATGGTTGACAGCCCATCGCAGGATGATGTTCAAATAACTGCGGACCCGTTGGACAAGTGATGGAGAAAGCGGGGGGTTCAGGGGGGCGGCAGCGCCCCTGGGTTTTTTTCTGTAATAAGTATGTGATATTTATAATAATACACCTCGTCAAATGAGCAGCGTACAGAGGGGGGTCCAGGGGGGAAAGCCCTGGTGGGGGTGCGGGGGGAACCCCCGCTGTCTGTGGTTGAGTGTAGTTTGGTGGGGTTTTCTTCACTCGGCAAAGTGTAGTTTAGTGGGTTCTGGGTTCGACGCGCAAAACCCACTAAACTGCACCCTGACCAGAGCGGCGTCTCTTGTTTGCAGTGCCGTGAAGTCGAGCACGTTGCGACGACGTGATACGTAGTAATCAGACAGATATCGCGATGGAGGTAACAGGCCTCGCCCACGGCCAGCATTCTCGGCAAGCATTTTCTGTGCGTTTCACCAAAAACGATCTCGAGCAACCAGCCTTCTCGTTCGTAAACCTCATTGCCGAGCGACCAAACCTGCCAGCTCCTTCATCAACACCTTCCACCACTGCTGGCCCTTCCTCGCGCGATGAGAAACGCCCGGTACCGCCACCTCGACGGCATCTCCGCCTGTGGTACCTCGATGAGCCCACCGGTTTGAATCTTGCCAATAATCGACTGAATGTCGCTCATGAGATCTATGTTCACCAACCCCGGGATCTGCGCAAGGTTCCTGTGGAAGAACCTTTCGCCGTTTACCGATATACCGTCCAGGCCGGAGCCCCTGCGGACTTGGTTTTCCGCTTAACACATTTAGATCGCCACCGACGTTTGCGATTGCACTCCGGCAATCGGGATGTCGAAGTAGGCTTCCTTGATGCCTTCAACCATTTCCTCTTCCGTCAGCGTGTATTCCCGTCGGAGCAGACCTTCCTCGCCGTCATCGTCATGGCCATTCTCCTCACGAGGCTCCGCGGCAGCCCGGATTTTGAAGAGGGTGGGTGCCGCATTTTGGTCAACGAACCACTGAATCTGTTGTTTGACAATTCCTCCAGCCTCCGCGAATAATCGCACCAGCGTCATACGTTCACCGGGGTCAGTCGGGTCCATCTTCTTGGTAAGCGGTATCATTATTAGATGACGCAAAAGTCCACCTTGGCGTCGTTGCTGAGTAGGGCTTCCGAGAGCCGCCGCCAGAGCCGCATGCGACACGGGAGTTTCTGATAACTCTGTTGGAGATCTCGCCGGGGTGGTTGCGGCTGTTACTTCCGCTGGTGTGGCGGGTTCGTCCTCGACAGGATCGCTGAAAAATGTGCAGAAAAACTGGGTGACGAGCCCTTGTTCCGTGCTTGCGGAGAGCACGGCGATGTCATCGATGTTCTTGCCCAACACGGCCCAGGTGTGGGCTGTCGCGTAGGTCGTTGCGACATCCTGGGGTATAGCTGCGTCAATGGTGATGCCATTTGGGCCCCCTTTATTGCCAATCGAAAACAGCGGGATCGCACAATCGTATCCGTAACAGATGTTCGGTAAAGCTCCCGGTTCCGAATACACAATGTAATCGGGTTTTGGCTTGGAGAATCCAATGGCGAGATCCCGCGGCACCAGGATATCTGTTCGATCACTGAGGAAGCCGAAGTTGAGTGGCAGATAGAGAACAAAGTAGATAGAAATCATTCATGATTGAACGCTTACTTCCGAACCGCATAGATATCAGACGGAAAAATATATTCCAAACTTGGCAGCCACATGTCTTCCAATTGCCTCTCGCTAGAAGCCAGAAGAACCCGATCCCACCGAATCTTGTCGAAGCATGATTCGAACTGCTGACCATTATCATTCAGGAGGAGATTCGGGGCCTGGAAAGGTATACATCCCGAGCTCGTAAGATTGTGTACCTTGGCGACAAGGACGTTGATGAGTTGAGGGTGTACTTACTGTGAAGGCTCGAAAAATTTCGGAAAGCGCAGGTCGCCTAGCCCAAGGAAGAGCGTTCAAGTGGGCCTTTCCGCCCCATGCGTGCAGCTCTATTCCAGCACCTTTCGTGACCTTGGGGAACGTCGCCGAACTTTTTTTGGCAGAAGGAACGACCGGATGACAGTCAAGTCCTATAAGTTGCGTGCCAGAGTGCTTCGACCCGCTCTCTTCCCACAGACCTACCTTGCAGAACCTCCGACGTCTGAACGTTGTCTCTTCAAGCCGAGTGTCGACAGTCGCTCCGAAACGGTGAAACCTTTATCGAAGTCGTAAAGAGGAGGAGCAGCCACAAAGGAGTTCCCTAGTCGCCTTCTTTTCGTATCGGCCATTGTCTCTGTGTCTGAGGAACGAAGAAGTTTGGCTTGCAGGATGTAGAGGAGGGGGATGGCTAACGTTATCGAGCGAGTTGCTTTGTCCTGCTGTTTCTTGACTGCAAGGTGGAGGATGTCAAAAAGCAAACGGTTCCTGTATGTAATACATATATGCTACGTACAGTCAGTGTCCATAAATAATTGATGTCCGTTTCACAAAGCTTACATAAACACAAGAATTCAGCAGTACTGTAGGCCGGTGGTCAATAACCCCCTAACCCCTCCGTTGCTCATAACCTTAACCTTTCTGGTATTCACCTTACAGCCCACACATTGTGAGACTTGAAGCCCTTTCTCATGACTCCCACTTGTTTGGCCCATCTCTTGTCGAAAGGTTCACCTTACAGCCCAGATATTCCCAGGCTTGGAGCCGTTAACGTTCACCAACAGACAGCGGGAGCATCTCAGGGCGTGCTCCCGGCTGCAGAGCTTCTCGGTACGTGGCGCCGCTCTAGCAAGCTCCCGCCAGTGAGCCGCCGGCCGAAACTCCCTTGCTTGCTAGGGTCGCTCAAGCTCCTCCAGCTATAAGAATATGGGGGGAAAGAAAGCCGCCAAACTTACACCATGCAATCCCGCCAACTGGAAGGAGATGAAGGCCATTCTGAACTCGGTTTGTGCGGCCAACCCGCAAACCTGCCCCATCCTCTGCCGTTTCGTGCACAACTATCAAGCTCGTCTCATCGCTGCGCACGAGGCCTGCGTGGCGAGAGAGGTCCACCCAATTCCCGTCCACCCACTAAATCACCTGGCCAGACTCCTCGAGGGCGATGAAGTCTGTGGAGCTGTCGAGTTGCTGCCAAGCACTGGAGAGCTTTTCTGCTCTTCGAACTGGGCTGAGCACACCGAGACGGCCGTGCGAACCGAGACGATTCTGAGCTTTCCTCACATCGAAGGTGATGTGAGGCGTCTCGGTGACGGGCTCACGGTCATAGTCGGTTGTCGGTTCACTCTTCTCACATCCGCCAATTTGCCGCCCCAAACTCGATATGGGGGAAGGGTGACTTACAACCTGCTGAAGGGAAAAAGTGTCCCCTACCTTGTCTTGCCCTTCGACTCGCCGGTCACTTTCCGATGCTGCTTGAAAAAAGACGACGTCCCAGCCTGGCTCGACGACGATTTGTCCATGAATTACACCTGTTTGAGAAGATTACCCGTCGAGACACTTTTCCCCACCATCTGGGAACAAGTTAGGACCACATGGCCGTGGCTCCCGCTGAGTGACCCCATCGAACCCCTTGTGATACCGAGAGTGCCCTTGGACCCCTTGCGGCGGAGACTAGAAAAGCTCCTGGATCATTGTGTGTTGAAGCTGCTGGGACGCTCCCAGGGCATGGAGGAGCGCCCTGTACATGACATAATATATTGGAAGATCGTCCGACATGCCAGAAGCGGCGGAGATTGAACTAACCCTAACCCTAACCCTAACCCTAACCCTAACCCTAGCAACGGGGAAAAAGAACTGGGTGAACGTCATAGGCGAGATCGTGGAAGCTTACAACAACTCGTTCCATGCCACCACCAAGCGCCGACCGATAGATGTCGCTAGTGGCCTGCAAGACCCAGAGCAGCGAGAGCAGATCACGTTCAAACCCCTTGATATCGGGACCAGCGTCAGGACGCTCTTCAACCGTAAGCAGTTCTCGAAGGGGTACGAGGCGCGATGGACGAAGAAGATCCATAAGATCACGGGGAGAAAGGGGAACCGATATTTCGTCAATGATTCCGAAGAACGTTCGTTCAAGGAGAGCAAGCTCCTTGTTGTCGAAGGGACGGTCCCCCTCAACGCGCGCTGCAGGGGTTTGTGAGGTAGAAGGTCTCATAGACACGTTCATCCAACCTTCCGCAGCAAAACGCGTCCCCAAGAGGAAGACCATCATCCCGTGTAGACCCGTTGATTCCCGCAGTGTTTCTCACCTGGTTACAAGAAGACTGGTGCAGCATCAGTACATTAGACCTGATTTGCACACTATTTTCTTGACTTCATTTTAAGAAGGCTAAGTAAAATCAATCAGTCATGCCACCGAAGGGCAAGACGAGAACGCAAAAGGACAAACGATAGCCAAACACCCCCCAAAAATGGCTCCCATCAGCGAAGAAAAGGCGAATTTTCAAGTCGAACTCATTCCAGGCCGTTTGGAGCTATCAGACCGGACACGAAGTGCGCGTCGTACAGAAGCACTTCGACGGTATTAGGACAAACTGGATGGAACAACTCGATGACAGCAATGAGCTTGATGCGAAGGCAGAGAGGGCCGCAAAAGATTGGCTGAAGAAGAAGGTCGGAAATATTGAAGGTCATGGGCCACTAAACCGGAACTTCAAGATGCTCAGTATGCATGTCGACAAAGTCGGTAGTGCCCGACCCAGGGAACGTCGAACAGCGGCCAATCTCAACGACTGTTGGCTCTGCCGGAGAAATTCTATAGCCCGTCCTTTAACGTCACCTTTCACTGTAGGCATCGAGAATCCGACGAGTTCCGCACAGGCAAGAGCGACCTCATGGTTACCCAAGTCATGGCCCCTGACGTAGACACAGTACGACAGAGAGTAGATGAATGGGCGATCGAGTGGTATCGCACAGTTATGGAGCATTCCGCGGAGAACATGCCTCAACTCCACGGGTACAAATGGGAATTCGCATCGATTGACTTCATATTCAACCCGGATGGCTTCAAGTGGGAGACGCGGAAGTTTCCTTGGGCCAAATATATGAACATCGTGGAGATCCCCCCAAACGATCTGGACCACTTCACAGAGATGCGCATGCAGAAAAGCAGAGAGGAAGGCATCTTTGCACCTGTACCCATCAAAGTCCCGATCAAAACCCGAAGAAGACAAAAGACAACAAAGGCACCGAGGACTAAGGCACAGAGGACAAGGAAAACGAAGGCTCAGACCCACAGGAAAACGAAGGTGCAAGTGAGATTGAGAAACGTAGACTAGTCTCACTCAAGAACACGTGTGTCTTGGAATACATCATCAAATACATGGGGGCACGGAAACAGGGGTGGAAGAGAGGCTGTCCGAAAAATATTCAAGATCTCGCGAAGGAGTTAAAAAATGTCATCGCCCGAGGACGGAGTATCTGTCAATATGCTAGTTCAATTCTGCAAGAATTCCGACATATCCCTCTATGCGTTCGATCCCCTCTACCATGAGGTCAAAATCCAGCGAGGGGATGAAGAAGGGTCCGACAACACCAGAGGAGACACTTTCGTATTTATCATAAAGGATGAACACATTTACCTGATAGAGGATATAGCCCTGCGGAAACAACTGATTCAGACAAAAACACAACGCAGAGTCAACCAAACTCACCGTCAGATTTGGAAAGGTTATAGCAACCAATCCTGACAAGGAATCTTTGACGAGGCTCTTCGAGAACAAAACTCAAGGCATCGTGGTCTATGACCGGGCAGACAAAGATGATTTGCGAGAGCAGATGCATCTGATCGCGCGAGGTACGGTGGTATCTCCTATGGTGGAAACTCAACGCAACACGGAACACCTCGTGTACAACGAACATCTGACAATCAGGATCTGCGAGGATCCGCAGATGTGCATGCAGATCGCGTCGGACCTAGGACTAAAGTACCTCGGTCAAGGTACGTCAGCGATGGCGATGGAGGCGTTCAAGTCCTTCGCCAAAATTGAACAGAGCGCATATTTCGAGTCGGTATGGAAGGCAATCCGTAGTGACCGTTTCTTGCGATGCGCCGTCAACGTGAAACCCGAGGTACTCGAAGTGCCTACCCCAGATTCAGAGACCAAAAGAGTCACACGTTTCCTGGACGCGACGCAGGTGGACTTCGAATTCAGGGCAGAAGATCATTTGGACGAGATCGTCTCCATCGACATTCAAACAATTACCCCACGAACGTAGAAATGATGCCGACAGATTATTCTGTGTCCAATTCGATGGACGAGGTAGAGCTCATAGACCCCCCCATGCAGTTCAATGGACGCGGCTGCATAGACGTGCCGAGGGACAGGTTCTATTTTTATTACGTCACATCCGACTCATTGGCAGTGTCAGGCTCCACACACTTTATTCTGGGAGATGGATGATACTCTGAAGACGTTGTGCGCTCTGCGCTGAAGGCCGGCCATCATTGCACACTCACTCACCGGATCAGCGCCCAGAAGGGCGTCCCAAGGAAGGCCGTAAGCGACTTCATCCAAAATCTACGGTCTCGCTTTCAGGATCCAAGGATTTTCAAGATGGTGGCAAACCGATTCATCGGGACTCTAGGGTCTCACAAGGAACTTGAAAACTATGAGGCCGTTGCCACAAACAACCCAGGAACAATGGCACAAATATACTTCAGCAATTCCCTTGAAGGCCGGAAGACTTGGGTGGAGAGATCTGTCAGCGGGGACAAAGACAAAAAGGGAGACCCTATATACACGGAGAATGGGTATCGAGTATGCTTTCGAACAGGTTTTACAAAGGGAGATCAAGACAGTCGCTCTATCAACGCAAAGATGGTACAATACACCTACGTACGGCTTTGGGACCTGTACAAGGCCATCAGCATGTGCACACAGCACTCTGGCCATTTGATCCAGATACGGACAGACTGCATAAGTTTTTGGATTCCCTACCCCTCAGAACGCGCTCGGACCATCGCCTTCGTGGATGAACACAAGGACAAATTTTGCATCGAGCTTGACGGCTTTTCCTCGCTCCGCTTTCCCGCTTATATAAAGCAGGAGAAGCGAGGAGGGCGCAGGCGTACCGCGAGATATATATTCAACTAGAACAACAATGCAACAATCAGTAACCAGAGCAGAGCTGGATAAGGGAGAGGAGGGTGGGGCGCAAGAGCTACTATGTGTCCGTTTGTCGAGATTCCCACGACGGGAAAAGGGAAAGAGAGGGAGAAGGTGCTATATATGGCTCTTGCTTGTTTTGCTGCGCCTCGGAAAAGCCACTCTTTGGGTGGCTGCGCCTCCCAACCCGATTCAAACCGATCAAGAACAAGGTCAAAAAACGGGCCCCCCCGGGCCTGGGTCACACCCCCCTACCATACCATGGAAGGACATAAGGCTCCCCACAAACGACGACATCTCACCAAAGCAAATCTTGGCAATGGAAGGATGTTACTTTACCGGTGCGGCTGGGACAGGCAAGAGCATCGTCATCGAACGGTTGGTGAAGTACATTCAGAAGGAGAACGAGACGGGACGCATGAAACTATCCGTTCAAGTATGTTCCTTCATGAACCTCGTCGCAAACCGACACGAAGGCGGCCTGACTTTGCACCGGGCCGTTATCTGTGGCGCCAAAACACGAGCAGATGTAATCATCATCGACGAAGCATCGATGAACCCAACGGTTTTTAAGGGGCAAATTGACGGCGTTCAAAAGGCATAACCCAAAGATAATGTTCTTTCTTTTCGGAGGCCTCAAGCAACTCCCCCGTGTGGAGGAATTGGAATACGCCCATGAGGAGTCCGAGATGGTCGAGATATGCCGTCATCACAACAGAGTGATGTTCGAGAAGATCTGGAGATATGATGAAGAGACCGCCGAAATATTTCAGGATATATGGGACCGCCCAGCGGCACTCGCAAACTACGACTGGGGTGACACCCTTCAAGACCGCACCCTTGTGGCCACACATCTAGAGAGGAAACGAGTCAATCATCTAAAATGGAGGAGGCAGAGGCAAGAGGTGAACAAGGAGAGTGGACCCCACAACCACGCACCACAAGCGGCAAGCACCAGGCGATATTCCTATACGTTGGGTTACCATTGATATCCATTCAGAAGCACGCAAACAACATTCCCAGCAAGCATGCGACGTACAAGGTAGTAGAGATGAACGAGGCCAGGATCATACTGAGGAAATGGGACATTGCAACAGACTCGTGGCGCTGGGATTACGAGAAGAAGGATCGAGAAGGTCTCAAATTGAACCAGCAGATGCTCGCCAGGGAGAGGTTGAAGAGCGACATCGCCTCCTGGTTCCGGGTAGCAAAGAAGCAGGAGGTGCTAGGAAGTGAAAATGAAGAAGAGCCCCAGGAGTATCTGCAGATCACCAGGAAGCAGATACTGAAGCGCTTTTACCCAGCCTTCGCCATCACGGTGCACGTAGCACAAGGGTCGACGTTCATCGGCCCTTATTCCATCCTGAACGCACACAAATTCCGCGATCGAAGGATGTTATACACCGCCCTGTCACGCTGCAAGGGTTCTTGGAAAAATATTCATATCCCTGTGTGGCAAACTCCGGAAATCGATGAGCAGAAACTGACGGAGCGCCTTCTACGCGACGTCGGTAGAATATACGATGGCCCTCATGAAGCGACATGGAAACAATTCATCGAGGAAAATTGACTATCATCAAAACTTCCGCGCCAGTCCTTAGGTTTAACACGTTGTGGATGCTGTAGCACTTGATGAGGAGAACCAGACTAGTGATCCCAGCTGACACAGTCTACGCCTTTGGTCGCGAGTGGTACCAGATGATAAATACCTTAGGAATTTGCTTACCTGGATTTTCAGCACGAGGGTGCCAAGACCCAGGAACAATTCGATCGACATCTTCATGCCATCGCTATTCCCATTATCGCCGTGCAAGTCAATCTTGCGCCCCAGAAGAGCGTCAGCCAGGTCATCTATTGGAATTGATTCACGTGGAACACATATTAAACACTTCCAGTTTTGCCGGAAGACACTCATGATACTCACTACTCGACGAAAAGCTTTGTCCTCTAGATACCACTTATTCACCGACTCCACCGCCTCCTGATGCGACTTCCTACTGCCCAGTCCCTGTCCGGACCCCGCCGAGGCGGCAGGAGCTCGATCCAAATCTCGCGGCGGGGTATCTGCGACACTAATTTTTGACAGCTCTTCAACGTTATCGTCATCGGTGGGAATGAGACTGGTGGGGAATCTGCATTCCTGGTAAACGTTTGCTCGGTTCCAGAGTTCTGTACCGGGCTATGGGGACGCGAGGGGCTTGCTTCACAGCAGTACTCGTTGCACCTTGGCCGTCACGCAAGATATGCTCAACAGCCTGTGTCTGATTCATTGTCGCCGCCGTGTCCGGCCCCCCAAGACGACGCTCATTTGAGCTCATCGTGCCACAGTCGGTCAAATTGGTATGTGCTTCCTTGGCCGTTACTTCTTTCTCCGTTCTCCTGTACTATATCATCCCTCATCTTCTCCTCCCCTGCGCCGAACCATCTCCAAGATCAACTGGAGCACGAGTCAAGATCTCCACTACAAAATAGACTGAAAGCGGCTTTACTTCGAATTTTATTGCTTCTGATAGGAGCACAGAACGTAACAAGACAGAGGCAAGTTGTGCATCGCCGCAGGCATCACGGGCGAGAAACAGACAGCCATTTGGTCCTCCGGCCAAGACCAAGATGACTGTGAGAAAAGTAGCGGCGGAGAGCATGACAGAGAACCATTGGTGAGGCCGGGAAACTCTTTTCCGTGAACTCGCCAAACATTGCAGCTCACCGGATTGATACGACGTTTCCATGAAAGCAATATCAGGGCTTCCGCAATGGGCAGATTCCGGACAGATTGAGACGTATTCCTTCATTCAGTGTGGTGATATAATTGCGCAACTCTGCGGCGATTTGCAAGAAGGTGTGCTCCAAGGGCGTTCAGAGTAGCGAACAATGGACTTGCATACCCGACTTCCTTTAGAAAAGTACGATTCCGAGTATATGCGGCTGATTCCGATGGAACCGAACGTTATCACATCGCAATCCGCATTTGGGGAGCGGCAAGACGCTTGGAATGTGGCAGTGCATATTCGATACGAAACCGGCGTGCGTTGGCTAACCCTTCGTCAGGACGTACCACCTTAACTCCAATCTGAAGAGTTGTCGTTTTTGAGAGTTCTCTGGGTGTGACCAAACTGCGCGGTTGATTTTTAGCTCGTGTCCATCCAAGATATCGGCTGATTTTCAAAGACCCACAAAAATATGTACTGTACAAATAACAAGTCAGGTTACGCGCGATATGAGGGTTCGAAAATGACCCTAACCCCTAACCCATCCCACAGTGAATGATGCTATTGCAAAACCTATGTAGATCTGAAGAGATCCCACACTCCGTGTCCACAATCAAGTATGATGAATGGCCTACATTGACGGCGGGCTATTTGCTAACTCTACGAGATTTTCGAACAAAACCACCTTCGAGTAAGGTTTTACCAGGTAGCGGTTCATACCAGCAGATATCGCCCTTTCCCGAAACACGTCACGCGCGTTTCCAGAGAGTCCCAGAATCGGCACTTTCACAGCACTTGCATTCGACTCTTCGAGCGCGCGGATATGGCCCGTGGCTTCTAGCCCGTTCATGAGGGGCATTTCGACGTCCATGATAATAACGTTAAAGTTTCCTTTCATAAATTGCTCAATGGCTTCTTGGCCGTTGTTGGCAACTTCAGTCGTAACACCCTCCTTGTCCAGCTGTTTCCGAAGGACCTTCTGATTGATCATGTTATCCTCTACTATGAGAACTTTAAGTTCGTCCAATCGAAGATCTTTGCGCTGCCGAGTGGGTCGTTTCGGTTGATCACACGGCGCGGGTGCCGGTGGCTTCCCGAGCCACTCAGCGCCATTAGAGATCGGCGGCGCCAACATATCAGCGATTGAGGGCTGCGAAGCAGATGTAGAAGCTCCATTTGGTGTGTGATTCGCGGCCGATGCTAACATTAAAGAATCCCTTTCATGATCCAAGCTCGAGCAAGTCAATGAGCTCGCGGTCGACGAGGAGGATGCCGATAGCGATTCAGCAACTTCGCTCTCCGCTACGCCGCTTAGAAATTCGCGCATCTCTTGTTCCGCTGGTCTTTTGCAGCGAAGGTTGAAGAAAACATCGGTACCCGCATTTGCGGCGCTGCTCAGACCAATCTGGCCCCCCATCATATCAATGAGTTGCCTGCAAATGGACAGACCAAGCCCGGAGCCTCCGTAGGTGCTGTGCGTTTTGACAGATGCTTGACTGAAACGTTGAAAGAGCTTTTGCTGCTCCACGTCGGATATCCCGATTCTAAGAATGAGGGGAAAAATCAACGTTTTGGAAGTCCCATGCAAAAGTTGGAGAGACGACCACCACGTACCCAGTGTCCTTCACCGAAACTTTTATGTCGGTAATACGCTGTTTACGAGGCCCTGCGGTTGCGGCATCTACTTCTTCCTCGATGACCGAGTTCGTGAGTTCTACTGCAATGGTGATCCTTTTTTCGTTTGTGGACTTTTCCGTGAACTTGATAGCGTTGGTTACTGTTTATTATTCAAATGGTCAGTTAGAAAGAAACGAACATGGAAACACCGATGCTCTCAGGAAATACCTAGGTTGAACATAATTTGTGCCAAACGGTCGGGTTCCGAGAAAACCAATTCAGCATCCACCACATTTCTGAATTCGGAATAGGTTTTTTCCACAGCTTGTCCTTCCGTCTTTATGGAAAGATGCCATCCAAATTCAATACGTTTCTTGCGCATAAGACTTCGGAACATCCTCATCACGCGTGAGATGACAACCTCTGGCGCGCAGATGACCGGGTTATATGGCATGTCGTGCTGTTTCAACTTGGAGAGTTGCAAGCTGCGCGGTGCCACCCAGTGAGTATGTCGAGACGCAGTTTATGCTTGCGTGAGACATTTCACTTACACATCATTTGTAATAACCTCCTGGTGGTTCGTGCACATCGAAATGGCATCAATTGCCTCATGATCTTCCAGCAATTGGTTCTTGATAGCTGGAATCACACACGCGTCCAGATATCGCATGAAATCGTTCATGTCCACGGGCGCAGACCACTTTTTCTTTCCATTGAACGCGTTCGCAGGCCCAGCGTATTCCGCACCGCTCATGGACTTCCAAGCGTTGACAGCAGACTGAACCGTTCGAGTGATAGACCAAAGCCGCTTGACTCCTAATTGCAGCAAATCAGCACAATTCCGGACGCCCGAGAGCGGATTGCGAATCTCATGGCAAATTGTGTCCTACAGGAAACCGTTGTTTCTTTTTTGGTACAAAGGTCTACTTCACACAACGATCGAGCGCGACATTACCACAAATGCTTCCTGTTGCCTCCTGTTCTCATCCGCATCCTCCGCCCTGCGTCTCTGTTCCTCCGACAGTTCCAGTAGAGCATTGATCCGCTGCTGCTCAAGCTTTTTCTCCTCCGTGATATCCATGGCGGCAAAGTAAAAGCCAGCGTTCTTGCTGTATGCTTCAAGATCCGTTTCCCCCCCAGTAAATTCGTGGGGCTGGCCATCCTCGCCGCTTCCGTCGTCAAAGATGCAGCTGCTAATGATTGTGACCTCCGTTCCGTCGGGACGGACAAGGGTGGTCTCCCGACGGGCAGTCGCACCAGCCTCCTTCACGCCGTCAGACATCAGGTCGTTAACGTCCGCTATCGTCTCCGGCTTCACCCACTGCTGCCAGTCATTTGGATCATCGACGTTGGGGTCCCGGCCAACAATCTTCCACCTACAAATAAGTTGAACCTGACGTTAACACTTTGGCGCATCATTATGGCGGTTTCCATTTTAGAAGATGACTTACCACGCCTTGTTCACGAAAACCACCTCGCCCTTCATATTCAAGCGGCTGATGCCTACCGGCGAGATATTGGATAAGAGCTGGAATTGACGTGCACTCTCTTGCAACTGCGCAGTGCGCGCTTTGACAAGCCGGTCTAATTCCTTGCGCATCCTGCCAATCGCAATGTGCGCCCTTACACGCGCGCGCAATTCCTTTGCTGAAAACGGCTTCACCTGGAGGAATGGGTTAGCAAAGGCGAGTCGGTGATAGGGACGAGATTGAGAAGCCGTGTTCCACCCCAAATAGCGATTGGCTCACCATGTAATCATCTGCACCAGCTTGCAAACCTTCGACTTTCGCTTCTTCCCCAGCACGGGCGCTGAGAAGCACGAACGGAATATTCTTCAAGTGAGGGTGTTCACGGATCTTCTGGAGCAACTCGAAACCATCTAAAATCGCCAGTAGTATCTAGATTGATAGTCATAAACATGAGCGCGGGCAACGAGACTCACTCATATGTGGCATCATGACATCGCTTGGGACAGAAAATGGCGCGAAGCTTCGTCAGTTGGTAAGACGTCGACCGGAACCCCAGTTTCGTTTTCATACCTGAGAATGAGATCGGGTGGATTGTCTATGATAGCACCATATGCGTTACGGCCATCGTTGGCTACATGCACTATGCAAAACTTGGCCAGCAAGCTACCCACATACTCTCTCATATCCGCGTTATCGTCTGCCAGCACCACCCGCGCCAAGCGGTTATCGTTGAAAGGGCCTTGATCAGAGGATCCTGTTCCGAGGGCGTCCTCGTTTGCTGACGTGCCAACCGAGAAGGATTCGTCCGGCTTGTCGTTGACGGAGCCAACATAACTCGAGTTTTCGGTAATCCACCTTGCACTCTCTTGGATAAACGCCCGGCCAACAGATGATTGGGCAGTGGAATCCAGTTGATCCTGCGCGGTAATCTGGGAGGAAGAAATATGGCCTTTTCCAAGCGGTATAGAAACCGTAAATTTAGTCCCGACACCAAGGGTGCTTGTGGCCGTGATGGCACCGCCGTGAAGCTTGACAAGCTCGTGGGTCAAGGAAAGCCCGATTCCGGTGCCCTCCACCGATCGGCCGCTCGAGGAGTGGCAGCGGTGAAATCGCTCAAATAAACGGTCAACTTCATTGTCGGGAACTCCGCATCCCGTATCTTCGACCTCCAAAAAAGCAGCCGTTTCGTCTTTATACAGGCGAACTTTAACGCCGCCTTGAACAGTATATTTGAAGGCATTGCTGAGGAGATTTAAGACGATTTTCTCCCACCTGATAGGAGTTTTCCCTTAGAGGTGCCTTTCGCTGAGGTAGCACCAAGGCAAGCGAACACTCTATCACTTACATGTCAACGTCAAGATAAACCATCTCTCCCAAGGGCGGCGTCTCGACCGTGTAATCCAGGTTCCCCTTTTCCATCGCTGATCTAAACATAGACGCGGCATTCGCGGTGACAACGCTTATGTTCGTAAGGCGGAAGTTAGCTTCCATGCGTCCAGCCTCCAATTGCGAGAAGTCCAAAACCGAGTTCACAAGCTTGTGCAGGCGCTGAGCATTCCTTTCTACCAGACGGATCTTGTCCAACTGTTGGGAAGTCAGGGAGGAGTCCCCCAAAAGATCCGCAACCGGGGCCAAGATAAGCGACAACGGCGTCCTGTACTCATGAGAGATATTGCTAGAGCACGGCGAGAGCGGGATTCGGCGTCAGGCCAGTGAATATCAAGAGATATCTAAAGGAGTCCTACTTGCGTACCTGAAGAACACGGATTTCGCGCGATCAATCTCGGCGAGCGCCTGCAGCCGGTGTTGCTTTTCGGTCAAGGACCTCCCGCGCAGGATGGAAGTGGCGACTTGAGTCCTCGTCATTTCTAAGAAATCCTTGTAATCAGAATCCAGCTCTCTCCTAGGATTGATCCCAAAAACGACCAGGCCGATGGGTTCCTGGTTTGCAGAAGCTTCCAGAGGCAACACAATGGCTCCGGATGTGGGCGTGTGTTCACAAACGCCTCCGGTGATATAGCCAAACCTTTCCTGCAGCTCATGGACTTCCACCCCACACCGCTGTGAGAATACTTGGTCGACCGGCCATGATCCTTGTTCCTCGCGATCGATTGAAGAAACGCACAGCAAATGACCAGACTCGACGTTGGAAAAGCCCTTTAGTATCAGCTTTCTGCCACTCCCATCGAGCATATAGATGAGCGCAAACGTAATGTCTGCACAGTTTTGCTCAAAGATTTGTGCCGATAAGGCGCAAGCTTCGTCCTCGGACTGCGTGTTAGCAGTGCTTGCAGCCAGCTCTCGCAGCAAGTTCAGCCTGCGCTCGCTCAACACGGTTTTCGTTGTTTCGGTGATGGGCGTCATGACTCCACCAACGGTGCCGTCCTCAATCCTAACCGGCGAGTACGACCAGGTGAAGTAGCACTCTTCCACGTAGCCATTGCGGGTCAACTCGAGCAACTGGTTCTCTGACCAGGTGGCTGTACCACCGCGGACGTTTTCGAGCATGGGCCTAATGACATCCCAAACTTCACTCCACGCCTCGTACCCAGGTTGGCCCAGCACGGTCGGGTGCTTTCCGCCAAAGATGGGGATGTACTGGTCGTTGTAGATAACGTTGTAGTGGTCGCCCCAGAAGAGAATGAAAGGGAAGGCAGCGTTGAGGATGAAAGAGACGGAGGTTTTAAGTGACTGAGCCCAGTCCTGTGAGGGCCCGAGCTTTGTGGTGCTCCAGTCCTTTGCCCTGACGAGCTGGCCCATGGCACCGCCGCCCGAGAAGGCACTTGAGCAAGACATACGGGCGCGGATACAAGGAGTATCACCTACAGCTGCTGCAACCGACATTTGTGAGTCTGAGCCAGGGAAACCAACGGGCGGAAGGGGCAACGCGGCAATCGGTGAGGGAAGAAAGTCCGGCGTGTTTGACCGTCGCCCTGCCTCCCAGCCCAATTGGCTGCTCAGCCATGCGACGCGGAATCGGCTTGCTGCTACGGTGGTATCCGGGCCCAAGAGCCGGTGGTTAGATTATTCGAAGAATTCGGACAGGTGTACTGCGCCACCGGCGCAAAGCGTCAATTGACTGTAGCCTAACAAAAGTCTCCGGAACGCACGCGTTTCAATCATAAACAGTTTGACTACACTTTATATCGGTCAAACTTAGAACCCCCAGGATAGCGCCGGCTATTTCACGGACGTCCCAGACCTCCAAGGTTTGGAGCGTCTGATGGGTGGAAGTACCACTCTGAACTACAAACTCGACGATACCGAGCGTCTGGTCGCCGGTGCATACGAGAATGCGTATACTCTCAAATTTTTTTCAGACCATTCCGAAAAACTATCGTTCGATGGGTGTCTTCAAATCATTACTACGAGTGATGGAAATCATGCAACAAAAACAAATTGCAACATCCCCCACTTAACAAAAGGGAACGCGGCTGTAGTAGCGTTTTACGACGTGAATTTCGAACTGCCTGCATCGGAAGATGAGGGCAGGAGACACGAACGTTATGTTATCAACGTTTTGGACCTCTTAGACAAAGATGAGAAGAAAGCCGAAAGACAATTAGAGAACTTCACTACATATCAAGCAAAACGAAGCTATGGATTGAAGGGGGTGTCCTTCGACGTCGGCTTGGACCAAGATTGGTGGAAGGGCAGTCTCGATTTGAGTGTCTTCGAGTCTGAGAGAGATGCCCACGTCAAACATCTAGCGTTGTACAAGCAGGGCGAGATATACTTAGTCAAGAAGAGGGAGTGCCCCATTTACACCTAGCTAGTCCCGTACTCTTTGACCATTGTCTTCTTCATCGTGCATGATTGTTTTACTTTTACTCATTGTCTTTTGCCATTGTCTTCTTTATCGTGTATGATTGTTGTACTCAATGACATTCCATGTTTTTCTACCCTCGTCTTTGGGGGCTGACGGCTTCTGATGCCAACCGTTTGGATATGACTTCCCTGTGTGATTTGCATACTACTGATACTACATTACACACAATAAAGTTTTCTCGGTAGCGTCCATATGTAACTCATCCTGACTCACATTCTTTCCACTTGCAGTCACGTGCCTGTCTGTGCTTTAATTGTTTTAGTCTTTTTCCGTTCGAACTAGATTTGAATCTCGTAGTGTTCAAACCAAATTTGATTCGCGTTAGAATCGCTCGGATCAATTTGTGTTTCTTTTCTGTTCAAATCGCTCTGATCGCTCCCTGCCGCACTGATGAAGTCCATTTTCAGTCCTTCATATCTCAAGTGGAGAACTCGTCCAGCATCTCGAAATGTTGCCGATATTTGCGACGCTTCCCATCGAGATGATGGAGGAAATTTCTAGCTGGTGCAATTATATCAACACACTCCAGAGTTCCTCGCCCCTGCAGGTTGTTGCATAAAAGCACAGCGACCCGGCAGCATGATATATGCAACCGCGTCGATGAGTACAAGATCAACTACAACGAAGTACCACTGTTGAGTTTTCCCACGATGTATATCAGGGATGACTACCTTGCGAGGACTCGTTTTGCCACACCATATGTTCTCGAAATCTTCATTACACTGGATGAACCCGAGAGTAGACTTGAACGGCATAGAGGATTCTTTGAGCAGCCTGATAATGTTCCCACCGGGGAATCATCTACCCGGACCCCAACCTCTTGGCCGAATGAGCAAAATCAAAGGAACCAAGTTCAAACAAGTACGGCACAAGTCCCCTTGACATTTGTCCGGTGTAATTTTATAAACCTAGGGTTCCTTGCTCATGACGAACCCGCGGACGCACTCCATACATGGAGACAATGGCAATATATTTGGTGGATAATTCCTAGGGATATGGAGCGAAACACGCTTCTGTCTAAGAGAGTCCACGGGACCGGGGGTTCTGGCCCTTCTTGCAAGTTTCCTATACATATGACTATGTCTGTTGGTAAAATGGTTATATGGGTCAATTTATCAATTTATTCTCCCGTTCCTTAGGAAACTCTTGGGAACCGTAAAACCCTTAGACCCCCTGGACCCTTATTTTTACTTCCATTCTTCTGGAAAGAAGAAAGAGTAAAGAAAGGAAGTATGGAGAGGCTCCACCGGGTTTGAGAGATGAACCGAACCCGGCACCCCTCGGAGTCTATTATAACCTATACCCGCATGCTCTGAGGTACCTGGGGCGGTCCTCTCCTTCGAACCCTACCCGTAACCCTAACCAGCAAAATGAATGTATTGGCGACATCCTCAACATTACTGTTCGGTTCAACGTTCGGACCTGTCCGTACCAGCAAAATGACCATGAAGTTTCGTGGCATTGACATACAATTGTCCAATATTGGATCCAATTTCTGATACCGGGAATTCTTGATTTTTGGTGCTCACTGTCTTGATTCACGACACTGCTGATTGCTATTAATACCTTTCTGTGGCCTGTCATGATTTAATGTAAATTCCACAGTTATCGGAGTGTAATATTGCTATCGGGTGATATTTTTATTCTTATTTTCCCGTTTCGCGTAATTGACATTTTTGTCTGGGCAACAAATTTATACTTTCATTGACCGAACCGGATTTCATCCAGCTCCTTTACATACTGTTTAATACATGGAGTTATTTAGCTTTGACTGTGCAAATGGTGTACAGGCAGCTTTTTCAGTCAGCTAGCTTGAGTAATACTAGGGTTTACTGTACAATGAAATACATCCAGAGTAGATGGTTGCTGGGGGCGACGGGAAGACGGAGTAAATCTCACCATGTTGAAAAATGGGAATGACTGCGAGCAGAGACGAGTGCGGCAGAGCGCTACTGGCAGAAAACGAACCACATACTGTCGATCACTTGCCGTGCAAAACATTTTCGACACCACAGGGAATCTTGCTTCACATTACTGATTAAGACTACCTTTCATATCAACACCTGCGGCGAACACGACAAGATTGACAGCACGTTCTGTTCTGCAGGTGATTCCCGTTTGCATATCGGACATCACCGACATGTTTCCGCCATGCAGGAGTTTCACAAACCTATGTGAAACCTAGGTTCCTTGCTCATGATGAACCCGCGGACGCACTCCATACATGAAGACAATGGCAATATATTTGATGAAAATTTGCATCAAGATGAAGCCAATAGTGCCTCCATAAAAGAGAGTCCACGGGACCGAGGGTCCTGACCCTTCTTGAAAGTTTTCTATATATATTACTACATCTATTGATAAATTGGTTATATAGGTCAATTTACCAAACTGTTCTCACCTCTCTATATGAAACTCTACGGAACGGTAAAACCTTTAGACCCCCCGGACTCTCTTTTTTACTTCCATTCTTCTGGAAAGAAAAAGTAATGAAGAAAGGTTATTCTCTTGAAGCATGGAGAGGGTCCACAGGTTTCACGGAATGGATTCTGGCCCGGCACCCTTTGGACTCGAACTACCCGCGCAACCAGGAATCTACTGCAATTACTTGTGTCCGATTAACCATCACCCCCACTCGCGACACGTAACCCACAGGAGGAATATTTAACGACCACTCAGTGCCGTTGCCATTTTTGAAAAACCATCTCATACTTGAAGCCTTTCTAAGGGTACCAAAAGCGAACGTTTCACTGTCAAGCTATATCCTGCTGCATACAAATCTATTGTCTCTGTTTGCTTGTTCAAAGTTTTGCGAACGATATATGGACTTGCTTTTGGTAGTGGCTATCAACGTTGATCACAATACTGGTAGTTTTGTAGTCCCTTTCCGACCCCTAACTTTAGGTATTCGCTAGCCGCATCGATTGTTACCGTCTCATTCTTTCCATCGCGCACCGTTGATCTGCCGGACACAGTATCTGTTATGGACGACGCGTCCATACCATGCGCTTACCTCATGACAGCATCCCAACAGTCAGTCAATGTCAATTCCCTGTCAATACCTGACATCTGCCAAACCTCGCAGCCGCACGCAGCCGCGCTACCCCACACCTGCCACTGCCTTCATTTCTCCACCCAGCCGCACGTAGCCACACCTCCCAACACTCGGCGCTTACAAACCCTTCTCCATACTTCCCCACGTACCCGCCCACAGCCTCAGCGTAGCCACCCCATCCCCAGTCTTCTGTTTCTATGCTCTCCCCACCCTTGGCGCTTCTCTTGGCTTCCCTCTCATTCCGTACCCTTCTGCTTCCCCACGCTTCCCCAGCCTTCCCAGAAAAGCATAAATAGCCGCCTCCCCTGAGCTCCCCACTTCCTGATCCCCCAGCAGATCAACACCAGTTCTTCCTAGTCTTGTTCTAGTTCTTGTTTCGGTCTGAATACCATTACCTGTCAACAACCTGCACCACAAGTCGCCTCTATTTCCGTCGGCTCCGCCCATTCATAACAGTTTGATCTGCTCAACAACCCCCAGCCGCTGTGCCTCCACGCCAAATCACCATGTCCGACGCCCTTCCCCTCACGGCCGAAGCCTGGCAAGCCATGTGCAATGCGATTGACGAACTTCGAGCGCAGAATACCACCCTACAAGCCGAACTAGCGCAAACCCAGACCACTGCCCCTGCCACTCACGCCCCCGAACCCAAAATCAGTCTCCCAGACAAATTTGATGGCACCGGAAGCAAGTTCCGTGGGTTCCTCAACCAGATCCGGCTCATGTTCGCCCTCCAACCCAGGCGCTACCCCAACGATCAGACCAAGATACGAACTATTGGCACCTACCTCACTGGCACCGCCCAGGCCTGGCTGGCGCCCCTTGTCGAACAGGACCATCATTCTCTTACGAACCTGGATGATTTCATCCAGCAAATGCAAGCAGTCTTTGGAGACAGCAACAGGATCCGCACGTCCGAAAACAAGCTCCAGAACCTTCGACAAACCCGTGCAGCAACAGAGTATGTAGCTGAATTCCGACAGCTGCAATACGATGTGTCGTGGAATGACCAGGCATTGATTGCCACCTTCCGTCGCGGCCTCAAAGAAGACGTCAAGGACTTAATGCTCACGATGCCCCCTACCGCCTC